AAGCATAGTGGAATTCATAAGAAGGAAGCGCTGACGTTTGGTTGTCCAATCGGTCGCAGTAGCTACGTTACCTATCTGATTGTTAGGGCTTTGACAAACACTACGGTAGCGCCTCAACGTACTATCACAAATCGATTGTATGGAAGCCAAACGAGGTGACACAGCTGACCAATCCAGATCATGAATATCTTCGAGTGTCTGGAGATATTCGACCTGCCTTCATTGCGTCTTCATCGGTCTGTGGGATTCGTGATTTTTGCTGTCACTAAGTTGCCCTCACCACTCGTGACCATCTTCATCCCTGTGGTATCCAATGTTGCCTTCAGGTATTGCTTTCTCATCGTGAGATAAAAACCACCTACAGTCCACGGATACTCAGGTGCTTAGGCTGCGAGTCAAGGGGTCACGGAGCCGAGGACTTGAAGGGTTGACCCGAGACTCGCTCCGACCAGTGCCTGTTCCGTATCACGATGAACGATAGCTAGACTGCCAATGTCCTTTTTTACTGAGCGTTTGCTGTGCCACGGTGGCCAAGGTAATTGAGACCCAGGTAATTAAGACCAGGCGTGTGGGACTGGTGCCTGATTGACCCGCTAGCCTACATCTGGACTCAAGCACATCATTTATGAGTCGCGTGAGCTGAAGAGGTGGTTATTTCTTGCTGTAAAATGTAGCGTGTCGATCGATTATCAAGTTAATGTGTGTGAATATGTGTTGGTGCCGATAGGTGATGTTATGCATGGCGTTTGGTGTAATGCACGTAATTGGAGGACAGCAGCGTGTACAAGTATAGTTACGCCTGTGTGGCTCAGTGGCAGAGCATCTGTCTTGTAAACAGAAGGTCCCCGGTTCAATCCCGGGCGGAGGCAAGCCTTTTCACGCTGCTTCTGTACCCGTCTGTCTGTACATCGGGACCACATGCGAAAGCAGCTCTTGTTGCTTCTGTTTCGCGTAAATGCATATGCTTGATTACGTTCTGGATATTGTTGATCATCTCAAGCATCTTGCTTTGAGCTGTATTGGTTTATGCTGACTTGTTGCAGCAACAAGTGATACGTCATCTATTCCAGAGCCCACAAATACGCAAGCGCATACGATCAGCTTTGTATGCAGATCGGACTGCTGACCCATACATATACTTCATTTCGAGCTTGGATGGTGCCCAGATCACTAGACACCGAAGAATGACATGACATGTGGGCGAGCACCCGCTCGCTGTATATTAATGCATACGGTATTCTGCGTGACAAAGCATAGTGGAATTCATAAGAAGGAAGCGCTGACGTTTGGTTGTCCAATCGGTCGCAGTAGCTACGTTACCTATCTGATTGTTAGGGCTTTGACAAACACTACGGTAGCGCCTCAACGTACTATCACAAATCGATTGTATGGAAGCCAAACGAGGTGACACAGCTGACCAATCCAGATCATGAATATCTTCGAGTGTCTGGAGATATTCGACCTGCCTTCATTGCGTCTTCATCGGTCTGTGGGATTCGTGATTTTTGCTGTCACTAAGTTGCCCTCACCACTCGTGACCATCTTCATCCCTGTGGTATCCAATGTTGCCTTCAGGTATTGCTTTCTCATCGTGAGATAAAAACCACCTACAGTCCACGGATACTCAGGTGCTTAGGCTGCGAGTCAAGGGGTCACGGAGCCGAGGACTTGAAGGGTTGACCCGAGACTCGCTCCGACCAGTGCCTGTTCCGTATCACGATGAACGATAGCTAGACTGCCAATGTCCTTTTTTACTGAGCGTTTGCTGTGCCACGGTGGCCAAGGTAATTGGGACCCAGGTAATTAAGACCAGGCGTGTGGGACTGGTGCCTGAGTGACCCGCTAGCCTACATCTGGACTCAAGCACATCATTTATGAGTCGCGTGAGCTGCAGAGGTGGTTATTTCTTGCTGTAAAATGTAGCGTGTCGGTCGATTATCAAGTTAATGTGTGTGAATATGTGTTGGTGCCGATAGGTGATGTTATGCATGGCGTTTGGTGTAATGCACGTAATTGGAGGACAGCAGCGTGTACAAGTATAGTTACGCCTGTGTGGCTCAGTGGCAGAGCATCTGTCTTGTAAACAGAAGGTCCCCGGTTCAATCCCGGGCGGAGGCAAGCCTTTTCACGCTGCTTCTGTACCCGTCTGTCTGTACATCGGGACCACATGCGAAAGCAGCTCTTGTTGCTTCTGTTTCGCGTAAATGCATATGCTTGATCACGTTCTGGATATTGTTGATCATCTCAAGCATCTTGCTTTGAGCTGTATTGGTTTATGCTGACTCGTTGCAGCAACAAGTGATACGTCATCTATCCCAGAGCCCACAAATACGCAAGCGCATACGATCAGCTTTGTATGCAGATCGGACTGCTGACCCATACATATACTTCATTTCGAGCTTGGATGGTGCCCAGATCACTAGACACCGAAGAATGACATGACATGTGGGCGAGCACCCGCTCGCTGTATATTAATGCATACGGTATTCTGCGTAACAAAGCATAGTGGAATTCATAAGAAGGAAGCGCTGACGTTTGGTTGTCCAATCGGTCGCAGTAGCTACGTTACCTATCTGATTGTTAGGGCTTTGACAAACACTACGGTAGCGCCTCAACGTACTATCACAAATCGATTGTATGGAAGCCAAACGAGGTGACACAGCTGACCAATCCAGTCATGAATATCTTCGAGTGTCTGGAGATATTCGACCTGCCTTCATTGCGTCTTCATCGGTCTGTGGGATTCGTGATTTTTGCTGTCACTAAGTTGCCCTCACCACTCGTGACCATCTTCATCCCTGTGGTATCCAATGTTGCCTTCAGGTATTGCTTTCTCATCGTGAGATAAAAACCACCTACAGTCCACGGATACTCAGGTGCTTAGGCTGCGAGTCAAGGGGTCACGGAGCCGAGGACTTGAAGGGTTGACCCGAGACTCGCTCCGACCAGTGCCTGTTCCGTATCACGATGAACGATAGCCAGACTGCCAATGTCCTTTTTTACTGAGCGTTTGCTGTGCCACGGTGGCCAAGGTAATTGGGACCCAGGTAATTAAGACCAGGCGTGTGGGACTGGTGCCTGATTGACCCGCTAGCCTACATCTGGACTCAAGCACATCATTTATGAGTCGCGTGAGCTGCAGAGGTGGTTATTTCTTGCTGTAAAATGTAGCGTGTCGGTCGATTATCAAGTTAATGTGTGTGAATATGTGTTGGTGCCGATAGGTGATGTTATGCATGGCGTTTGGTGTAATGCACGTAATTGGAGGACAGCAGCGTGTACAAGTATAGTTACGCCTGTGTGGCTCAGTGGCAGAGCATCTGTCTTGTAAACAGAAGGTCCCCGGTTCAATCCCGGGCGGAGGCAAGCCTTTTCACGCTGCTTCTGTACCCGTCTGTCTGCACATCGGGACCACATGCGAAAGCAGCTCTTGTTGCTTCTGTTTCGCGTAAATGCATAGCTTGGCATCACGTTCCCCGGATATTGTTGATCATCTCAAGCATCTTGCTTTGAGCTGTATTGGTTTATGCTGACTTGTTGCAGCAACAAGTGATACGTCATGACTATGCATGTTTCCATAATGATAACAGGCTAAAGAGCCAGTAAATAGTGACTAGCACTAAGTATAGAGTAGGTGCTTCTATATTTAGTGCTAGAAGATAAACATAAATATAAACCTGCCCTATAAGCCTTACATCTTGAGCATTCTATTTCTTTTAAGGAATCAGTATCTTTGATACTATTCTCTCTGAGACTTCGGTTGTTAATACACAAGCTTACGAGCTAGCCTAGGAAGGGTTAAACACCCTAAGACGTAGAAGCTCTCTGAGCATGTCTTCCTCTGCACACAGTGCATACATAGCTTTGCGACAGTAGTTTGACTACTTCTTCTGCACATAGTGCATAAGTAGCGTAGCTACAGTATCTCGGCTACAATTATGACCACGTGGCTCTCTGCCACGATGCGACCCTTCGTACCTTAGGTACGGTCACATCAACCTACCACTGTACCGAAGGACAGCCACACCACAATGGTGTGGCAGGTGCACCTTTGTGTAATCCCGGTACATAGGCGTAACTCATGTTTGTAGTATTTGCAGCAAAATTAGTATGTGCGGCTAGCATCGGTCTTGCCTTTTTTGTGTATTTTGCCAGCGAAGTACTAAAATTAGGAATTTGCAGTTAGATTTGTGCTGACATACCCCAAACTAGTCCCTTCCAAGTAAACAGAGAATCGATGGAGACATCAGAATATGAAGCACGATCAATGCCGCAAAGCTCAGAAATTCGTAGAGAATATAGAAGGAATCCCGTCATCTTCTGATCTAATGTGATTGTCATATACGACGCTCCTGTCGTACATGAAGTAATAAAGTATGCTCGTAAGTCGTTGCGCCATTAAAGGAGCTAACGTAACAAGTTATGCCTACTACAATTAGCCTTCAAAATTTCTTGCAGGAAGGCAAGCACACTAACGTTGTAGCAATGCTAAATTTATATCGCGCGTGATAGTTTAAGATTTTATGAGGTCGTAGGCGCTGTAGATCTTTGCAGACATTCACTGCGTTTACTTGTAATTACTGCAAGCTAAAGTTATTGTACGGAAACAAGATTGACAAATTCAAATACTGACCTTGTGATTCAGCTGACAACATGTTGAAGTAGGAACGTTCTAGAAGGGGTCTTTTTTATGCACAATGAAGCTAAGGTTTTTTGTTGAGTTGGATTTGTGAATGGTATGCTGAGAACTCTGTAATAAGGAGGCTTCTTGCCAGTTTACGTGAATAAAGCAGCGGTAGTATGCGATTGGCTAAAATAGTCCTCTCCGCTTTATTTTATCTTAGCACAATAAATACACTGCGCGACAGCTGGGGCTGCCGTCGAGACGAAGGCGGGCGCACGTTGGCCCAGAGATCGTCCGTGCGCAGTGTTAGACTCGCGAAAATTAACACGGCGTATCTTCATCGTTCTAAAAGGCCTAGGATAGCCAGTTTCGAAAAATGATGAGCGTCACGAAAGGAAGAACTAAGCACGCAGATAACTCGGATGAGTCCGTAGCTGGTCGGCAGCCAAGCTCGGCTAACGAAGATTTCAAAAAAGAAAATACCGAAAGCACAACTAGTTCAGATGATGAAATGTTTTTGAAGCGGGTAACGCGTGCGCAAATTAAGTTGCTAGCAACCGCATCAGACTCAGAGAGCGATGGCATCAGAACCCGTGGTGCAAGCAAAGGAAAAGTCGAGTCGACCTCTGCATTAATGTATAGCAATAACAAGAAGGATAAAAATAAGGCAACAAGCAAGCTGAAAGGAAAGGATCGGTGCTCGGATGAAATCGACTCGCGTGGAGACTACGTTCACGTTCAAGTTGGAGACTGCGTGATGCTGGATTCGGGAGACCCAGATGATCCATACGTTGCGCTGGTGAGCTCAGTCCAGACTAGACAGCGAAATGACCATTGTGTATCTAGTTTTATGGCCCAGTGGTACTATAAACCGTATGATGTGAAGGAAGAGGTGAAGGCCTTAATAAATGGTGGTGTCCTCGAGAACGAGGTGTTTTTGTCACCGCATAAAGACAGAAACTCGATTGAGGCTGTAATTGAGGTATGCCAGGTTGTGTCTCCCGAGGAATATTTTGGTATTCGAGACGAAATTAAGCGTGGGTTTCGCGAGAAAGGAAAAACGTACTATGTGTGCCGTTACAAGTATTATCCAAACCGAAGCAACATCAAAAAGGCGCTGGAGATTGTCGAAAATGAAGCCATTCGAAATGGATTGGGCCGCCCTAAGCCTAATATAGGCGTTAGCTATCAAGCAAGTATTCCCGCATACATTGGGCCAGTCTCCAGTGCAAGTTGCGATTATGATCATACTGTTCCGTGGAAGACACGGGAGGACCCTGCGGTACGACCACGACAGATGTGGTCACCTCTAGCCGCGAAATCGCATAGCCAGACGTTCATACAATTTCGAGACCTTGTCGATAAACTTAGGTTTGCAGTCGGAAACATTGTAAAGACATACCGACAAGATGTGAAGCCAATAGGACACCAGCGCGGAATTGTCCTTCACTACTTCCTTTCGGACTCGATTCAGATTTGTGCATCGACTGGACAAGTGCTCACGGTTTTGAAGAGTGAGTTGTGCTCGCCGCTCTCGGAAGACTTTGCGATGCAGCAACTATATCTGTCCCGATTTAATTTATCGCAAGCTGCCTACGGCTGCTCCAAGGCGATTTTTCATGCCCAACGGAAGGAGAGAATGGCTTTTCAAAATGAAGTGGAGCTGTTTGTGAAAGCGAAAGCTGCTGCTGCAGCAGCAGCAAAAGGTGAGAAAAACTGTCATGGAGACAATCGAAAGCGCAAGAAGTAGAAAACACAATCACATTTTGTTTTTTAATGGAATTACAAAGCTGGCATTTTAAAAGCAAAAATAGTTTCGAGCAGTGCCAACTCTCGTCTCTCACACATTTACAGTAGCTTTAGGTGTCTTCCTGTCATCTTCCCTGATTGCTTTCATCTGATCCAACAGGTACGCCAGATCAAAAGCCTTCTCCTTCAAATAGTGGTACCGATCGCTTGCGCTGAAGTGACCCGATGACAAATCCATTTTTAGCAGCACATCGTTCTGGTCGCTCTTCATATCACGCAACTTAGCGACCCATTTGACGGGCTCCCAATATGCCACACGTGGATCGTACAACCCACTCGTCACCAAAATGTTTGGGTACGCTTGCTTATTCACATTTTCATATGGCGAGTAACTGAGCATGTATTCGAAGTAAGCTCGCTCGTTTGGATTTCCCCATTCCTCCCATTCTCCAGTCGTCAGCGGAATCGAGGCGTCGCTCATGGTGTTCATCACATCCACAAAAGGCACCCCAGCGATAGCAGCCGTGAAAAGGTCTGGGCGCATGTTCAACACTGCGCCCATAAGTAGTCCACCAGCGCTTCGGCCTTCACACGTCATCTTGCTGGGACTCGTATACCCAGTGTTTATTAAATGCTCAGCGCAGCTGATAAAATCTGTAAAAGTGTTGATCTTCTTTTTGTACTTCGCATCCTCGTACCACGTTCGGCCCATCTCTCCACCACCACGGATATGTGCAATTGCGTAAATTACACCTCGATCCAGCAAGGGCAAGATCGAGGAGACAAAGCTTGGGTCAATTGAAATTTCATAGGAGCCGTAACCGTATAAATGCAGTGGCTGGCGATCTTGCGAGCGCATATCGGAACGGTACACAAGTGAGATAGGCACCATTTTTCCGTCGCTTGCTTCCGCTTCCAAGCGCTCAGTTTTGTAAAGGGAATGGTCATAATTGGGAACAGGCTTCTCTTTTAATAGCTTGGATTCGCGGGTGTTGGTATCGTAGTCAAAAGTTGTCCAGGGGGTAGTCATCGAAGAGTAATTGAATCGATACTTGTCGGTGTCAAAGTCACGATTAATAGAGCTGGAAACAGTGTAGCTTGACTCCTTGAAAGTGATCTGTTGGCGAGAATGCTTATCACCCACCTCCCGATTAATGATCCAGAGTTGAGAGTAGCCGCCCTGGCGACCTTCCATGACCATAAAATCCTTGAAACAGTCAATACTGTCTACTTTAACGCTTTTATCGTACGGAAACACGTCAACCCATTGTTCAGGCGATGGTGATGTCACGGGCGCCCTCATCAACTTAAAGTTTGTAGCGTTGTCCTTGTTCGTCACAATGTAAAAACTGTCCGCAAAATGATCCACTTCATAAATCAATCCCTTTTGCCGGTGAGCAATCAGCTGTGGTGGCTTTGAAGGATGGTCTAAGTCGATAAAAGACACTTCGCTAGTTTCGCTGCTAGAGGAAAGCAAAAACATGTATTTGCCACTACGAGATTTCTGGAAGTAGGCACTGTAAATTTCATCGTCTTCTGTATACAGCAGTTCGTTTGCATCTGTGCTTCCCACATTGTGGCGCCAAAGTTTATTTTGTCGGTGAGCTTCGTCCTGTGTGGCATAGTAAATTACGAAGGCGTTCTTCCCCCAGCGCAAACTAGAAATATTTTTAATACAGTCAGCCAGCAACTCTCCCGTCTTAAGGTCCTTTACATAGCCAGTATACGTTTCGTAGCCACAAAAGTCAACCATATAAGCCAGATAGCGATGATCGGGACTTGGGCAGACATTGGTCACCTGACAGTAACTGTGGCCTTTGGCAATTTCATTTTCATCCAGCAGCAACTCTTCCGGAGCATTCTCAATTTTTAACTTGCGACAGTGGTAAACATAGCTACTACCCTTCACTGTTCGATTATAATACAAGTAGTTGCCGTGCGGGTGTGGATAATCCTCGTCCGTCTCCTGCACGTGTGACAGCAACTCGTTGTAGATGTTGCTACGCACATTCGCAAGGTGTTGCGTCTTAATAGCTGTATACTCATTCTCTTTACGCAGATGTTCAATCACCTCTTTATTCTTGCGATCGTCATCTCGAACGTAAAAATACGGGTCTTCTAAGTACAAGATAGGCTTCATCGGGTTCAAGCCTCGATTTTGGCCCGTGACCGCACCAAATGGGACCATCTTGGACCGTTTCTCGAGAATAGGAGGAAGCACGCGCCGGGATAGATTTGAGTATGCTGCACGGCGAAGCCGCACCATAGACAGCACTGTGGCTGTGCCAATACCGATGGCAAGATTCCAGCTCAAACGACTCATTATCTGTTTGCTGATATTTGTTTTGGGCTCTTGGATCTTAAGTCCCTTTGACCTGTTTAAGTACTTGATCAAATTTGAAAGTTAGCTGCTGACCCAACCAACATTTCGATAAAATGCACTTTAATTATTCGCAAAACGAACATTAAAATTAGCATTTCAGATATATTTTGGCAAATCAAAACGCTTGTCGATCACCTCTTTAAGAAAACTTGTGCATTTTTTGCTTCGTTTCTTTTCTTCATATAGTCAAAGTCGATAGCTTTTATGTCAGGACGCGATAGCTCTTAGGACGCGATAGCTCTTAGACGCGATAGCTCTATCTCAGAAAGTTATAACTTTTATCAGGCATGACAATGACTTTGCCCTTTACAAGCTCTTTGTGATACATGGATTTGCTACTCAGTTATGGTGTCCATGGATCCATTCATTCCTCAAGTCTCCCGTCTATTATTTAAAAGAAGGACTTATGTCGATTTGGCAGACGTGTGTGTGCCAGGAAACTCCGTTATGCGCGTGGCCTAATACTTACGCTATTAATGTTATGCAAGCTGTTAAAAATTCAAGCGATGCCACTTCCTTGCGCCAGATCTGCCTACGCGCGAGGACAAATGATTCCATAATTTTGGTAGGTGTTTGTTTTGTACTTGTGGACATGCTTTTGAATCGAGTTTAGCGGTGGTGGCGTTTTCAAGGTTGCTGGCTACGCCATAGCCTTCAATGTCGGCGGATCGCTAGGTTCTTGTTGAAGACAGCGTCCTAGGTACAAATGAGATGAGTAACTTTGCAGTAGTAGCAAGGCAAACATTTGCATGGTAGCGGCAAGATGAGTTTGGGATGCTCAAAGTGATATAAAGCAAAGTAGAAGATTAAGTACATGGCAGACGAGTTCTACGGACGAGTTTATTGTTTTAGCAACGTTTAGCGAAAGATATTTAGGCGTCGAGCATATACATTTTGTTTCAGGGTTATTAAGGTGTTGGCCCGTATATATTTACAATAATTGTTGATTCCGATTGTCCAATGCACCATGCGTCTCTCTGCTAGAAGTCGTGCCGCCTTGCGCTCAATCGATTGCATTAAATCGCTGCAGAAAGCTCTAGGCGACTAAAAGAGAAGCCATATTGACACCATTGAAATCTCGTCATGGTTTTTCTGAGTTTTTCACATGTCTGTGTCGCTACTTTGAACGCAAACGTCGGACGAGAAAATGTGGCTGTTGAAAACGATGCTACGCTGTAATGTATAGAAGCGAATGGATTTGTCGATATATGGTGCTTTTATTACAGAATACCTACCGTTAGAGGTAGTTAAGATTATTATTTTACCTTTGGTCTTTTAAAAAGTGAGCCATTCTGGAAAACTCCTTAGCAACACGTTAGTTGGCAAATGGATGCGTGGGGAAGTCATAATGTAGCGGCAAGCGAGCAGCCATCAGAAGAGGAAGAGGAATGGGATATGCCTATGACTGGCAAGGATGCGCTAATCGTCCTGCTGGATATTCGCAAGAATATGTTCTCCCCCTATCCAAACGCGTCTAAGGATGCTCCTTCCACATGGTTCCATGCTGTCGTGGAGCTGGTGATTAAGCTTCTCAAGACGAAAGTCGTTGCAAGCGACAACTCATTGCTAAGCCTCATCTTTTTTGGGACGGTAAACTTGTGATCATGAGCTGATCAAAGTGCCAGTTTGTCTTCTCACTGATTGTCTGACTCAGAACAAACGTGGGGAAGCAGGTACACTAGAGCAAGTGTACGAGTTTCAACCGCTGGGATATCCCTCAGCGCAAAGGATCAAGGAACTACAGGTTGTATTGATTACTTCCACCGTTGCTGTTCCCGCCTTGCGAGGAGCTTATAAACCTCATTTTTGTTGCTTTTTATGTGCTAGGCTCTACTGGAGTCCGACATGCAGTCAGCTTTTGAGTCCATGGAGAACTTCGACAACCTTTTGTTTAGTAACGCTCTATGGCAATGCGGTATCTCTTTTTCCAACGCAAAGTATGCCGTGCACCTAATACTGCCGCTACGGAAAAGTCAACGACGACCTTTTGTCTAACGAACTACACTGTTCTGATGATAGTTTGAAGAAGAAGGATTTGCAGCGCATTTGGATATTTACTAATGATGACAGCCCAAAGGGAATTGACACCAAAGAAGCAGGCCGGATTCGAAAGCAAATTCAGGTATTTATCGTGGCATTATTGGGTGTGCGTCATGGTGGCCCTGAATTGGTTAATTGTTTGTTTCGAGGCAGAACCACACCGAATTAAAACGCACATTAAATCTCTTTTATATTACTCCGCCTGGAAAGGAGAGCTTTGACCTGTCAACGTTCTATGCGTGCAGCTTTAAAGACTTTTTAGCTGAAGAAGATGAGGAAGCTGTTGAAAATGAAACATCGTTTCAGTCTGCTTTTCCTGTAGGTTCACTGGATGATTTAGTGGATGGATCACTGCGCAAGCGCTTTCGCAAGCGCAGGCTTACAACGTTTCCTCTACATATTACAAAAAGCGTGTCACTTAGTGTGGAGTTGTACGCGCTGGTAGTTGTTCAGCGCAAGAACACTCCGGTGGCTCTCGAAGCGAGCACAAACAATCCGCTAAAATCTGAGACAAAATGGCTTTGCGAAGATACAGGGTCATACCTTACACCCGATCAGATTAAAAGGTACATCGATTATGGTGGCAAGCGAGTGTACTTCACACGGGATGACATTGTAGAGATAAAGCATTATGACGCTCCAGGGCTCCAGTTGATATGCTTCAAGCCGTTAAGTGCTCTTAGATGGAATGAGAATATTCGCTCGCCGTATTTTGTGTATCCCTCAAATAGCTACATCGAAGGAAGCTCCACTGCTTTCATGTCAATCGTCAATTCAATGATGAAAAAACAAAAGTTTGCTTTGGCGAGGTTGATTGCGCGAAAGACTAGCGAGCCTCGACTTGTGGCGTTAGTTGCTCAGAAAGAAGCTAACGACAAGATGGGTCAGGTGCAGCCGTCAGGATTCAACGTTATTTTCTTACCGTATCTGGATGATATTCGTGACATTCCAGTTCCGGACGTTGGAAGTGGTTAGTCTCATGGATCTCCATTGTTGCTTATTGCTGTTGTTCACTGCGTGTATGTTGCAGTCGCCCAGGAGAAAATAGACGCAGCAAAGTACTTGATTTCAATGTTAAAGCTGACAGAAGCTCCAAGTTTTGAGAATCCAGGTGCAATGCATGCGATTAGGAGGTGTTGTAGCAGATGCTGAGCTGAATTTATTTGTTATTACAGAACTGCAAAAGCATTACGCTGCGATTCAAGCTCTTGCCCTCGACGAGGAAGTACTGGAATTTAACGAGCAGAAAGACACCACTCTTCCCGATGCGGAGGGGTTTGGCCAAGACGAAGTTAAGGTGAGGCTCAAGCGAGGACTGTTGTGGCGGTGCATCAGGCTTACAGGGTTTCTTTCTAGGATGCAATTGCCAATTTCCGAAAAATATGCGGTGGCGAATTACTCGACGCATCAACGAATGCGAAGCGAAAGGTTATCGCCTCACTTTAAACTGTTTGCTTACCTGTGTCACTCATTTAATAGTTTTGTGTTGTGTCTTCTGCAGTCTCCCGCTTTGGGACGGCGCAAAGCGACAACGAAAAAGTTGGTAAAATGTAACTTGGGCAAACCGGAGGCGGAGGAGACGTTTGACAAAGAGGAGTGGGCTGATCTTGTAGCTTCCGACATGATACAGAAGAAAACTGTCATTCAGTTGAAGGCGTTTCTTCACGCTCATAACCTCGCAGCCGTGGGACGGAAGGCCGATCTTATCAATGCAGTCAAGTCCTTTGTCGAGTTGTAGCCTTATCACACGTCGCATGAATATCCGAAATGAGAGTTTTTTAACCAATCAATGAAAACTTTAAAGTTCGCAATAAGCCCCAAGTGTGTGAGAACGAGAAGAGCAAAGTCGACGACAGTCAATCACAGGTATGAACTTCCTCAAGACACTTGGAGGTCTGGTTGGCTCCAGTGCCACAGGAGGTCTGCCATTCTCGATGGACACGCCTTCAATGGATGGTAATGTGGCGGCAGGAGGCGCATCCGGTGAGAGCGTCGTGTACGAGGGGCTTCCGGACTTTGTGCTGCACTCGGGCAAGAGCAAACAGGACCCAAACCACGCTGTATCAATTTTTAAGTCTCGTCAGCCATCAGGTAAGCTTACGCAAAACGCCCTGCGCCGCATAAAGACTCTGCGCCATCCCAACATTTTGGCGTATCTGGATGGTACGGAGGTGCCCAATAATGGTCCAGTGATCATCATAACAGAGCACGTCATGCCGCTGTCCGAGTTCCTCACATTGCTGCGTATGGAGTATGGAGAACACAGTGACGAGTTTTCCATGTGCGTATCCTGGGGCCTACGCAGCATTCTTATGGCCCTGCAGTTTATAAACGTCGACTGCAAACTCATTCACGGTCGCCTTGCGCCACAGAGTATCTTCGTCACGAAGGTAGACATGAATTAGTCATTGATAGCATAAATGATAGTAGAAATGGATATGATGCTGAAAATATGGCCGTATTGATAGGGTGGGGACTGGAAATTGGGTGGCTTCGAGCTGACAGCCGAGATCACTAGTGATGGCCCATCATACATTTATACAGCATTCCAACAGTATGCAGATGCCAGCTATAAATCACCTGGTACGTATCTTTTGTATTGATGTTTGGGTAGAGTGACACAATCACGACTGACATATTCATCCAGAATGCAAACGCTCCGACTGGAAGGCGGTGGCGTTGGGACCGCCCTTTGGCATGGACATATGGGCATTTGCTTGTCTTATGTACTACGTTTTTAATGATGGTCAATTTCGACCCAGCGACATTTCGACGGCCGCACATATTCCGCCACCAATTCGATCTTATTTCCGCAAAGCTATCGACGACAATCCTGCTCGCCGACCAAGTCCAGAAAAGATTTTAAAGTGCAGCTACTTTTATACACCCTTTATTAAACGGATGGATTTCATAGAGAATCTTGCTGTCAAAGAATCTGACGAGAAGGTAGCCTTTTACAAAGAGCTGTGCGCTAACTTGGAAACGCTGCCGCGCTGCTTTGGTGTGCACAAAATTTTACCAGCTCTGAAACAGGTGGTCGAGTTTGGTGCAGCACCTGGTTTGAAGAATGGTCTTGTAAAGCTGGACCCTTCGGCTAGTCATATGCTTCCGGCTATGGTACAGCTTGGGAGCTCGTTAACTGCGGAAGAATTCAAAACTGATGTGCTTCCGGTCATCGTCAAGTTGTTCAGTTGCAATGATCGTGCTGTTCGCGTGCAGCTATTGCAAATGATGGAGAAATTTACGGTCCACTTTGACGCAAAGCTTGTGAACAGTGTGGTTGTGTTCGACAACTTATGCAGTGGCTTTACGGATGCGGCACCTGTGTTGCGTGAACTCACTGTAAAGTCGATGCTACACATCGCGGATAAGCTGTCGGAGACCAACCTTAACAACCGTGTCATGAAGTACTTTGCGAAACTCCAGGTGTGTCGGGCACATTTGCTTGAGACACAATTTACTCAGTCTAACTCTGTTACAATGGTAATGCAGTCTGATCCGGAACCAGCTATTCGAACAAACACCACGATCTGTTTAGGAAAAATTGCCAGCAAATTAAATGATACGACAAGACCAAAGGTGCTGTTTCCAGCATTTGCAAAAGCACTCAGAGATCCATTTCCTCATGCACGTCTCGCTGGGCTTCGCTCAATAACTGCATGCCAAGTAAGTCACCCAGCACCAATAGTTAAATCACACAAGGCTATTAGCCTTTTTCTTACGATTAGGATTGTACTGAGCAGGCATACTTTACACCGCAAAGCATGGCGAACAACATTGTCCCAGCAATTTCTCCTCTTCTTCTTGACGTATCCAGTACCGTCCGAGACCAAGCAAAACTCTCGCTTGACAGTTGTATGAAGAAAATAATCGATGAAGCTGCAAACATGAAAGTTCGGGAGGAGCTTGACGCAAAAGAATCTGAATTGAAGCGCATTTCAGGCGAAGCCGACCATGTTGGCGATGTTGTGGCAGCTAGGACTTTTTCATCTTCAAATGGTGGTTATAGCTCAAGCGGATATGCATCTTCCCTAACTGCTTGGGCTTCCTCTGCTGTTGCGACGAATGTTAGTAGGCTGGTAAATTCAGGTGGTTTGTCGTCTGCGTCGCAATCATTAGCTGCAGCTTCTTCTCCGCGTTCATCTTCCGTCTCAGACAGCACGATCCGAAACAATACCCTTGGCTCTTCCGCTATATCACCGTTGAAACACATGAGCTTTAATGCGTTTTCAGCGGATGACGTGGCGGCTGAAAATGGTTGGGGTGATGACGACGACTTGGATGGCTTGGATAGCCCTAAGCGTACAAGTTCTGCTTTTGGCTCGTCGTTATCGGTAAAAAATGGGGCGTCATCATCATTGACGTCCCCAGCGGCATCTGTGTTGTCCGAGTCGTTGTCTTTTTCGACTTCAACAGTCAAGCTAAACGCATCTCGCAACCTGGGACCGAATTTAACCTCGTTGGCAGTACAGACAAAGCTTGTAAGCTCTGCCGCTGCGACGAGTATTGCTGACAGCGGTTGGAGTAAAGATAACTGGGGTGCTGTCGATGACCTGGACTGTGCGAAAGCGAGCAGGCTTAGCGTGGGATCCCGAAACGATAACAGTAGATCAAGTGCGTTTTCGCCTTTGATCATCACTGGAACAGCGCCAACTTCGTCTGCCGGGTTGTCTTCAGGGCGAAAGACGGCAAGTGAACGTCGCGCAGAGGCTCAACCGAAGAGCAAACTGAAGGTGGAATCTTTGGGTGCAATGAAGCTGGATTCTACGACCAAGACGAAAGTGGATGACTGGAACTGGGATTTCTAGACGGCAATTGCGAAGCCGCATTACCAACGAAGGTGCTGAACTGAATACGAGTGCATTGTGTGATTTTACCTAAATGCTGTTGCTTTTCCGTTCTCGCTTTTCTTTCATGCGTTAGGTTCGCTATGGCCATGCTGTAAAGCTTACTTAAACCTGCTTTGATTTTTCGGTGCTCGCTTCCACCGACTTGATCTTGAAAAGGAAGATATTGAGAAAGTCACAGATGTCTTTGATTACACCAGACACAAAGTGCAGGTAAACGACCACGATGAATACCATATACAGTGACGATGCCACAATGGTTGGAACAAGCGGTTTCGACAAAATTCCCAATGCAGGTCCGTAGGCGTTAAAGATAACGAAGCTGAATGGGATAATAACACGCAGCTGAGGAGAGAACGGAATCTTGCACATGTGGCTCATGATCATTCGCGTCTACATCCAAACACACGAAATAATAAAAAATTAGGCAACGGAAGGCAATAATAACAGTGAGCTACGGACCGATAAAAACACATAGCCAATGCCTATAGAAAACAAGAGCAAGACTGGGTAATGCTCGTAGTTTTTTGCGTCAGGGCCACAAATCCAAAGGGAGCCCAAAACCAACAGAATGCCAAGAGGGACTAGTTGGACGAGAGCAACTGGCTTCGATATGTGCTTGTTGCCCAACTCGTCACGCGGAATTGCATTAGGAGCCGCCTGCAGCACTTTGGAGATATTGCCGTATGCTAGCAAGACGTTGCTAGCTACAAGTGCACCAAGCAAGACGTCCGTCATAGTCACGGAGAATATCGGCAGCTTTGTCGTCCAAAAGCCTGCTCCAAACAAAGCCGCAACCAAGTGAACTGCCACCAACACCAACTGCCCTTCAGTGACGCCAAAGAAGCCATTACCACAGCTCATTACGCCCGTGTGGTACTCCTCCCATTGCGCCAGGTAGAATGTGATAGACACCGATGACAGCGCAATGTACGTAAACAAGCCGGCGCCAAGTTGGCACGTGGAAGCAGCACTCAAGACGTTAAATAACGTACACAATGCATCGCAGCCATGGTCAAACAGTTGGCCAAGCGGGGATGACGCGCCCGTGCGACGGGCTTGTTTGCCGTCCAGCGCATCCATCGTCTGGTAGAAGAACAATCCTAAAGCCGACAGGATGTAGACCTAAACAAGTTACAGAGAGAACGTCAGCAGTTGGTACGTGTCTTTTTAATTAGAAAACAGCTACAAAGGCAGCGCACCCAAGTAGGGCAAATCTCCGAGAAATGCGGTGCGTAGTACAATTGCACTACTGTAGTAAACATCATGACTCCCGCACCAATCATTGTCACAAGGTTAGGTGCCATCCAAATAGGCAGAAACTGCACTGAATAAGTCCAAAATCGATTAAGCACATTGTCCAAGTACGTATACGATCCCCTGCAATAACAACAGCAATACAATTCCTCAAGAATCAACCATTTCAATGTAAATGATATAGACATCATGTTGATTGTTCCTTTCTTCCTTCTTTTTTGTTTCAATAAAACATGACAAACTTACGCTTTGTACTTGTACGCAGCAATACCCTCCAGAGCCTTTTTTCCCAGCATTTGTAGTTAGTTCTCTACTCAAGAAATGAGATGTTGGATTTTGATGGTCGACGTCCCTATTTTGACTACTTTGTTTTACTTAGAATTCGTATAGTGGTGTTTAAATGCCTTTTATTAGCTACAGACTGTCCTTTAATTCGGATTGAATAAGGACTCGACGAATTCCATCCCCAAGCTCCGTAAGACACTCGTTCGTCCGACTCGAGACGGAAAAGTACGGCGACGACCCCAATCTGCATTCAAGCAAACGTGCAGCATTGACATGCAAATAAATGAACACTGAAAAATCAAAGTAAGCCGTTACAACCATGTGTACCTCTTTTTCAGTGAAGCTAAATCGCTCGACGGCTGGTCAATTTTCGAAATGATGTCGATCCATTTATGCTGAGGACGAGCTGCCATAACGCGGTGTCGAAGTTCGTTTCGAAGCAGGATCTGGTCGACTGTTGATGCATTGGAGGAGCTAGATGGATCAAATACAAAGCCGATGGACTGTAGCATGGGAAGCACAAGAAAATGTCAAACATGTGACAAGAATGGCGTCTGTAGCTAATGAACAGTGAACGAACAGCTTGCGTCTTTTCCACCATGGCAATTGCGAGCTTCTCGATAGCGTTTCGTCGTTCGTCTGGTCGAAAAATTAATCCGGGGGTGTCGGCAATCTATAACATGTAATGGCGGGTCAATAATCGCACTATATGGGGAACTAGATCGACGTGTGATAAATAATCATCCCCACCTGGTACGAAATACCTTCAACGAAGATGTGACCCATTGTTATACCGCGTGTGGTAAACGGATAATTTGCCACCTGGACAATAGAATGGCTGGAAAATATTAGTAGTGCAATGGTAATTATTTATTCAGCCTCACCAGGTACCTCTGGAGAAGCTGTCGATAAAGCTCGCACCAATGAAGACTTTCCTGTTAATTGAGACCGCAAGTTTAGAGATGAAATTTAGAATCAAAGAAACACATTCATCGACTACCGTACCAACGTTCGGGGCTCCAACGAAAGAAAAAATGGGCTTGTCGAGGTCCACATGAGGAAGGCCGCGAAGAATCTGAAGGTGTTGTAATAATCGTTAGCCAAAGCGGTTGGCTTAATGCACCACTTGTAGCTTGCACTCACCTTCGCCATGTTTGCAGCCTCCTGCAGTGTCTCTGCATTGCTATCTACAATATTTTTAAGCTCCTGTAACAATCAAATGACTCATTAGACACCATCAACCAGTCAAAACCAGGCTTAAAATTAAAATCTTCACCTCAATGCACTGCAATCCACAGTCCGCCGCCTCTTGCTTGGTGCGCAACAGCTGACACTTGCGCTCATACAGCTTGCCCGTGTTATGCAGCACCGCATACACTCTCCGGAGCAATTGGACGTGCTTTTCATATGTTCCTTTGCCCAGTGTAAGCATCACCACTTCCTGAAAGTTACAACAAGAAGATTGTAAGGGTTCTACACCGCTCGTACTTGGTCGAATGAAATTCACACCCGTTCAAATGGATGCATCCGCTGTAACGGTGGAAATCTCAAAGATGTCTGTCGCGTGACACTAGAAAGTTTGCTTAGCTGCATGTTAATAAGACGCGACGTTTGATTTTTGGCACGCTTGACAGGGTCCACAATACGGTGACTTTCACGCATAGGAGCGCGCCAGAACTTCATCTCCTGAATTTCCGATGCCGTGCGTACATACGGCAATCTACGCCATCATAACGATTATGATTAGGCCTGTCAAAAAGTGGTGATTGGACGACATTACATACCTTTGTAGTGCACCATGTGCCACAGCCATCGAAGCACGGTGCGTCATGTTTTATGTTTAATCGCTCAAATTTGCTGCATGTGTACTTTGGCCGATGCAATACCGGTACGACAAGCGCATAGCGACGTCATTGGTATACACATCCTACCATACCGGTATTCCAACGAAAGCAATACCAAATGGTGCTTAAGTAATACTGACTCATACAACTACTTCATGTTAACCCTCCTTAACTTTTTAAGTATATCGTCGCAAATCGTTCACATAACGAATGCTGAGATATATCTTAGCTTCTGATTCACACTCTTGAAGAGGTATACCAACCGGTGAAGGCGGAAAAGTCCCATCAAGACAAATGGAGCTTCCACTAAGCACGCTCACCTCTTGGTCATAGTCTGCAAATTCTTCACTCTCGTCCTCGGACAAAATGCTGCTGCCTAACTTAACTGGACGGTGAATCCATTGGCGCCATGACTCGTCACGCACCTCTACCGGGTGTTCATTAGCTGCAGCCAATTTGCTAATGATACTTCCGCGGACACGTTTACGGCGCTTGAGCTGCATTTTGGCATTCGTATCGGACAAAATCTTCGCGGGAACTGACTCGAAATCACGGTAAATGTCTTCCAAGGAAAAACGAACAAACCCAAGACGTTTCTTGGGCAGTGGCTTCCGATTATGATAGACATTAACCTCGATAAACGTGTCAGGAGATGATACACTGATCAGCCACGACTGATCATACTTTGGTGTGTCGGTGTGTCTCGCTGCGGATGATTTGTACTCACCAAGTTCCCTCGCAGGAAATCCGTCCGTCTGACAATAAACGCGAACGATCACCTTTGGGTTTACATTCGGAGGTAATCCATCAACATACAAACAGTGCACCTCCACTTCGGTAATCACGTTTGAGTCGCAAAGCTGCTTTAGTGACCCTGTCGTAAGGTTTCTCGCCGGTCGGCGGGTGCCCTCAAAACGCTTTTCATCCATCAGGTGTGTGGTGTTGCTTACTGACTGTGACATCTTTTCGACGACGCCGAGTGTGCCGACAACAGGACATGCAAATAGTTGCAACGTTCCACGACCAACACCTTTTGCAAAACCCTTGACGCCTCCGCTCTTGGCACCACGGACCGGCTCCTTGACAAAACCTGTTACACCATACGCAATGCTTTTACCAAGCACCTTACCACTCTGCACAAAACCTTCAGGAATATGACGCGGTTCGTTCGAGTCTTCCTGGCTCTCAAAATACGTCACTTTCTTCACCACGTCACCAAGGCCATTTGACACTTTTCCGATGGACCTCAAGGGCACACCAAACACAGTTTGAACAACAGTCAGGGCGCTTTGGCCCTTTCGACGGCTTCTTCCCTTTACATCGCGCTTAAGTTGACGTGCTGCTAACGCAAAACCATCTACAATATCGGTGGCAAGGCCAACGGGATCACCTAGCATTTCCACACTACCGACAATTTTGTACCACTGGCCAATTACCGAGTGGACAATCTTCAGTACAACATCATACATTAAGTCGTACTCGTAAAAGAAACGATTATAGTAGACAATCTCGCCAAAGTGGAACTCGGGCGTCACGTGTGCAATTCCACCAACAATACTACCCATGGTATTGCCCAAAATTGCAGAAATGCCTTCGCCTTTGTCTTCTTGCAACGAATCAAATACCATGTCAAAGTCGAACTTACTCATGTGCCAACGCTTGAAATACATCAAGCATACCAGCGGAGACAGAGCCATTCGGAAACGGAATATTCAACACGAGCATCTCATTCTTGGCCTCAAGGCCTTGCTCTAGAATTGTAGCTTCATCACTACCCGGAATGAAGTGGAAAAAAAGGTTACCTAGCCCAAGCAAGTACTCCAAATTTAGTTTGACCTCCATCGACCCAAGCTGCAAGTCGAAATCATTGACAATAACTATGCCACTTTGCGGAAGAGTTTCACAGCTCAGCACAAAGAACGGTCTCTCGCCGTCTCCTGGAAGCCAACCCTCACGCTTGTCGCTATTAAAGCCACTATCTTTAGGAGCAAACACGACGGGGTATGAGGAATGCGGCGTCATATCGTCAAATTGAACATGGTGGACCAGCAAAGAAACACGACGCGACCCTGCCTTCGAATCGAATCGAATCGTTTCCATGGTAATGTTCAAAATCTCCTGCGGTTGCTCATCCACCAGCGTAATTCCAACTCCGTGCATTGAAACATCAATCACCGTATTGCTAAGCCAATCACTTGCAGTCGCACGCTGTCGAGCATCGGAAAACACTCTAACGTCACCCATAGCAAACACTCGGGTAGAGCGATCAATGTATACCTCACCGTACATGCCCTGGGGTGTATTCTTTATCTCACAAATCTGCATAAAGTCAACCACGGCCGGTACCTTCCAATGCGTTGCTGTTACACGTAGCTTCAGTTCTCCCTTCGGATCCTCCCACGCAAACGAGTGACTCTCTAGAGGGCCCAAAACAATTTCTTCAGCAGTCTTCACACCATGCTGCACATACCGGAACGAGTAACGCGTTGAGCGATTCTCAATACGATAATTCGGGTCGGCAGAAATATCACTAACGGTTACGAAAATAGTCTCAGCCACATCGTGTACAGTCACGCTGCAGACAGGTCCATCGCCCAAGCTTCCACGTGTCCAAAATTCGGTCTCCTCCGACATATTAGATGCCACGTTCGGATCACTGAATTTCGAAGATAACTTAAACAGTGGTATGTTTGGACTCCACTCACCCACATTTTGGTGGTTTGTAGCCATATCACGAACACGAAAACTTGCAACGTACTTTTCGGGGCCTCTCAGGCGATACACCACAGCTGCCTCACCTTCTCTTAAAGTGCAATTGGATTGGTTTGAACGAACTCTTCCACGATTTCCTTTTTTGTCAAGTAATATCGGAGTAATTTGCAGTGGCCGCGGAACGTGATTCAAAAACACAAATCGTGGCGAGATCACAAAAATTTTCGACCGATAAAATTGTGCTGGTGCAGCGCGAATTTCAAATGCGAGCACAAAGGAGTAGTTGCCGGCTCCACTTGGCCGCAGCTCTCCTTTCTTGCTTACGGTTGTCATATCTTCGGGATCTGACCACCCTAACTTGTTAAAATTCGGCAAGTATTTCTTTGTCTTTTCGGATACCAAAGATTGACCTTCGTAGATGCATGGTGTTTCTTGAAAAGGACGGAAGCTAACAAAGGCTTTGTCTAACGGAGCAGTAGCTAACAGAGGAATTTCCTTAGCATCGGAGAAAAATGCACGATGCTCCTCTATAGTGCAAACGCGGCCACGAGACAACTTCAAACGTAGGTCCAAACCACTTCGGTTTTGAATCCAGAATGGCGAGTAGAAATATACTGTGCGAGCAGCATTTTCCTCCCACTGAGGATGGAAAACAAAACTTGGACCGTCATCAAATATCAACTCGAACGCGTCTGCGTTAAATATTTCGCGTGATTCCTCAAGGTGCACTAAGAACGGCGCACTCCATGTTGGAGAACGGCTGATCTCACTTGCGCAAAGGCGCATAATCATCAAGGCGGGTTTGCTCAAGTTTAAACCAAAAACCTGAATAGCCTTGCCACTTTCAACGTACATTTTGCGGCTATTCACTTCGTCAACAAAATTGAAGTAGTCGATCTGGCCAAGTGTTTTCACCGCTCGACACTTCTTGTCCTTTCCAATGTTGTCTACAATACGGAACTCTCCTTTACTGGTAAGGGTGTCAGGTGGACAATCATCTGGCTGTACAATTGCGTACTCGACACCGCACGGAAGAACATTGTGGAGCACCAACTGCGGCTGAATGGTCAATGACCAGGTACCGAGCTTTAGTATCGTTGGCAGAAATCTTCTCCACCACAACCGTAGGCTGATTATCGATGCAACTTGATGATGGATATACAACTTCTTTACCAGTAGGTGCGATCTCGTTCGTGTCGGGGAGAACAGCATTCGTCCCCAGCTTCTCTTTCACGCGCTTCGCGGAGGAGACCGAGTTGTTGTCTTCTCCACGTAGGGCTTTCTGGGCCTCGAACTGCTCAAATCTTGTCATCCGCTTGTACAACCGCTGCTCTGCCACAGAAAGATCAAGCGTGTTGCTCCACTCACATTCACCAATTTGACGAATAGCGAAAGAACCAACGCCAACTAAATCTAAAGGAATACTGATTGTGCCGAGAGCCGGTAACACAAAGAAATGCTCATCCCCATCGTGCTGTTCTGGGTTGCAACGTGCAATCTGTCCTAGCTCGTCATACATTAACAGTTCCGTATCCTTAGCAGTTCCATTGCATACATATTCAGCTCCAGACACCTTCACTTGCAGGCCGTAAAACCCATCAACAGAGACATAAAAGGCAGCCAAAACAGGAAGGTACTGTCGTACACAGATACCGTAGTAAGAATCAATCCACTCGTAGTTTGGGTCCATCTCCTTTACGCGGTGCAAGCAAGCATACGCTTTCTGTAGCTCTTGGCGCGTCGAGCCCTCTACCTTTGTCAGCAAAGCCACACCGAGGTCATAAAGCTCTGCTATTGACGTCTCCGATTCTACATCTTCAAAAAGAGGAGTCAGCTCGTACACTTGAGTTTGGCCCAATGCCATCAATCGCACGCCATGAATCGTTCGGAATCCTTCAATCTCCACTGAAATGTAGCGATCAACCGTAGCCCGCGACTTGACAATCGCAATTTTAAATTCTTCCCAAGACACTTGTCCAGACTTGTCCGTGTCTGCCAGTGCGATAAAGTCTTCCACAGCCCGGGAAAAGTCAGCTTCATTCTCCAAAATGCTACTACTACGCGTGTATATCGATGATCTCCTAGTGCCTGATGTCTTACGCTGCTTGTCTTCCTCTTTATACACGCTCCGGAGTACCACGCGGACTTCTTCAGTGTCCAACTCGCCACTTCCATCCTGATCAGCATCTCGAAAGGCTTGTCTTAGCTGTTTTTCCTTCAACCTTTGCTGCTCAAACTCTTCAGCTTCACTATCATCCAGTAGCATACAAGGATGCGCTTCACCGGTAGAGACAGCAGTGACTGCTGTCACAATTTCTTCCCGCACATGCTCCGTCGATCGCTTTTTTGCGACCATATAGTACTTAATGTTTACGCCGCTTTCATTCAGCATCCAAAAAATTCCACCAAGCTCTTTGATATGAGGACGCACAGCTTCCGCACGATGCTCAACATGAGAGAATGCGGCCATGTTCGAATTCACCGTTTCCATAAGCGCTGATGTGACGTTTAGCTGAAAATAGCGATCTGAAGAGTAAATCACTTCCAACGGACAGTCAGGTTCTTTCTTAATATCAAGAATGCCTTGGTAAAACTCGATAAAAGGCTCGGTCTGATGTGACTTTGTGTTGTAGTAGTTGCCATATACGTCGAAGCTGACTTTTACGACGCCAAAATTGTTTGTGGACCGCTTCTGTGCTTTGACGTCAGTAGCAGCCAGCGGATTGCCCTCCCAAACCAAAAAGTTTGCATAAATCCCCAATTCCTCCAACGACGTCTCAACCGCCGGAAGTCCCATCGGTAGCATTTCATCAATCAAACGCAAATAAAAACCGCCAAAAGAAGTCGAAACAACCGTCTGTATAAAAAGCTGCTGCTCAACTACAGTACCAGGGTTAATAGAAGCTGGATCAATAGCATCATCCTTTAGACTGGACAACAACTGATCGATTACATCTCCACGACCGCCCATCTCCATCTCTTTGCTCAGTAACCAGCAACTCTGCTCCCCAGGTTTTACCAGTGACGGGTTCACAATTCGATTCCACGCTTCCTGAGCATATTCATAGTTCTTGAACGTTCGGACCATTTTTTTCTGAACGACGACCGGTTTTTGACCATTCAAAGACGTGTTTGATGCGCCGACTTGTTCTTCATATCGCTCCCAAAAAGAAGCAAGCGCTGCTGCATTGGCCAAAGTGTTGGCACTTTCACCAGTGATATACGGCACCTTGTTTCGCTGCATGTCTGGGTCAACATATTCCTGGCCAGTAATGGCCACTACATGGCAATGCAGCCGCGTGTATAAGGTCGTGTCTCGACTAAGCGCTCTCTCAAATTCTTCCAATGAGATATCACCGCTTCCATCACTGTCCACAATGCTAACAAAGTCTGCCACAGTCGCATCGAACTCCGCCTTAGTCAAATTGTCGCAGTCTGTCGCACTTCGTAAAAGGTCCCGAATTTCTGCTACGTCCAGCGAGCCTCCACCATCTAAGTCACGCAGCTTGAACTCAGCTTTAAGACGATCCATGTAACGCTTTTCTCCAACCTCGCGCCTCGCTTTCCTCATTCGGGCTTTGCGTTCCTCCCGCTTTTTTAAAACTTCAAGATCTTCATGCATGGATTCATTCAGTGATGCTAAGACACTGAGTAACACGCCCAAATCATTCGCAGACAAATTCATTGCAAAGTCCGACATTTGCATCGTCAGCTTACGACGTCCGCCAGCTTTTATGCGATCTTTGCGGTGAGAGGCTATCAATCGTTTTTCAACTTCTTCAACCTCGGGGTGATCAACCTCAATAATTTGTTGCGTCGCTGCAGCTCTTCGAGCAACATTCCACAAGTTTGCCGCGGACTTTCTTGTACTGTCCAATGCCCTGTTACTGGACTTTGACGACTTTCGAGGCTGATCACCTACTGAAAGTCTGTAACCCATCGAAAAATCGACACCTTCACCTTCAAGTTCCAGGATGGTCCGAACGTCTCCAATATCAAGCTCAATGCCATCATCGCGCAAGACGATTGTACAAGGGGTCAGTGCTACGTCAACCAGCTCCAACTCTACGGCTTCCGAGCGCTCTGAGCTAACGATTTGAAGCTTGGTGTCCGAAGTGAAAGCCAAGACAGGAGATTTTAATGTCTTGGAATCTCCAATGAGACAAAACTCGCAGCCCTCTAACACGATACTACAGCCAAGTGATATCCCGCCGAGAATCAAAGGTGAGTATGGCTTTGGCAAATCTTCCACGTAAAGGTGCTTCGCGGCATCTCGCTGCTCTGGAGAGTCAAAACTGTTCGACTTCTCGCATGCAATGAAACGCAGTTCTTCTTTCTCATCTTCACTACACGCGGGCAAGAATTTGTGCAAAACACACAATAGCGGATCAAACACAATTAACAACGAGAAGTGCTTGAAGGTCACTCCGACATTCATGTAGCCGTCTCCACGCTGCGTGATAGCAATTGTCATCATATGTTCCACCCCAGGATTGCGGTCCATAATCTGATGGAACGCATTAGTTCGTGCACCGCGGTTGTCCAGCAGCCCAAAGCGCATGACATCCAGCGCAATTTCGACAGCCGTGTTCTTTTTAGCAACCTTTGTCAGCTGATAGCGCAGCTCGAAACCCATCTCATGCACAAAAAATGTCATCAGCTTCTTCTCATTATCCTCAATCAGACACATATTCATTCTCGCCATTTGAAACGATAGTTTGAATACATGAAACACAGGTGGTTTCTCTCGTATCTTTTCCTTATTCACGTAGTAGTGATCAATCGGATAATCCACGAACTTGCGCAAATTTCCCCTTTCCACGTCTTCTTCATTGACATGTGGTAGCGGTGTTCCTGCATTCGGAACTTCCAAGCCCAGCGCCAGCGAGCGCAAATAAAGGAGCCGGGAAGCAAGCACTTTTCGTTCGAGTTCATCCAGTCGATCTTTTCGTTTAGAAATGACCTCTTTTTGCTTGAAACCCTCATACAACCGAAGCATAAAGCCCATCTCTTCGTCTAACTTCCACTGTTGTTTGAACAACAACATGTATTCGTTTGAATCTCCATAAGTAAGCTGCACGCAGGCAAGATCATCTTCAATGGACGCTGCCGTTTGCCAATCATAGTAATAATTAATTGGCTGAAGAAGCTTCAAGAGCATACCAGCCTGCGCGGGACGCAGCTCAACCCCAAGCTCGTGTCCGCTTGAAACAAAGATCTGCAGCTCCAGCGCGCGCATGTCTGTGCCCTTTCTCATAATGAGTGACTGGAAGATAAAGGGCATAAAAACGCCGATCTCTATGGTAAGTGGAGTGATCAAGTGGCAGACGTCCGCGCTGCTGCCAGGCTTCGAGTTCAGAAACATTTTGTAGTTTACCAGTCGCATTGTGCGCTTACGTCGGTCGTCTTTACAAGGGCCACTACGACCCATCTCAAACTGATCCAGTACAATGCCCACAGTAGCTCCTGAGTACTCGTCGCGAATCAAAAGCGAAAACGAGTTCATCACATACTTAAACGAGTCGAGCAGCTCGTCAATCCACAAGTGCCAGAAAGCAGGCTTAAGCGGTGCCTTGTTCTCATTCGTCTCAACTTTTGGCTCCTCTGTCTTGCAGATTTCCTCACGCAAACTCGCAAGGTCCTTGAGTTTCTGCACGACCGTAGCTGTCCAGGCATTCACACGCTGCAACCGCGCCTTAGCGGCTTGCTTCAATGCCTCCTTGCGGCGTGCCACGTTTTCGTCGCGGTGCCACATCCATTTCTCCGCAGCGTCAAGAGTTAATCCAAGGCGTACACCGCTAATCATCAGCTTGGAATCCAAAAACGAGCGTTGTTTTACATCTACGACAGAAGGACCACTTACAAGACGTACTAGACGCCCCCAGAGCGGTATAACAAGCACCAATTGCTGCATCTCGAGGCGTTCAAGTCCAATGGGAAGCCCCGCCAGTGCCTCCAAGTTTGGCAACATCTTCTTGTCCGCCACCATGTCACGCAATTCCAATGAACCATTACGAAAAGACCAGGTAATTGTGAACTTTGAGCCCACAATCGACACTGCATACGTGCGTAACAAGTACGTCAATAGCACGTCACCCAAGGCTGCAAAGACGGTCGTGACCACAGCCACTAGAAGCAGTAGAATGTACAGCAATGAATACATGTAAGTAGGTATAGATGGATACGTATTCAATCGGACAAATTCCTGCTCAATTGAGTCAGTTACGTCGAGTGATTGTAAGCAAACAAGTCGCTCGTTGTGTCTGTCGTAAGAATTTGCAAGTGACTAATAAATCGAGCGCGAGGTGGTTTTTGTGACGGTTGTGGAAATTTATAGAAGGTAAAATAAATAAAATAGTCAATTTATGACCAATTAGAAACGTTAACGCGTTTGCAAAGTCCATTTCCTTCTTACATTTACATCGAAAAAAAGACTCAACTCCGTCTGTGTGTCACTGAGGTCTAATCTGCCCTGAACTTGCTCTTGACTCCTTCCTTCTTTGTCAGTTATTTAAGAGTCAGTCAGTCTTACAATAACGACGAATATTAAACCACTGCGTGTAAAGTAGTAGCAATGAATAAGTTGTATGCAACGTCGTTACACAGTAATTACGCTGGGACAAGAATGTGGTACTTCCGCACGTCTATGGTCCGCTAGCGAAATGACGTGCACATTAATTCGTCTACAACTTCAACTTGTCCAGTAGCTCTTTTGATTCCATCTGACTCTTTTCTTCGCCAGTCTTCAGGTGGCCCAAATAATGCCAAGTCCATCTCCGTAACACCGTCGCATAGTTGCTGGGAAGCTACGGACGTCTCTTCAACGACAAAAATATTCAAAATAGAATTTGACAACCCCCAGATTCGAGACATGGTCACCCGAAACGAACGAACTTCAGTGTCGATTTCGTCAAGTGATGTTCGATAGATCAACGGTTTACCGACCTTGAGTAGACTTAAATGATGTTGATGGTAAGATATTTGGAAAGACAATATTCACGCCATTTGCGCACCTTGTTGGTAGGAATAGCGTTGAATAATGGAATGAAAATGCATGTGTTTAAACTTTCATAGGGTCGTGTACAAGACAGAATAGTGTTTATAAGAGAGAGTTTGTTCTGGCCGTCAACGTCGTGGTAACTTTCTTGGCTTTGAAAGGACCGCTTCTACCTGAATCGATCTAGGTCTTTCATCTTTGCAAAGAAGTGATTTCTTCTGTGACTAGTCAGTGAATGGACAAGGACAGGTGACAAATATGCTGACATTCGTTAGTGAAACGTTAATGATAATGGCACATTAACAGCAACATGATCGGATCCAGGACATCTCGACGTTTACTCAGCTGTAAGATTGAGGATAGTAACATGTACGAACAATAACAGTTGCTGGGAACAACAAGACTGTTAATCCTTTGCTCATTGGACTGTCAAGTAAAACAAGCTTGACGCAATTACGACCCTGCAGCAGCCGGAAGCGTTGGTGCAAGACTCGGGCTACTCCTCATGAGCATCGCGGACTGTGTCTGTCATGATGTAAAATTGTTTCCTCTACTGTAACCAAGTAAAATACATTGTCACCATAGCTAATCGGCACGCGCGGGCTCAAGTGCTTAGAGATCAATGAGTTTGAATTCTTCGCGGAAATGGCTAATGTCTCGCGTATCGGCCACCTTCACCAAATCAAACCGCTCCATGCATGTAAAGCAAATTCTTAAATAACTCCAAATGTGGTCTGCACGGTTATTCAAGCTCAGTGCCTGCAGATAGCACTTTGTAGCTTCCTCATAGTTTCCCAGATTAGCGTGACTGATTCCCAGATTTAGCCACCCACGGGCGTAGCGCGGCTTCAGCTCCAACGCACTGAAAATCATACACAATAGGTTAGTAGTTTTTGCAAGGTACCAGAATGTTGCTACGACCTTACAGCACATATCGTACCGATGATACGCAGGGATAGCCTCCGACGAGCGAGCCGAGTTAGCTAGCGTCGCTCCAATCTTGTTCCACAGCGCATACTCATCCGGCCGTGAGTCTGTAGCTTCCTTGAAGCTTTCAACTGCTGCGTCGTAATCTTTTGACACGTTGTACAAGACGCCAAGTACAACCTGCACGTTCGAATCACTAGGATCGTGCGCCCGAGCCTGTAGCATCAGCTGCATTACCTCGTCCATCAAAGATCCATCACTGTACTCATCCATTTGGATTTCCAGTCCGTGAAATTTTGGGTTGTGCTGCACCCACGCTTTCAGCGTTTTCAGCGCACCTTGTGGATTTAGCTCGTTTACATTGCTGACACCGAGTGCCAACAACGCACTCAGGTTGTACGGATCTTCCTCCACAGCACGCTCCAAACATGCAATAGCGCTCTTGTCCTCATCATTTTCCGCATGACACTCACCCAACATTTGCCATGCCTCACTATTATCCGCATGTTGCTGCAGCTCTGCTTCAAAAGCAAGGATTGCGTCGTCCAGGTGCCCTGATTTAAAAAACTCAATACCCCTTTGAAAATTCTCCGACAAGCCCAGAAACGGGTTATCGGCTTTGTAGGTGTAATCTTGGCTAGCTATGTTCTCCCATGCGTCTTCGAATGGGTCTGTCGTATGAGCTTCTGCAATAGCCTTTTCCCAAATCGCCTCCTAATCACAAAACAAGAAACAACATCAGGTTATATACATTGTTTTTGGTTAGTCTAGCAATGAATTTGGCACGTACTAGGTTGTCGTCATCTGCCAACGCACTATTCATGGCCTTCTCCGCTGCTGTCTCTGAGTCCCACCATGCATTATCCGATCCCGAAACGTTAGCTGAGCCCTCCGCCCAAGCTACTCCCGTTCTCAGTGGATGCGAGTGAGAATCAAACGCATTTTCCATCGCTATAGCTTCCGCGCCACCGCTCTGTTGTCCGCTCGCATCAAAGATGTCTCGATTCGAACGCAGGTCTAAGTTACCTTCTTTACACGCTCCTTCCAGTCCACTTTCCATCTTGCGCTCCACACCTACAACCTTATTCTTTTCCTCGTCGATTTGCACCTCACCCGATCCGACCTGGCTCATGAACTTGAGGAACTCACTGCTCTGCCACTTTGGGTTCGGGTTCTGACTCATAGTTCGCGCCATCTTGCTGCATACTTGTTGTGTTTCCAGATTTTTCGCAGCCACTTGTGTTGCTTGTTCCAGCCGTACATCCAATTGCTGTGTAATCGTCGGCGAAGAATAAATCATCGGCTGCTTCATCATGGGCACCGATGCCTTGGCATCTTTCCATCCCACCTCCTGTTGGGTTATACTACCAGCGGCCTGCCAGGCATTATCTAAATGGCTGGTACAAAATTCATCAGCCCACGCATCGTGTTGCATAGCTCTTGAATCCATCCTTTGTGGTGCCGTCATAGTTGGAAGCGGCATTTGGCCTTGTCGGTGCTGAAACTGTACGCGTTGGGCCTCCTCAAAGGCCTCTTCCATTGAGATCGGGTGCGCGTGCATCATTTGCTGCTGGACAACGCCAGCGCGAAATGCAGTTTCCATACGTGAAACATTGTACGCTTCCTGTTCAAAAGCTGATTGAAACTGCGCACTGTTATCCTGCGCTATCTTCGGACGCTGCATCTGCATCTGCAGGTCATTGCGGGGACCGTGCGGCGGCATGGACCCACGCACCTGACGTCCACGCGTCTGTGACTGCACCACGCTATCCAGAGCTCGTGACAGCGGATTCTGTGCTGCTACAGTGCCGTCTATGGCACAGCCTGTGCCTTGTACAATCTTGCCCAGCACGTCCATCTTACGAGTTATTTGCTTGCTCGTTCCTAATATAAAAATTTGGTTTGAGAAAGTTTTTAATTTACGTAAAAATGACAAATTAAATCCCACAAATTAAGGGGTTCAAGCAAAAAATAACGGGTGCTCTCTAAGCGTCATATTTTATTTGTCTTACCGGTATACCGATGCAACAGATATCAATAACCCCTATTTCTAACTACAGCATTATTCAAAAATTGACAGTAAGCTGGATGTAAAACTTTTTAATCACGAGTGAACAGAAACATACGGCTTTCATCCGATACACACGACGATAAGCACGAAATAATAAATGATAATAACGCGCAAATAAGTATTATCTAAGGTAAGAACAAACTCGGCGTTATCGTTGATCAAACTTCAGTGGCACGTAGACCTTTGGTGGTGACACATGAAGTGCAATCTTGTTAAGATATAAAATCATTCTTGACAGCATGTTCACCACGTCATAAGACGACATTGTGAACCTTAGCTCGGGATTTTTCGATATTAGCTAACGGCCATCGTACATGATCAAATAGCATCGGAGACCGCGATAGAAACGAATTAGGTAATAATTATGCACCTTTAGAAATGCCTCCTTATTTTAGTTATAAATTTTTTTTCAAATGTTGGTGTTTGTCAAGTTATTAAAATTAAAAATACGTTCTAAGAGGTGCGTCAAAGCTGGATTCCTGCAACGTAAGGTGTGGGACACATTAAATTAGCTGCATTTTGTTAAGCAGCATTATCGTATAAAAGTCCTTATCTGTTCATAGCTCCACCTATTTATAGTGTTAAAGTTAGTATTACGTTTGTAAACTTAATACATGTACGTTTCCTATTGCAGTTAAGTCAATAGTGAAAGTCAACAGCGCTACAGTTTCTTTTTTTGCTTTTTAGTGATTTATATTTGCGTCGTTATATCTCTAAGGCTGAAGAACGTGAGTATTGTCCACACAGATAAACTACCTGATTGTATTAAAATGATCCCCTTTTTTTAGCTTCAAGATAATATTTAAGGTTCATTTATAAAGGTACATTTTATCTGTACTTTTTATAATTGTGATGATTTGATTGCGCATTGTTCACCAAAATGGTCGGTAATAGTTAAAAAAAGGACTCTATTTGATTCCTGTTGTAGAACATTGCTCTAAGCTTCGTCTTAATGTTTCCTTAATTGCAATACGCTTCTTAATAAGTTTGCTCAACCGAACTAATTCTTTCCATGTCATTACTTATAATTCTTTCCATGTCATTACTTATAATTCTTTACCTGAACCAATTGTTACGTAATAATACCGTCTTCCCACGTCTTTATTCATTCATATAATCGAAAATTCGTACAGACGAAATAAATCAATTGCCAGGAACCCTTCCCCTCTTATTTCCAGTAGGCGTTGTGCGTATGATGAATGTCGTAGCCCATTATCGCTTTGGACAGCTACATTCGCTGTAGTGCCTTCCTCTAACCTGCCCCACGCAGCCCACCACGACGATTTTCCACTGGCCGCCGTTCATCGCAGACTGCGCATTCCTTCGCGGTGCTGTCGACTTGTCCATGGGAAGTTCGTGTTCGCGTGACAATACATCGTCCATTATACCTCGCTGGAAGCTTCAAGTAAGACACGACCAGACTGTAGATGTAGCGGTGTCGCCATCAATGCAGGAGCAAAGACAGAGGCTTGGTCTATGTTTGAACCCAAGCCCCGTCGTGCGAGACTACGCCGCCGTATCGACACAAAATAGTCAATTTAGGAAGCATATGGAAGACGAGTGCGTCGCTATACCCAAGTATAGAGCTTTTCCGGATGATCCTGCCGTCAGTTCCTTCTTTGGTGTATATGACGGTCACGGAGGAGACTTTTGTGCCAAGTACGCGGCCAAGTATTTTCACCAGAAACTTGCGGAGCTCATGCAAGTCAAGCATAGTAAAAAGAAAAAACGGTTGTCTGCGGACGAGAGCAACAGCATTCGAAGTAACACGATGTCCACCAGTAGTTTAGATAACTGTTCTGACGTAGAAGTCGACGTACTGAGCAATGTTGATATCGAAAGATGTTACGCGGAGGCTTTCTCATCACTTGACAAGGAACTAGAATACTTTGACGAATCGTCCGAAAGTGGTTCTACCGCTGTGACATGCCTCATTCGCAAGTACAATGGCCGTACGACTTTTCATATTGCTAACGTTGGCGACTCCCGTGCAATTTTCTGCTGCAATGGTCAGACGTCGCGGTTGTCTGTGGACCACAAGGCTACGAACGAGGACGAAGTGAGGCGAATTCGTGCGCTCGATGGCATCATCGTCAACAAGCGTGTGGCAGGATCCATATCTGTCACACGGGCGCTCGGCCAGGCGGATGAGAAGAAGTTTATTACCAGTGCACCGCACATTGAGTCTATAGAGATCACATCAGATGATGCCTTTCTCGTGCTAGTAAGTGACGGTGTCACTGACGTTTTCAATGACGAGGAACTGACGGATTTTGTCGCCAAACGTCTTGCTGACGGTGAGAAATCCATTACAATCGGTAAGATGTTATTAGACGAGGCGAAGGCGCAAGGATCCATGGACAACATGACAGCCGTGATTATTTGTTTCGGAGAGTAAACTGCAGGCGGCCCCTGCCAAAAGGTAGAACTAGTATCAAAGGCCGTTTGAGCCCATAATTATTTGTCGATAAATTCAAAATCGTCATTGTCGACGGACACACACACAGGAAAATCAAGCTCACAGGTCAAGACTGCGAGGCTCAACCGGATTCGGTGATGTGCGACGAAACGTGAGCACAAGTGGTTTGGGAGCAAACTGCATGACTTGGCACATCTTCTTGAAACCCAGTCGGAAAACGTCGTAATGATTGATTGTCAGTAATTGATCTCCCACGCTCACTTTGCCATACTTTTCACCGCGGCCGGCCACGCCGTACTTGTTCATATCCGTCACTACAGGATAGGCCTTGGCATTATCTGGCTTCAAGCTGATTCCAAGCGGACCATCTTCCTCTCGCCAAATAACATAGCACAGAGACCGTTCCAACCGCTCTCGATTCTGCTGCATATCTGAGTGCATGGTCGTGGACATTAGCCGTGGTCTAGTCGAATGGCTCTGTAGCTCATGTGACGCCGGTCTACGGAACCGAAGCACCGCCGGCCTTACACCACTGTCTAAGATTTGCATCACTGCATCAAATGGTGCAACGTTGCGTTTCGTGCTGCGTTCGTTGATAGATATGAGGAAATCGCCTTCACGTAGATTCCACATCCCAGGCAACGAGCTATTGCCTTCGGCTGTTTTAACACAAGGGTAGCCTGTAATATCACTTGATGCAAAGCCCACGAAGCCAAGACTAGAGCCATACCAAAGCAAAACTTCATACTGCAAATGGTTGTCATCCAGCTCCAATGGTACAGGTAGTGTGTCCACGGAAGACCCGGTTGAAGCCGTGCATTTGATTGATGTGTTGCTTGATTGTTTAAGACAATATCGGAGAAAAAGCTGAATTTTACAGGCGGCATTCTCCTTGACGAGTGCCTCAGCAAGCCACTTGTTAAAAGACGGCGGTGCTCGTGGTACATTTTTAATGCAGTTGTTCCTGTGCTGCTGCTTACAAATAGTATCTATATCGACCCCATCTGACTGACGTATATTGTTTGGTAAAGCTGCATCTACGTCATGCATTAGCATCATGTCGATGACACCTTTTCGAGTCTCTATAGCACTTAGAATCCGATTAAAAGGAAAATGACAAGTGAATTTTGAAAAACGGCAGCTTGCAATTGACTTTACGTGAGACAAAGTGAAAATATGTGAGGAGGGATGGGCTAATGAAGCGGTAACAGGCAACCTCGTGAGCGGGGGTGGCAATGAAAGTAAACCAGTTCTTTTGTCAGTCAGCAAGAGCTGGATCTATTGTATGAAGCAAATATAATTGAACCCATGTAGTTTGGGACAAAGGGGTTGTTATGTGAGACGTTATTTGCTACCATCGTCGAATTTCTCACAATCCATCACGTGGCTGCCAACCAGCAGAAACTGCAAAAGAAGAAAACGTTCGACTGCTTTTCTGCTTACGCAACGTGCCGAACAGGAAAATGCGACAGCGAATTTCTCAAATATCCGAATAGAAAAAAATGATAGATAGAAAGCTACTTTTCGGGTTAATTTCAAGCTGTATCGTCTAAACTAACCACCTTGCAGCGTCCGAAAATTGACAAATATTGATCCAAGGCAGCTAATATTTGATCCAAGGTAGCACGATGATTGCCGCCCTCGGTCATCAATAAAGATGGCGCGCAAATGAATGCGCAACTTATTCGTCTTTATAGCAAGTTTACGCTAGATCACTGATATCAGCTTACTTCCTTGTCTGCAGTAAGTATTGCAATGAACAGGGAATATATATATATACTGATGCTTGTCGATATCATCATTCAGCTTCTTTCGTGATGCTTTGGCCAATCGACAATATGTACTACCTACCAATAGATTAGTATCGATAGGTTCAGATGACCATGGTGAAATCTTCTTCATAGCCTATTAACATTTTCAAGGCTATCGCATTCCAAACGCAGCAAACGCGATGTCTGCTTTTCTTGCCATGCATCACAAATCTAGCATTCTTTCTCTCTTTTGATTTCGAGGAGAGCACAATCGCCGAAATGTGAGTACCAGAGGCTTTGGTGCAGACTTTAAAAGCTGCATCCACTGCGTATTCCCAAGCTTATACACATCATGTTGATTAATTGAGATCAGCGGGTCTCCAATATTTGCATAGCGACGAATTATGCTGCTGCGGTTCATGTCGGCTACAACAGGGTATAACGACCCTCTTTGTTTTTTAAGCGAGACGCCAAGCGGTCCATCGCTTTCACGCCAAATAACATAAGCCAAAGACTTTTCTAGCCGCTCGCGATTCCGTCGGCGGCCAAGTCGCTCTTCGTTTGTGGGTCTTTTCTTCAATATTGGGATTTGCTGTAACTCATCCATACTCGGTCTGCGAAAGAGGAGGACAGCTGGGCGCGCGCAAGTTGAAACAATTTGCATTACTGACTCGTACGACATTGCTGAATTATGAGTAGTGCATTCATTCACTGCGACAAGAAAGTCGCCTTCTCGTATATTCCACATGCCGGGAAGTGATTCGTTGCCATTAGTCGCTTCAACGTACGGATACCCGCTAGCAGCGTCACAGAAAGCAAATTCAACTCCGTCCAGACTACAACCAAACCAGAGTATAATCTCGTACTGATAGTACTCTTTTATTCTGCTACTTTCGTGTTTATTCGTGTCGTGCTTCATTAATGAGCTTGTTGCATTTTCATGAAACTTATTGCGTTTCACGTCCTTGTCAGTGTTTTTTCCATCCCTATTGACGCCTATTTTCTCTTGCTCTATGTCATCACCATAATCATCTTGGCTTGTAATCGTCTCTGCTGAAGATTCAATGGATTCTAATCGCTGTGGTGCCTGTTTTTTCTCTTTGCCATGAGTAATCAGCGGGGCGGCAATTGGCGTTTTAGGGAACCATGTCTTTAACGTCTTGGTGGCGTTACTCGTGGAGTGTCGATTTCCAAAGTGATAAGACCCGACTTGGACATTCATTTCTGATTGCGTAATGAGTGCCAATTTGACAATGAATAGATTACGTGCTATTAGAAATCTAGCATCCTTAGTAGGTGCACTTAGAATGAAACGGTATTTTTGGACGGGTAAACGAATGATAAAAAAAGTCGCCACGCATCAAAATATGGAATCCTTCATTTCTTGCGTAAATGCCGCTAGTGGTATGACAATTATGGGTATATAATCTTATTTAGCAATTCATTTGTAGTGATATTTGACACCATTATAGCACTAGCATACGAATTTGAAATGCACGTGACAGTCGAGGTAAATTATATCCGTGAGTTTGTTAATGAACTGTACTGGTGCTAAAGTTTTAGTACAATTCTATTTTTTCGTTCTCTTGGTGTGTCATGGCGTGCTAAGTAGACGTGAATGCGATAGTTAGTGGGATGAACACTTTATCGCATAATGTCAGCAAAATCGATGCGAGACAAAATGACCAGTCACTCTTTCAAGGTAATGAATGAGGAGGTATGACAGTGACCAACACTTTAGTTATTTTGTCTTCTACAGTCCTCACTCAAGATATCTAGAAATAGAAAGAGTCATAAATACTAAAACTTGTTAGAAAGACTTGAGCAAATATGTTTCAAACAAAGTATGTAAAACTGCTACATTTGGATCGTAATTTACTTACAATCTACTACTTCATTAACCCTAAGACCATCTTGTTTCCTTGATCAGTACTGAATATGATCGTGGTGTCAACACGTTCTCGCCCGAGGGGCGTCTATTTCAAGTAGAATACGCCATTGAAGCTATTAAGGTGAAAACAAAACAAATTTATATATCAAGCTGCTTCTGACAAAAGTGCTTTTTTCTTATGACGATTACGCAGATGGGTACTACAGCTATTGGTATCCGCACAAAAGAGGGTATTGTGCTTGCCGTGGAGAAGCGATTGACGTCGCCCTTGCTGGAGCCTGGCAGGTTGGTGACTTGTGGACGAGTATCAGCGACATTACATCCTCAAAGAATAAACTAGTTGCTAATAGTGACTTTATGCCTTAAATGGTCTAACAATAGTTCTTTGTTGTTCTTGTGGATAGCATTGAAAAGATCATGGAAGTGGATCGTCACGTCGGTGCCGCTATGAGCGGCATAACTGCTGACGCACAGACGCTGATTGACCACGCGCGAGTAGAAGCCACCAATCATTGGTTCTCTTACAATGAGCCTGTACGTGTGCAGGCCTTGACACAATCTATCTGCGACTTGGCATTGAGCTTTGGTGAGGGCTCGGACGAGAATAACCACAAGCAAAAGATGAGTCGTCCATTTGGCGTAGCACTGCTTCTCGCTGGCGTGGATGAAACTGGTCCGCAGCTCTTTTACTCAGAGCCTTCGGGCACGTACTGGCCTGTGAAGGCTCACGCTATTGGCTCTGGATCGGAAGGTGCTCTTAACAATATTAAAGATGGCTACACGGAGGACCTGACGTTGCAGGAGGCCGAGACCCTCGCTATTGGTGCTCTAAAGCAGCACATGGAGGAGAAGCTTACTAGTATTAACGTGGAACTGGCTATTGTCACGCGTGAAAAAGGTTTCCACGTCTGCAGTGCTGAAGAACTGGAGGTCGTGATCGGCCGCCTGTAAACGAGCATATGCAAGGAAGAAAATGGATGTTGGGAAATCCTAGAAGCGGCCGCGTATTCAACGCTACATAAGCAATTAAGTTCAGAATGAACGCCGACAGCGTATCATGTTTGCGTCATTTGCCGGTATTGTTGCCTGCCTTCTGACGGTGCTACCACGTATTATATTATTCTCTTGTCCGTGTATACACAATTTGCTGATACTATGACCATGAAGCAAATGAGAAGTTACAGAGTGGAGCCTACGGGTGCTCATTCCAATGAAAAAGCACCTTATTATCTTACGCTCTCGAAGACTACCGAAAGATGGTATCTTGTGTATTTGCTGTAATGCTACCCGCCCATTTACATCATTTTAAGTTGTCGATCACATGAAGCGCGGTAAGACCTGCCTATTTAGCCCGTCTCGGCTCAAACAGTGATCGCTTCCTTTTCTTCGCCGATAAAGTCAAAGCTTTCGCTACCAGACCTGCTGCTGCCTGTTGCGCTGTATCCCGCAGTAAAGCTGTGGAGTTTGGAAATGATCATGTCGAGCGCCACCGAGTTGACACCGTGCGGGATAATAATGTCCGCCACGCGCTTCGATTGCTCCACAAACATCATATGCATGGGGCGCACAGTCTTCATGTACTGATCCATAACTGACTCAGCCGTGCGACCACGCTCCTCCATGTCACGGTGCATGCGTCGCACGAGACGAATGTCCGCAGCTGTCTCGACAAAGATCTTTATATCCATGAGGTCGGCAAGCGCCTGGTCAGCAAAAATTAAAATCCCTTCTACCAAGATGACGCTATTAGGCTTCATAAGAGTTGTAGATTTGCAGCGTGAATGCGTACTGAAATCATAGACAGGTACATCCACGGTCTTACCCGCACGCAGCTGTCTCAGATGTTTGACCATAAGATTCGTCTCGAGTGCGTCTGGGTGGTCAAAATTATGCTTGGCACGCTGTTCCATTGTAAGATGAGCTAAGTCTTTGTAATAATAGTCATGTGAGAGATACGACACGCGATCGGCACCAAACTCTGCCATTATAGCACGCGAGAGTGTCGTCTTGCCCGATCCTGAACCGCCGCATACGCCTACGACGAGAATCTGGTTGCCTTCTTCATTCAGTAGCTGTCTAGAGCGTCCAGGGAAGAAACTGGCATCGAGCTCAGTCGAGTTGTTGATGTACACAATATCCTTGACCAGCTCGAGCTCGCTTTTAGTGGTCACAAGCGGCTGCTGTAGCGCGAACTTCTGGCGTTTCCGGCGCTCTGAGCGCGCATGTGTGGCTGCAATGGCTGCAATTAAAGCCACACAGAGACCTACTACTTCAAAGGTGCTACTTTTCATTATTGTGTACTGGATAGAAGAATAAGAAAATGAAGCCACAAAACAGGCGGAGATCAATCGACGATCAAGTAGATGTCGAAATGCGCTGCACATTCAGCTTGATAAACCGGTTTCGACCAATCAAGCGACAGAAATACGACTGGACGATCACCATTGCATTAAGTAGTTTGTGTCGATTACAGGCCAGCGAGTATGAAGTTTTTTCTTACTTCTTAGGTAAGCTGAACTGATATATAATGACACCATTATACACTCCATGTAAGTGAATGACACAACTACATGCTCCATGTAATTTGAATGACACATTGTCTTATATTTTGCTTATACCTTCATGTGTAAGCACTCATTCACTGACTCCCTGCGACTGAGTCAATAAGAATTGAGTAGCCCGAGTCCAGCGAGATGTTTGGGTCGCGCACTGCTTGGCAGATGGACGGGATGTCCGTATGCAGGTCAAGGAAATCGGACAGGAAAACAAGTAACTGGAAGTCGCTGATACGCTTGGCAAAAGGCTCGTTGCGGTACTTCTGTAGCTGAGACTTGAGTGCCGCACTATTGCGGTACGAGCTTTCTCGATTGAGCTTGGGGAATTCGCAACGCAGCGGAGACTCGTGCGGTACCACAGGCACGACACATAGGAAAAAGTTATTGTCGATCTCGCTCGCTTGCTTGGCCTCCACAAGAGCCGTGAAGGTGTCACTGACTGTACATGCCTTAGGGTTTTTCTCACTTTCCAGCAATGCGCCAGCCGCAAACATTTCAACGCACTGATCGCTGACCTGGAAGGCTTCAAACGACGCCTGGCCTTCTTTGTCCAATGTTACCTTCAGTGTTAAGAACAGCGAACTCTTGCCGCCTGCATCGGCCTGAAGCTGTGCCACTAATAGAATCTCGCGTGCCGAGAAGTGGAAGTCGTTGTCTTCACGCGGAGGATGCGAAAATACCCAGCCAACTTTTTCGTAACCAAGTGCTTCCGCGACAGCGTCGACCTTATCTGCGTTGGGGTCGTCCAACACTTCAAAGCCGTATGGATTGCCCTCTTGCGGTGGTTCATAGATAAATTCTACTGTCACTTCCTTGGTCTCGGTAGCTACAGAGCCGTAGAGCCAACCGCACCGCGATTGCTGGAAGGCAAATTGACGCAGATAGGCCTGAAAATCATTGCAGCTCGCACTGTCCAAATGTACCTTTGCCACGTGTGGTTCTTTCTGAGCACTAATTTTGAACTCAAACTGAGCGTCCATGCGCATAAACTCGTCCAGTGTCCAGTGCATCTTCATGTCCCGCAGTGACTTTAAACCCGGACGAAACGATTGCTTGTCAGCACGATCGTCGTACGAAACGTGTGTGATTGTACCATCTGAATTAATCTTCGTACCAATAGCACCACCAGTTCCCACTGTTTCGCCATCGTAATTCAAAAAGAGCATGTCACCATGGCCAACATGAAGCTCACGTAAAGTCTGTATGTCTGTGGTCTTCTGTACGTTTTGTTGGTCCAACGTTAATTCCTGTTGATTTGGTGCAATTGAGTGCTGCTCAAAGATCCAACGTTTAATGTCTGCAATAGTGGAGGAAAGTGTTAGATCTTCCACGCGCCATGTACCATTCTTGGAGCGGACACGGATCAACATCGTAATTTTGTATATTAAATTGTATTGAGAAGAAAATGGATGAGATTTTACAGACGAATAGCGGACATAACTGGATTCCAAAGAGTGAAGTGAAATGATTAAGAAATAGTAAGGTATGGCCCTATCTCTCTCTTCCTTTCTTTGCTCTCTCATGGTATTGCCGGCAATACAAGAGGCAATACAAGAGGCAAAGACGACGATCAATAAAGCAGCCTTACCAACTGGAAGTGTAAGTAGCACCCACGAATTAGGAACTAATCAAACAGTCTAGTCTATCAAGTGTCGGGTGTATAACGGGCAAGGTAGGGTGGCTTGGCAAATTGTAGACCAAGAAGCCTTCAACGGCCAACTTCAACCTTGTAATACCATACCGCTTAGTCCGCCAAAATTGTCTTGATTATATCGCGTTTTTCACTGGGGGTGACGTATTTCTTCCACGCCTCCTTCTGCGAATGTGCCGTGAGATGATGCTCCAGGACCTGCATCATCATCTCTTTATCGAACACGGACGTTGGCGAGCCGTACGCCGCGGCTTGGAAAGCAATTACAAGCTTCGACAGCTCACGACCAGAAAAACCCTCAATGCGTGCAGCCAAATCCTCAAAGTCCGACTCCTCGATGCCTTCTACATAAATCTTCTTGGCACGCGAGTTCTTTGGAGCGCGGATGTAATCGTTAAAGTACTGCTTTAGCATACGTACACGCTCATTGAATCCAGGCAGGCGAAACTCCACCATCTCATCAATACGATCGTTAATAGCCCAGTCAAACTGCTCCGGCTGGTTACTGGCGAATACAATCATGAACTTATCGCTGGCCTCACCTGTACGGTACAGAAAGGCATTTAATGCGTTGCGCATATCCTCACTCATGACGGTGTTACTACGCTTCTGCAAGAATGCATCAGCTTCATCAACGAACAACAGCAGACCGCGACGGCTGTGCGAAGCCCAGTCGAACAACTTGTGGATCTCCGTCACGCCCTCGCGGCCCAATGGAGCAACATCGCCACCCGTGAGGATGGCGTACTCCAAGCCAGAGTGACGTGCCAGTGCCTTGGCGAACAGCGTCTTGCCCGTACCGGGTGGGCCATGCAGAAGCAAGTGACGGAACGGTGCACGGTTCTTTTTCGTGTTATATGTAGACACAGCGATGCTACGCAGACGCTCGTCCAGCTTAGGCTCAAGCACGACACCTTTCAACGCATCCGTCGCCTTCTGTAGACGCAAAGCACGCTTAATGGACGGAATAGGGTTTGCCACGACCTGTGCAGCCGAGCGGCGTGAAGTCTCTCGAACAAGTGACGGCTTGCTCATTCGAGCCTCAATGTACTTGCCCGCAACGCTAGTGGAAACCTTAGCGGTATATATACCAGCAGCCAGGGCCGTCAAGGAGACAACAGTAGTCGTAAGTTTTTCTTTATCGTCCACAAATGCCATGATACCGGAGCCAAATGTGTTCCCCGCAAGCTTAATACCTTCCATGATCGTCTCACGGTACTCCTTGGCGCGCACACGGGCTTCTTCCAGGTGCAAATCGTGGTTCAGACGCTCCTGTTTAATGCGCCCCTCGGTTTCGGCCGCCACTTTGGCGAGCTCTGTCTTCTGACGTAGCTTGGCCTCATAGTCAAGCGTTTTACGACGCGAAGCTTCCTGACGGGCAAGAATCTCCTCCTGCTTTTGTAGCTCTTGCTCTTTCATATATTTCTGAGCAGCTAGCTGATCAGCATACTGCTTCCGCTTCAGTTGGTCTTGGTACTGTGCACGCTGCTGGTGCTGGCGCGTCTCCTCTTCAAGCGTCTTTCGGCGTTCCTCGCCCTCCTTCTGCACGCGCACGATCTCGTACTGTTTGTATAACGCCTCATTCTCCTTAATTTTGGCCTGGCTTTCCATCTGTTTAGAGTGCTCTGTCTCCTTAGCCAAGCTAAACGCTTCCTTGGCGTGACGCGAATTCTCCAGCTCCCGAGCGGCTTTGGCGGCACGCTCCAGACCTGATGGATCAAATGAGTAGCCATTACCAGCACTATTGGCATTTCCTTTAGGCTGCGGAAGCGTATTCTGTGCCGGCTGCTCCTTTGATCCATGCGAAGATCCACTGCTGCGATTAGAGCCTCCGCCAAATCCACTGAACATGGTCAGAAATACTTTAGATACTTGAGTTTAATAGTGGTGACGACTAATTGGTAATGGATGGACTTGGTAGCAAGTACACGTACTTATTGGAAGCTATATTGTTTGGTGTACCACACACATACAATCATGAACAAGTTGCGTCGAGTCTGGGATAATGCAGCTAATGCCGTGTTTTACAAGCTCAAAGTACGTGCAATTTGAGCTTCTTTTTTGATCAAGATACAATAACATGATGACGTGCTTCATGCACAACTTCCAGACCAATGATAATGAGCTTATACGTGCTGCGAGCAACGCCAGGGATCGTGCACAACAGATAGCTGCTGATGCAGCGAATACTGCCAAGCATCGACTACAGTTGAATGCAAAGGAAGTCAAGGACGCTGCCCAATATAAAATGAAAGATATGCAGAAGATAGTCAGTCACAAGGTGGAGAAAGTAAGTACTTCAGCTATCACCAAGGCCCGTGGTGTCGGCAACACGATGCTGCACAATTTGCGCTGCAACCAGGACTATGCCACGCGTCAGTTGAAAGAAAACGCCAAGATACTGCAGCGCTCGGCGAGTGACACTGTCATCAATATAAAGCAGCGCACACAGCAGAATGCAATCGATGCAGCTAGCGCTTCTCAGGAGCGTGCTCGATCTTTTGTGTCCAAGACCGTCGGAAAGCTAAAACGTACGTCGTCATCGACGGTAGAGGCAAATCATCTACGGAGGAGCGCCCGCAGAGTGCGCAATAAACTGTTAGTGCTGGGATTTGCCGGCGTATTTCTCTACGGCTTTGGGTCGGCCATGCCTTTTGCCATGGCGAAGTACGCAGTGGAGAGAGCTAAACTCGCGGAGGTGGTAGCACCGACAGACGATGCCGCTGCATCTGCTGTGAAGAAGTGATTAATTAACCTAAACGACTGGACTGAAGCAAGCGGTTTGTGTGTATTTGAATAAAGCGAAGCTGCTACAACTTTCCTACTTTTCTTGCCTTATCACGCTAGTACGCTTTGCTGAGATGTTTATTATCGCAAACAAAAAAACACCTTCGGTTATTTATTCCTTATATTGTTTTTGGCATAAATATCTCAATGTCATTAAGTTTGAGCTTCAGTTTATCAGCTCTATTCTTACATTGCCATATCTTGCGAAAAACAATAAGATTTGTATCTCATTGACGATTGGTCGTCACCAGGCTTTGGTTGCTTTGCTTTTCTTACTTTTAACGCTTTGGTGCATTTGTTGTTCCATAAAACCCTTCAGGTCATTGTCGACAAATACAATAAGGATTTAGTCACTTCCTAGACGTTTGCTGCCTCAAACCTCGTCACTCCATCACTATTATATTTCATTTGCTCGACTTCCAAGTTTATGCTCGACACACTTTATTGTAAACCAGTATCAATGGCGCGTGACAAGAGATACGTTTAGTTTAGAAGAAGGGCAATGCGTCTTCGTTCCATGGTTTGCTTTTTTCTCATGCTTAAGTTAACGGCTCTGACCTGTTAAGCAGTGAGAAAGCTCTATTCATGCCGATCGCTGAAGACGAATTAATTTATGTTAAGACCTGTATATAAAGTAATTTGGAAGCCGGACGGTCACTAGGCTAATTTAATCAAACCTTAGTGTTAACTTTAAAATAGAGATGACTATATCTGTAATTTATGAAACTTATCTCCTTAATTCACAGCGCCTTCAACTTTATCCTCTGACTCCATTTTCCTGATGACGCGGCGAGCTAAGGAGCAACGTACGATGCGTGTACAAGCGAAGCAGCAGCGGTTGGAGGAGAATATGCTGCGTGAAAAGCGCCTAAGCTCTCGTCCGACATGGATTCAGCTTCTATTGGCGATTGATGGACCCTCCTTAACCACCAGTAGCAGTAGTCTGCACGGTTTTATGAGTAAGAGCCCTATCAAGTCGTCTATTGTCAATAAACTGCAGTGGAAGAGCTTGCAGGTGCCCATTGCAGCCTCTGGTGGTTTTCAGCTACCAATCAAGCTGGACGCAAGCAAGGGTGAACTTCTGTATTCGTTCTCCACTAGAAATTATGATGTTAACTTTGGCGTGCAAATGATCTCTGCTGATGGGGATTTGATCGAATTGCTGGGCACGCGACGCTATGAAAGTCACAAGGAGCAGGTGCAGGGTCGATTGAGTCTCACAGGTCCAGGGATGGTGTTGTTGCTGTGGGACAATTCCTTTTCGTGGGTCAACAGCAAACAATTGGCGTACAACGTGGAACTTAAGCAGGATACTTTGCCTATGTCCGATGCGAAGAGAATGCAGCTGGCATTAGATGCGCGGTTGAAAAGAGATCAGAAGCTACTGCAATGTGAGGGAGAGTACGATAAACTGGAAACGCAGGTGCAGACGGAAGCACAGACGATCGAGCTCTTGCATCACCAAATTGAAGAGCTGCAGGCACAGCTAAGACAACATGAGGAATCTAAGGAGACTATCATGAAGAAGAAGGATCAAGTAGGGGAACAGATAGATGATCTCACTTGGGAACTGCAAGGTACGGACGGGTAGACGGTTGTTTTGTTGCATATGAGTGGCATTAATGTGGTGAATTTTGTGGGATTTTAGCACTCAGCTGGCGATGCTTAGACCAAACGGTACTACATCGCATTCTGGATTATTTGGACCAAAAAGATCTGTTTGCATGGTTCGTTGCTCATTGTATGTTGTTGGTAAATTCAGTTGGTAGTGCTCACGCTGTTTTGTATCCGTTGTGGAACTTAAGGTTGCTGACAAACAAAATGTGTTGCGATTTTGCACGCGCGTATCAAGCCAGAAAAAGCAGTGTCGATTCAGATGGATGCGATGTTGCGTGAGAGTGTTCCGTGTTGAGGATCTGGTGTTGCAGTTAGCAGGCATAGAGAAGAAAGTTGCGCTGGGTAAAAGTACCGACCATCCATGCTGATCGTGAGCTACAGGTGGTCTCCAATGTGTTTTCTTGATTTCGAGTGGATTTTTCATTTTTTACGATAATGTTACTTAGAATCAAACAAACTAAACCGCTCCGACATTTTGTCATCTCACTGTATTTGCCAAAGTTTGTCAAGACTTGATAATATCTTGTAGGACGACTCCAAAGCAACAAGACGAACCCTCTTGCACCACCTTGTGACGATAGAGTCTCTAACTATAAAATCTCCCGTATACTTTTCGTGCAATATTCGACCAATCAATGCACTATCAATTCAAAAAATGGTAATTAAGTGCGAAAAAGCCATCCAACATCAAGACAAAATGGCGGGATCCGACAGCTCCGAAGAAGACGAGCCTATTGTGGCACCCCAGTCGTCACCTATTGCTTACGTAGGATATATTGAAAATCTGTATTGTTTGCTGTTTCTTTACATACTAATGTTATCTTCTTCCTTGCGCTCTAGAAGGCGTGGATGGACGAAGATGCCGACGAGGAAGAGGAAGACGCCGATCTGAGTCAATTACAGCGCCAGCACTCGCCCAAGTTTAAGCGCTGCGTAGACGCTGTAGAAAAAGACAAGTGGAATTCAGACGCTTGGATTGCGCTTATGAACGAGGTGCAACTGCTGCCCATTGCCGAGGCACGCAAGTACTACGAGACGTTCCTGACGCAGTTTGCCACGTCTGGACGCTGGTGGAAACTCTACGCAGAGCACGAACTACGAGAGAAGCAATATGATCGTGTGCAGGAAATTATTAAAAAGTCACTGATGCAGTTGCGCTGTCCCAACGTGGATCTTTGGCGCTTCTATTTAGACTTTACCAAGGTTGTAAAACTGGGCGTGGCTGTGGACTCAAAAGATCTGGCGGCTATTGCAACAGCTAGACAATTAATGGTTGACGCTTTTGAGCTGGCAATTGAACGTGTGGGAGGATCTATTCACGCTGCACCCATATGGCAGATGTACTTGACGTTTTTACAGGAAGACCAGGATCCACAGGCGTTTCTGAATGTAAGAAAACTCTATCATCGTATGGTCATGGTGCCGCTCATTGGCATGGAGACAATATGGAGAGACTACGAGAAGTTTGAACGTGCAATACCGAACAACGAAGCATTGGCGCAGAATTTTTTCAAGGTTTTTCGACCAAAATTTGACGCAGCTAGAGCCGTCTTGAGAGACCGGAAGAAGCTGTACGAACAGGTTAATACCAACGCATTGGCACTGCCAGCCACGACCTCTCGAGCTGATACGGCAGATATGGCAAACTGGCAGAAGATTCTTGCTCTGGAAATGGGAAACCCTGAAAGATTGGACGCGCTGCGTCTTAAGTCGCGCATGCGCTACACGCTCGAACTCTTTGTCAGTGTGAAACGGCTTTATCCAGAGGCGTGGTATCAGTACGCTTCGTACGAAAACCAAGGAAACGATCCAGACGCAGCTACTAGTGTGTTTGAACGTGCGATTGAGGCTGTTCCGGACTCATGCTACCTGCACTTTGCATTTGCCGACCACCATGAACTACGTGGCGACATCCCCGCTGCTAAGGCTATTTACGAAAAGTTGATTAAAGACAATGTGTCGGCGCTTGCGTATGTCACCTATCAGCGCTTTGCTCGTCGTGCATACGGCTCAAAGGGGCTGAGCGAGGCTCGCGCAGTCTTTAAAAGAGCACGCAAAGATGAGCGAGAAGGAGCTTGCAGCTACCATGTTTTTGCAGCTTCAGGTAAGCTAAGTTGACTACGTTTGGATGCTATTCATCGTAATTAATGCGTGTATGGTTTGTGATTGAATGAATGCAGCCCTACTAGAGTTTTACAGCGACAATTCTGAAAGCGGAAAAGACATTGCGCTCAAAATTTTTGAGCTTGGCTTGAAAAAATGTATTCAGGAGCCTGCTTACGTGTTATGTTATCTTGAATTCCTTGGCCATTTAAATGATGACAACAGTAAGTGCTATAAGATGTTTGCTTGTTTAATTGAGACTGACAGCGCAATTAACCTATCCCTGATACAGATATGCGGTCGTTGTTTGAGAAGGTATTGTCAGTTATGCCTTCGGAGGTGTCACGCCCGATTTGGGACCGATACGTTGAGTTTGAGCACACGATGGTGGCAAGTGGCGGTGATCTTGCCACTGTAGCAAAAGTAGAGGCTAGGCGTGCATTGGCATTCCCGGATGGACCTTTTGTGGAAATGAAAGGTCTACTAAGTATTGCCCACCGGTACTCATTCTTGGACCTGCGGCCACCGTCAAATTGTGACCAGAATTTTCTTGACATGTACCGTGCATCATCCCGTGGTGGTTTGTTTGGATCTAACCTTGATAATGGGAGCGAAAATGGAGATGGAGGTGCAGGGCTCGGTGGTGGCTTCGGTCTTGACATGGAAAGGTACGCAACATAGTGGATGAGTTTGTTACATACATCACGTGCTTACAACTGAAACTGCAATGTAGACATATTCCGGGTCCTCCGCTCCCTGAATTCTTGAAGGAGTTTGCTGGAATGCTGCCGCTGAGCCTGCCCTGGAACGGTCCGATCGCTGACGTGGAGCATATCTTTCGCGTGATGCTGCTTGTTGACTTCCCTCCTCGTTCGCGCATCGAGCAAATGGCGCAGCAGCAGCAACAGCAAATGCAGCAACAGTTAGCGCTTCAACATCAGCATCAGCTCCAGCAGCAAGCAGCTGAGGTCGATAAGAGTAGCGGGCTCGGTGACGATGATGGCGCCTCGGGAGTGGTGAGCAAGCGTCCAGCGCACGATATCTTTCGCTCACGTCAAAAGCAAAAGCTATCGAAGCTTGGCTAGTAAAACAATATGACAGGAACAAAACAGTATTCTATAATCTGAAATTAACACGAGACAAAGGAATTTTTAGCTCTTGTGCGTCTTCTTGTGCTTTTTAAAGTTAACGACAATAGCGGGAAATCCAAGGTCTTCGTTATCTTGAAGTTCCACAGCAGCCTTCTTGCATCCACTTGACAATGTGGTTCGATTCATCGTCCCATAGGACCTCACAACAAATTCGTCGTCGTCGTCTTCGGAAAGCAATTCTTCGTCAACTTCTTTAGTGTCTGCTAAAACCTCCTCATCGTCAAGGTCGGTTTCATCACCATCTGTGTCAACTGAGACGCTAGGTCGCCAATCTCGAAGTAGCGTGGCCGTAATCTCTGTTTCCTGGAGAGTCCGACATGCGGAGACAAGTTTATCGTCGCTTAGCATCACATCACAATGTTCGTAGTCGCTCCAGATATTGTCTGTGGATTCCCATTCAGCTCGAGCTGATTCCAAAACTATATTGTTCACATCACTGTCACCAAACGAAAAGCATCGTGAGCACGATACAAAGTGTGAAGACAACAATTCATTCTAGAGCTACGTACCTTTGATCTTGTAAGAAGTCTTGAAGCTCCTGAATTTCGTAAGAGAAGAACGGAAGTAGCTTTGCCTCGCTTTTTGAAATCCATCGGCGCGTATTGTACTTTTTCCGGTAAGTCTTGGCCAGCAGCTCGTTGGACCAACCTCCTCTTCGACGACTGCCTCCGTTGTGCTGCATTTTTAGCACCACACGCTCTTGAAAGGTGGATGTAACCATCTCCATTGTCATTGACAAAGCCTGTGCAACTTCAAATAGAACGCTTAAATGCTCTAATGCACCACTATTGTCGCGCACATTTTGCTCATTGCGCCAGGCCATGCATTTTGCCAGGATGGACTTGACACTGCGTGCGGCAAAAGTCCCTCCCCGCAAAACCAGCAAATTGGTCTTAACTGGCAAATTGAATCCGCACGTTTCAGCTCGCACAAACACTTGAAGAGTTCTTTTCAATGCATCCGTCGCCTTGCAGTAATCTATAAAAGGATTTGATTCTTTGAGGACTTGCGCGGTTTTCTTTGGCGTCGCACGGTACAACGAAGCGATAGCACAAAGGAGAACTGCCTCGACGAAATATGGCAAGGACTCGTTTGTCAAGCTTTTCAGCACTATATGCTCTCCATCTACCACCACAGCTAGCTCATTCCGTCCCTCGCTTAGTTCGTCCTCACTCTTATTCACATTTACTGCATTATTCTTTTTGTTTCGTTCAGTGTCATGAGATACCGCTGCATCAATAAGAGCACGCATTTCCCCCAGGTAGTAGGTCAACAAGAATGATCCCGCGGACGCTGAAACAGAGTATGCCCAGGATCCAACTACCAGATACGCAATATGGCGCCACTTCATGGAAGTGCACCGATATTTTGCCAAGGAGCATACATGGCCTTTAATGGGCGAAACAACAGCGTTGGACAACGATTTCAGCGGCAGGCCTCGAAAAAACTTTCCCACGCTAATTTCAAAGTGATTCGGTGTTGGCGCTCCTGGAAATGTTTGGTGCAGCATAGCGATGCAAAGTTGACTGATAAAGGGGCTTTTTCTTGTGTTCTGCACAAGTGAAGTTAGAGCATCAGTTACCAACAAAGCTAGCGTAGGGTCCTGTCATGCGTATAGTATTGTCGCAATTAGTTTTAAGACGTAGAAGCTTTACAACATCATGAGTGCACTTACCGTCAGCTCAAGACACTGCCGAGCCAGAAAGCGAAAGAATATTTCGCTATGTCCGTAAGGACTACTGACGCGAGTCAAATCGTCGTTAGGACTTGCAGCAGTAGCAAGCAGCTTCATCATTTTGTCGCTCCAACAAGAATCTCCCGTCGTTTTTGCAATACGACACTCTTCCAATATGACAATGAATGAATCATAAATGTACGCCAAACTGTACGCCATCAATTTTTTCCTGGTCGTACTCGTGGATTGATCTAGTGTCAAGTCAGCTTCAAAATCTCCATCTACAGCACTTTGCAAGGGGTCAAACTCTTCAATGCTGATCATGTGGCTGAGCTCCGTTGCACGGCGGCATAGCCACTTGACTGCCCGGCGTCCCTCACTTTTTGATACGAGTCTTCTAAGGTTTCTGTCACTTTCGCTATCGCCACTTGAAGCTGAACAAGGTATCCCACCGCTCTGCAAATGCCGATAGAAAACTTGCAGCAATTTCAATTCATTAGGCAATAACAGGGGCGGTTCCAGAAAGTTTTTTTGCTGGCCTTCAAAAGCCAAGCAGACAACACGAAAGTCCAAGCCGAACAACGAGGCTCGAGGAGGCTCTCCTTGTACACGACGAAGCTGACCATTAAGAAGTTGCTCGACAATTAAAGCCTCCAGCAGCAACCATTCCGGATCACAACTTTGCGCTCCAGCACGCTGAAAACTTGATATGTTATTAAGGCCATCTCGGCGAGCTAATATATTTTTCTTTTGAGTAGCCAGTATCCGCACAAGTTGATCCTGCTGCTCGAAGCAAACGTGTAATCTAGCTGCCATCCGTGAATACTGCTTCAAACAATCATGTCTTGGTTTCGAAATTGCCAGCATTGAAGAGTATTGCTCCGCAGCAAAATTAGTTGATGCGACTGCAACTTCTAACGCACAAACTAAATTCCAAATAAGATTGTTCTGTGCAGAGAATTCCAGCGGTCCGCAAGGCTCTCCACTAGTCGGCCGAAGATAAGCAGAAGGAAGCAAGAAAGCAGCGCTCACGATTTCAGATTGCTCAATTGGAGAGGCAAAGTCCAAATAGCAATGGAACAGCTCTCGAAGGAGACAAATCTTCATCAGGTATTTCCGCTCCGTAAGTTTCGTCTGTGCTTCACGTTCGCTGTGATTCATGCTGCCAAAAGCAGACGGTGGTACTCCAAACCGCATCTTAAGCACAAATTCGGTGGCATCTACAGCTAAAGGGGTTGTCAATCCGTCACTATCAGTTGCAACAGCGTTGTCTACGTCGTCGAACGCAATTATAACTCTGCTGTCTTCGTTTGTTTGCACGTGATTGCGTGGTGTCCAACATAGACCTCTCTTATGAAAAACTTGAGAAACAGCTGCAGTTAGAAGAGCTCGTTCCTTTTCTAAAACCGACGTCTCGCGTGATCGATTCATTTCGTCTCGTACAAACCGCAACACGTGCAGCAGCGTCTCGTCATGATTTGCAAGAGTCAGGAGACGTAGCATCCAGTTTGCTAACGATTTTTGGTCGCGAGATTCCACTACTACTTGGTTCTTCAGAAGATGTCCAGTGAGAAAAACAGCCATGAGCTGTTTTACCTCAACAGCACTGGCGCAAGTTTGGAGTGATCGGCCACTTTGAAACCTAAATGATTGCTGATCGCGGGTCAGACCGGAAGCTCCTACCCGTGTCACAAGTTGCTTTTGAATAGTAATCATCAGCAATGAGTAAATGCCCCGCTCTTTCTTCGTCAGCAGCGCCATTGTCGAACAAAGTAGATCAAGAATATGCGATGGAAATTGTCCATCAGCCTCAGAATCTGTCATGAAAGAAGTAATTCCATGAAGGTGATCAAGGAAGAGATGAGATGAAGATGCTAGTGCACCAGCATTCCTTTGAGCTAGCTCTGAAAGTCGTAGCGCGATGGCTTCGGCCACATTCCAGCATAATGCACTTTGAATTTGTTGAGCAGAATCCGTATTGGCAAGCAGCAACAGTCTTTTAGGGTGGCTCACAATGGTCAGCAAGAGAATTAACGCCTGATCACGTTCGGGTCAACAACAGTACGACGTACAAAGTCTGAGTAAATGCCAAGCATAACAAAGGTGTTTAAGTAGCAACTACCGTACCTCCTCTTGTACCTTACTTCTAGTCTCGATGAGAACGATCATAGAATCAATAGAGCTGGCAATTAAATTTGGAGCCAGCACAGCACGGGTGGAAGCACGGAAACAAGCCGCGAGAAGACAGCTACAAAATCGGATAAAGGAAGGAAGCAGATACGCCCACTCTGTTCTCACAAGCATCGCAGCGGCTTCAGCCATCATCCGACCGTGAACACTTCCACTTTGTGCAATAAACGTTGTTGTTCTTACAGCTAGCTACAGCACACACAAGAATTCGTAGTAGGAATGGATCGCATGACCTGACCAACTTCGCCCTTTGCCTAATCGATACGCTTACCTCATTTTCTGCAGACTTGCCCATCACCAACGTCAGCAAAATAATGTCAAACGTCGTCAATGGATCCACATGTCGAATCAAACGGAGAAGTGCGGTCAGTGCCACCGACCCTATAGTTGCATAGCGTCCAATCACTTCTACGATAAGAGATAATGTTCCCGACTGAATGCAATTACATTCACTTCGAAGCCGACCAAGTGCTTTGAGAGCCGATGACTTGGTCACCATCGATAGTAAGCTCTGTACCACTGCAGGAAGATCCTGTTCCTCTGCAGCCTCTAGTAACGATAGTGTAGCTTCCACTATTGTATTCTTTTCGCTCGTATCTAGTGGCATCTCAGCTAGCGATCCCAGCACCGGTACCAGCAATGATCGATCCGTCATTAATAAATCCAAATAAGCTCGTACAACTAGCTTTACACATTCCTTGGACTGATACGTCAACTATAGATTCAATGCATACAAAAGAGGCCAGTAATAATCATAAGAATAATCATAAAGAAGTGACAAAAAAATACGACCCTTATCAAAATCAGCAACTAGACCTTCGGCAAATGATGCACCAACAGTACTCGATGATTACAAAATAATAGCAATGATAGAATTTCCTCTGTAAGTTTGCGTGTAGGCTCTACGTAGTTCCCAAGTAGCCGCAAGAGCATGTTCACGTCATCGCTCGAGTCGTCGATGCTGCCACTGCGTAATCTCTCTAGAACCAGCTGTGCCGTCTCAACACGTTGTATACTACTACTTTCAGTACGTAAGAGTCGTTTGCATACATCAAATGCTTGTGCCATTGCACCATCAATAACTACGTCACGATACTGCTCAATTGATCTCGTCATTCTGATTCTGATATTGCAATTATGAATTTTACATGTGCGCCATTATTTACAAAAGTAGACACCATCTGTCAGCTCAGAATATTTAGGGTTAAAAATTACCCAAATAATAGTCATTGACGCATGAGACAGGGCCTTTAGCTGCCTATGAGTCATCATTCGATCCAAGTCTTATTTAGCACCACCTTCGTGCCAAATGTCTATATTGAATGTTCGATGAATACATGGGAATTAGATGCAGTTTACTTTGAATGATACTTTCTACTCCTTCTACTATTTGTTACCTTATCTTTATAAGTTTGTCTTTTACCTTAGTCTTATAACCTTCTTTAGGCTTTAGTGGCGCAAAAGCCATGTTTTGGTAAATATCATAGGCTTCGAGCTTCAGAATGAATGGCTTTGACGTGAGCCTTTGTTTAATACCCTTTGCGTGACATTTGAGTAGCTACCACTGCAACTGCCACGCCCAGCCGCTCTTCGCTGCTGCAGACGCAGAAGGTGACTCTAATAGCGTCCAAGACCATTTAATGCTCGCTCTATATCATCTCGTGTTTCTAACGCATTAAAACCTATAAACACGTTCAAGAACGCGGAAAAACCGCCATTGGCCACGCTACCAGACGCGTTCGAGAATCGTTACGAAGCTAGAAGGTACACAGCTGTTAGGTGTAGATACAACTGATAGGGGCCAACTGCTGGTCCTGTAGTGACAGCAATGTGTCATATACCCGATCGAAGGCGTAGCAGATGGACAAGACGGTCGTGTTGGTGAGAGGCAATAAACTGCCAGCAACGCAGAAGCTGCCTGCACAAGCTGCAGTTAGGAGAGGTTCAATACCTTCAGCATTGCAGCGGCCTTCATCATCGCCAAAGTTACGCTAGACCTTGATGCGCGAATACGAGAAGCAGTACGGACTGGGTTATAGAACAATTTATGGTCTTTGCACAAGATAATGATTTTATTTTATCCAATCATATTTTTCATTGAATACATTACTAACGATTGGTGGACAGCACATACGAGAAACAACAACCGCCTTAGCTTGAAAGGTGTTTATATTAGTCAGACACACATTAAAGGGTGTTGTGAGATTACTTAAAAATGACAGACGACGTAACATCAGTTCCTAAAAAACTTACAAAGAAAGAATTGCGCATTCTTGAGCGCCAGAAAGTGGCTGAGGCTACTATCGGTCCTACCCTTACTGACACGTATGGTGAGCTACCTCTCATCCAATCAAAGGAACGTTGTAACCATGTTTATCAATTGTACGTAGTTGGTAATTTTCAATTTTAAAATTAAGAAAATGCTATATATCTGATACTTTCTGATCCTGCAGAGTCAAAGATTTAAACGTCGAGTTACAAGGTAAAAGTTTTTGGGTACGTGGATATTTACAGAGTGTACGCGCCAAATCCAAGATCGCATTTATTACGCTGCGTCAAGAGACAGCAACAATTCAGGCTATTTTGCATGAGAGTGACAAAGTTTCACGCCCTATGATCAAGTTTGCGGCCAGCGTGTCAAAGGAATCCGTTGTGGACGTGTTTGTGACACTAAACGTACCCAACAGCCCCGTCCTCAGCACTACACAGAAGGACGTGGAGCTCAATGTGGAAAAGTTTTTTGTGGTCAGCAAGGCACTACCAGAACTACCATTCCAGGTAGAGGATGCAGCTCGCTCCGATATTGTCGTCAAGGCCGAAGGATCTACTTACGTGAATGTGGGACTGGAGACTCGGCTGAACACGCGCCCGCTTGACTTACGGACGCCTGCCAACCAATGCATCATGCGTATCCAGGCCGGTGTAGGTCAGCTCTTCCGGGAGTTCCTCATCGAGCGCGATTTCGTCGAGATTCACACGCCAAAGCTTGTGGGTGGAGCCTCAGAGGGCGGAGCCAATTGTTTTACGCTCAAGTACTTTGACCAGGACGCTGCATTGGCTCAGAGTCCACAAACGTACAAGCAAATGGCTTGCGCCGTCGCTGGTCTTGAGCGTGTATTCGAGATTGGCCCAGTCTTTCGTGCCGAGAACTCAAATACGCACCGTCACATGTGCGAGTTTGTTGGTCTTGACCTAGAGATGACCATTAAGGAGCACTACCATGAAGTGCTGGAGGTGTTCTCGGATTTGTTTATCTACATCTTTGATGGTTTGAAGGAGCGTTACGCTAGAGAGCTGGCTATTATTAATGAGCAGCACCCATTCGAGCCGCTCAAGTATACCAAGCCGTCGCTCATCGTCAACTTTGAGGAAGGCGTGGAAATGCTGAAGAAAGCTGGTGCTACGCAGGATCTTGAAGACGACCTGAGCACTGAAAACGAGAAGTGGCTTGGCCGACTTGTCAAGGATAAGTATGACACGGACTTTTACATTTTGGACAAGTTCCCTCTTGGTGTGCGTCCGTTTTACACGATGCCGGATCCGAATGACAAGCGCTGGAGTAACTCGTACGACATGATGATTCGCGGTGAGGAAATTGTTTCCGGCGCGCAGCGTGTGCACGACCCCAACCTTCTCATTCAGCGCATGAACGAGCTAGGCGTGCCACACGAGTCCATGCGCACATATATTGACTCGTTTCGGCTCGGTGCTCTACCTCACGGTGGTGGTGGTATTGGTTTGGAGCGCGTCGTTATGCTTTACCTGGGTCTGGGCAACATTCGCAAGGCCTCGATGTTCCCGCGTGACCCGAAGCGGTTGTTCCCGTAAGTCTCGTCGCTTATTTGTTTGTGTTTAAGCCATGCATGTAGGATCGCGCCGACGACATGATGCCTTGTGCTCATACGGCCCCGTCGATTCATTTCGTCGCGGTTATATTGAATAAGCAATAAACGAGACAGATTGGTGCAGAACGATAGAGAGCAAATGTGGAAAGGCTTTAGAGTCCGACTTACTTCTGTCGCAATGCTGTAGCGTTGCTCTTGTGTATCATTTTCAGCTCTTTTGACGCCTTTTTCTTCTCTTCTTCATCACTTTTCTACAGACACAACACTCATACTTGCCGTTGTCAACCATTACAATACCTCATGAAATACTCATATCATTGTATTATTACAATGGTATGAGTACTAATTCATGAGACATACTCTCTCTCACAGCAAAAGCCCAGCGTTTTTTTCTTTGCTCTTACAAGCTGAGGATTTACATCGTGCAGAAAACGATCGTATTTATGCAGCTCATGTCACACATTATTAAAAAACAAGCTCGGCGTTTGCACTAAGATTCACCTACATAAGACCGTGCTTACACAGGATCATTTCTATAGGTACTAAGATTCACCTACATAATAATTTCCTAGCAACCACATTTACGAAGAAATAAAGTCTCAGTATTCAACCCATGGTGCTGAAATCAACACACCTTCACTAGAACAAAGACCGATATAACACGTGCCATTAACATAATCGACACTTGCGGAACATTGCGCACTTGTTTGCTGTAGCTTTCCACTATGGCATGCCGCTTCTTCGTTTTAGGCTACGAATATAACAAACAGTAAATGGTCGGTTGTAACGGGATTACACGAAGGTATGTATTTTACGTACACATCTGCCACACCATTGTGCTGTGGCAACACTTTGGATACAGAGGTGTATCTGTAACCGAGCTACTGTAGGAAAGCTACTTATGCACTAGGTGCAGAGAAAGACTAGCTCAAAGAGCTTATACGTCTTAGGGTTCTTAACCCTCCCAATGCTAGCTTCGCCAGCTTATGCCTTTTGGTTGTAAACAACCTCGTCGATAAAAGACTAGTATCAAAAGATACAATTCCTTTTACAAAGGAGGAGAACGCTCTAGTACGTGTGCGACTCAGAGCAGGTTTAAAAATAATTTATTTAAAGCTTAGCTTCTAGCACTAAGTATAAAAGCACCTACTCTATACTTAGTGCTAGTTACAATTTATCTAGCTCTGTAGGCTATTAATATCTAATCATGTATAGTCACTATACTTCGTGTTGTCTAAACACACGAGCCATAATCAGTTTAGCTATTCCGTCTCCAACAATAGATTTCGGCACTGCCGCTAAGCGAGCCATGTTGCTCAGTCGGTCAACAAAGAATACAATCTTAGTGTTGCCTGCCGCATCACGCGGTAGGCCATACACAAAGTCCATACTGATGGACTGCCACAACCTCAAGGGAACAGGCAAACCCGCTAAAGGCGCAGCCATACTAGGCGATGGCTTTACCCTTTGACACGTTTCACACGTGCGTATATATGTACCAACCCATTTATACAGCTTGGGCCACGAATATGGGTGCTTACCAAGCTGTAGGTCTTTCACGATCTAAATGGCCGCCATGTGGTGTATCATGAGCCTCATAAAGTATCTGATACTTGAGGTCTTTGTCATGAGGCACTATAACACGAGACGGGTCATCTGACCCTGTACTATAGTACAACAGATCATCGGTCAGTGCATTACGGTGTAATCTCGCACGATTACGTGGTGACAGCTTCACCTTAGAGTTTTCAAACTCTGCGCTACCCAGCACCTGCACAATGGCAACGCATGCCTCATCGCTTGCATACGCCACACGGATACGATCCGTTACTGACGAACTCACAACAGTGAGATGAACAAGCTCATAGTCAGGTCTACGCGATAACACGACAGCCAAAACATTCTGTTTTCCCGGCTTATACTTCACCTCAAAGTTATACTCCACGAGAAAAGAGAGCCAACAAGCCCTTCTCTGCGAGAGATGAGGCGACTGTATCGCTGTGCGTAACGACGCATGATCGGTATGGATCACAAACGGCTTGAAGCCCAACAGGTGTACCCTGAACTTAATAAGAGAATACTTTATCGCAAGTAGCTCCTTGTCATGAACTGGATTGTCCTTCTCTGCAGCTTTCAGCTAACGAGACTTAAACGCGATGACGCGTTCTCAACCCTCAGAGTCAACATGCAAAAGTGCACTGCCAACGGCAAAGTCCGAAGCATCACACACGACGGATAATCCGGATCAGGCAAAGCCAGAATTGACGCCTGAAGGAGACTTTCCTAAATGGCTTCAAAAGCCTCGTGGTGCTCGGTAATTCAACACCATTCCACATCCTTTTTTAGATGATTGGTTAATGGCCTGGCCACTTCCTCATAGTTGTGGCTATACTTGTGCAAGTAATTTGCCAAGCCCAACCACTTGCGGAAGTTCTTTTGGTTCCTCGGAGCCGGCCATCCACTATGACTTTGACCTTAACAGGGTCTGCCCGGATTCCTCGCTTCCGAATGAAGCATTCTAAATAGAGAACCTCTTTCGCACCGAAGATTCATTTGTCAATATTGACATATAACTTATGCATCCTCATGCAACTGAGCACAGGTCGTAGGTGCTCGATGTGATTTTCTACATCAGTCTTGCTATTTTCGGCTCGACTATGGACGAATATCGTCAAAGTATGTCTGTGCATACGCCCTATGGGGCCGAAACAACTGCATCACCAAACGACTGAACGTTTTAGGTGCGTTTGACAGCCCTTGGGGCATCACTAATCACTCCCAGAGTATACCGCTCGGAGTGCTGACTGCTGTCAGCGGAATATCACTAGCTCACTGTGAGCACTTGGTAATATCGATTGAATAAACAGAGGGCACTGTACATCGCACATCCCACCATATTGGTGTGAAAAGCATCCTTGCGAGGAATCGGTATTCGAGCCGGGATCGTGGCAGCATTCAGCTTATTGTAAGCATGCACTATTTGCCACTTCCCTTCAGGCTTTCTCACAAAAAACGTGCGCGTAGTGTGAGAAGGCTTACTCTCACGCACCATGCCAGCCGCGTGCTTCTCACGAAAGAACTCGTCAATGACGTCACATTGTTCTCGTGGCAGCGATCACTGTCGCGTCACACAGTATTTGCTTCCCGAAACCAAGTCAATCTCATGACGCACACCTCTATCCGGAGGTAACCACGTTCGAGGTTCTCTAGAGACAACATCTCCATATCCCTTAGACAAAAGGAAAGTAAGTATCCGAAGGGTCCTTTAGGAACTGTGATCCACTACGCGCATTTAGCGCCTTCTTGACGTCTTCAAGAACTGCTTCATCCAAAAGCAATGAGGAGTTTAACTTCTCCTCAGGTCGTATAACGACCACTTCCGCGATGTCGCCTGCCTGTAAGGCAATGCCAAACTCGGCAAAGAACAACTCGTCCAGCTCTAACCAAGCACTTACTGCGGGTATTGCTGAAAGAGTTACCGGCTCTTCAACATCCTCAGTCCAACTATTGATGAGTGCATGTAGCTTTTTGTTATCACCGTCACTTACGATATCATCATCGCTACTCATGATGCTCTCAGCATAGAACGCGTCAGCGTCCACAAGTGTACACATCTCAAGGTCAAAGGCCACTCCATTTACTGACTGCACCTCTCCCTCTTGGGTCAAAGCTTAGTCATGAGGTGCATGCACCTTGTTGTCCTCAAAGACAACATCCATTTGTGACTTCACCCGGCCCTTTAGGGTCAGTTCCTCGTCACTCATGTCACTTGGACTCATTTCCTGTCATCTTGGCTTGAAGCCACCAACACCACTCACGGTATGTAATTAGGTAACATCATATTCATGACACATGTCATATGTGCCATATCTAGTGGGTTCTCGACCACACTATCGACAGTCTTTGGGCCTCGCCCAGGACTATTGTCCTCGACACTTACAGTGTCTACAAAGTCGGATACTTTGACATCCAACATATTGACCGACTCGGTCCAATATCCGCGCGAAAAGCACTTTTGCTTTCTAGCAGAGGTGGGTTCATGCCTCTCCAGAGCCCCAACAAAAGCATTGCGTGTTGCGTCTAAGGTCTTTGACCTGCTCATGACGTTCTTGCCATGCAATGCCTAGGATGAGGTCATACCTCGCATCCAGGTCTAAGACCAAACAGCGTTTCATAATGTTAAAGTCCAAGAACTTTACAGCTAAGTCCATCGGGACTTTGGGTACCGTAACACGCGTACATGTCGCTAAGCAAACTGTCACTGTGTCATTTTCACGCACTACAAGAGCTTCAGCATATTGCTGCCTACCTTCCACGGTAGCACGGCGCACATAATTGTCCGATGCCCCCGAATCGATCAAAATGATCCATGGCTTATAATCGCCTTTAATCGTCCACGATGACTAACAAGCCTGGCTTGCATTCTCGTTTCGTTTTTAAAAGGTCTAATCTCTTTGGGGCTGAGTCCTGTTTACTTCTACCTCCTAGAGGCTCAACAAACTCAGTTCTTCCCCAGTAGGGCGCCCCGCACCTACTGGGCTTCGCCGTCTCCCCGAGGCAAAACGGAGGGATTACTTATGGGGCGTCGGTCCTTCGAGGCCAAGTGCATATTGCCGGATCATCTGAGCATTCCGATCGGTTCATGTGGGAAATGCATCTTGCAGTGATGTACCGCTTGTAACATTCCCACTGTTTGGCTAACCCACCTAACTCTCCTGTGGCAAAGCCCACATGGTACGGTTCATAGGTGATGTCGGCTATATACATAGCCGACTCAACCTGTCGGAACCAAAGCATAAGGTTATCACCTTTATTGCCGTCGAAGTTATCGACTTCCATGTGTATGGTTTTTGGTCTGCGGACCACTTCCTGCGCCATAGTCGCCATGGGGCGAAGGCGCAAAAGAAGGCATCTGTGCCTTTACATGCTCGACTAAAGCTTTATTATATACATCAAGCATATGAATACGCTTGTTTTTTTCGCCCTGGGCAATGAGGTACTCGACGCCTGTAGGACCAAGAATAGGGAGAAAATTTTGCAACCCTTACTGTTGTGCCTGTGACAGGCCAACCGGTGACATCTTATCGATGTCCATTCTCACACAAAGAAGTAGTCGCAAACCCAGGTGCGGGGTTGACTCAAGTGCTACCAGGTGTAGCCGTGTTTCTGTAGCCAAGCTACTTATGCACTATGTGCAGAGGAAGACAAGCTCAGAGAGCTTCTACGTCTTGGGTTTTTAACCCTTCCTGGGCCAGCTCGCAAGCTTATGCCTTTTGGTTGTGAACAACTGCGACTTCAAAATAATAGTATTAAAAAATCCTTAGAAGGAATGGAACGCTTAAACTGTAAGGATTTCAGAGCAGGTTCGAAACTAATTTATATTCATGTTTATCATCTAGCACTAAATATAAAAGCAGTTACTCTATACTTAGTGCTAGTTACTATTTACTGACTTTATAGCCTGTTAGTATGCAAATATGTATAGTAACCATACCTACCTAAGTTTAGTGACCACGTGGCTCTCTGCCACGATGTGACCCCTCCGTACCTTGGGTACGGTCACATCGAGCTGCCTTGATTCCTATTCAAAAGCAATCGTTTTTTAAAGCATCGTAAAAGGACAAAAACAAGGCACTGTGGGGAAGAGTTTCAAGAATTGGGAGGTCAGAGGACCAGTGGGTCAAAGAAAAAGGGGCTTGCCAAGGAGGAGCGGCCGTTGGGTAGGGGAAAGAGAGACGGGGCGCTAAAAGGGACGGGGAACGACCGCTGGATGAGAAGAATGTATGGTCAAAGCGTGTTAGTTAGCCGCCATTCAGAGGAGTTAACCGCGGTTAGCCCGATGGACCGCGGTGCCCGCGAGGTGGGCCCCGGTCCTTCAAAATCGACTTAGTCTATCATTGGCAAACCTCGGTCTTTCATATAGGCAGACCTTGGCCCTTCGGTCGGCGGACTCTCGGCCCCAATACCTTAAGGTCGACCTTGGTCCTGGATCAATGGACCTCGGTCCTCAGCCAATAGGCCTTAGCCCTTAGGTCAATGGACTCCCGGCCCCTTCGGTCCCCTGGGCTCCCGGCCCTTCTGTCGATATTTTCTAGCCAAGCAGAGAATCAAAAATCAGGTCTTGGGGTAAAGATAGAGTAAAGAAGTAAAAGATAGATCTATATTAAGTACTACTCAAATTGCGATCTACATACCACGCCTTCGTCGTGCTTCCAAGATCCCTACTAAGTCTACCCACCTATTCCGCCTTCCGTCGGAGAGAGTTGTGTGGTAAAACCCAAGTGCGAATAGAACCCCAGGATACCTTTGTCCTGTGGGTTCGTCCGAGTAGCACCCCCCCCAACTCAACCCGCTATTGGAAGTGGTCTTTTTACCCTAGCGGTCCGGGAGCAAATAAAGGACAGGCGGTTCATACCCCTGAGATATCAAGGAAAAGGCCAGGGTTGAGTATCTCCCCTGAAGAAACTGGTTATAAGTCCACCCTCGACCTAGTCGACCGAGTGGCCACCTATCCGCCTACCAATAAAGTTTCCACCCGAGGCACCCAATGTCGATCTCTCCAAAGGCCGAGATCGCATCTCAATCAAGTCCTCCAAAGAGTGCAACCCGCCAGCCGACGGGTACACAAGGTGCGAAAAGGTCTTACGCGGCATTGAGGTACCCCCTCTGACAGTCGGCAGTTCGGCACAGCGAGTGACTTGGAGTCTCATAACGTAGTTTTGAGAACCCACTTCACCACATGAGTAAAAAGCACAGATACTCATATAAACGAATGTCGTAACATAAAATTTGGTTCGCAAGTGCGAGGCATTTTATGGCAAGGCAAGTAACCTAGAATAGAAACGGAAATCGACAGAGCTCCGCGTTAACTTCGAAAATTGTGGGTACGTTAGTTCCCACGGATTAGTGAGTTGTGTAACAGGGTTACACAAAGGTGTGCATTTTACAAACATACCTGCCACACAGTGTGGTGGCGATCGATGATCCTACTGCGTATACAAAGTGTGTCGCAGCTTCAACTGCAAGAAAAATCTTCTCTTCACAATTGTGCAGTGGTGAAGTGGCTTCTCAAATTACGTAATGAGACCCCAAGTCACTCACTGTGCCGGACTGCCGAGTGTGCGAGGGGGTACCCCGATGCCGCGTATAGACCTTCTCTCACCTTGTGTACCTGTCGGCTGGCGGATTGCACTCTTCGGAGTATGACCCTTAGCTGTTCCTTCCTCTGGGGTAGACCCAACACCTGAGGAGCCGGTCTTTGGCACTCCTGCATTCGCTACTGACCCAGAGACCCAGGTTCCCTCCCTACTGTCGATTAACACTTTCTCCTGCTGCCAGGATTAAGGGAGTCCACGACGATTTCTTATGAAGCCGTAGGTGATGAGGGTCCACCAAACTTGGATGAAACTCAGTCTACCTCCAGCTCCTCTGCTGTGGTAAACCCCGTGCCGCCTTTCCCGCACATTGCCCCGTCGTGTGATCCTCCGTCTGCGATGGGTGGGTCCATAAACGTGCATCAGATGCTGTGCAACCTACAGGGCCGCCTAAGCGCGTATAGCCGTAGACTTAAAGACCCCTAACCCAACCCTCAGAGCTAATCCTTTGCCCGATTTACGAATCTATTTTGCCGACATCTCTTATCTACATTTTTTTATCAATGAGGCGTGCGAGGGTCGACCTTCTCCCGTCCCCGCCCCCCGACGCCTACAGGAACACTCGGTGGGAGCGCCTCGAGCAAGAGCTACTAGACACCAACAACCTCGTGGTTCAGTTACGAGAGGGGCACCAGCATGATAGAGCGCTGGTGGAACATTTCCGATGGCAAATTGACTACCTCCTGAGCCGATACTCTTTCATGGTTGCGGATTTGGAGCACGAGGAATATGCCACAAATTCACTCAAGGATCCTGTGGTTCCTTCCGTGACTACCCCCACAGTGCCTCCTACACCGGTGTCAGGCAAACGGTCTCGGCGCCCATCGGCTAAGACGACCGCCAAGGTCTCCAGGCTACCGAGTCGAGAGCGACCAACACTCTCGCTTCGTCAACTCTCAAGTCAAAGACCTCCGTGATCTACCTTCGGCTCCTTCTACCTTCAAACCTCACATCTATTCCTTATCTCCATCAACTTGCAAATAGAGTTGAACTCGAAAGACCAAGGTCCACCAATGATAGACCTGCGTCGGCCTTAAAAGATCAAAGTCTACCAATGATAAACCAGATTCAACCTCGGAAGACGACGGTACCCAATGATAGACAATGGCCCTTCTCGGAAGACCACGTTCTATCGATGATGGACCAGGGTCGACCTCGAAATACTACGGTCTACAACCATAGACCTGCGTCAATCTCGAAAGACCAAGTTATACCAATAATAGACCAGGAACAACCTCGAAAGACCAAAGGTCTACCCGCGATATCCCAGGGTCGACCTTGAAAGACCAAGGTTTATTACCGAGAGACCGACTATAGACTCTGGTCGATCATCCGGGACCCTCGGCTTTGACCTATAATCCTCATGATTTTGCATTTCTTCGAAACGATTCCTCCTTGTCGCCTTGCGTTTGAAATCCCGAAGTAAGGCTCCACAATTCAAATCCGCTTCATCCACCACATGGAATCCTCATACCCTTTCCATCAGACGAGGAGCTCTCGTTGTTGTCTCACGTGTTTTCTTCCAGTGCGGGCTTCCAAATCTCCTCGACCTCGTACTCTCCTTCTTCCAGCTCTCTTGTCCAACTGTCCTCCGGAAACAGGCATTCATCAAAGTCGGTCCAAACTGTTTTCTCCGTCTCTAACACGGCATTCTCTCGTTTGGGAAATTGTCTGACCTTCTTGAGTTTGAAAAGATGTACAATCGAGAACAACCTGTGCTATGTGCCTCGAGTTTCCAAACGTGCTGCGTGCTCTCCCACCAATTCTAGATCTTAGAGAGGTTATTGAGGCTTACCGGTACAATTTTAACTCTAACGCTTAGTATTTACGGCAGAGATATCACTGGTAATTACGTCATAGTTGGTTAGACGAGTAGCTTGATAGGAATATCTACATGATTTGTATGTGCACTACATGCAATTTAGGACGTGAACAGTCACCTCTGGTTTATATATGGAATACATATAAATCAGTTGGTAGATAAAATAAGCCGTTAAGATTTAATTAATTCCAAATTTCTCCAGCTCAAGTCGTCATCACTCTTCGAGTTAGACTCCTTTCACCTTCTATCAAGCCTTGCAAGACTAAGTCTCATACCTTCCACCAGGTTATAAGCCCGAGGACGATGTCCTCTTATCAAAAAAATGTCCTCTAAGGTCGTTATCGATAAGCTTGATGGGGACAACTACGCGACTTGGAGTCGTTACATTCGCGGCGTGTTCCTGACCAAGTAGGTCTGGAACCTCGTCAATAGCGATACGACGCCGACCTCCGCAGACCCTCGTCCCATGGAAGACTACGTCAGGTCGAGCAATATCGCTTTCGGACAGATGTTTCTCCACATGGACGCAGACTATCATCACGTTATTGATGATTGTGAGGAAAAGTGGGTTGCATGCACGCATTTAAAGACACTTTACGGTGGATCGCAAAAAGATGGGCGCATGTTTTCGAAACGCCAGCTCTTCAGTATGGAGATGAAAAAAGGCGGTAATTTGATGCATCATTGCAACGAGGTTCTTAACATCAGCGCCAAGCTTACCAGCAACGGCGCCAAGATGGAGGACGAAGACGTGGCGATCTGTTTGTTGCACATTGTCCCCAAGAGCTACGAGAATGAATGTCCTGTCAATTTTGGAGATAAACAGACTCAACTACTATTAAGAGAAGTTGTGAGGGTGCTTAAGAATGATAAAATCAAGAGACAAGGCAAGAAGACGGCATTGGTTATAGACGAAGAAGCGGCTAACGCTTTCAGCACCGAGCGCAAATCTCACCAGTGTACGTACTGACAGAATTGGAACACACGGCAGAGCGGTTTTGGACCAAGCAGAAGGAAGAGACAATAAAGGTGCTCGACGCGAAGGACGCGGAGCTAAAAATGTGCAGTGGAGAACCAGCAACAACAGCTACGACGACGGTTACGATCGAGTGGCGTTTGCGGTTTTTCTGGAAGTGGTACTATCTACGGGAAAGAGCATACCCGGAATGTGGGCGATTGACAGTGGAGCAACAGACCATGTATGCAACAACAAGGCCACGTTCACGACGCTGGTCGAGAAAGATGAAGGTGACCTGTTGGTGGCTGATGGCAACAAGGACGCAATCAAGGGTGTGGAGAACCATCATCAAACGACTGGTTCTGCACAACAACTACGAGCGCGACATCGAAATCAAGGATGCCTTATTCGTGCTGAAGATGAACGAGAATCTGCTATCGGTGCCGCAGATCAACAAGAGTGGCAAGTTTCACGTGGTGCTCAACGGTGCGAGTATGCACGTAGCGCACAAGAATTTGAAGCAAGCGGTGGCAACAGCGGAGCTCGTCGATAGACTTTACTGGCTTCGCACGCCATAACGTTCGGCAAATGCAACGACTTCGGCAAGCAGTGTGAATTTGCACGCACGAATGGGCCATGCTCCGGTCAATGTGTTGCGCAAGATGGTCAACAGCGGTATAAGTAAGGACGCAAAGGCTCTATTGCCGACAATTGGGATATGCCATGTATGCCAGCAAGGGAATGGTTCAAAAATCGTTCCCAAGAAACGGTGACAAGGGCCGCGAGGACACGTTTGAGCTTCTCCACTTCGACATCGTGGTCCTATGGAGAAAGGAACACTGGGTGGTATCAAGCATTTGCTCCTCATCGTGGACGAAGCCGGGTTCGGTCATGGGATGAAACGCGTGGACCATAGCCGTACTAAGGCTGGTGTAGCGAGATGTCTTTGGTATACCCAACGCTGGCGTTGCCTTGTGCTGAGCAGATTAGAGATACAAAGGTGTATATATATGTATTGTACACACCTTCGTGTAACCCCGTTACAGTCTTTTGAATAACCAGTACAGACAAGCACGACAATCGTCAGTTGTCTCGACGAGCTGACGACAAGAATTGACTTAATTATATACATCGAAAGTGTTTGCGCTTTATCCTAATTGCGGTGATATAATAAAGGTCTTCTAAAATCTCGTTCTACACTTTTAATTAGTTGGAAAAAGTGTTGTAACCGGTAAAATCTTGGTCGCACAAGTAAACCTGCTACAGGTCATTTCCTATTTTACGTTGGCAGCTGCATCGGCGAACCCACGCTGGTGAACACTAGAGTACGTGTTGGGCGACACTGCTGGCGATACACGCCTGGGTGGTGTCACGTCAGAAGCATCGCTGCCCATAGCCCTGCCCCGAAAGAGCCTTGACCCAAACACACCGGCTCGTGGTTTTGTACACGCTCCTACTTCTCTTGCGACGCCTCCATGCGATCCATTCGCTTGTTGAGGCCCACAAGTAGGTCAGGGAGCTGTTTTGGCGTGTTCGCACGGTCTTCGTTGACCTCTAAGTTCTCTCCTTGAGCGTCGGCCATTTCGCGACAGACATCTGCTCTTGGTCGCTGGCTACCTTCGTCGTCAGCAATCGTATCCTCGTTCGGGCTCATAACCTTACATCACAAGAGGTAGAATAAGGAGAAAGTAGAAGTGATTATATTTAGCAAACCCTGCCTTGGTGCCTTGTGCTTTCACAACTAGCACTGCAAAACGTACCCTATGCAAATCGGAGAGTGGGCGACCAACATCAGTTTCGTAACGGTCCATGCAAGACGAAAAGACCGACGAAGGTTTCGTAACGGTCCATGCAAGACGAAAAGACCGACGAAGGTTTCGTAACGGATCATTCAACGCCAAAAGACCGATGGCGGTTTTGTAATGGTGCATCTAAAACCAACAATAAAATTCTCCATTACAACATCCATTTTTTATATCTCATAAGGCAGGAAACGGCTGAGACTGCTATTGGTCTTACCCTTACTGACACGTATGGTGAGCTACCTCTCATCCAATCAAAGGAACGTTGTAACCATGTTTATCAATTGTACGTAGTTGGTAATTTTCAATTTTAAAATTAAGAAAATGCTATATATCTGATACTTTCTGATCCTGCAGAGTCAAAGATTTAAACGTCGAGTTACAAGGTAAAAGTTTTTGGGTACGTGGATATTTACAGAGTGTACGCGCCAAATCCAAGATCGCATTTATTACGCTGCGTCAAGAGACAGCAACAATTCAGGCTATTTTGCATGAGAGTGACAAAGTTTCACGCCCTATGATCAAGTTTGCGGCCAGCGTGTCAAAGGAATCCGTTGTGGACGTGTTTGTGACACTAAACGTACCCAACAGCCCCGTCCTCAGCACTACACAGAAGGACGTGGAGCTCAATGTGGAAAAGTTTTTTGTGGTCAGCAAGGCACTACCAGAACTACCATTCCAGGTAGAGGATGCAGCTCGCTCCGATATTGTTGTCAAGGCCGAAGAATCTACTTCGGTAAATGAGGGACTGAGTATTAGGATTCTTAAATACTTGGCAATGGTATCTACGCACACCTGGAAATCATACATGAACACTATAAACGTCGTTTATGGGCCCTTCGCTATTGCCGGCCATTTTTTTTTAGGTATATACTAGTTATTATTATCGAATTTGTAATTTTCAGCTTTATTTTTAAATTGTAAATGCTCTGAAATTAAATTTATACATAAAACGAAAGAGTAATTACATTAAATCATGAGTGAACAAGGTCGCAGTTGCAGTCCTCAACGTCGATACCGTTGGAGTCGCAGTACAAGCAGAAGTAGGAGTCACTCAGCATCTTTAAAGCATATTCATCACCATCATTATCATCATCGGCATTATGAGCATAAGAGGCGACACGACGAAGGAGCTGAAATGCAAAAGCTGAAAAATCGAAATGATGTTGCGTACAGATCGCGCATGTGGACGGTCGTAAACTCGGACAAGGACGACTCAAGCACAGGTAAGACACACAAAGACAGTTCAATTGATAGCAAGTATTCACACGATAGTTATCACCACACCTCGAAGGCGTCGTTTGCGATCGTTATCGTCTTCGTCCGAGTCGGAGAGTTCTGACATCTTGAAAAGCGAGCGATCACGTCACAAGAGTAAACACAAGTATAAAAAATCTCATGAAGATAAAAAGCGACATAAGAAGAAAGAAAAACAGCGAAAAAAGGACAGTAAGAGTAAGAAATATGCTGTGAATCAAGATAAGTACGGCAAGTACGGTATTCTGCGTGAGTCAGATTTCCATTACAAGAGCGTCTCTTTCCAAGCGTGGCTTCGTGATGTGAAGAAAATGGGTGAGTTTAATGGGCCCAAATGGGAAGCCATGGAACTTTTTAAAGAATACATGGAAGACTACAATACGTGCACAATGCCCCACAAAAAGTATTACGATATTGAAAAGTACGAGATGAAAAGGTATCAGAAAAAGCAGCGCAAGGCGTTTGCCAATCAGAAAGAAACATCTGGCAAGACATTGGATACATTGGCTGATGAAGAACGCTTGCATCGTGAGCTCCGGAATGCACGTGAGAAGAAGGAGCAAGAAGAGTTTCGCCTTGTGTTGCAACTTATGGACAAGGACAAGATTGAAGCCATGCGTGAGCAGGAGCGTATTCGTGCCCAGATGCAGTTGTTATACAAGTCTGGAAATGTTGAAGAAGCTCGTCGTCTTGAGCAGATTCTTAACAAGGTCGAAGAAGATCCACGCTTCAAGAGATAAGATGTTGGTGAAATTGTGAGAATTGAACGTCATTGTCGTTGATTCATGCTTGACTATTCTTCACTTTGTCTTTGAATTTTTCTTAACATTTTAAATGCTAGCTTTATGTTTTACTATATATTTGTATGCATGATTTTACATGGTTACTCTTTCATTGTGATTATTGAAATTTCGCTTTCCACATAAGAGAATGAGCTCTTCATTCAATAACGCATGCCTCGAGAACTCGAATATAAATGGATTGTTGCTTGCTGATACTTGTAATAATGAGTCACATGTCAATCTGCCACTCGAAAAGGAGTTGCTACCATTACAAGAGGAAAAAGAAAAGGAAAAAGTACGGGATCAAGTAATTTGTATGATCTTTGACTTACATATATCAACAGAGTTTTACAAAGGTACAAAATTGATACAAAGAACTAACTAAAATATATTGAAGTATCATGAAAATCGTGAAGTGTAACAGAATTAATTAATAATGTATTGTATGTGATTCATAATGTGTCTAAATTATTCTTCTCTCTCTCTACATGTCTTTTATTTTAGACTTTTCATGTGCCATTGCGTCGACGCTGGCTATGCACGGACGCATGTATCCAACAAGCTCACACGTCTGCTTTTATTCCAATATGTTTGGCCGTGAGAGAAAGGTAAGGATATAACGAGAGGAGAAGGAGCGTGATTTTAGTAGAAGAGTTCACTTACTTTCGAGTATAATTCTCTGAAGTTGCAGCTCGGCACTTAAAAAGCTTTCTAGCTAGCCAATATTGTTGACAAATTGCTGAGTCTATCTCTTGCTGTCTCTGGGTTTGGTACTAGCGCAGATTTTGATTCCGTACGAGTCCATTTATGCAATTGAGAAAACAACAACGATGATGTTTCAGCACTCGATCCGCCTCGCAACGTTTGACAAGAACGAGTACACATTTACGAGCTTTTGGGGCAATAACCGTGATAGTTGCTATGAACTCATTGTGAGTACACGCGATCGTGTACTACGCGAGTTGCCCCGCACTGTAGTTGATGCCTTGGAACCGCGTCACCCAGCGCTTCCAACGTCTTCCATTGCATGGATCTCCAAGTCTCTAGACGCAACATTGCTTCAAACGCAGTCTGAGTCTTTGACAGAGAAAGATCTTGAAGAAGAAAAAAAAGTGGGAGATAAAAGTACTTCCGATCATACTGACTATGCGGGTATTGCCACGAGAGACGACACCAAAATGGCAACGGATGATGCAGATAGTAACAGCCACACAAATCTTGCTTTTCCACATCAGTGCCGTGTGGTTTCGGATGTGGACTCGATTGCGCCTAAGGATATCTCGATGATCCAAGTCCTCAAGGAGGTATTTCCTGTGTCGACTGATACCTTCATGGAGATATTTTACGTAGATAATGCACCTTTTGGACTAGACAAGTTTGGTGAACGAACTGGGTCAAGTGAAATGACCATGAATCCCTGGGTGACTCCAGTGGATGACGATAAATTGTTTGGTGCGTGAGCAATGCGTCGAATTGTTGCAAAAAGAATTTGACGTTGTTTGACACTGTTGCCTTTTTAAACGTGGTTTTGCGATAGGTTCGACACGGTCGATGCAATTTCGTGTGCCAATCGATGCTCCAATTGGCCCAAAGTCTTCGCGTGTTGACGTGGTAATATTGTCATTTGGTGTTTTGTTTTGTCCACTTGTCCTGTGAATTAAGGTTATTTATGTGATGTTCAAGCTGCAATGCCTGAAAGAAAGTGAGAATGGAGTGCGCGTTGTAGAAAGCTCGACCCGGCTTGTTGACATACCGTATGGCGACTACTTTAGTGTCGAAGACCGGTGGACTATTGTGCCACACCCTTCCTATCCCAATTCCTGCAAATTATTTATCGAGTTAAAGGCAAATGTGAAGCATTGGCAAATTTGCGGTAGCGTGGTGTATACTTATTGATTATGCTATTCCCTTCTTCTTCTAGGTGGCCTTTGGTAAGTCGACATTCTGGAAGAAAACAATTGAAGCCCGTGCTATCAGTGACAACCGAGCCAAGTGGGAAAATTGGGCTGAAATGGCGAAAGAATTTTTAGGTTCGAGAAATTTAAATGATGCGGCAAATTGTGCTGTGGAGAATTCTCCGACTCCAAGCACGCTGTTGGCGAAGACGGCGCCAGACGAAGTCGCCCGAAAAGATCATGGATCTGTGGTGAGTCGTCGTTGTCCAACCAAGCCCCGTCACCTTCATGGATATTCCACAACCGCAGCCGGAGGAGCTTGTGCAGCCACGGTGAGAGTGTTTCCATGGGTCCTGGTACTACTTCTGCTCCTAGTTGTTTTGCGCTTGCAAATGACATTGTCAAGCATAGAACGTTCCTTGTTGGATAATGCCAAGCTTATCAGCAACCTCGAAAGGCAACTTTCCAGTCTTGAAGTAGAAGGCTACCAGTAACAGCAGTTTCGTGTGTTTGTCGCGCTTTTACGACAACAAATTTATACCAAAGAACAGTGCATTCAACTGTTCGTTGTACCACGTTATGCAAACTATTCGTTGTACCACGTTATGAAAAACTATAAATCGTTTGTTCCAGCATCAATCCAAATCAACTGGAAGTCGACACGCTTTTGCAGTTTTTGTAGCCAGCGGTTAGCGTATAAGTCGGTATTGCATTGCACCATGCGGTAAAATGACGCTGGATCGCAATCCTCTGCATTTTGTGTTCGGTCCTTATAGTTTTTCCCTGCTCCATACATCTCATCCATTTTCTCCGTATCGTGTACACCTTGATGTCGGATGGTAAGAATTTCCTGTCGCATAGAGCACAACACACGCTGTAGAGCTCGCAAATAGGCATGTTGGAATGGGTTATGCATCACATGAACGTCTGGTGGAAGGCTTGCAACGATCCTGTTTATATCGTATAGCACTCCTACTCGGGATTTCACGCTAATGCTTATAAGCGCAAGCGTTCGTCCAATAATGAAATCAGTACATGTGGGTAATTCAGAAATTATTTTTCGTAACCACGATACCAGATTTGAACCGGATGAGATGAATAGCAATTGCGTTTGCTCTGATAAACGGCATCATAAAAAATCAAATAACCTTAGCGCTTCTAGTTTGGAATACCACATACCACCAAGCATATTTACATACATACCTTGTAAAGTGCTTAAATCACCGCTTTCATTGCTTCTGAATGGTGTCCTCAATCCTCTACTAATCCCAATCAGGTCGTAAAGATAAATGTTGACGGATGCAATAGCAAGAGCCAACTCACTTGGGTTACAGGCCAGAGTGGTCTTGAAGACACTATCGTCCTCAGATGGTCTTAAATGCAGCCATAACATTACCTCTAACGGCCTTCGCTCACGAAGAAATGGATCACTTGTAGCAAAGTGAAAACTCAGCTGAAATCGTGATTCTTTTTGTTGCCTGATCGTGTGTTTGATCATGTCCCGCGCAGGACAAAACTCAGGAACTACTGAGCTCAAGCACCTCCAGCCTTGTGCAGGTGTTTGCCTCCCGTTACGTGCTGTCAGAAAAACATAACAGTCGTAGAAGACAAAGTCCGATAAGTTCCTTAGCACAACTTCAGCATGAACATGTGACGATGACGGCACATACTCAAGCAGAGTAAGCTGCTCCAACAAAACTTGTTTTTTCAGCTTGAGGTCATCTGAGAAAGACGTTCGAGCTGGCATCATTGTTTCATCTTCTGCATCATTTCGGAAATCAGTAGTTGAGCAGACAATCGTTTCCATATCCACGTGCACCTGGAAATCCATACCACGGTTGTCTACCTCTTGAGCTGAAAAAGGTAACAAAACCAAATGCTCGTTGGGATAGCTTGCACTAGCTTGTATTTTTTGCCACAGTCGTGCGATATGCTGGTTGAGCTGGTAGACTAAAGAGACCTTATCCCTCACAATTATCTGCAGACGTTCAAGTCCCTGCAACCCATTGCTGAGACGTGCAGAGAAAGAATTTGCAAGCTTTTCAAGCTGCGCGCGAGAAGCAGCTCCGTTACCACCCGCGTCATCTTGAACTGGTTCAATGTGGTTTGCAATTATGTCACGAGACGAAGCCTTTTGAATGCGTTCGATGTAGCAGAATGTTCCTGCCTTAGTGTCGTCGAGACTGACGCTGTCGTTATTGCGAGTTCTTTTGCACAAACGTGAGCCGTGCTTCGTTTTCTTTACTTCGTGTAGTCGAAGTCGATGACACGATAGCTTGATCACAGGCAATAATGTCTTCTGCACGACAAGAACACTGCGTTTTACGAGCTGTTTGTGATCCAGGAACTTATGCATGCCCCCTTCATTCCCAATGATGTCCATGGTATCACCGATATCAAACATTCCTCGAACATCATTCAGAAGTAGGATCTGGTTCGATCTATCAGACACGTGTGTGCCAGAGAAATATCCGATTTGCGCGTAGCCTACATGCTCAAACGCTATCAAAATCGCACCAGCATAAGTTAGATCTGGGAATTTTTCTGCAATAGCGCACAAACCATGACCGAGAAACGCACATAAAAGCAGTTCCATGGACAAGTGTTCCCCTTGACTGGAAAATTTTAGTATGAAAAAAGAACGGTTTTCATCCTCGCATCGCACAAAGAGCACGTGGCGATGGTCCGAGTTGTCTTCACATAAGGACCGTCTGACAAAATTCACGAGTCAGCTACCTCAACGGAGATAAACATCACACACAATATCTGATCCAGCCGTACATTTCTGCTGGTTGAGCTGACAGCACGTAGGACACGAGCAGAATTTCGTTTGCATGGACATATATCGTATTGCTGGTAGTACCGGTGACCACCAACGTTGATACACCTACACTTGTCTGGGCCGACCGAATCCTTAAAGTTCGTCCCCAAGACGTGAATGCATCTGTATCACAGGAAGATGAAGCTGCAAAATCCTTTTGGGTCGGTTCAAAAATGAAGCAACAACACGTTATCTGCTCAAGCTTTGCAGTTGTCTCTATGCCCTCTGTCGTCGAGGAAAACACAGGTAGGTACTGACACAACGAAGCTTGTTTCATACTGATGAATTCGTCTTTTGAATAATCAAGATCTACAACACTCCAAGTGTGTCTGTCGTAAACCACCATGATCACAAACACATAGGAAAACCGTTAACTTCACAGCAAAAGTGACAAATAACTCATTGAGAACGACGTACGTGTCAGATGATGAGAACGGTAGCTGCCGCAGCGTATGAATTAGAATATGTGGTCTAGCGCTATGCAGCTCGGACACGTAAGTGCAAGACACCACTTGAAAAGCCTCCAAAGTGTCGTCTTTTATGCCATGTACCACATTTAACGGTTCGATAAATGTTAACGAGTCGCCACCATGTATTGCTCTTTGAAGGTGTAACAACATCAAGTGTTGCGAGCAATAATGATAGATCAGCATATGAGGTCCGTCCATTACAAACCCTTGCAGCATGTTGATGTTTTTTCTTCCAACTGCAGAATCTTTATTTCCAACTTGTATTGAAACTTTTATCATATTGATGAAACGCAATTGAATCTCGTCAACGTTGTCCGACTGATACAAAGTATAAAATAATAGCCAAGTACTGGCAGACTTTATCACAGCGTTATTGGATGAGACTGCGATTGTAGCATTTTTTATAGTTTGCCGACATTTGCTACTTGTGAATGAATTTTGTGGTGGTTCTTGTAACGAGAGAAATACTAACACCGGGTAGCGACTGCAATATATACACAATAAACAACATAAAGAATTAACCAGAAATTGAACTCCATTCGTAGAATATTATTATTAACGAGAAAATGAGACAATAAACGCACGTGGCCGATATCAAATCGTCCACTTCATTAGCAGCAACGAGACGTGCGTCAACTGGCAGTGTAATTGCTTTATTTTGACCTATTGTATTACAACAATGCAGCAATACTTTTTTCTTCTCAATGTCAACACCCACGCGTTCGATTTGTAGCTTTCCTAACTCACAGCGTACGAGAAAAAGTGTATCGTTCCACGACAGTAGTTTGCTCATCATTAAGAATGATGGTTGGTAGTGATTTAAAGATCTGGTACCCTGAGGTTACGGTCCGGTGTAACTTCCTTTAAGTACCACATTTTACAAAATCACGCGTTTGACGGGTTTTTCTTCTAGAAGTACCTTTATTGGTAGAAGATGTTACGCGGCATTAACTTATTATATTGAGACCTTTCTTGGTGACACCTAGCTCAGCTAGAAGGTGGATCGTACCACCGTGGTAATAGCCTTACTCGTTTGAGCACAACTTTATTACGTACTCATACATATTGAAAACACTCCGGACAACCACTGCCGTCCTGGCGCCGATTGACACTCTATCCGAAGATTGTTGTATCGGCGTCCAAACTACGATACGATCACCCTAACAGCTTGTTCGACTCCTTAACAAAGGCTTCTTCTGTTCTTGCGCTTAGGCCATTCCTACAAAGCATTTTTTACAATACTTGCTATTGTCGTCCGTCGCTTTATACGTTAAGACACACGTCAATGCAAAGTGCAGCGACGATACCTACACTGGCGGTATCGAATGAAAACCCATCGACACATTTGACCGTTGACGCGAGTCAGTTTCGTGGTATTGCACTGAATCAGTCTAATTTGCGCAGTCATTCGCATACGTAACGCGCCGTCGGACAAGTTAAGTTGCAGTTGTTCCTCAGACGTATCAGTTAAACTAACTGAGTTTCCAAAAAAGCCTCCTCTGGTCCTCGAGCCAACCTCAAAGTGCGCAGACTTGAAGCTCGCAAGAGACGTGCCAGTATCAGGAAGGTTGCCAAGCTAAGGTAGGAGCACATGCCGTCGCAGTTGCTAAGAATAAGAAAGTTCTTGGTCGGACCAGAGTAGGTAGCTCTAGCTATGCACATAGCACCAAAGCAATGCGCCTTGTCCTTCTATTCTTTTATTCATTGCGGTACTCTAAAATTTTAAAATATTGGTACTGTTTTTCTATTGATATGCAAATCAATCCCTAGCTTGCAGTTAAGACGGTATTGCTTTGATTCAAATAAATTAATGGCTAGCCTATTATTGTATTGATTAATCTTCAAAAACAGTCTTGACTAAGCACAAGTAGTTTGCATGTGCGCGCCATGTCAGACCTGAGATAGCTTATAAGCGTTATTGATCTGTAATTCGCGAAAGCCGTGATAGTACCGTAAGGAATATATATATTTAATGCAATGGTTCCGCCCTAGCATCGTTGCCAATTAATGGTAAATTGCACCCATCTCTAGCTTGTCGTCTGATCGGCTTTGCTCTTACAAAGCAAGAGGCAGCAAAACTTTAACACTTGAAGGGTATACTATAAGCATCTCGTCACTACATCGTTGGATCCAGCTGCGTCTTATAATAGTTGCTCCAGCATATCGGCATTAACGCATAGTTCTTCTTTAGCGGGGCGCCTGGCATGGACGCCTCCAGCAATGAAAATGTTGTCAACTGCAGCGTTTGTTGCACCTTGCATATATTGAATGACCAAAGAGTCACCAATGTGCACAACTTTTGATTCATCAGGCACACTACCAAAGAAGACAAACGTCAAAGCTCACCTATTTCTCCGTACGACTCTTTTTGTACACGAAACGATCATTCACACGCTACGAATTAAACTGCTAAGTATGCTTTATGATTTCGACGCTACCTTTAGTACGCTCGAAGCTTGCGACGTCCGCCGTGCGTGACTTATTTTTTATGAGTTATTGTGTCGACACCGTAATCATTTCATTCATAACCTTTGGCTGTCGAGTCTTTTGACGACTCTTTTTAATGATGATGCCGGTCTTTTTTGTTTTTTTGTAACGGTAGCAATCAATGTAGTAGTAGTGTGATCGTCAATACATACGGCAAACACTATTGTTAAAGCACCAGTATTTCTCTTGTATCTTGATTCGCGTCAGCTGCAGTTTTTGTCATTCAGCATGGCGCTTACATGGATTAGTAGTAGTGTATTTTAACGATCAAGAAAAGAATGTAAATGCATACAGACTGTTCAGTAGCCAGCTAAACTTTAAGCATCATGATGACTGTGTGGCTGTTGCTACGCCGGGTTAGCTTCGAGATTTTGATACAGTCGGACTTGAAAAAATGCCGCTGACGGAGGAACATGCTTGTTTAGCGGTTTTGCGTGCAGCCAAAGTCTCCTCGCGGTCGGAGCTGGTGAAGCTGCCTTGGTATATAGAATTTGATTTCTGCGCTTAGCACTGTAAGAAGATGAACTTCGCATGCGTTCGCATAAATAAAGTCTTGGTATACCTTTCCAGTCAATCGCACCATTCTGTGCTGATGAATCCTCTAGTTCCGCACGTCTTCGCTATGACACCGCCATTATGTCCAAATCCGGCTTAGGTTGCAAGGCTTTCTTCTCGCGTACTTCTGCGGTGGTTTCTATTACGCTGACGGTCTCCGTCAAAGCTTGGTTTCATAACCAAGATCTCATCTATCCTACAATTTGGTGAGCTACGGATGACAAAATTTCATCGGTTTCTTCTACCGTCTCCAAGGCACCTTTGTGCCGCCTAGTCTTGTACATTCAAGCTTCATTCCAACGTTAATCTTTGGTTGACCCATTGCTAGCAAATCCATGCATGCATTCTGTTGCGTAAAGGTACATCGGGTATGGCAAGCAAACGTCAGAAGCTGTTACACAGTAACTGTCAGGTAAATATGCTACAATGTAAATGTGCGAACTGCGTCAATTCATTGCCCTTCATGATGCTAAATGAAGGCCAAAAAAGAGATTCACAAGCATTACAGTGCAGAACTCACTCGCATCACCAAGAACCCAGCAATACAATTTTGAGATTGCTTCTCTTTTAAGCAACTCTCCGGGCTACAGAGAGGCTTAAAAACACATCAAGCATTGTTTCGTGGACATATATACATTTCAGGATCAGCGACGCCCTTCAACGCGATTTAGGAAACTATTCAATGTGTATCTGAATTCAAGAAATCTCCATTCCTGTGGAACGAGCAAAAATGTTTGCGAGTGACGGAGTTTCCTCTTTCACATAAGGTTGATGCTGTCTATTCGGTATCCTAAATACCGTGTGTGCACCAAGGAATCATAAATGTGTCGATCCGGATGACGCTGGAAACGCCTCAGCATGAGCTAGTAAGATGTGATGTATCTACACCTTTTAGCTAAAGCGTGACTTCCATTTAATTTGTTTGCAAAGATTCTGATATTTTGAAATCGGATATGACATTTATACGTATTGAGGGTAGCGAAGACTTTCCTGGTTGAATAGCGACAGCTTGCGAAATAACTTTCAGCACAGTTGCAGTTTAAAATGCCAAAAGGCCGGACGAGAATGCATTATACTGAGTAGCCTCATTTCGCTTGTTTGCCTACTACATGTAGTAGCGTGACACGATTGGCAGAAAATCTTGGATAGTACAGAAGCGCAGAGTAATTTTCTCAGATGACGAGGGAACTGTCGTGCTAATGGATAGGATACATATTACTATCCTCAGGAAAACTTGTTTGCGCTTTGTACATAGAATGTATAAAACACCAACATTTTTTTCGGCAAATTTTCAAGTCGGATCGCTCACCGCCGTCCCTGCGCTTGTAGCTGGGACTGCTGCATTTTTCTCCGCCAGAAGTGATCCAGTTAAAGCGAGCTATTTCTCATGGTTACGTAAACGGTGAACAAATCGATGAAATCCGCATAGGCATCAAAATAGACCAAGGACACCAAGACTGGTACTGCTTTCTAAAATTGCAAGATGAAGCTCGTTTGGGGGACAAAAGCGGTGCTTGAAGGAAGAATCGTGATGATCAGTCTTCCCTATTTCTAACTTCCAAGCTTAGAATCTGATCGACGAACCAGAGCTAAGAGTGAAAGAAGGTTCTGCGAAACTTGCTCTAATTTCGTCTGTCCGGATGACAACATGTCGCTTTGCTCACGCACATTATTTATTTATATTCGCAGTTGCTCTATAGAATGAGACAGTTTCGTTGTCTGAACAATAAGCTTGAAAAGATTGGTGTCTGCTAACTCATGTGCTACCAGCATCAGTTTCAAGTCGTGCTCGGAAGTGTATCATAAAAAACTGACCCGGACCAGACATGAATTTGATACAAAAACAAGCGCAAAGTCCGAGTGGCAAATTGAAGGACTAGATTCGTGACAAGAGGAAATTTTTTATCTTTTCTTATTATACTTAACGAGGATTTTGCAAGATCTCCGTTAACAGTAAAAAGGAAACAAGTGTTCACGCCACAACTACCAAGACAATGGAGTCTAAATCCGACCAAACTCGTTTTATAATATCGAATGGTAATAACTGCTTACTCGAGTAGGTCTAGCGGTGATTTGTAGTGTTTGCAATTTTGGTGACTGTGGGCGCGAAGACTTTGGAGGCTGAAAATTTAGTTCTTGCTTTGAAGACAACTACGATAATGGTGTGAGTTCCTTTTATATAGGTATAAGTAGCAATCACGTATGTTGAAAGTGTTCGATATGTAAAGTAAAGTCATCATCTGGCTAACGCATTCGTGCTTAAATATACGAACTACATTTAATATAATCTACTTGTTAATGTGAAGTAGCAAACCGTTGTTGTATCACAGCTATAATAATAGTTGACTTTTCTTTAATAGCGATGCTACTACGTAAGATACTTCGTAACTTAGATGGGCTATTTCGTTTTTATCAGTTGATGCTACAAAATAATAAACCTACGATGAATGACGCATTTCGTAGGTAACAGGAAAACTTAAAGGTTGTGCATTGGACAAACATCTAGGCGCCCACTTACAGTCATGTTGGCAGTCTCATTTAGGATTCTGCCTAGCGTCGGATATCGGGTATACACGGTGAATAATAAATACATGTAAATTCGTGTAGTCCAACTTTAGTAAATGTCTGACGGTCATCAAAGACCAGATACGCGCTGTTTGGACATGTCTTTTGGTTGATGCACGAACACAACTTCTTTGGACAGAACACTGTATTCAATCAAAGTCGGAGGATGTCGGGATCCGACTAGAAGATCAGCTTTCAAGAAGCTGATACCTAGAAAGTCTACCCAGGATCAGAAATCGTTCAGCCGATTCGAAGCGGTTAGAAAAAGGATGCACTACTCATTTATGCAGTAGCATATGGGTTAGAGCAACAGACGTCATCTTGTCGGATGGGGTGCACCATGGTCGTGCATCAACGAATTTTAATATGCAGCAAACTATTGCGAGTGTTTTTCTTAGGATGGGGTCCGCTCCGAATAGTATGCCGTAAGATGCCAACCCGACGGTCCTCGGAAGTTTAGCGACATTGCTCAACATTCTTCATTTTTCAATTTGCTTAGCTTGACATACACATCGTCCTCGAGACTAAAACAACGATGAAGTTTACGCCGGGTCTAGTTTTTGCGGCACTTGCAGTTACTGCTGCTAATGCCGACACACCGAACACATACCTACGCAGCTCTGGTGGCGATGCGGAGTCCAATCTTGATTCGTCGAAAACTAACTCTCTGGACGATGAAGAGGACGATGATAATCTCGAGATTGATCTGAACGAGCTGTTTGGCGACACGAAGAACATTGGCGAAAACGGCAAAATCAACATCTTGGATCTGATCGGCAGTCGAGACGGTCAGATAAGATTAGAAGAACTACTTGAAGCATTGGATGACAAAATAGGTGGCGTTGATTCTAATGGAAATAATAAATACCTGAATCCCCACCAGGTCCGCGATGTGGCTTCAAAAGACGATGATTCCTACAACGATCTCTTTTCACTATCAGGTAGCCTTGATGATATGTTTAAAGAATTCTTGAACCCGAAATCCCTAAAGAGCACTCCAGTAGAGAATGATTTCAAATCTGTAGACGGAACTCCGACGAAGACAGGCTCTGTTATGAAGCATCCGAAAGCTGTACCTCCTACAGATGATGGCAGTGACGATTGGTTGTGGTTGCTTGGATCTTCTGCATATGATACGGGCTCCACGTTGAAGGGTGACACCGCAGACAAAGGCAAATTAACTGATGACGTTGGCTACTCAGCACTTAAAGGAAAAGGCGATGGTCCTATGGTACAGGACGATGGGTACACTGACACCAAGGCAACGAAGGCATATGCAACTGCTCCTGTGGCAAAGGGTAACGGGTACAACTTACTTGCTGATGACGACGACGCAAATAACGGATATGGCAAGGACACATTGTCAAATGATAGCTCTGCGAGCAAGGACGATGCTGATGACGACGATGACGACGATGACGACGCCGACGAAGTGGGAGCTAAGACCAAGGGCAAATATCCTTTGACAAAGGAAAGTGGGTACGGTGATGTCTTTGCAACTAAAGGAAACAGCGAAGATCTTTTATTAAATGATGCTGGATACACTGACACCGAGCCAACAAAGGCTCCTTCTGTGGCAAAGAGTAAAGGGTACACCTTACTTGACGATGACGATGACGCAAATAACGGATATGGCAAAGACACAGTATCAAATGATAGCTCTGCGAGCAAGGACGATGCTGATGACGACGATGACGACGATGACGAAGTGGGAGCTAAGACCAATGGCAAATATCTTTTGGCAAAGGAAAGTGGATACGGTGATGTCTTTGCAACTAAAGGAAACAGCGAAGATCTATCATTAAATGATGCTGAATACACTGACACCGAGGCAACAAAGGCTGCTTCTGTGGCAAAGGGTAAAGGGTACACCTTACTTGACGATGACGATGACGCAAATAACGGATATGGCAAAGACACAGTATCAAATGATAGCTCTGCGAGCAAGGACGATGCTGATGACGACGATGACGACGATGACGACGTGGGAGCTAAGGCTGATGATAAATATCCTTTGACGAAGGGTAACGCCGCCTACAAAGTTTATTCAACTGTTGACCACAATGAAGAAGAGGTTGATGACGTATACTCTTCCAAAAATCTCAAAGGCTCGAAGAATAAGGATGCTTCACCTCCCAATGTTGGTCATCTGTACGAAGATAACGGGGTCGGTGTCGTTGGTGTCAGCGAGGATGTTGTGAAGGATTCAAAGGGCAAATCGATGATGGTGGAAAACGATCCTACGCAGAACGACCATCGTTTGACGTAACTTCTCATCAAAGAGAAGGTCATGGAGAGCTTAAAGATGGGGGACTATCAAGGTAAAGTTCTAGCGTAGTGTACATGGCTCTGTCAATAATGAACATTGAATTCATAGCTTTTGGTTCCATTATTTCATCTTCGTAAGAGAATGATTACCATTTTTATAGGCGAGAGGACTTTTCAATCATATCAGTTCAGCTGCGAATTTGCGTCCTTTGACCCAATTTTTTATCGATGCAGTTCATTGTTTCATTCTTGGGCACGAACTGCGTGTTCATTGAATGGTTCTATATGACAACTGGCATGTCATGACGTACGGACAGCTCTATCTTTTTTCTGCGAAGCTTCGTGCAAGTGGCACGCTCCTGCTAGAACAAAAATGGCAACGTCTACCCGTCTACCTTGTTTGCGACCGATGCTATTCCTACGCCCAGCTCAGCGGTACGCATGTGCGATGTTGTGAAAGAATCAACGTAGCTTGCACTCTCCTTCACATTTCATTGAGCTTTCAGGCAAGAAAACGTTGGTAGAAAGGTCAGTGCGGTGATCGCATTCAAACAGCATTGTCGTTAGATGATGTTCCAAGGTCCACGATTTCTTTCCTGAAGCAGTCATTTTCAAGGAAAGCAAGTCCATCACCTACCAGATAAAGCGATAGTTTGGCTACTCAATCAGTAATTTTGGGTCTCGTGTTTTTGTTGACGTTGCTATGGCAGGAAAAATTACCCTGCAGGGAGTTGCTCTGCCGGTTCGCGGTATCCGAGAAAGGGTGGTGGCAGCTATTCGTGCTGGTGATGTTACCTCGAGGAAATGAAAGCGAGGTTGGAGAGCTGGGTAATGAGTTTGTAATGTGTTTTCACTGTCAAAATACCCTGTATTTTTGGTTTGTGAGGCTGTACGATCGGATTGACTTGCAATGAAGGCCCGCAAAAACGTAGCGAGTACGATGACTCAATAACAAGCTCGACTAGAGTCGTCAAGTAAAATTACAACTGGGTGAAGTATTCTCTACTAATGCGATCCACTTGTGTTGTATTCAAGCATCATACTTGCTGAACCTCGAACAACAGACTGTCAACCAAGCGACTAAAGAATAACCTTTCACCCTGGTAGTAGTGCTACAAGCTTTGCCTTTGACTGAAATACGTCGCTTGTCTTGGTACGTCGCCTACGTCATGCTAAGCGGGTGGAAGGAATTTGTGACGTACGGAAAATACTCAACTTGTGATGAACCTGAAGTGCCCTCTTCAAGACCAGAGAACTGTGCCGGCTGTAAATGCGCGTATTTCTTTGACAACATGGAGCGCAACTTCTTTTCCTTGCCGTCGTGGGGCTACAGCGTCAGCCATGCAGACATAGATTAGCGGATCTCGCTTGCCTCGAAGTATATGATCAAGCAACGTACCTTGTACATTAGAATAACAAAGTTTACGGGCAGGCCATAGCGAAGCACGGACTCTACAAAGACACGAATGACCTGAACAGAAAGTACAAAAGTCAATCTTTCAATATCATGTCAAGGAGCACATACACATTGCACCTTAATGTGCATCCATGCAATGAATGTCTCTCCAAAGTGCGCCTTGCACCAACGAATGAGCGCAGACCACAGCTGATCCACCTCTACTTCCATCTCGGCTATAGCTTCTTCGTTGGACGCGTGGCTTGTAGGGTCGAAGTTAAACTCCCGCACAATAAACCGCTTCTCCTTGGCCCGCTTTTTAAAATCTTCAATGTAGTCCAAAGTGGTTCCAGGCTCATAGTTGCCTTCCTTGTCCACAAACCCCGGTTGATATTGGCCTTTCAGCAGCGTCACCGTGTAAACGGCGGAGTCACCTTCTTCCATTAATTTGCGCGATGACCCAGGCACCACTGGAGGCCCTCGCACATTACCACGAGAGCTACTAGGGCCATACTCTGCAATTTGGTCGCCGATCTGTGCATATTCCAGCAACCACTGCTCTTCTAAGCTCTTTGGCACGACCACCACCAACGTCTGCAGGTACTCGGTGTTGAGAAAGTCGGTTGTGGAGACGATGTCAGGCGTCAGCACGTCGTTTAAATTTGCCACCATCAGGTTGCCTCTAGTACAACAAAAAAAACCAGCAGCACAAAGTTACTAGTTTATTAGACCAATAAAAAATAACTAAAGAAACAAAAAAGTAATCATTTTACCCCTTTTTACGCTGCAAACCATTAAGCTGTTGTTTCTTCTCGGCAAAATGTGTGCTCAATTGCTTCAACTCCTCTTCAATCTTGCCAACTGACTGTTTCAGCATCCATAACAATCTCTTCACATTACTGTACCGTATCAACGTCTTGAGCTTTCTCCATTCTACATCACTCTTACCGACTGTATAATGCTCACAATCTCCGGCAGTGGTCGACGGTGAGGATGCTTGGCCTCGTCCCAGGAGAAAAAGCTCAAATAGCGCTCCACCGGCACTTGATCAATGCACAAACTTCCGCAAGTTAGATGCAGCCAGCTAATTTAGCTCTCTCATTTCGTAGCTGCACAATAGATTACCTCCATCTACTGTCAGTACTTGGTCGCTTTTATTTAGTTCGCGAAATTGACGCTCAATCTTGCGCACAACACTCTCAACAACCATATCTACACGGCTCAACTCATCACTCAGAGCCTGTTAAATAATAACCAAAGACACAATTAAATAAGTAAATCGTATAAAATGATATCAATAGTTTTGTTATGTTTTTACCATAAGAGAGTCCAGTGTTCCTACAAGAAGATCTGATGGTAGCTCCACACGAACGCATTCTTCATATGATAGCAAAAAGATGAGAAAAAGAAGAAGAAAATCGATTTCTTTACAACCTTACCAGCATAATCATGACGACTAGAAGCAGTTACTGCCTTAAGCGATAGAAAAGTCATCTCAGATGAGTTGTTATTCTCATTCGGGACAGACACTAGCCACATACTCATGTTGTTGTCGTCCTAAAACGTTATGTATTTAGTAGTTTAGTTTTAAATATAAGATCCTTAAACGTTCGTACTTAATGGATAGTTACGTTGATGCTTTACGATGTGACCGACCGTACTTTAGGGTACGGTCACATCACCTACTTTTGTACCCAAGGTACAGCCACACCACATTGGTGTGACAGGTGTGTATGTAAAATACACACCTCGTGTAACCCCGTTACACCCTCCCCCACCAATCCGTGGGACCCGACGTACCCACGAATTTTGCACTTAATTGGAAGTATCAATTTCATTTCCTTCTCATTTTGCTTGCCTCGCAATAAGTGCTTGCACTTGCGTCTAAAGCTCCTATGTTTTCAACACTTGCTCTTTGAGCACCCGTGCATTGCCCACACGCTTTATAAGCATCCTTGTGTTACGCCACTCGCTCTTTGAGCATATAGTGCATCGCACTCACGCTAAAGCATTAAGTTTTACGACACTTGCTTATAAGCGCTAAGTGCCAAGCACTTGGTATTATCAATACCCTTTGTGTGTTCACGAACGCTTGCTTTCACAGCACAAGGTGCCTAGAACTTTCTTTTAAGATATACAGTGTTCGCAACACTTGCTTTAAGCATCACAGTGTTCACGGACACTTGCTTTAAGCAATACAGTGTTCACGAACACTTGCTTTATAAAGCACTTGACTCAATAGCGCTTGCTCCATCATGGATGAGCACTCGGTAATAATACGCTTTGTGTGCTTACAAACACTTGCTTTAACAGCACAAGGTGCTTAGCATTTGCTTTTAAGCATTACAGTGTTCACAACACTTGCTTGCATTACAGTGTTCACAATACTTGCTTTAAGCATCACAGTGTTCACGAACACTTGCTTTATAAAACACTTGTCTCAATAGTGCTTGCTCCATCATAGATGAAGCAATGCGTCACGACATTTTTGGGGACGATGACAGTGGCGTTGCCTCTACGGGCGGCGGAGCCGAGTCACCTTCGGGTCAAAGTAACCCAATATCATCACGCTCACCGAGCGAAGGACTTTGATTCCATTCTGTCTTCCCCTACAAGGGAGACAACCCCTTTGCGCCAAGCGCCTCCTCTACCCTCGCGAGAGGGTAGAGACGAAGAGGTAACCAACGCTCTTGACGCTGCACAGCGTCGTCAACTCGATGACGAGGCCCGAGCGGCTGCTTTGGCACGGCCCAAACAAACGTTTTCACGACGTGAGTATGGGTTCGTGCCTCAAGACCCTAATGAGGAAGCTCGACGAGCTTCATCGCAATCTTTTCAAACCTATGTCATTGGGTCCCATGCCCATACGGGGTGCGAAAATGCAGATAGTGTTGCTCTTTGTAAGCGGCTCCTTAATCCCCAGAAGTTTACGATGAAAACGTATCAGGAGCGACTGTCACGAAAGTCACGTGGGGTTCCCGTGCACCCACTAAACGGCATACCAGTGGTGCTTGCACCAGGTGAAACATCCGCACAAGATGATCACCAGTTCACCCGTTGGGTAGAACGAGCATGTAAGCTCTCAAGTTTGCCAAACTTGCGTTCAAGCGCTAAAGCGCAAGACTTTTGGCCAGAACGTCGTCTACGTTTTAACTTTGCTAAGCTCAAAGCGAAACGTCAATTACCTTCCACATACAGGTCAAAGACTTGTGGGGAACAAGCTTCTAAAGCTGTTGCCCGTACCTTGAGTGATGTGCCAACGTTGGCTTCTTCTGAAGGTCAGAGACGAAGCCAGCTAACGACCCTACTTCTACAGCACCTAGTGCTAGGAAGCGTCCGACGACAGCTGTCGTCGCTTGTGACCGTCCTGGTCAAAAGCGTCGATGGCGTCAACGGCGTCAAGGCAATCTTGCCGAAGAGGTACCTCATAGTCCCACGAATTGTACGACTGGGAGTAACATCTCCAATCACCAAGTATTGAGTATGACCCTGGGACGACGCCGATCCAGGAGACGTTTTACATAGAACTGTTTATGACCCAGCTCATCAATAAGCGTCGAAGGAGGTCAATGACCCGTTGACCTCTCATCTTTCTAAGATGGAGCGTCGCCTGACGCTCCTGGAGCGTAATGCCCTTGCATCGGTGAGGTCTAACCTGTTATCGCTCGATGACCGTGTCGATCGACACAGTCGGTCTTTAGAGCGTTATCGCTCTGAGACCTCGGATCGCTTAACGACGATTGAGCGTTCTCAAGCCGAACTGCGGTGTCAGATTGACCTCCTGGTACGCCTTCAGCGTCCATATGCACCTCCGGTGCAGTACTTCCCGCCTCCTTCGGCCGGGGATTTGGGGACAACCCCTCGAAATCCACCGAGGCCGGGTTGAGATATGGCTTTAACAAGCCCACGTAGAACACACGGTATGCTCGCATCTTCTCGGGAAGGTTCAGCGTATAGGCTAAACCTTTCTTGCCTATGACCTTGAAAGGTCCAATAAAACGTGGACGCAGTTTGGTTTTGTATACCGCAGAAACGGCACAAGTAAGTAAATTTCTAGCGTTTAATAAAACTAAATCACCCACTTTGAACTCATTTTTTTCGTTTTTCCTGCCTTTGGCATCCGCGTGTTCCTTTTGAACATCCTGGCTTTCAGCCATAGCGTCTTTGACGCGACGTAATACGTCAAAACGCGTTGACAGAAACGCTTCCATCTTCTTGCGCATAGCAACAGGACTGATATCAGCCAAGCCTTCGGCTATCTATCCCCCTACTAAGTCTTGAAGTGACAGGGGTAGCGTATAAAAAGAATGCGAGGGTTATCCAAACCAATCACATAGATAGGGTGCAGCCTGTCGAGGCATGCACCTTGTTGTTCAACGCAAACTCTACCAGAGAGAGCATCGTGCTTCATTTCTGGGGTGTTTCAGCACAAACACTGCAAAGCATATCGCCAATAATTCGATTGACGCATTCAGTCTGACCATGGGTCTGCGAATGATCCGCCGTGAACATGTCCAGTCGAGTGCCATGCACTTTAAAGACGGACGTCCAAAACTTACCCGTAAAACGGGGTCTCTATCCGAGACGATTGCCACAGGCAATCCGTGTTGTCAAACACACGATCCAAGAACAGCGTTGCTGTTCCTTCCCCATCAATGGATCTCGGTCTTGCCGCTAAGCGAGCCATCTTGCTCGGTCGGTCTACACAGACCACAATTCCAGTGTTGCCTGCTGCATCACGCGGTAGGCCAAACACAAAGTCCTTACTGATGGACTGCCACAACCTCAAGGGTACAGGCAAACTCGCCAAACGCGTAGCCCATACGAGTCGAGTGTTTCACCCTTGACACGTTTCACAGTGCGTATGTAAGTACCAACCCATTTGTACAACTTCGGGTACCAATAATGTGTGCTCACCGAAATGTAGGTCTTTTTGCGACCTAAATGGCCGCCAAGTGGTGTATCATGAGCCTCATAAAGTATCTGATACTTGAGGTCTTTGTCATGAGGCACTATAACACGAGACGGGTCATCTGACCCTGTACTATAGTACAACAGATCATCGGTCAGTGCATAACGATGTAATCTCGCACGATTACGTGGTGACAGCTTCACCTTAGAGTTTTCAAACTCTGCGCTACCCAGCACCTGCACAATGGCAACGCATGCCTCATCGCTTGCATACGCCACACGGATACGATCCGTTACTGACGAACTCACAACAGTGAGATGAACAAGCTCATAGTCAGGTCTACGCGATAAAACGGCAGCCAAAACATTCTGTTTTCCCGGCTTATACTTCACCTCGAAGTTATAGTCCACGAGAAAAGAGAGCCAACAAGCCCTTCTCTGCGAGAGATGAGGCGACTGTGTCGCTGTGCGTAACGACGCATGATCGGTATGGATCACAAACGGCTTGGAGCCCAACAGGTGTACCCTGAACTTAACAAGAGCATACTTTATCGCAAGTAGCTCCTTGTCATGAACTGGATAGTCCTTCTCTGCAGCTTTCAGCTAACGAGACTTAAACGCGATGACGTGTTCTCGACCCTAATGAGTCAACTTGCAAAAGTGCACTGCCAACGGCAAAGTCCGAAGCATCACACACGACGGATAATCCGGATCAGGCAAAGCCAGAATTGACGCCTGAAGGAGACTTTCCTTAATGGCTTCAAAAGCCTCGTGGTGCTCGGTAGTTCAACACCATTCCACATCCTTTTTTAGATGATTAGTTAATGGCCTAGCCACTTCCGCATAGTTGTGGCTATACTTGTGCAAAATAATTTGCCAAACCCAACCACTTGCGGAAGTTCTTTTGGTTCCTCGGAGCCGGCCATCCACTATGACTTTGACCTTAACAGGGTCTGCCCGGATTCCTCGCTTCCGAATGAAGCATTCTAAATAGAGAACCTCTTTCGCACCGAAGATTCATTTGTCAATATTGACATATAACTTATGCATCCTCATGCAACTGAGCACAGGTCGTAGGTGCTCGATGTGATTTTCTACATCAGTCTTGCTATTTTTGGCTCGACTATGGACGAATATCGTCAAAGTATGTCTGTGCATACGCCCTATGGGGCCGAAACAACTGCATCACCAAACAACTGAACGTTTTAGGTGCGTTTGACAGCCCTTGGGGCATCACTAATCACTCCCAGAGTATACCGCTCGGAGTGCTGACTGCTGTCAGCGGAATATCACTAGCTCACTGTGAGCACTTGGTAATATCGATTGAATAAACAGAGGGCACTGTACATCGCACATCCCACCATATTGGTGTGAAAAGCATCCTTGCGAGGAATCGGTGTTCGAGCCGGGATCGTGGCAGCATTCAGCTTATTGTAAGCATGCACTATTTGCCACTTCCCTTCAGGCTTTCTCACAAAAAACGTGCGCGAAGTGTGAGAAGGCTTACTCTCACGCACCATGCCAGCCGCGTGCTTCTCACGAAAGAACTCGTCAATGACGTCACATTGTTCTCGTGGCAGCGATCACTGTCGCGTCACACAGTATTTGCTTCCCGAAACCAAGTCAATCTCATGACGCACACCTCTATCCGGAGGTAACCACGTTCGAGGTTCTCTAGAGACAACATCTCCATATCCCTTAGACAAAAGGAAAGTAAGTATCCGAAGGGTCCTTTAGGAACTGTGATCCACTACGCGCATTTAGCGCCTTCTTGACGTCTTCAAGAACTGCTTCATCCAAAAGCAATGAGGAGTTTAACTTCTCCTCAGGTCGTATAACGACCACTTCCGCGATGTCGCCTGCCTTTAAGGCAATGCCAAACTCGGCAAAGAACAACTCGTCCAGCTCTAACCAAGCACTTACTGCGGGTATTGCTGAAAGAGTTACCGGCTCTTCAACATCCTCAGTCCAACTATTGATGAGTGCATGTAGCTTTTTGTTATCACCGTCACTCACGATATCATTATCGCTACTCATGACGCTCTCAGCATCCGAACGCTTCAGCGTCCACAGATGTACACACCTCAAGGTCAAAGACCACTCCGTTTACTGGCTGCACCCCACCCTCTTGGGTCAAAGCCTTAGTCATGAGGTGTTCGCACCTCGTTGTACTCGAAGACAACCGTCATTTTTAACTTCGCCCGACCCTCTTGGGCCAGCACCTCGTCTTGGCTTCACCTGTTGTCTTCAAAGATAACATCAATTGATGACTTCACCCGACCTCCCGGATCAGTGCCTTTCTTAGGTGCATGCACCTTGTTGTCCTCAAAGACAACATCCATTTGTGACTTCACCCGGCCCTTTAGGATCAGTTCCTCGTCACTCATGTCACTTGGACTCATTTCCTGTCATCTTGGCTTGAAGCCACCAACACCACTCACGGTATGTAATTAGGTAACATCATATTCATGACACATGTCATATGTGCCATATCTAGTGGGTTCTCGACAACACTATCGACAGTCTTTGGGCCTCGCCCAGGACTATTGTCCTCGACACTTACAGTGTCTACAAAGTCGGATACTTTGACATCCAACATATTGACCGACTCGGTCCAATATCCGCGCGAAAAGCACTTTTGCTTTCTAGCAGAGGTGGGTTCATGCCTCTCCAGAGCCCCAACAAAAGCATTGCGTGTTGCGTCTAAGGTCTTTGACCTGCTCATGACGTTCTTGCCATGCAATGCCTAGGATGAGGTCATACCTCGCATCCAGGTCTAAGACCAAACAGCGTTTCATAATGTTAAAGTCCAAGAACTTTACAGCTAAGTCCATCGGGACTTTGGGTACCGTAACACGCGTACATGTCGCTAAGCAAACTGTCACTGTGTCATTTTCACGCACTACAAGAGCTTCAGCATATTGCTGCCTACCTTCCACGGTAGCACGGCGCACATAATTGTCCGATGCCCCCGAATCGATCAATATGATCCATGGCTTATAATCGCCTTTAATCGTCCACGATGACTAACAAGCCTGGCTTGCATTCTCGTTCCGTTTTTGAGAGTTCGGATCTCTTTAGGGCTGAGTCCTGTTTACTTCTACCTCCTAGAGGTTCAACAGAACTCAGTTCTTCCCCAGTAGGGCGCCCCGCACCTACTGGGCTTCGCCGTCTCCCCGAGGCAAAACGGAGGGATTACTTATGGGGCGTCGGTCCTTCGAGGCCAAATATGCCTTTCTTGCAGGGCATTTTGCCATCATATGGCCCGTGCTCTTGCAAATATAACATCTGCGCACAATTTGCTGCTCCAAAACTTTTAGTTCAGCTTCTTCATCTTCCACTTGGCTACAGTCCATGGAAACAGACCCATCAGACGAGTAGTTATAAGTGGCAGGCCTAGCGGCCTTAAAGTTGGTCTCGGCATTCCATGCCACTCCAACAGCTTCCTCGTATGAGGACGGGCTTACCCGGAAGACTTCCGTTCTGGCAACGCCAACTCGGAGGCCCTTCATAAAGACCGTGACGGTTACTGCCTCAGGCATAGGGTCTATATCCACGGCAGCAATGAGAGTTCTCAACTCTTGTACATATGCCGCAATCTCACGCTTGCCTTGGCGACACGCCAAGAACCGCACCCGATTACGGTGTGCCTGGTTCGGCGGTGCATACTGCCGGTCATCTGAACTTTCAGATCGGCTCATGTGGGAAATGCGTCTTGCAGTGATGCACCACATGTGTATGCCCACTGTTTGGCTAAACCACCTAACTTGCCCGTGGCAAAGCCCACACGGTATGGTTCATAGGTGATGTTGGCTATAAACATAGCCAACTCTACATGTCGGAACCAAAGCATAAGGTTATCACCTTTATTGCCGTCGAACTTTTCGACTTCCATTTGTACGTTTTTTTTGGTCTGCGGACCACTGCCTGCGCCATAGTCGCCATGGGGCGAAGGCGCAAAAGAAGGCATCTGTGCCTTTAAACATGCTCGACTAGAGCTTTATTATATTCATCCAGCATATAAATACGCTTGTTAACCTCTTCTTCGCCCTGGGCGATGAGGTATTTCATGCTCTTAGAGCCAAGGATAGGGAGCAGCTTCTGCAATCCTTCGTGTTGTTCCTGTGACAGGCCAACCGCTGACATCTCATCGATGTCCATTTTCACACAAAAAAGTAGTCGCAATCCCAGGTGCGGGATTGACTACAAGTGCTACCAGGTGTAGCCGAGCTACTGTAGCTACACTACTTATGCACATATGTGCAGATGCACTGTGCAGAAGTAGTAGTCAAACTACTGTAGCAAAGTTACTTATGCACTATGTGCAGAGGAAGACAAGCTCAGAGAGCTTCTACGTCTTGAGTTCTTAACCCTTCCTAGGCTAGCTCGTAAGCTTGTGCCTATCGGTATTAACAACCGAGTCGCAGAGAGACTAGTATCAAAGATACTGATTCCGTAGAAGGAATAGAATGCTCAAGCTGTAAAGCTTACAGAGCATGTTTGAAACTGATTTCTATTTATGTTTATCTTCTAACACTAAATATAGAAGCACCTAACCTATACTTAGTGCTAGTCACTATTTACTGGCTCTATAGCCTATTAATATTATGCAAACATGCATAGTCACTATACTTTAAATAAGTATAGTGACCACGTGGCTCTCTGCCCGATCCTTCGTACTTCAGGTACGGTCACATCACCTACTTTTGTACCCAAGGTACAGCCACACCACATTGGAGTATGTAAAATACACACCTTCGTGTAACCCCGTTACAGCTTGGCTACAGTAGCTCGGCTACACTATGGGCTACGTAACTTCCTGTCACGATTTGAACCCTTTCCACAGTGTACCCAAAGTACAGCAAATGATGTATGGTGTTTGTCTTATACACACTGAAAGAAGTTAGTGTTACCTTGCGTGAAATGTAACGGGATTACACCAGCGTGTCTAAACTCTCTACGAAGGTAAGGGCTACACGACTGTTGTGGGTGTAGATGGAGCGTGGGCCAGCTGCTTGTCATGTAAGTGGCAGCAGAGTGTCATACACCTGCACTTATGACGATATTAAGGAGATCTTGGATTCTCAACGGTTGAGCTGTTCAAGCTTCTGAAAAATCATCCACTAATCAACCAATGTGGTACATGTAAACAGTGCGCCCGAACTGCTGAGATAAACTTTATAGGCATAATTACAGTCTATGACCAAGTTGGTAAATGAGGTGGTGGAGCGGCTGCAGCAGATGGACAAAACGTTCGTATTGGTGGGAGGCATTACACTGCCTACAACGCAGAAGCTGCCTGCACAAGCTGTACTTAGGAAATTATAAAGCCTTCAGTATTGCAGCGGCCTCCATCATCGCAAAAGTTACGCGGATTCGTGTGATGCGCGAATACGTTTGGCGCAGAACAAGGGGTGCCTAAAAAAGCTCACGTCGAAGTCACAATCAAGCACGGAGCAGATGCCGTTTACCGCATGACCTTTGCGCCACTAAAGCTTGACGAGTTTCATTAGACTAAGGCAAAAGACAAACTGTTGAAGAGACGGTAGCAATATAATAGGACAAGTCGAAAGTATCATCCGAAGTATAATGCATTTAATTTCCATGTATTCATTGAACAAGTAATTGTGAGTTTTCTTTTTCGTTTAACCTACTTGGTTAGTTACTGACATGATATTGTTTGCTAAGTACGCAGTAGGGTTACTCGAACAGCATCCTACGCGGAACTCTTAAGCCCGTAGTAGCTATCGTTACTTTCCGGCCCACGCGGCGAGCTTGCGAATGATGAAGTTGATAAGTCATCCGTGGGATGCCGCACCAAAGATGGCAACTTGAAAGATGTCATAGCTTGAATGTGCGCCTCAAAGCACATATCACACACGCGCTGAGCCGTCACATAGCCCAAGTGTGGCAGAGCAAGCTGGCGTGTCGAGTGTTCGTAACAGAATGTGTTGCCACATTGGCGGCAATGGTGGCGACGCGCTAGAATACTAAATGCGCAATCACATTCGAAGCACGTAGAGGCCTTGGCAAAGCGAGGGACGGTAACTCCGGGACGCACTACTACAGATTGCGCGTAGCACGATGACCCATTTGACGACAACCGTGAGGATGCTGAGCGGCGAGGTATTGGGTAACGACAATGGCTGTACAGGTCGTCCTCGCCATTCATGGAGTAATTATCAGCGCAGGATGTATCAGCGTAGTTCAGGTTTTCAAAGTATGCTGGCATGCAATCACTTGTAGCGCGCGCCATACTGCAAGAGGCTGTAAGGTTCCAACGCGATTGACGCTGTTCACCACATGATGTTAACGGAGCTGCAAGTTGAAGAGGACTATTGACTGTGTGTGAGTGACGATTGTGCTTGCTCCGCGAGACTGGTACTGAGTCAATAAAATTGTTGTTTACCTTAAGCTCCATCTCGGGCACCTGTAACTGCAGCTGCATGGTCTTGCGCTTGATCTGCGAGGCAACAAGTCTCTGGAGCGCAATTTCTTGCTGCTGCCGACGTTCTGGTGAGGGCTCATCAGCACTCGCCTCAAGAATTGCTTCACGCAATTGGCAAGCCTCTTTTTGGGCCTCCATCTGCTGTAGCCGCCACAAATCCAAACTGTGGCGTCGATCACGAGACCAAAAAGCACGAGGCGACGCAGACGGACTGGAATCTTCTCTGTTGACATCATCGTTTGCCAAAGAAAATACAGGTGGCAAGCTGTAGCGGCGGCTACGCCGTGGATTCGTCTCTGTCTTGAGATTCAGTTTTTGCTGGCTAAAGCGCAAATCATCAACATAACCAACATCGCAACCATTTGCTATTATGTTCCCGCCGTTGCACACAGGCACGAGACCCTCCGATAATTTAAGATCCAGTTGATTTTCACAGTCACGTTTGTTGCTGTCATCTTCTTCATCCGATGAGGACATAACTGTCTTCTGCGGAGAATTGCACGCTAGATCGTCAGCCGTCAATGACAACTGCTGACACGCCCTAGTCACACTGTGAGCCACCATGACCTGCATCTGCCGGCGCAATTCGGCCAGCTCTTCCCTCAATAGGACGTTATCCTCTTTTAGTTTAGATATGTTTCGACTTTCTCCGCGTAACACCTTTACTGCCCGCTTTGCAAGTCGGAAACGCATCGCACATTGAAGCGCCAAAGTGGCCCTACAAAGCCTGCGGTACTTCCGTTGAGCAAAGGATCGCCGCCAAGCTGTAGCAATATGAATTGCAGCTTGCAGCTCTCGAATCACCTGCACGGCTCGAGTAGCTTGACGGCATCGGAAGAGACACTGCACCGCCAGCACTCCTCCTCGAGCACGAAGAAATTTACTGCGCGCGCAAAGCTGGCGCATTCTTAGTTGTAGTGTACGAGCTTGCTGCATCGCGCGTAACCAGCAAACATATCGACGGGCAAGGCATCCACGCACACGAGCTTGGATTGCGACTGTAACCTGGATCACGCGTCGGTAACTTCTGCGTGCTATATAGCCTCTAATGTGTGCTTGCATGATAAGACAGGCTCCTTGTCGCACAGTTACACGAAGGCTTTCCAGTTTATCGTATGGCTTTCGGCGAAAGAAGACTCGTGTCTTGCCTAGACTGACACCACAACGCATCTGGTAACTCTGGATGTCTTCCTCGTCAGCGGCTTTGCTTTGCATCTCTTCCTCGGCAAGAAGAACTTGTGTGAGCTGGTGTAAACACAAGTCCAATTCGCCCCAACGTCTGTGCTTTTTTTCAAATTCCTTGTTGGCTGATTTGCATAGCAAAAGCAATACGCGACGATACCGACCGAGAAATTGCTGATGAGAAAGGCGCACGGGAAACCCTGCACGCGCTACTCTCACAGCTTCAAGTACGCCACCGCTACGTAGCTGCTCAACGACTCTTGTGCTTTCAAAAAGCGAGCTTACGTGCGAGTCATTAGGCTTAATACAACGCACATATCGAGGTGTCGTGGCACGAACAGTAGCCAATAGCTCATTTAGTTGAATCTTGAACTGTGTGCCAACACTAACCGCTGCAATAGTCGATTTAGCACGTCGACGGGTTCGACCACCATATCTATCCAGCTCCGTGTACTCAGGCACACCCTTTTCGTCGGCTTTTCCTGCAGCAAGGGCCTGAACTAGTGGATTCGAAGACCCAGCCAGCAGTTGTGCCGCGCTCTCGCAAAGAGAATCTTTGTTTTTTGCAAGAAAACCATTAACAGTATACGTGACCCGTCCAGCGTAATGTGCCACTACAAATTGTGTCGCGCGCTGAAGAACGGATGCCGATCGAAAGTGCGGGTGCTGAGTCTTTTTCTCAAACTCTTGGTAATATTTGGCCACGAGGGCCCGGTCTGTACCCTGGGGGAAGACACATTCTTGATCCGTGAGTGAAAAAATGCCAATTGGTCGGTGTTCATATAATTCCAGACACGCGCTGTTATTTGGAAAGTCAACAAAGTTCCAGCGAATACCCTCATCACGATACAATCGTTGTTCCTCCTCAAAGATGTACTGATTAAACTGGTGTTGCAAAGCCTCATTGGCGTAGTTGATGCACAGCTGCTCAAAAGAGTTCTCGGTCATATCTTCAAATCCAAATATATCGAGCAATCCAATAAATACGGTCGAATCCTCATCTCCATTACAAAATTGGTCTGCGTCCAATGGTGCAACAGCTTGTCGTTGCAGCTTGTTGTTAACGCGTGCTACAAGCCAATCAAATAAAAGACGGTAGCATTCCATAGTCAGTGCGTTGCGAGTGTTGCGAGCGTGAATGACGTCTACTCCCACGACTAATGTTTCATTAGAAGTGTGCAGCCAGCGTTTGGTAAGTGCATGATCTAGCGCTTCCATCGAGACACCCAACAGCTCTGCTGCCTTTGCAAAGTGGTTACACAATCCAACTGCCGACATGACAATGCGTGCCTCATCAGAAAACATATTATCTTCAAGCTTATGCGGCGCTTGTTCAAAGTCCACATTGCCCATGTGCAACACAGCTGCTACAATTTCTAGCACACCGCGAATTTCACGTTCGCTCATACCAAGCTGTTGCATGGCTCTTCGAGTAACACGGAACTGTACAGCGTCCATCACACCATCCTGTCGTTTAGAGCACATACTCTGATTTAGCAGACGGAAGCTTTGAGGTCCTCCATTGATCGCTAATGCTTGTTTTTCTTCCTTACTTACACAAGTAATATCTGCACTCAGCAGTTCATAAAAAATGTGAAAATTGCGTTCGTTAGTTGCTTGTTTAATAACTCGAATTTTTTCCAAGAGATAAGTTCGGATGCGGGCACCCGCAAGTTTTCGTCGTTCATCTCGAAACCGCAACTCAATAAATTTGCCGAAACGCGAGCTATTATCATTTCGTACGGTGCGTGCGTTACCAAAAGCTTCCAAAATAGGGTTGGATTGTAGCACTTGCTCTTCTATAGTCGTGTAAGACGGTGAAGCTAGTGGTGTCACCGATTCCGCAGCTATCACGTTGTTGCCAGTACCACACATGGCGGCAAAGTAAGTCATAATAATCTTTGTGGCTTCAGTCTTGCCAGCGCCGCTTTCTCCGCTAATTAAGATGGCTTGACTGCGTGCGTTCTGCACAATATCCATGTAAGCAGCTTTAGCTACCGCAAATAGATGCGGTGCTTTTGATTCTAGCACAGGGATGCGATCGCCAAACTGTGACACGCTATGGTCGTAAGTGTATTCCTTGAGTACATCATTACTGTAAAGTTGTGGAAGATTTTGGAAAGGGTTAATAGAGATCAAAATATCGCCAATGTGAGTATAAATGGCGTGACGCTCGTAACGTAGACGCAACGCGTTCAAGATGGACGCTTCATGTAGATGTGGCAACGATACCAGGTCGCGTTGATCCTGCTCACGTGGCATGTTACGTGGTAGTACATTTGTGCACTCGCCTGAGGCTGCGTAGATTAGAACTACATCTCGTTGCTTGGGGTTTGTTTTCGTATCAAAGTTGTCTCGGTTATTGTCCAGGTCACAGTGTTTCAAACGCGACGACGGCTCAGTTGATAATTGATTTTCAATCTCCACAGATATCACGGCATTATCCACCTCAAGCACCCGTGCTGCAAGCCATACGTGCTCGTTCTCCGAGTCACTGATCCATACGCGTGCACCCTTGTCCATCAAAACAGGATTCGATGCTGCTATCAATTCGATTTCTGATGAGAGATGAAATTCTCAATGAAGATACAAAAGAGCGTGATGAAACCGTTTGGTATCGATCGTAGCGTATGATGCAATCCGTAACAATGAGAAATGAGACAAATGTGTCGTTGAGATTCGAGACTTGTTGTTGTTCGACTCCTGTCGCTTGTGTCTTTCCTTTCAATTACTGTCGCTTGTGTCGTAGCCAAGAGAAATGACTGTGTAGGAAAACATTTATTAGAGCGCGGTTGCTGTTGTTGTTGTTGAATGGAAAGAAAAATCAAGAGGATTTGCATATCAGGCGTTTTGCTTTTTTTCATAGTGAAAACGTATTAGATGAAAGAAATGCTCGAAAGCCGTCAAATATATATAGTATGTAACCTTCTTGGACGAAAAATTAGGCTCATAGTGAAAACAAGTGCATTGCAACGTTAAGTCAAATAAAACTCACGACCAGAAATGTCACACCATTTGGCGTCGCCCGAGGGAAATATAACGAGAAAAAACCATCAGAGTACATGATACCAATATGCTTTTGTGACATTTGGACGACGGCTGTTGCGGGCTCTGCCGATAGCATTGTACTGCTGCTAGCGTTAGTTAACCTTCTTTCTTTTCGACCCTTGGCGACTTTTCGGCACTTCAACTTCACGTAACGTCTAGACCAAATTTATAGTATCGTAACTGACCCTAAAGCCTGAGGACTTAGTGAAGAGGCAAATAGTGGCTGTGTTATTGATGTCACCAAGTACAAGTTGCTGCTAACGCGTATCTATCTATACAAGTGGGAGCAGGGTTCTCAATCAAGTAAGAAACAGAAGATGACTTGTCTGTGGAAAGTGACGACCGATGTTACTTCAATTTGCACTACAAACTTGAATAAACTGGTTTGAGATCTTTTTTTCGATTGTTTTTTCTTGACTAAGACAGCAAGTGGCAAGATGATGGAGAAGTCGTTTGTGATTGCATACTTCAGGCAATATTTTGCAAAAGCTATACACAGCTATACGGCGTATAGCGTTCAGTATACGCAAGAGAGAGATACAAATCTTCCTGTTAATGATGGAATGAACGCTTCGTTTTCCTCTTAAGTCATACAGCTTTGACTCCTATATTTATCTCATCCTCCCCTTCCTCGACTTGAGCGGCGCTGCTAAAGCAGCAAAAGGTTCATGTGTTCTCAATACCTAGCTAAGAATGTGGTGGCGTTGGTCGCATGACACACAGATCTTTCCCATCTGCCACCAGCCCGCGAGGTGCAGATTGCGTGTCGTTTGCCCATAAGCGTTTGCCTACGAGCTGATCCAGCGCGCTTGGTTCACGTCGTTTACAGTGTTACCACCCTGAGCACTACTGTTGCCGTATTGGTGATAGCTCTGTTGATGCGCATTTGGCTGCTGCTGTTGCTGCTGCGGTACTTGCTGTTGTTGTTGTTGAGACGACGACTGCTGGTAGCCATGGGGCATCATGTGACCCCAACCGCCAACAGGTTGCGCACCGTAACTACCTGTCCAGCCGTAGTGCTGGCCGTATAAACCAGTCATGGCCGCAGACGCGTTAGGCACCGGTGGCGATGCATGGTCGCGGCCTCCTGCGTTCTGATAACTCTGCATACCTGCGTTACTGCGCTGGCCGTGAGGGTGTTGCGCGCCAGAACCTCCAGCAGCAGAAGCGGAGCCGCCTTTGCCGTGGTTCTGTGGGCCGCTCGGATGACCGTGGTGCTGGTGGCCACCCTGCTGCTGCATTGACGGCTGTTGCATGTACGCGGCATTAATTTCACCAAAACCCTGGGGTACTGTCCCGGCGTACTCGTGCTGCTGAGACATCATGTGCTGGTCCTGATAAGGCATACTCGGCGGGTTCGAAAATCCTGCGACGGACCCATCAACTCCATAGGGCACGCTGCCGCGTGGTGGATACTGCGTTCGTGGGCTGTACTGCGCAAACTGAGCAGAATCATGAAATAACAGTAACATAAATGTCGTGAGCACACCTGTTGTTCCAAATCAAAACAAACGACAAATACAAACCTGTGGATTTTGGTAGTAGCCATAGCCCTGGTAGTACCCGGCGTAATTATACGGGTTGTACGGCATCGCCATGCCTGGCGGAGGAGGAGGAGCATAGTGGTAACTCTGTTGCATGCCAGCCTGGGTTTGCTGGTGCAACTGGGCAGCCGTTTGCTGCTGAGTTTGGCTCTGCTGTGGCTGTTGACCTTGTTGCTGCTGTTTCTGTTGTGCTTGCTGCTGGATCTGATGCCTTGCTGCTGCGACTGCTGTTGTAACGGAATTTGCTGCATCTGGGTGACGGGCTGCTGACTGCGTAATGGAGACTGACTTGCAACTTGAGCACCAACACCACCGCGAGCTCCAGCGCTCTTTGGAGTTCCTGAGCCAGCCACGAGTTGGCTTGGGGTCGGTGTCGCAGCAGCTCGACCAAGATCTATCGAGTACTGGCCATACGATGACTGATACAGACCCGTTCCGTAGCCAATATTCATCTTCTGCGCTGCAGCTCCGCTTTGAGCCTGAAAAGGTCCTCCCTGAACACGCGTAGGGGTGCCACGCTTCACTTCGCCAGGCTTAGGCAGGGATGCAGGAGACGGAGCCGATGGTGCATACGGAGGAGACTGTACTGTGGTAGGAGTCTCACGACCCGAGTCCACTGACAGTCCAGGAGGCGCAGAGGCTGTAGCTTTCGATACAGATTCTTCCTGCACACATTGGCGCTCATCGCGCCCAGGTGACAGTGTTTTCTTCGGTGAAGCGGTAGTAGTACCCCAGGCACTTTGAGTCGAGGTGGATTTAGCTACACCTTGGCCGCCACTGTTCGAGTTAGAGGCCGCAGTGGTTGTAACCGCAGAGGCCCAGCCACACGGTGACGCAGGCTCAAGCGAATCCATGCCACTCAGCGAAAAGCTACCAAACTGAAGGGACAGGTTCGGCGTTGCGGCACTATCCCACTTGCCCATCTTAAGGTACGGCCGAGGACTCGATGCTGATCCACTAGAACGAGTCACGTCAATATCTCTCGGAGACTCTGGAGCATTTATCGTCCTTGCATCGACAATCGGTGACTTTGGCGGTGAAGTGTTCCTTTTGCTCGCAGGAGGAGATAGAACAGGGCTATCACGAGCCCATACATTCGGCGTCGATACCTTTGTAGGCTCAATGGCATCTGCTGGAGCAGTCGAAGACCACGTGTCGATTGATGACGAGGACACATCCAGATTACCCCACCCAGCGGAACCTTTAGAGGCAGAGCGCTCTACGATAGGCTCAGCAGTTTTTGTCTTCTTTTTTTGAGTGGTGTTCTTCGGGGAAGCGTGAGGGCTAGCTTTCTTCTCCGTAGCCTCCACTATTTCAATTTTTTCAACAACGCCGACTGTTTCCCTTGTGCTAAATTTCTGGGTCTCCTTACTCTTCTTCTTCCTTTCCTGCTGAGACTTTTTCTTCGGGCTGACAGACTGAGAATCCTCAGACGTGGAAATAACGGTAGTAGCATCGTTTTCTGTAGCCGGCGTTACCGGTACCCCCCGTCGGCTTAGGCTCCGCTGCAGATGCAGATGCAGGAACCGAAGAAGATGCGGCCAAGGGGTTTATAGGGTTGGGAGGTGTAGTTATGCCAGCAACATTTAGCTTCTTTGTCCAAGCGCCAGTCAATACAGGGTGGACTACAGGGGGTGCCTGAACAACGGGCTGCGAGGTGGTCGTTTTAGTTGTAGTACTTTTTGCTCCACGGTCTCTTTTCAAATCTTTGGCCACTTTTGATGACTGCTGTATGCGAGATTTATTTGACGGGCCGGCATCATCGAAAATGGCGTCGTCATTCTCTGGTCTGTCTTCTTCCTTGTCACCGCCACGATTAGCACGCGTGCTGCTGGTCGCTACGACAGACCCGCTATGCCCCCGACCTCCGCGGCCTCCCCGTCCGCCGCGCAAAGAGGTCGTGCCTCGGCCTCTCATACTGCCACGGCCTCGCGTGGAAAACCGTTCTGATGATCTGAGGGTGTGTGCATCGCCATCCTGCGGCGCATCAGTATGCTTGTCCTGTTGCTGTGTCTTTTGCGACGAATAAGAGCGCTGCGACGAATAATCCTGGTGATACATTAATAGAAAAAAAGCAAAACCCATAAAATGTCACAGTATATCTCTGTTAGCAGGTCTTCAATGAAAGCGACATAAGAAAACAAACCTACCTGTTTCTTCTTAATATTCCTTTTAGAAACAGTGGCCCAGGCTTCGTCCTGTTCGTGCCCACGATAATCCTCCCATAGTTCGCTAATGGCATTCTCCATGCGTTGGGCATCGCTTTTACACTGACCAATCATTCTTTGAATCTGAGTGTCTTGGGTACCAGGAGGACATAGTTCACGGTATTTAGTCACCTAAATGTCACAACAAAGGAGTATACGCATAGTAATGTCAAGTATTTTCGTTGTAAGACAAAAGTAAACACGTCTTACTTCACGTGACGAAGTGCTGCCTGTGGGGGCAAACGAAATCTGTTCATCAAGACGCTGCATCTGTAAACCTTTCTGAAGAAAGTAATCACGCTTGCTCATGTTTCTAATATGTTGGTTTCTGTAGATTAAGAGAGACGGAAAAACTTGCTTTCTAGGTGGCGCAAGCGTAATACGAGGGTGTTTGGTGTAGGCTTTTGAAAGAGTGATGGTCTCCTCCGAAGCAAAAACAAAATCAATGGAACCCCCTGCAAGATATATTTTTATTAAATAAAACCTTATTTGCGGAAAAACGAGAATAACGGATGAGGTTTTTTCTTTCAACAAAAACGACAGTGCGAAAACGGTGCGTTTCTTATTAGTTCGTACTACTACTAATGGTAGTATTTAGAGCTCTCCACATTCGGTCACAGTAATGGCTAGCTTTGGTTTGCTATTGTGTTCTACAGGTACACTCTCCATCTTGCGCAATAATAACAGTGAAGCCGGGTCCAATACCTTTCCAAATACCACGTGCTTGCCGTCTAGCCAATCACACGGCGCGCACGTGAGGAAAAACTGGCAGCCATTTGACCCTGGTCCGCTGTTTGCCTGCAGCAAAAGCTGTTAGAGAAAATCTCATGAGAGCACAAAGCAACGAGAATTGACCTTACCATCGACAACAGTCCTGGCTCCGTGTGCTTGTGGATGAAGTTTTCATCCTCAAACTTATCGCCGTAGATGCTGATCCGACCGGTGCCATCGCCCTATTGCCACGTATCGTCAATGTTACAAGAACACACACGAGGTATTGCACACAGAATGGCACATCTCACCTTTAAAAAGTCGCCACCTTGTACCATGAAGTCTTTGATAACACGGTGAAACGTAGATCCCTTGTAGCCAACCGGTAGCTCAGATTTCCTGTACGTTAACGACAACGCGCGACCAAAAGCAAAGCAGCAACGTGTTAGTCGCACGCTTTTTGCTGCATTCTTACACAATCTTCTTACCTGTATTCACCTGTACAGAATTGTCTGTAGTTGTAAAACAGCACGACCCGAAGCAGAAAGCAGACCATCACATTAGTTGTTTGGCCTGGTGTAGCCCCAAGTCGTCTGCAGCCATTTAATTACACAGTTTACCTGAAGTTTTCAACTGTGCGCGGGCAGTCCTTCTTAAACAGCTCTAGACGCAGGCGACCAATAGGTGCACCCCCAATAGAAACGTCAAAAAATACCACTGGGTTCCCTCGCCGCAGACTCTCGCTTAGTGCCACGTCCATCGTCTTTCGCAATGGCAAACACCTTCAAAACTGGAGTATTGTCTATCGCCTTGAAGAGGTTCAGTCATCTCAAAGAGCTTCATCTTTGCATCAACGCAAGAGATGGTAATTGAACGACTGCTTCATTTGACCAGTCTTTTAACACTATGATGAAGCTTGTTGTCAATTGATACGTAGCAGCAGACACTTATTCGAGTGCTGGATAACAATTTGCTTCGAGATGTGCCATCTTGTTGCAAATGCACTAGGCAGAGGTGAATCTTTAGTCACTTGAAAAAATGTCGACACGCCAAATCGCATCCTGCGCATGACCTCCGCGCCGATTTTCAAGACGGACGAGAGCGTGTTCTGCACAATTGACTTTATGGGCACTACTGAAAGCTTTTCATCGGATTGAGACTCCAAAGCGCTTACAAATTTAATTACGCAAACGGTTGCCAGGCAAAGTAGTTAACAACTTGTCAATTATCTTGTTCGTTAACGTTGACCCATACCTGTGAGCGGAAAGTGTTATGGATTGAAACAGAAGATATTGTGAGTGGATGGGATACAGCTAAGCATGACGGTGTATGCTGTCAATCATTCTACCTTGTGTGAAGGCAGCCTACAAATACTACAGTACTACAAAGCTTTTTGAGACCAAGCTAGTGCCAGGTCATGCAGGAAGTGTTTGATACGCCTAATAATTCATACAGAACGAAGACTATGAGCGGTTTTATTTGAGCAAGCGTGTTAGCACTGCTGTCCGATTTCACCATCGCTTGTTTACCAGATGCCATATGTGGTGACATGTAACACCATTGTTTTTATTTGCTTAAGAGGGACTTAGAGCAGCATTGACGATTTGTGCGACCGTAACCGGCTCTAATCAGCTTAGAAAAAACGTCACCAAAGCAAATGTACATGCTACCACTTCTTTTGAACGTGCACGCGTCGCCAAAAAGACAGCCCATTAGTTCTGAGAAGCATTTTAGGCAAAAAATTGTCATTCTGAAGGCAGGCATTACAAAAAGTCTAGTATGTTGCGTTCGAAAAGCAGCGAAAGACAACACTACCGTGTTTTTGGCACAAGAATAATACAAAGCGCCTGATCGATGATTCGTTTGAAGATGATGATGAGGCGGAGACGAAGCGCGATATTTCAACTATGATTTCTTCGATGAGGACGAATGATGACGCCCTCGCTATCTCGATTGATGTCTGGTACGACTGCATTGTTACGAATAAGATTGATACGCAATGATTAAGATGATGGATGAGGCTATCTTTTCATACAAGACCAAGAACGTAAACAAGTACGAAAGTCTATTAGGACGTCGTCACCTACTCAGCTTTCGTGCCAACCGCCGGCCGCGTTGCATCGAGGGCATGGTGATAAAAATGGTCGCTCTCAAAGCTCCACGGCCATGGTGTTTGGCCAACGGCCGCCAAAATAGTTCCCGCGCAAACAGCTTTGCGTTATAACGCCTGATGAACGCCAACAACAGTGGAGCGGCCGAACCAACTTTTCAAAATCTGTTGGTGCTGCACCAAAGGCAAAGGCAAGCGTTCTAGATTGACATTTTGATTGCCTCGAGGACAGGGAGATTGGCGCCCTGCCGGCTGGTGGTAACCTCCGCGTTGGCCGACGCTGTCGATCCAATTGAACTCGCACTGGATGATCACGTATCTGATCCCTGCGATCAGCTCACCAGCTGGGCTAAGGACGTAGCTAGTCATATCAATCGACCTTACATTCTCCTATATGGAGGATCAAGTCCAATGGGTGAGGTCGTCCTGCCGCCTCACGATTCCAATCATGAACAAAGTATCCTTACAATTACGTCGCCGGGACCGGTTATCGTAGCCTCCGTTTGTTCAAACGGTGGCGTACCCTATTCAATTGGGGTAAGCGGAGAGGGTTATTACGTGCTTGAGAAAGACCTTTTCCAGGCACAGGTCGGGCGTGTGGCGGCTGCAACATTCTGGAATGAACACGCTCGGTATGCAGGTCATTAGACGAGTTGCGTAGCGGAGCATCAGTTGCTGGAACGACGTCATCACTGTCGGCGCTGCCGACGCCATCCCACTTCTTTTGCTTCCTCGCCCTTTGCGTTTCCTCGTTGGAGTCGCTGTCAAGCGGTGATGCTCTCCGTTGGCCGGGCCCATGAGGCTCAGACTCCCGTCATCATTTGGCGTGAATTTATTTGGCGGCTGACTGCCACCGCGATGACTCTGGGTCCAGCTAATGAATGTTTGCAAAAAGTATCGCCCCATTATCGCAAGACCAGTGGTGGAGATGCGGGGCTGCTCTTTGATGTGAAGGATGCCGGCATTATGAAGACCACGCTTAAGGCTCGCAGTAGGTAAGGCTAACGTTTATCTGATCCCTCGAGTACTAGCCCAGCAGCAACTTGCGCAATTGCCCTAGTCTGACAGTTCCCAAGGGCTGGTGTTGCGACACCACGTTTCCAAGTTGGGCTCCGAGGTCGTGATAAGAGGAGGGCCTACATGTCGCGATCGAAAGCATGATGATCGGGGGCGACGGCACAAGCAATGATGGACCTGCCCGGGATAGAATCTAATAGTTTTGGCTAACACCCCCAACCCAGTGCCTCTGCATCTGCTGCAAATCCGGCAACGAATACAGAAGCGTTGACGACGATATGGTGTTATTGCATGACAACTTTCCCCTAGCTGCTATGGCTCCGGCAGCGTCGTGTTCTTCGATAGAAGAATGGACAGCGAAGACAAGATAACAGCAACTTGGCAGGATCGGACAAAGCTAATGACGAAGCATCTAATGTGACTTCGGGTGAGGTGGCGACTATTCTGACTGCGTTTACGATTCTGTTGGCATTCATGATGGCGTAACAAAGTAAGTTGAGTGAGCTTTTGGCGGCTTCCATTAGTCGACAAGCAGCCCATTGTTAATGTAGTTAATGGATCGTATAAAGGTTCAAAGCTAATTCCATCTTTACATACAGCTTTCTTGCATTCAGGTTTACAATCAAGACCTCCGAATTTACAACACAGCAATACGATCCCTACACAAACGCACTAAAAGCTGTTGACTTCACCTACAATGTTCACCTTGTATCCCTTAAACAGAGACGGCAACACTGCTTCCAGCTGCACAAAACACAAAAGTTAGCACTTTGGTAATGATTTATCATATAACCAGCTCCATCCGTACCTCTTTCTTCAGCTTCTTAGTTGTGGCGACAAGTGAGCTAATCTGAGGGTAGACGTTCTTCGTGGCATCAATCAAAGCAGCGTTCTTATTCTCCAAAGCCTGTATTTCACGGCGGCACTTGTCCATGTGTTTGGTCAACATTTCCAGATTTGCCACGTGTCTGTCAAAATACCGCTCAGATGTTTTTAAGAGTACAAGCTGCTGCAGGCGTTTGTTTGTCAACAAAGATATAGCATTATTTACAGCAGCTTCAAATTCCTTGACCTTTTCCAAGCTCTGCTGTTCCAATTGAGCTGCTCACACCAGAACACCACAACAATGTTATCAGCACCGGTTACAGACAAAAACTACGATACAATATCCATACAAGAAAAGCCTTGAAATTGGTTGGCAAAGGCAACAGAATTATTTCCAGAGAGCTCTATCTTTCGCTGGCGGAGAAACGCTTGCAGCTCCAGCAGGTCATTAAGAGCACGAGTGCGGAAGTCATAATCATCTAAAAGTCCCACATGGGTAATTGTTTCAGCAGTAGCAGGCACTTTTGGCGCTGGTTCCACTACGTATATCCCTTCAGCACCGTTCAAGTCACTGACAGGTTTCACCATGTATGAGCTTGTTGATCCCCAATCAATCTCGACAGGCGTATCGTTAGATGTAGCAATAGGTTCGGTGGATCCTACCATCTCAATACCCCAGTCAATTTCGTTCACATCAGCAGTACGGTCTTCGCCAAGCGATATATCCCAGCTTATCTCTGCTGCCTCAGCATTATAGTCAAAACTCGCATGCACTTCAGGTACCACGTCGCTAGCACTACATAGCTCCTTGAGCGCACTAAAAAAATTGTGCGGTGTTGCAGCTACCTCGTCCGTCGTGACCTCACGTTCTTCAACTATTCCAACCACTTTAGTTAACTTCTTGCCTTTCTTCCTGCTGTTCTCACCTTTTTTTGAAAAAGAGGAGGATGAACATTCTGCCACTGATGTCATGGCAGGCATCTCACAGTTGTGCAAATAATTTTGTAGAGCTTGATGGTATGTGATAGCACTAACAATTTCATCGCAGCAAATTGTTTTTGCCACTTTGTCAAAAATGTTGGGTAACTCCCGTGGCAAACGTCGTAATTCTTCACCAAAATCTTCTCCCTGTATGGTAGTAGCATTGTGAATCATTCGAAAAAAGAAGCGCTAGAAGACCAAGAAAACAGAGACTCACCGTAATGCCAATATCTGTACACGAGACCTCAAGTTTGCGCTTAAACTCCGTAATGTTTCTTGTCAGGTCCTGCACGTAGAAAGACATCAAGAGCCCGCCAACAGCTACGATCAATACACAGCCATCCTCAATTTTATGACAAAACCCACGTGCTTACTGCTATTTTGCGGTTATTGTCTGCAACTTGCTTTTCGTTCTGCTGGATCGACATTTTCAGAAATGGACTAATCAACATAAGCACAATCACCGGCATGATTATACAATGTGCATTGTAAAAAGTGCTTTGCTCCACACGTCAAAGTACCTACATCTCAAATGCTGTGTTTTGCGCAATGCAACGCGCCGACTCAGCCACAAAGACATGATTCTTCTCATACTGGCGGACTAGAGCACGCCACTTTTTAAGCAAAGGCGACGTATGCTATATAAAATATGTAAACAAACAAATCAGCCTTCTTCCTTCACTGACACTATTGTGTTTGCTTATCACCACACCTGACCAAAGAGATTCTTCGCTGCTCCTTCATCCGATTGCTCAAGACACTGAAGGATAAACTTGCAATCATAATAATGAAGATCCTCATATCTTAAATTCTTGGCCTGGAATTGGGAAAGCTGATCACTGTCCAATGGTAGCTCCGAGTACAATGCCGCAATAGCGTCACGGATCTGTTTGTGCTGGTCCAGCCATCTTTTAGGCACAATACGGCGATCTAATAAGGTTTCTGAGTAACAATAAAGAGCATTAATGTGAGGAAGATGCATAGAGAATGAATGTATTGAGCTTGTATATATATATACCTAATAACTGTTTGTAGTGGATGTCAATTGGCACCTTGCGCTTGTCCGTCATTTTGCTATGAAGCTAAATCCAGTTAGAATTAAGTGGCTATTTTAGCCAATTAAATGATCCCATATATGCCGCCTAAGGAAGAGATGACAAGGCTTTTGAAAAGCTGATGAACCCACTGACGTTAAATGATCTGAATTGATTTCGCTTTGTTACAAGGAGCTACATATCAACAATGGCTGCGTGATCAAGTCAAGATCAAAACGTCAGGATCTCTCGGTTTTTTACTATAGCTCATCTACTGTAGTCATGTTCAAGCCGAAGCCGACATGCTCTTTCACGCCATGAAGGAAGCCGGCACTACACGCAGAATAAAGCAGTTGAGGACGTTGAGATCACAACGCCGGAGAAGGGAAGTGGACGAAGCACGCGAACGTGTTGATGATGGTCCATTTTCAAGCTTGCCTGAGCACCTACGTACTATCAACGTTGCTTACTAGGTAAAACATGAGCTAGACATGATTGACGCCATTGAGAACGAGTTTCGCGGGTGCAACGGCGCTGCTCTCTCGTTCTTCGATAAGCAGTGAGTGTGTCAATTATACTGTCATATACTTGAGATCGAATCAACTTACTATCTTCTTCAGTCCATCTGAGCCTCAATTGCTTGGCCATTTCTCGATGAGCATATTAAAGGTACGAGGTTGGCATTGGTACCCGACCAGACGGCTCTTTCGGCTGCAATTGTATGATACCACTCGTGCATGAGCAACATCAATGGTACATACGAGAAGGAGTACACGATGTTGCTGCATAATCACAGTCAAGTAATAGTTAGCGGCAAGTATCAGGAGCTGCTGCTGCAGCTACCTAAAACTCTACGGCAGCATCGTTTGAGTGATGCAGCACAATTGTTGGCTCTTAATTTCACATTAAATTTATCTAAATTGCAAATATTTCAACTTCTGCAGCTTTTTCATAATAATTAACCGTCTTATTAATTAAAATATACTCTATAAATTTATCATCTACCGTCTTGCGATCTTCCAGCAAAATCCTTTGAGTACTTAAATAAACTAAGCCTCGTATGCAGCATATTTTCCCACAGCACGCGCACGACGTATTTAATGGCGTGGCGCTTGTATATCCGCGCAAGATCGACGAAGCCTGCGAGCGAATACGTGACGCAACGGACGGCTTGGGTGTAGATGAGAAGGTGCTAGTGGATGTGTTATGCTCAATGTCGACGAGCGACCGATCGCTGCTTATCTATCGATACAAGGACCTTTACCGCGAAGAGCTCAAGGATACTTTGAGTCGGGAAACGGTCGGCAACTCCCGTTTCCTTTTGCTGCTGCTAACAATGCCTCTACCAGAAGCGGAAGCATTCGTGCTTAACGTAGCAACATCTGGCAGTGGCACAAAGGAACGACTATTGTACCCAGTATGATCCCACTGCTAGTATGCAGGCAATATATATATATATATGTATATGTCTAGTTCACTCATTATCGTTGTAATTTGCGCTGGAGCAGATACTTCTGGGACGCACTAACGAAGAGCTCTCGATGCTCAAGTCGACGTACTACTATATCTTCAACAAGGACCTGACCTGGCTCATGCGATCCGATCTGAGCGGCGACTACCGCGAGGTCGTCCTTCTGGCCCTCGAGGTATTGCTGAAGACATATACTTTTACTTGCAGGGACTACATCAGTACTCGGCTTGTGCTCATTGCCCACTCTTTTTATTCCAGAGGCTGCAAGTCCCGTACGACCCCAAGATCCACACGTACGAGAAGGCCAAAACAGACGCTATCATGCTCTACGACGCCGGAGAAGGCCGATGGGGTACAGATGAGACCTCTTTCGTCCGTATCCTCTTCTCCAGCCCACGTGAACACATAGTATTTATGAACGACATCTACAAGAAGAAATACGTGAGCGACTTGGAGGAGGCCGTCCGAAACGAGTTTAGCGGATACGCAATGGAGGCACTTGTGTTTTACGGTGCGTACGCGCCGCGTTTGAACTTATGCGCACCCGGAATGCTATTAAACATTTATTTGTTAAAGCTGCACGGCACTCGCATCAGTACTTACCTAACAACTACTGGTTGATTGTTTTCTGCTGCTGCTTGCAGTTCGCCTAGCACTGGAGCCGGACAGAGCAATCGCAGACCACTTCGAACGTATGATGAACAATCTGGCCATCGACGAGAAGGGGCTGAGTACCGCTATTATCCGCTACCACTGGATACAGCCGCGGATTGAAAAGCTATACGAAAAGTTTTATAAGCGGTCGCTCGACGAGAGGATTCGCACCGATATGGACGCAAACTATGGTGATCTGCTGGTCACGCTGCTGCACATTCCTACTGACAATGACGATAATAACGACAGCGATGGCCGTGACTGCCGTAGTGGTGGTCGTAACAGCAGTAACAAAGAGCTTAAGCACGAGCCATAGATTGACGGTGGTGAGCCAAACAAAGTGACGCATCTGGCGACCAAACAATCCGCGCTGAAAAATCGTGTTTAGTGCTACATTCTGGGCATAACTGTAATCTGTCAAGCCAAAAGTAGATGCAGAGAATCCGTGCGAGTTCAAATATTGTGCTTGCTGAGACTTGGTCCAATGGAACGAGATCGTTCAATTGGACCAAGTCCATCTCGGATGAGTGCAATTGTACGCTCATTCGAGAAAACATGGATGGCATGAAAAAGCGTGCTCTGTGCCAACAGGGTGTTGATCACAACCGTGCGTTGCTCTCATTTACTGGTGTGGCGATTCATTTATTGTACACCAAATTGTTGTAAAAGATGGTATTTTAGGCTTGGGTATAGATGATTACTAAATGTCGCAGAGCCAATTGTGGACCAATGGGCTAAGACTGCAAGGTTAAATGCGGACTTCTAATTACACCTGAAGTATTTTCAGATAACAGGTTGTATTCGCTATGCGACATTAGTTTGTGTAATTTTAGTGGAATTCTATTAATAAGTATGTCAACCTTGGTGTCTTCGATGTGATGTTTAATTCGATATAGCTTGGTACATAAGACGGTAATCAATACACAATGGCAATCAGTTTAGTAAAAAAAAAGATTAGGATCATACTGCTCTAGCAGTTTAAAAAGGTTACTAGCTAATGTAATACTTTAAGCTAACTATTACTTACGTAATGTATAATCACTTGCTAACATTAGAATGCGTTCCACTCTAGAACCCTACCCCTATATGATTGCGTAATCGTGATTAACGGTGGGTTCCTAGAATCGCGACCAGTGGACCGAATGTATGTCCTACGATTACACTTGAATAATGTAAGCTGTCCGATTTATGTCGATAGGCGGTCGGAACGTTTACTCAACACCTCTACTAGCTCTCATTAAGCAAATTTCTTTGGCGAGTACGTACTCTATATCGATTAAATAGACGCTTGAACAGATCCGAAAAAGATAAGCCTGAATCTGTTTGATGCCGACGCGCGTGTTATGAAAGACTGGCGCTCTACCTTTCTTACGACATCGACGTGCTGCTCTGGCATAAGTGGTGGCGGTACGGAGTCCACAGTGCAGGACTCGGAAATGCTCACGACCTCGCGGCTAAGTAGCCTGTACGGCGGCGCGGATCGCTCGAATCAGCGCTTGACGATACTGGAAGAGGATTTGGAGGTAGCGGATGCGTCACTGTCATTGCAGAAGCAAATTCAGAAGAAATTGTTTGAGTTTCACCAAGTGCGCGTGCTGAAGCAGTTGCCGCTACCTGACTGGATAAAAATATTTGTGCCACGCATTGTGCGTCTTCAGACTGGCACTGTTCCTTATATTGAGTACGTGCGCACTGAGAAAGGCGAGGTGCGACAGCGTCAAATGATCAGCGTATGGACGCGTGTGGACCGCCTGCCTAAGAATAAGCTGTCAATTGACTTTCGCATGCCGGTGGATGACGAAAACTCCGCGCCTAAGCGTAGTTCAGTGGGGTCTAAAAGTACAAATGACAAGGTGGCGCTCGATAAGTGGATACTGAAGTTTGAGACGAAGAACGAAAGGGATACATGGGTTAAACTTGTGCAGGATTCTATCGATCTACTTGGGTGGATTGCCAAGTTTACGCTTGGTAGTGTGATCATGGAGATGGAGAATTCGTCGGTTGTGGAGTGCTCCACGTGGACAGATCGTGGCCGCCCGTCTTACGTGATGAAGTCAATGGAAACTTCATCGCCTAAGAAAAGCCACTCTGCTCGCAACGAGATTGAAATTCAGCGAAAGCTGACCAACTACTCGAACCACCCGAACATTGTTGCACTATACGACTCCTTTCACCAAAAGGATCGAACTTATTTAGTAATGGAAAACTGCATCGGTGGCGATCTTTACGATTTTATCAGCCAAAACGGCGGCATGGACGAGCACGATGCCAAGACGCTGTTCCGCCACATTGCTAGCGCTATCAGCCATTGTCACGAGCATGGCGTTGTGCACCTTGACATTAAGCCCGAAAACCTCTTTTTCAAGGTGTCAGCCATGCAAGCAGAGACTATTAAATTAGGCGACTTTGGCTCGGCCATGCTTTTGGAAAAGAACGCGTCGAAGAAGGCTACTAGTTGTACGGTGGGTTACGCTGCACCGGAGGTACTCCAGAATAAGGAGATTTCGACCGCCGCTGACGTGTTCAGTGCTGGTGCGGTACTGTACACGATTCTGTGTGGGCATTCTCCGTTTAGTGCACCGTCTGAGGACGAAATGGTCGAGCGAACCTTATTGGGCGAGATTTTCTTTGACGAGTTTGAGTGGTGGCGAATTGGGAAAGAGGCCCGAGAGCTTGTAGAGCACATGATGCACCACGACGCCAAGCAGCGCCCAAGCATAAAGGAAGTGCTGGGGCATTCTTGGTTTTGTAAGTGTTAGATGTAAACAACAAAGTAGGAGAGTGAACTATTTAAGCGCATGCAACGTCCGAAATGAATGAGTAGCTAACGAAACAAATGGTTCTTGCTAGAAGAGAGCTCTTGCTTGCCACGGTGCAGCCGTTTGTCGCTTCAACGCGTGCTAATAGTAGATGCAGCATCCAAACTGCAAAGCTCTAGATTCTTTGCGACTGCCCACACTATGTATGAACAGACAAAAGATCTTTGATTGCGGTGGCTCTACTTTCGTGTCCATACAAGAATGCCGCTGCCGTGTGCAAAGCGCTACGGTTGATAAGAGACAAAAAAACAACTCGGCTATCCAGTAACCAAGAAATTTAATTGTCATAGTCAGCAGATCAATTACTTCAGCACTGGGGCCAGCAAAACGTGCTGAAAACACTGAGGATAAATCATGGTAGAGTTTCAGCATCATGTTGTTATAAAAGCAAGTGTTGTCTCTCTGACTTCCTGCAAGATCAATTTAAGGTGAGGATCACTTTCGGCATGCAAGGATCGCCATGGGATATTCGTATTGAGCTGCCGCAACAGTACAAAGATATTCTGAAACTTCCACCACACTAACGCTGAATGCTGTGGAGGCAGTGGCTAAGCCATAGCACCTTCTTGTCAGAGATGACGCTATAAAACAATGGTTTGAGCCCCTGTTGTCTTCATTGCTATTCAACATTTTAGACAACACATCGTGGCTTTTGATAATCATAAAGAGCGCTGTCCAAGAACATAGCGCATTCCGCATCAGCCAAAGGCCTTGCAGATAACGTGCCGCGTGGCCAAGCGCATCATCAGTTATAGTGAGCTTGCTTTGGATCAATATGAGGCAGTTGAATAAATGTGACTATTTCAAAAGCCATTTGGGCGCTGCCCTCTATCATTTGGCTCCAACTTGACACGAAGCATTCGTCTAGACAACTAGAAGGCTTCATAGATAAAGTTCAAATCTGTACTGAAATGCTTCAGCTTACTGCTATCATGCAAAGTCCTACTGGGTATCGACAAATCTACGCAAATAACAAAACCGACTATGTGGATCTTTAGATCGTTCCCGCAACAAGCTCAACCCGTCCACGTCTCGGCCCCTCCTCTCGGGTAACTCTTCGGCGGGAAACCTCCCTCGTGGGAGCCGAAGTAGGTGGGGTTATGTCTCCGACATGCATCTTGCGGCCACCGGTCAAGCAACGTCCTCGCTCCACGCGTCATCGCTTTGGGCCGCACAAGTCAGTTGAACAGGCCGCGTAAGCGGCGATCAGGGCCCGCCCATGATACGCGCCGTCGCTCAAACGACCGCATACTTCGGCTCAACGTGCTGGCAGCCGTGAGCTGCATCGGCGGACACCGCCAAGAGGTGCCCCTGCGGCGACCAATCTCTGGACCTATCTCGACCGCGTCATTGCTCGCTTGGCTTAGGACATTCCAGGCATTTTGTCAACCGTAGTGTTGAATGGACAGCCTGTTCATCTCATTCTCGTTCTTAACATCGGGCGATCGTAACAGTCCCGTAACTGCTCAATTTGATGCCTGTCGCTAAAGTCGTGCGTCACAAAAAGTGGACAATCAAAACGGCTGTGCAACTGCACATTATCGACACTACTTTGGTCCAAATCCACAATTTTGATCACCACAAAATGCAGCCCTGGCTTCAGCTGAGGGACTGCGTCAAGCTGCCGCGCGTAATCGCGTACATTAAGCTATTGAAGCCTTAAGTTGACTTCGAAAGTTTTGACTGACGGAGAGTCCGACAGCTGCAGCTACTATTGCTGGTGACTTGGTGGTAATGAAAACGAAGTACGATATGAATGTCTTCGATATAAAGCAAAATAGATCATGCAATCAGTTGCAACCCGTAAGCAGAAGCTTAATGCCTTTTTATTGTCAAGAGGGTATATTGCCACGCAGACGCACTGGATGTGGCCACGGTCACGATTACCGAAGCGTGGCTTTGCGGTCGTAGCTGAATCATTCGATTGATTGATTAAATCGACAAGTGCGTGAGGAATACAAATGAGTACAAAACAACGTGCTGAGGTGGTCGACAGTTTGTAAGCATAGGCATGTTATGAAAGATATAGCTCACATTATTGCGGCTACAAACGAGCAGAGACTTTCAAATCGCTTTCAACTCGTGTGATGTTGGGCGCGCATCAATGTATCGTGAGAAGATATACACTTTATGTATTAGGCGGCAATATCAGTTTTGCTCTGCAGTTTGCAGAATCACATCTCTGGCTGGACCGAGCGATGGGCTCCCGACTGAATAAAAGTCGTATAGCCACGGACCGGTGCTTGTAGTGAAATTCAAGTCAGATTTGTGTCGTAGTGGTCTTCAGCCAGTAGGTGACATTTACAAAGAGCTTGAGGACTGGATAATTTACGCGATGACATGCTAGCACCAGGTCTGCCCCCACATGCTGCCAAAGTTGATGCTTTCAATAATGGTCACCTCTCGAAATAGTTGGACGCAGTAGTTTGCCCTTATTTGGGTAGAGTTGCGTATAAGATGACTTGGAGGAATTGGCGGCGTATTCGACATGGAAACGATGTCTAGGATGATGCGGTATGTATTGGTCGGCCTGCACTAGTCAAAACCAAATGTTATGCAGCTATGGCGCGTCTCGTCAAGTATCAGAAAGGAGCCAAGATGGACATCTCACGAAAATTACATACACGTGATCGCGATGTTGCGTGCGTCGAATGCACTAGGCCCAATAATAGCGATGGAGTGAGGACTATAGTGTGTCCGTCACCTTGCAATGCAGCTTCCTTGCTGGTGCTTACAAATGCGCTCCGGCATCAACCTCGTTGTATCGAAGCAGGTCAGTAGCATGACGCCGTCAACAGCCGAAGGTTGGGAGAAACTTTATTGCAAACTTATGTGACGTCATTGAATAATGCGCCCAATGTTAAGACTCTCTACAATATGAATTCTCATATGTTGATTCAGTATTCTGTAAATAAAGGAGTTCATCTGATAGCAATACGCAGCAGTTTCCAGAGCGAGTTGGCTATGCGGTAAGACCATAATGTAGAAATAAACGCTGTCGTTACAGAGGCAGTGTGCCATACGATGATGCTGATTCTTTGCTACTTGACTGACGGCAACAGTTCGATGCTAGCATGATATAGCTATAATGTTGACGACAGCTAGCGCCGGTCCCCTTCGTGTTCCAATCAGAATCACGATAGCAATCTTGCTGCAAAAACTTGCAGCTTTTCGTCCACGCTTGCGTCTTGCGGATCCCACGCTTGATTCGGATCAAACTTTTGTAACCCTACAATCTTTCTGTCCGATAAATCCACTGGTTGTCAGGCTTCGTATGGTTTTCATATTCTTGAGTGCCAGATGATCCAGAATTCTGAGATGATTAATTAATCCATCTCTGCTTCAGTGTTTCCAAAGATTCTGCTCTTGCCCATGTGGCAACACACGTGTTTTATTTGCGCTGATGTTGGCTTGCTTAGAAAATCTGTACATGTGGCAGACTGCTACGCACGGTAGCGCATTCACATCATGCAGCACTATCACACCAATATGGAATCGTACACCTGCACAAAGCTTGCAAGAGTTCATACGTGGACACGTGAACGTCTATAGACCGCCAATAGGTATCCATGCAAATCCTTTTGCATTAAAAAAACATCATGATGGATTATTGGATCAGGCCAACCATTTGGTCTCGTTAAAACGGTTTTTTGCAAATGTAGTAGCAACAAAACAAACACATGACTGAAAGCTCCACGTAGTCGAATGTCGACGAGATTGATGCTTCTAGTAAACCTTATGTGGTTAAGACAATCTATTGACTAGTCGTAACAAGACGGTTTTTAATGGTTTTTAGAAAGCACCCAATGCTCGTCTGAGCTGAGACGACAAGAGACGTGCAGCGTCCACCAAAAAAGCCCAACATCAACCACTTCAAAACTCCTCGAAACAATTTGATTGGAGTAGACAGGAAATGTGTTTTAGCGTTTCCATTAACCTCATTCTCTGTATGCTCTGTCGATAATTGTGGCATACGAATCTACAATCAACATGTCACAGCCAGCTGAGGTTTTGACTACCACTTGACTACCACGTCCTTATGTCCAATTCAAAGTCCGTCGGTTTTGAAGATGTGTTGAGCAAAATGGTATTCCATTCTCATTTCTTAATTTGCCAAGAACTACTTACTACTACTTAGTGCTACTACATAAAATATCCAACCCTTTTACTTACGATGAGAAAAGAAAGTATGACCCATTCGCACACATTTGGTGGCTATGCTGGCGAACAACCAATCACACGCAATGATCTTAAACACGCCACTCGTATCGTAGTCAAGATGGGCACAAGCGTCGTGTCGACAAGTGGTGAACCCGCACTTGGTCGCATCGCGTCTATCGTGGAGCAGGTTTGCATGTTGAAACGTCAAGGCAAAGAAGTATTGCTAGTGACGAGTGGTGCTGTGGGTATTGGTCGCAAGCGTCTAAACAAGCAAATCTTGCTCTCGGCCTCTTTGCGCACTCATGTGCAAGGCAATCAGCAAATGTTGGCGCTTGAAAAGAAGCAGGGCGCCATGGCCGCCGCTGGTCAAATTGGCCTCATGTCACTCTATGAAACACTTTTTTCACTTTATGATGTGGCTTGCTCACAGGTGCTTGTCACAGCGTCGGACTTCAAGACGGCTCAGAACCGCGCAAATATGCGCGACACAATGCTCAACCTTCTCGAGCTTGATGTGGTCCCAATTGTCAACGAGAATGATGCAGTCAGTGCGTCGCCAGATGGAACTGTCTTTACAGATAACGACTCGCTCGCTGCTTTGGTAGGCGGCGAAATTGAAGCTGACCTGCTCATGCTGCTTACAGACGTAGAGGGTTTGTACAATAAACCCCCCTACCCAGCCTGGTGCAAAGATTATTTCGGTCTTTCGTCCTGAGAACAATAAATTTATGATTGGTGAGAAGTCTAGCGTCGGTCGTGGTGGTATGGGCGCTAAAATTAAGGCGGCCCAATCTGCGATCTCGCAGGGTGTGAACGCCGTGGTGATTGCTAGTGGTTTTAAGTACGGCGTTGTTGGATCTATCATGAAGGGTTCAAATCTTGGCACGCTCTTTGTGGCTAACCCGGGAATTGAGTCACCAGACTCAATGTCTGCCGAGGAGATGGCAAACGCTGCGCGCGCTGGCTGCCACCAGTTACAGGCGTTGTCATCAGAAGAGCGCGCAAGTATTTTATTCCGCATTGCTGATGAACTTCAAAACAATAGAACCGCAATTTTGCACGCGAATCAAAAGGATCTTTTAGCAGCCCAAAAGGCGTCCATTGACGAGGGCCTGCTGGCGCGTTTGAAGCTGACAGAGGAGAAGTTGGAGACGTTGGCAGATGGGATCCGAAGTATTGCAGAATCCGAAGAACCAATCGGCCGAATGCTCAAACGTACCGAACTAGCGTCTGGCCTGGTCCTGCACCAGGAAACGGCCTCGATTGGAGTGCTGCTCGTCATTTTCGAGAGTCGCCCTGACTCGCTGCCGCAGATTGCCGCGCTTGCACTGCGCAGCGGAAATGGTCTGTTGCTGAAGGGCGGCAAGGAAGCCGTCCACAGCAACGCTGCACTGCACAAGATTATCGTAGACGCAGTGGAGGTGGCTACGAACGGCAAGGTGAAGAAGGACGTCATTGGTCTGGTTACGTCTCGCGAGGAAATTGCTGACCTACTACGTCTGGATGATGTTATTGACCTGTGCATCCCACGCGGCTCGGGATCCATGGTGAGCTACATTAAGAAAAACACGCGTATACCTGTCCTTGGTCACGCGGAGGGTGTTTGCCACATGTACATCCATACTGCTGCTGACATGAAAAAGGCGATTGATCTTGCTGTTGATGCCAAGACCGACTACCCTGCTGCATGTAACGCTCTCGAGACGCTACTGATCGATGAGTCGATTGTGACCAGTGGACAAGTCACGGAGGTTTTGACAAAGCTGGAGGAAGCTGATATAAATCTGCACATTGCACCGAATGCTGCTAAGCTGGGCGTTATAACAGTGAAGTCGCGCCCCACGACTTCGCTCTCCACCGAGTATGGCACGAAGGATATCACTATTGAGGTGGTGAACGGTATCGATGCCGCGATCTCCCACATCAACTTGTACAGCAGTGGTCACACTGAATGCATTGTGACGGAAGATGCAGCTGCTGCAGAGCAGTTTCAGCAGATGATTGACAGTGCATGCGTTTTCTGCAATGCCAGCACTCGCTTTGCTGATGGTTACCGTTTTGGTCTGGGTGCCGAGGTTGGTATCAGCACAGGTCGCATCCACGCCCGTGGTCCCGTTGGTGTGGAAGGTTTGCTCACGACAAAGTGGAAGCTTGTGTCGGAAAATGGACACACTGTTGCCCAATTCTCAAGCGCTAAGAATGACCACCCACTCAAGTACACGCACAAGAAGTTGGCGTTGATCCAACACGAGGCAAATATTGCTCGCCCGCAGAGTAGCCGTCTATAAGGTAATTGTTATCGGTTGCTGCTACAAAAGTGCAGCTTTAGAAGTGAGACAATACACGAAACACAACAATGACTTGAAGCTGGTGTTTATGCAAGAAATAATGTCGTCTGTAAACAGTGATTACACAAGTCGTTCAAATGTATTACATAATCTAACTAATGACAGTAAACCTTTTTGTTTACCACATTTCTGCTTGTTTTAGATTCTTAGTCAACGTGAATCAGAAATCCATCTCCTCATCGTCATCCTCTTTCTGTCGCTTCATACGCTCGCGTCGCTATCAGAAATCCATCTCCTCATCGTCATCCTCTTTCTGTCGCTTCATGCGCTTGCGGCGGTCGCTATCGTTGATAGCACTCAGGTCACGCGTGGCTTTGGCTCGCAAGGTATCAATGTCGCCTGCATCCTCTGCCCACTCAAGTACAAGATGTCGACCGTACAAATGCGAGCTGGCAAGAGCTGAAAATGCATTTCGAGCTTCTTGCTCTGTGAGAAACTCCACAAAGGCAAAACCGCGGTGTCTGCCGTCAAACTTTTTTGGCATACGCACACGCTTAAGCTGACCAAATGCACCAAACAGCTCACGAATTTCGTTGCTCGTTGCCTCGAATGCTACGTTGCGAACAATGATCTTTGACTTGCAACCGTCGCCCTCACCAGCCGCACGCTTTGGAGCCGCTGATGCCTTTTTCTGAGAAAGCTTCAAGTTCAGCGCATGACCATCCACAACAACGCTCTGAAGCTTTTGCAACGCACGCTCCGTGTCCTTGGCATCCACATACTCTACAAAGCCAAAACCCATTGACAGCATACCTCGCTTTGGGTCTTTTCGGCGGGCGACGGTGACCTTGCGTAGCTTACCACAGCGTGCAAAAACCTTCTCTAGATCGGCCTCCTTCGTGGAGAAATTCAAGTTCTTTGCACAAATAGTGTGACATGCATCACCCACAGCGGTATCACCATCGTCGTCGACATCAGGCACGATAGCTGAGGTAGTTATGATACCTTTCTGGTCGGATACAGATTCTTTGGCACTCGAAGAAGCAGAAGCAGATTGGTCGAGCAATTTGACAGGAGCCCACTCCAGATAAAGCGGCACATGCTGATACTTTTTGTAGGCGAGTGAACGAAAGGCTTTGCGTGCTTCTGAAGGCTCCAGAAATTCGACAACTGCTAGCGTTTTTGATGGTGGCAAAAGAAAGCGACCAATCTCACCGTGCTTTCGGAAAAGCTGTGCTAACTCTTCCTCCTCGGCAGTATGTGGTAGATTTTTAATCAGAATAACAGACGTGCTTCGCTCAATTTTCTTGGACTGCTGCTGGCTCGGCTTCTTTACAAGCGCACCCTCAATGACGTCTAAGTCCAGACCTTCACGTGCAAAAAAGTCTTTGTTTTCCTTCACTAACATGGTTTCTCCAATAGCTAAACGCACAGCCATGTTTCCCTGTTCTTTGTCCATGATCTCACCGCGCTTCACACCCATGCGCTCGGCAAGCGAGCCCACAGTTGCGTCTCCGCGAATGTAAGACGCATTCCAGCCTGTTTTCTTTTGAGCTTGAATCTGACGCTCCAACTCCTTACGTTGCTTGTACGTCAAGTCCGGATCTGCGAGGGTTGCCTTTGGGTCAAGTTTGACAGGCTTTGAGCGCGCATAAATCACATGCAAGCGCCGCCCCTGAAACGCCATACCGTTTAAGGCTGTGCAAGCTGCTTGGGCGTCTACTGTTGTACGAAAAAGAACAAAGCCGTAGCCCTTGCGTCGACGGGTCTCATCCAGCGGCAAGTGTACTTCCTCCACCGGGCCATACGAAGAGCACAAAGTCTTAAGATCCTCCTCCACAGCTGTAAATGGAAGATTCCGTACAAATAAACGAGCAGTAGGTTTGCCATCTTCCGTAATAACCTCCGCTTCATCAAGTGCTACAGTTTTCTTGCAGCAGGCAGACTCCTTGTCATATCCTCTACCTTCGCCACCATCAATGTCGTCATCGCTGTCTCTATCATCGCTATCCTTGTCAATATTTTTGCTCATCTTAGACCGCAAGAAGTCCATGTCTGACATCACTTCCAACTGTCCGTTTTGCTTTTCATTTTTGGCATCATTCTTATCCTCTTTATCATCATCAGGCTTGATTGCGCCTATATCTTGGTATTCATCATCACTATCCTCTGCCTCGGCAATATCCGCACCTGTTTTGGAGCCCGCTTTCCCGTCTACCGGCCCTTGAATGTCATCGTTGGCCCAAAATTTGGTCTTTGATCGAGCTTGCATCGTCTCAATAAACTCTTGAAAATCTCCGCTCACTTTTTCCTGCTTCACAGTCATCTTCCTCCTCTTCTCAGGAGATGTCTTCTTTTCTGTGGAAGAGGTTGTTACGACCCCTGACACCGCGTGCAGCTTCTGATAGCGCCCACTTCCCGCTGAGTATTTACTCCATGGTCGATCAATCTCGTCTGAATTGCGCTAGTTCACCATAGAAGGTAAAAAAACATATATAAGAACACAAATGCATCACGCGACAGTGCACACTACCATAATGATCAATCACCACATTATCAATAGCTCAATTTGTTACTCATACCAACAGCGCCACGTGCACATCAATCCTGCATGTATCAAAGAAGCTTTTATGAAAGAATTTTCGTGCTTGTTCTGCCTGTTTTTCACTCTTAAAGCCTACAAAACCAAAGCGTCGAGACTTGCTGCCATCCTTGGTGCGGATTACGCAAGCATCTGTTACCTCTCCCTGCGCTTCAAAGTGTTCACGTAATCTTGCAGAATCCACGTAGGCAGGAAGTTTTTGTACATACAGACGCGTACTTGACTCGGATGCTTCGTCCTTTATCGTCGTTGCTGTCATTATCTTGCTTCTGATCGGATGGTTCGTGCTGTGTGATACATGGTGTACACCACACTAGATTCGGTTTTCATTGGACAACTTGCTGTCTGTGAGCATACCGTGACGGACAAAAAAGCCAGACAGCCAGCCGACAGCTGATTCGCTATAATAATGTCCACGAAATGACGTAAGATAAGTAGGAGATGTTACGTGCAGCGAAAAACACACGACCAAGGTGATGCTGCCCAACCTGTTTCATTACCTCGTTAGCCATGCAGTGAAGTTTGTTATACGTGGAGGAATATCTCCACGTCACTATGGTATTGCACATTGATAGCCAGCACATAATGGAGGCACTTTGTGTTGTTGTTATTCAAACATACGCAGTCCTCTCTCTCGTACAAATCCATTTTAGGGCATGGCAAACTGACTAAGACTAAACTGCTGTCCTACGCACTGTAGTAGGTAAAAAAAAGTCAGACTTGATCATGTAGCTTCCGTCCTAAAGCGTTTATTTTGCTGAAAGGGAAAAGCTTTTTTCTTGCTTCCGCTCAGCCTCCATTATAGAGACCGCTCTTTGACTGTGCGAAACGATACGTCAGGACAAGCTCTTCATTTGTCCTTTATCTTCCATGTAATTGCATAGTTTCTTGCTTCAGCATGAACTCTGCCAAGGTGAATAGGCCTTTCATAAAATCCACGTCCTCAAATCTTGCTTTTCTTTTCCATGACTAGCATGATGACACAAAAGACATGTGGCCTTGAGCGTATAGCTCTTCACATACGGACGTAGATCTCATAGCATACAAATGGCAAACGCCAAATGATGAGCTCTGCTACCGTACATGACAGTTACCTTCATGCAGCAAATTTGTTAATGACAAACCTTTGTCAATCTAGTTTTCCATCCATTCATTCATTCATCTTCTTCACTCTCTATGCTGCTAAGCCTGGTCACTTCTTCATAGTTCTTAGTGCAGAATAAAATTAAGTGAATGCGACTTATTCCCATAATCGTCCGAGCCGTCGCTATTAGTATCAGCATCTTCATTCTCCCTACCCTTCTCATCATCATCACGTGGTCCTTGGACGTATCTGGCAGCTTGTTCTCCTGTATACTCTCGCTGTTGACTCTCATCGTGCTGCTGCTCGTAGCCGTTCAGATGTTGCGGCTGCGCGTGGAATGTCGCCATGCTTACGTCTCCCTGGTAATCATGTTCATTTTCTTCATCCTCGATGCAATGCGTGCTTAATTTTGTCACAGTCGAAGATAATAATCCATGACGTGGAGGATTACCCGTCAGCGCCTGCTGCTCCACAAAGTCGTCCTTCATGGCCTTTAGATCAGCCAATGGAAGCCCCATAAACACACCAAAGCCGTAATAAATCTTCTCATTATCACTTTCATTATCATTACTGACGTTTCCTACTCGTGGAAGATTAAAGTCGCCGCTTGCACGTGTCGCTAATCGATTCTCCATTGCCATTCTCTATCGTGTCTTGTTGAACTGTGCTTCTATATTATATATAAGGGTTTTGACGATTCGTACTTAGTGATGCGTATGAATGAGCGTTTATGGCTACATATGTGCATGTAGCCATTTGCAAAATTGGACAGCGCAAACAGCAGCTATAACCTGCAGTTGTCTATTTCCTTCGACGAAAATGCTTGTATGCTTTTTTTCCCCTTTAGCACAAGGTCTTCACTTGCATCACGCGTTCGATATTCTCCATCAACATTAATTTGCGACCCGAGCTCCATATGCAGCTGGCGGAATTTACGAGCAGAACCAACGGGACGTAGTGGTCCTGCAAGCAACCTCTTGAGCTGAGCACGGAGCGGCTGCACTGACTGATTTTGTGTAGTCTTCTTGCCTTCTTCATTTCGCTGCTTTGCACCTAATTCGAACAGCAAGTCGTCGTCCAAGTCCAAGTCAGCAGCCGCAGCCATCTGCTCAAACCAAGCCACTTCCGACTTTAGTTTACCCGCAGCATTTTCCTGCTCGTTGATGCTCTTGGCAAGACGCATGCGTTCATCAATTGCTTCCATATACCGATGATCGAATGGAAAGTCCGACAGCCCAGTAGGTCGCTGCAACATTTTGCAAATTTGTGCGTGGTTTTTGGCATCGGCGGGCGACACTAGAGCAATACTCAGACCATCCTTGTTAGCACGGGCAGTACGACCGCTGCGGTGCACAAAAACCTCCGTAGAACATGCAATATGGTAATGCACAACGTAGTCAACGCTAGGAATATCCAAACCACGAGCAGCAACGTCGGTCGCCACCAAAATACCCTTTGCGTGCGCACGAAAGCCGTCCAGCTTCTTCAATCGCTGACGTTGTTGCATCTCAGCGTGCAAGGCAAACACCGGAAGATCCAACAGATTCAACAGGCTAGCAAGTTTTCGTACCTGGTGAATGGCGTTCAAGAAGATGATAGTTCGACCCGGGTATTGCGTGAGGAAGTAGTACAAGAAGCTGTCACGGGTAGACTCCGTCACTTCGTGCTGACAAAGCTCCAAACCCGCAGGCAACGACAATTCCATGTTTTCTTGCTGTTTCTTCAGCTTTCGTTGAGCTTCTTCGGACACAATCGGCTTCGCACCAGGAAAGTCTACCTCAGGCTCCGCTATACCGAGATCGACGACTGCAGGCTTTCCACGGAGGCCAACACGCTTCATGACTCGCTCCAGTACGCTTAGTGCATTACGATGCTTCGTAGTCTTGTTTTTCTGGAAGCGACCACCCTCAGGAATCGTCAGCGTAGCCGAAAACAGGAACGTCTGACGTACGTGACGCGGAGCTGCTTCCATCTGAGCCTTGTCCTTACTAGGCTTCGCTGTTCCCTCTGCAGCAGCACTCCTCTTGTCTTCATCTTGCTGTGTACGCTGCATCTTGAGCACATCGTCAAGCATCACGACGTTTGTGCCGCTCACAAATTTAGCCATGTTAATATCCTCATCATCGTTGTCGGCATCATTTTCATTCCCAGTAATTTTACCATCCTCCTTCTCATTATCCAATACTTTTCCAAGTTTCGAAGCTGCAGCGTTGCTCTTGCGACGCAGCGCATCGAAGACCTTTTCCAGTTCCGGGTACGATCCAGGCTGTAGCATACGGTCTGCCTCATCCACGACCAGAAAGCGTAGCGTTGAGGCTATATCCTTCATATGTTCATTGTTAGTCTCAATGATATCCCATAGCCGGCCTGGCGTACCGATCACAATCTCAGGCCTGTAACTAAGAATTCGCTTTTGCTTCTGCACGGCCATACCACCTACCAGTGTGACCACTCCGATTTCGCGATGATGCATCATTTTTTCTAAATGTTGTTGAATTTGAAGAGCAAGTTCGCGCGTCGGCGTCAGAATCAATGCCTTGCAATCCTTCGTGTATCCCGGTTGCTCACGCTCATACAGCAACTGGCTCAAGATCGGAATTCCAAAAGCCAGCGTCTTACCGGAACCCGTAGGCGCCGCACCTACCACATCACGATTGTCCACCAACGCCGGTAACAAAGTACGCTCCTGAATGCGCGTAGGAGCTGTAAATCCACAAGTCTGAAGCGATTGCATCAGCAGCGGATGCAGCTCAAACTTGCTCCACTTTGGCAAGTTGACGTTTTTTAACGCAACCATCTTCACCTGTTCGTTTTTCGTCTTGGCTTTATTCCCACATTTCTTTTTTTTTCTTGCCCTTCTTCGAAGCATTTTCTCCATTCTCTAGCTTATTATCGTTCAATTTTGTTGCTTCCTGCTTTACCGGCACTTCCATTGCCACACTATCCACGTCAACATTCGTCTCGGTCTCCAGCTGCTGCTTTTTCACAGTCTTCGACTTCCTGCGTTTCTTCTTGTTTCCACGACTCTGCTCCTCCCGAACTTGACTGTCTTCAACCAGAATCTTTCCACCTCCTTCTGTCATCTCCACATGGTAGTTTGTAAGCTCTTCTAGCTCAAATGCACAGCCATCTTGAAACCCATTGAGCTGCATGCCCTCCATATCCACCTTGGTCCAACTAGCGTCGACCATGGACGAATTTTTATCTGTTGAGATCGTGCGTATTTTTCGTTTCTTTGTAGGTTTTATGCTGGCTTCACGCATGGGAGCTAACGAGTAAGGCACAACGGAGACACCACTCATACTTGTCTGTAGCTTAATTAGTGTGACTTCCTGCAAACAAGTGTTTACCAACCAATTTTCAACCAATCATTTAGCATTTCTATACAATTTGAAATACATATAGAATCATACGAAAACATTAGAAATCGAATGCTAATCAAACGTGGTTCTAAAAGCTTACCTCTTCATTGGAATAATGCATAGAAATATTCCTTGAAAGAAGACAACTGGAATACTTGGTACCGAAAAGAGCTTTGAGCTATTTATTCCCTGGACAGCGAGCAAGCAGTATATATGCGCGCTCTCTTTGGCCTTACGACCAGAAGCCGTTGCTCGAGTGCCTTGAAGCCTTTTACTCTTGCAAGCAAACCTTGTATCAATAGCAGAAAGGGACTAGCCACCCATGCTTTCGTGTCGCGCCACTATCAAATGCAGGACCGAAGAGATGTGGCCAATTTTTTACGTCGCAAGAGCTTTACCATGCGTGAGACCGATTCGCACTTTGTAGTGCGTGATTGTCCGTTTTGTCACGCTACATACGGCAAAGCTGATAACCTTTTCAAAATGTATGTGCATAAGACCCAGGGTATGTACAAATGCCATCGCTGTGGCTCTGCAGGCAGTTGGTTTGATTTTAAACGGAAGTTGCAAGACGGTGTGGATGTTGCGTCATCTATTGGTGCATTGTATAGTGAGAGTAATGCTAGAGCTCGGGTAAGCTCAGAAGAGGTGAAGGTTATTCAGACGTTGGACAACGAGAAGGCGGTGGCTATTCAAAAGAATTTAGTGGACGACCCCGAGTTTGAGCCGTTGCTCAAATACTTGACGGACATCCGAGGCATTACTCAGGAAGTATTGCAAAAATATTGTGTGGGTGCGATTGAGCAGCCATTTTGGGACCACGAATTGAATGGACGTGTTAACGCCAAGTGCATTTCCTTTCCGTGGATGGCGCGGCAGATGGATATGAAGGCGATGGGTGTTGTGTGTCAGGAAGAGAAAAAGAGGCAGGAAACTGAGGACAAAAATTTATATGACGTTATACGGCTTAAACTGCGTGCTGTGGACGACAAGACAAAGCAGCAGCTTGTTCCAAAGGGAGGTAGTTGGGGTCTCTTTGGTTGGAACACGGTACCTAGGGCTGCAAAGGAGATAGTGCTTACTGAAGGTGAGTTTGACGCCATGGCTGTGCACCAGGCAACAGGCATGGCTGCAGTGTCATTACCGAACGGATGCCAGTCGCTGCCACCGAGTGTTCTACCTTTATTAGAGATTTTCAAACGCATTTACCTTTGGATGGACAATGATGCCTCGGGACAGTCGAATGTTGAGAAGTTCGCTGCAAAGCTTGGCATGAGTCGCTGCTACATTGTCCGTATTCCTGCAAACGTATCGTCAGCTTCGGTCAAAGACGCAAATGATGCCCTTCGAGCAGGTCTAGACCTTACTGCACTTTTAAATGCCGCCGAATGCATGCCGCACAGTCAAATTACCACATTTGAGGAGCTTCGTCGTGATGTATATGAGGAAATTGTGAACCCTCTTAAAGCCTGTGGCGTTCAATCGCGGGCATTTCCTTCGCTAAATCGGTTAATGAAAGGACACCGCATGGGCGAAGTAACAGTGCTAACCGGTCCGACAGGATGTGGTAAAACTACGCTATTGAGTCAATTATCGCTTGACTTGTGCGGTCAGGGTGTGAGTACTCTTTGGGGCTCGTTTGAGATCAAGAATACACGTCTGATGCATAAGATGCTTACTCAGCTTGCACAGCGCAACTTATCTGGCGACGTGAATGCATTTGAAGCTGCAGCTGATCGGTTTGAGGCTCTTCCCATGCATTTCTTACGATTCTTTGGAAGTACTGATGTAGACGAAGTTTTGGACGCAATGGAGTACGCTGTGTACGCTTTTGATGTGCAGCATATCTTGTTGGACAACGTGCAGTTTATGATGGCGGGTCAAGGTCATGGCTTTGACAAATTTGAGCGCCAGGATATGGCGCTGGACAAATTTCGAAAATTTGCTTCGGCGAAGAACGTTCATCTTACGCTTGTAATCCATCCACGCAAGGAGCAAGAGGATCAAGATCTGACGCTGTCATCTGTGTTTGGCACAGCCAAAGCCACTCAAGAGGCTGATAATGTTCTCATTCTGCAACGCACCTATGGCGAATCCAAGTTAGATATTCGCAAAAACCGCTTTGATGGGACATTGGGCTCAATCCCTCTGAAGTTTGATCCGGATTCCGCTTCGTTGCGTGAGGTCGGTAGAGAAGGTATGTCTGAGGGTGTTGCAGCCGTGGACCTCGAAGCTGAGATGGAGCTTGCTCAAAGACGGCGCATGCAAAAGAGTACTCACGTACAGGAGTATCCCTGCCATGAGCCAATGCGCGATATCCTTCCAGATATGGAACCAGAGGACAGTCAGCCCATGCGAGAGTACCAGTATGTGGCAGCACCAGTTTCAGCTTCGCCTGATAGCCTCAGGCATCGAAATGAGTTTCACGGGATTAATGGTAGCCACAGATCTAAGATCAACGGTAGCTCTTTGTCAAGGCTCAATGGCGAGGATCATCGCCTTGGTGGCGACAGCAACGGCCTCAACGGGAGTTCCAGCCGCGCTCGCCCGGGTTCTTCCAGCAACAATCTTAATGGCAACGAGCCACGCGCTGGCGGTAGTGCTGGTGAGCCCTTTGCTGCGTTTACGCCAATCATCACGCGGTAGCTACGAAACGTCTCATGTGAACATTGGGTAGTAAAAGAGATTCGTAGCTTGTCAAGCTTTGAGAATATCGCGCTCTCGCCTGCTATCATTTTTGCAGTGCAAATTGTTTTCCTAATAAAAGTTCCTATCAACAACGAATGATTCACAAATATTCACCGCCATCGATCGATACTAGAGTCTAGAAGCCATGCCGGCCAAGCTACCTCAAAGACAACTGCTCGTATATCGTCCACGTGACTGCAGTAGAGAGCGTTCGTTTGACGACACGCGGAATGATGCCCTTCGCAAAGCCACCCATGCCTTCATGGTGATAGATCTTTGCCACCGTTTGACGAAACGTAAGAGAGTTTTGCATGGACACAGCGCCTCCTTTACCGTTATTTGCCATAATGGTGAGCTGCATCCGTGTCTTTATAACATCAGCTGGATGCACGATGGACGTGGCAAGCACGCCTGCGACAACACCGCAACTAAAATGCACGCCGTACAATGGCAGATGCAAGAACTTTTGAGTCCACGAATCACGCAGACGCGTATAAATGAGCACATAGAGCCCAGAAAATGGTACATCTCTGATGAGCGTAGGCAACATGCCGCGATACAATCCACGCACGCCTTCGTGACGTAGCACGTGACGCACCACATGAACGCTGCTGTGGAAAGTGCCAGGAGGAAGAAACTCCATCCGGGCTTTTACAATAGTCAAAGGCGACATAATTCCGCCGGCAAATGTTCGTGACAAGGCTCCAGCTAAAAACGTGTTGGCTGCAGAGCTTGGAAACATATGCAGGCAGTAGTCTAACGTGGCAAAGTAGAGACCAGCACCACCCGCTACACGCACGAGCGTGGGCGACGTGCCACGCCACATGGATCGTACTTTGTCCATTAAATCATTTGCTGGTCTTGATTGTTTGATTGTTTCAGAGAAAGCTGTAGATGCCTTACGAGGCTCCACTTGCGTTGTGAACGCGCCCTGCTGATGGGTACGCAGTACATCCAGTGGCTGGAATGCTAGAGCCGAAATCATTCCTGACATTGCGCCTGCAAGAAGTTTTCTAGTGTTGCCTGAGAACTCATCCATGTGACGTTGGTGCTTTGCCACCATCAGAGATGGAGCTATCGTCATTACTAGTGTGCAAAACTGAAGCAACAGGACCAATGGGAAACGGATATGAAAGGGAAACATATCGTGGACCACACAAACCATGCATCATGACTTATATATCCGTATAAGCGATATGCAAGAACCTTGCTGTGTCTAGATGAAACGGAAGGCGATAGCATAGCGAAGACGTAGCTACGAGGGGACAAGCTTTGTTTATCCAAACATCCATTTCAATATTAGACAGCAGCCCATGGTGATGTTTCTAGCCGCGACCAGAGATAGCTACCCTACATTAAACGTAAGCCAACCTGATGTGCCTTGGCTTGATCATGCGCTGTACTAGTCATAATGCAACTATTCAAACTACAGACGCGAAACATGTAGTCTACACACTTGACTTCAACGTCATCATCCATCAACAGCTTAACCATGTAAAACATATTCTACAGTCAAACGAGCACAGCGTAGTTTATGTACAATATAAAACTGTTGTAACTGCATTATAAACTCGCCGTAGGGCCCTATCGGACGGGTGCCATCGTTCTTGCTTCTTATCTGTAATTTTGTTCCAAATGACGTACGCAAACGTTGTATTGAGATAGAACGAAACCCCGCCTGGCTGCTAAGACCATACTAAAGTAATGTAGCATACACTATTCTGACATAGCTAGCTTGAAGCCCATCATCATGCATTAAGTATCCGGTACTTATTTGATATAATTTTTGACATGTATCGCCGCTAATAAATGAAATGTAGAAACAAAATTGCAAAATTAGAAATGGTTCGTCACCGTCCGAGTGGTAAGTTTGAGACGTCTGTGACAGTGCCAAAGATATAAAAGCGACCACTCTAACATCGGATAGGATATACATGACACTGCGTAGATATTGAGTCCCCCGGGCGCTCTCGCATTTGCTCACGCTCCCGGTCTCGCTCAAAGGAAAAATCCACCAGGTCAGTTTCACTCATTCATTATCTTTATACGTTTGGTCAAGAACTTATTATTCGTTACGCTTCAGTCATACCGAGCACAGGGCGAGAAGGAGAGAGCGTTGTCTGATAGCCTCGCACCATGGTAGCAGCCACAGACAGAGGCACGAGTGCTGCGTTTCCGGCTCGGCGTCGTCTCGGAGTAGAAGTAGATCGTCCGATTTGGATTCGAGTGCCAGCAGTAGAAAGGAGAGAAAAAGATCGCACAAGTCGAAGAAAAGAAAGAAGCACCGCAGTTCCGACGACAAAAAGCGCAAGCTGTCCGAGCCCAAGCAGAAGAAGAAGACGAAAGAACGGAAGCAAAGTTACAAGAAGAGTCGCCGTCGACATGAACGCGACGACGAATCGTCTTCTTCATCTTCGTCTGACTCAGACACTATCCGCAGCGTTATCTCGGGTAAGAAAATTGAGCGCAGGTTGAGCCGATCGGCAGCAGACGTGCAAAACCAAAAGAGTCGTCAACAGTTGCTGCAATTCTACAACGGCATGTTCGACTAGGTGATGATCGACTGTTTTGCAGTTTTAGCATACAGTTTGTTAAACAATATACTGCCGGAGTACGACACTCGTTTATTGACACAAGATGTGGCATTTTATAAAAGAGTATCGTTGTTCGTGCAGGTATTGAGCTTATGAGTCAGGACAATCTTCTCTATACAGGATGCGTTGTTAGAAGAAGAAAAAAGCGTTCTTCTATAATAAATACTTATCGTCCTGTCATTATGGCGCTACAGGCGCCTCCCACTATGGATTGGCTGGCAATAGCAAACTTTTTCGCCGACGCTCTCGAACACAGCGCAAAAACGCAAATACGTCGGTACTAATGGCAGTCAGAGGCACCAGGTCGAGGCGCCTCGACGGATGAGATGATTACAACATTTGATGCATACAGCCGTTCCATTGGGATCTTGCCGCGACCACAACCAAGGATCAGTATACGGCAGCCGACTGCCGGAAGCTACGAAGGGCACAAGACGCAAGGGGCATCGTCTTTAACGTTCATTCGCTCCTTCCTGGGTTTCCATGGAGCGTCATTCCGTTGCCAACAGACATTTACAAGCTAGCACTCACGAAACAATTTTTTCGGCGGTGCAAGGTTTAGATAGTTACTGCAAAATGCTCTACAAGGGGCCCGAGTCGTGGTGCAAGGGAGTGCATGGCAGACCGCAGCTTTACAGCAGACACCACGAGCAATGTGAGACCACGGCCGCGAGCTCACGGATTACCAAGTGTGGGTCGTGTATCAAGTGGCCGTACGGCAATTTAATCCCTGCCATGCAGAACGGGATAAGCGACAACAGTTGTCGTAGCTACAATGCTGCCGTAGATGAAAGAAACGGTGTAACATATTTTTTGGATACAACCATGCGTGCAAGCATGCTGGCAAAACTTCATCAGCCACTGGACTAGAGAAAGATGGAAGCTGGGACGTCTTCAGGACTTCCTAGCCAAAAGTGCAAGCCGATGAGCACCAGAGCTATCCATGGTAGTCCGTGAACAGCTCCATCGGCCTTACCCCGACGAGGCGGCTGCATACAGCGATGTGTAGCGGGGCCTATGGATCATTCTGAGCAGCATATGCATTGCTCACTTGTGATTACCGAAACCGGTCATCGTTCCAGTAAGCGAACCTGACCATCGGAGGAAGCGTTCAGGAGTTTTGGGAAACCGGCATGCGACAACTCTGTGCAATCGGTAAGCGCGAGAGTCGACGCGCTGAAACGTTCATCAGCGGGACACGACTGCTACTTTGCCAATGCATCATAGCACGACAACCCCATAGCCGTCACCGCGTGACTAGCCCCGTACAACCACCGGACTTGACCGAGGAACCGATGTTGCCAATGAGGCTTAGGATCTATTCGATATCTTGTAAACCTTACTACGTTTCATAAAATTGTCTACCTTATCACCCTCAGAGTTGGGAGCTCACTCAATCCCACAATGGTCTCACGTGGATGTTCAAAGGAACCCTCACCGCCGGTCCAGGAGAAAAACGCAGGAACTCACCCAACTAGCGAAGCGCAAGCTCATCCGAAATAGGGTCATCTTTTTTCCAATCCACAGGACCTCCACTATCCATGGTCTGCTCCGCCAATGGTTCCCAATCGCCGCGTCTTTTCGTTCCTGGAACGGCAAGCTTTTAAGTCGTCTAAGCGGTGTCTTGCAATACCGCTGGAGCAGGTCATTGATCGACTAGGCTTCAAGCGCCAGCAAACGCGATGGCAACGAGCAGCTCTCGATGAATCGCCGGGTCATCTATGGGGTCACGATCGCGGAGACGGAATATCAGCTCTGGACACGGTACCGCCAAGCTACCGGTCAGCTAAACTTTTGGTATCAGGACCGCCCTCCGGACGGGACTTGCAAGTATCGAGAATGTGTAGGACAGAAGGAGACCCAGGAGCATATCTTCTGGGGATGTCCCCGTGCTCAGGCACTTTGGACCCGGCTCATCAGTCATTGGGAAAGCACACCCCGTAAGCCTCACCACCTACTGGGATGGATCGAGCACTGCGCAAACCGTAGCATACCCCGCCTTTCACCGAGGGTCACAGTAATGCTGGTAGCCCGTTATCCCGACGAGATCGATCAATTCGCCACGGCCTGGAAGACGATATGGGAGGACGCAGGGACCGTCATCACAATGCTCTATCAACACCGCGTCGACAGTGTGTTTTGCCATGCAGACATCCCTATGCAAGCCAGTGAAGCCTTAATTTGGGGCAGGATTCGGCTCCAACTGCGAGCGCTCATTAAACGCCTCCATTGCAGGGCTGACACGGCCGTGCGGGGTGCCCAACTTTCTGAATGCTGCGACATATTTATATCAGAACCGAGAGGGCAGTCCGGCCTTCATAGTCAGTCAGGCAGCCGTGGGCAATGTCTGGACCCTCCAGCGTTGCTAGTGTGGTTAACAACCTATTAGAGATCTTGCACTAACCAGTAAATAGACAATCTGTTCTACCTCTCTTTCCTGTCATTTTTAGTATTTCAGTTTTATACTATTCTGTGACCTCGAATACTTTATTCCGCGCTTATCCATCCAACAGCCTAAGCAAACAAGGTCAAGGAAGGTCTTGTAACATCCGCTTGTATCGTTGTCTATAGTTTGCATACTAGTGTCACAACATTGCGTATGTCCTGTATTGCTTTCATGTAGCTTGTATCTCTACATACGTTCTGTATCTAACATTATGTGCTAATTAATATACACAGCTAATGCCGAGTTCTCCTAGTTCCGTAATTGTCGTCGATGACTCTAGCGACGACGAATCTTTACCCCAAAACATTCGACAGAATGTTGTCTTGATTGTTAGTTCATCTGACGAATCAGACACAGATCATCTTATTCCTCAGAAGAAGTTGCGAGTGGCGTCTCCCACTGCCCCTAAGATCGGAAAGGAAGGCCATGGCAGTGAAACGGAGAAGGATAGGAATGAAGCAAGTAGTACGAATGACAGGGATCAAGATAGCGGTACCTGTGAGCAACCGACGCCTTACGTCAAAATGGCGACCCCAGTTAAAAAGACGAGCTCAACTAGCCAATCTAGTGCAACTATGAAGTCTGAAGATGATACTGATGAGAAGACGCCACCGTTGCGAACCGCATACAGCAATGTACGGATGTATTCGGATTGTATGTCTTTCAGCAAGTTACAAGCACAGCAGCGCGAGTTGGAGAGACTACAGGCTTACGCACAGCGCTCGAGCAAATTGATGCCTTGCAATACCGCACACCGAGCAGCTACGGGATCGAAGCGTAAGGCGAGCGACCCCATGTCGGTGACGCACAGTCTTCAAACTGAAAGCTCGGTTATGATGAACATAAGGTCACCGTTACCATTCAACGTTAATTTTTCCGAATCAAGTAACTGTTCTTCTTCGATGTCACCCGAAAAGAAGAATGACGCAGCTGCATGTAGTGTCCAAGCTAAGCCGATGTCTCTTCAGGATGTGGTGGCACAAGAGTCAGAGCTTGCAAAACTGCGCAGCGAGAATGCGAATAACGAAAGTCATGTGATTTCCCTCAACCAGAATAAAATATTGGAACCAATGACACAGTCGTCAGTACCAAGATCATCACTTTCTCCATTCAGAGACCCAAAAATCCTCGTTGATGGACATGGAAAATCTGATCATGCTGACACCGTAGAGGACGCACCCTTTCAACCTGAGCCGTTCTCGGAAGAATCACTGTCGAAATCGGTATGCAAATCTGGCAACCCTAGAAATCCTAGTTTGCTAGATGCATTAGGCCGTGCTAGTGAACCGAGACGTAAACGTGGCAAGACAGATAAAGCTGTTTTTTTGAAGAAATCTATCAAGTCCAAGCTCAAAATGAGAAAGATTGAACCACGAACTCTATCTGCAAAAGCAGCAGTGCGGAGCTCTTCTACTACACAAGCTGGTCCTTTCTCCGAAAAATTGGCGCATTGCAGAAATGCTCGAGATACGGTGATACCCGGTACGGTGTGGCGAAATGTGTGTTTTGACACAGCCCCGACCAATTTGCTGCCGCTCGGTTTGGACATCTCGCATCCTTTTTGCTCGGCATTTGACCTCCCACTTTTGACCTATGGTATGTGGCCTATTTCTTTCGTACATATGACTCTGATTACTCAACTCTTTTTATACTCGTTTCTTGCAAAGATGTGGACGGTGATTTAAAGAGCAAGTGCGAAATCTTGCCGCTATTTGGCAAACCAACACAGTCTGTACTACCCACGCTGGTGTCTGCCGAGACTGAAAGGGTCATAACACAAAAAGACATGGAAACTCGCGTGACAGAACTCATTCAACGTGAGTTGCCCAGGCTTCGAGCATGCCACCAGCGAAAAGCAACGGCTATCCTTACCGAAGCGCGAGCAAAGGTTCAAATGTATCTTGCGGCACACGAAACGCTTAAATTGCCGAACATGCACTTACAAAGTAAGTTTTTGACATTTGTTACATTGTCTTGGGCAGGAATAATCTTCCGTTGCTGGATCTTATGCGGTGCTGTGATGTACTGTAGCCCAAAGGAAGCGTTTGTGCGATGAGGATGTACTGACCAGGTCTTTGCGTAATCAAATGAAGCAAGAAAAACCGACGCAATCATTATCTTTGGGATATTGCAACGTGAGGGGTGAAACGAGCAATGTCGAAGAGAAAATGTTTCCGCAAGACGTTAATCAGCTCCCTAATATTCGTCCGTTAAGCAGATGCACTACCTACATTGGCGTGAGAGCGAATATCCGTGTAGAGGATGATCCAATTTTGCGTTACAAGCCATATTTCGGAGAAGAGGATGATGGTGCAGACATTGACCAAGCCTGGTATGATGCAATTTCACCCATGAGGTCGAGTCTGTCGATTGGTCTGCATGGCGAGGTAAATGAGTATTTGTTGCGTCTTGTAGTTCACGAATTCGGGATTACCGACAATGTGTTCAGTGCGCTGGAACGTGTGTCCGGGTTTGCTCAAGCTTACTTGGATTACAGCGAGATGAAAAAGTTGGATGATTCGATTTGTCTCGCTGCATGGCGCATAAAGAACGCAAAAGAGCTGATAGCAAAGAAGCCAGAAGGGTTTCCGCTGGCGAAGGTGATAGCGTTGGAACCATTGCTACGAGACAACAGTGATTGTCAGAAGACCCTGGCGGAACGGTTAGCACCACCGCCCACGTATTTCGACTCCAATTTGGCAAGGCATCATTCAGACCGTGGCTATGGTTTGGGATTACGATCGGCAGAAAACTACTCGGAATTACTTGTCACGTACCGTGATATGTTTTGCCGAATGTGTTACGATTACCATTGTCTTCAGCACGGCATCGAGCATCCGCTTCCGTCTCACCGAGTTGATCCTGTTAACCCTCCCGTCCACCTGTCAGCTGTCGCTTTTGCTGCCCTCGCCAAGTTACAGCCTAGTGAGGATCTAAGACGAACAGACCGCAGCTCCGAGAGCTGCGCCTCTACTGTGAGTCTTCCGGCCAACACAGACGCATCAAATAGTAGCAGCGACGCTGAAGAAAATGTACAAAGCGATTATACACGCAGCGGTTATGTACATACTGGTAATAGTATTTTCGAGGAACAAGGGTTTCGAAGTGCCAACGATGGAGAAGTGGCAGTCACTGAACGATTGCACGAAACTCGCCGATCTTCTCGCACTTTGACGAGAGTATGCAGTTTAGCAAGCCGAAGCTTGACCAAGCAAGGTACTCGCCACTCTCGAAAAAAACATTCTGGGCTTCACCACATAAAAATGTATCCGCCGGTGGCAGACGAGTCTGAGTACCTTGACGATTCTTACTATGGACACGTGACTGCCATCGTCAAACAGTCACAGCAAGCTGACGAAAGGTGCTCAAAGGAATGCTGGAAAGCTGAACACTCCACTGCTTTTGCAGACGCCGATTATGGATCCGACGAGCTAAAGCGTGGACTAAAATCACTGAGCGACACTGAACTAACCTTGCTTCGAAAGCTTCGGGTCATTATTGGCGACAACCCGTGTATTCTTTCTGCCATGATGAAGTCAACAACCTGCGCGGAAGTTGGGGCATTTTTGGAATTAGAGCGCAACAGTAAACAGATTTGCACGGGCTCGATGGACGGCGTGCCGCTCTCGCGTGGAGCTCGGAGTCATAATGGTCGAAAGCGTGGTAGAGCGCTGGACTTACGCAGCAGTAACAACCGAATTCTGCAAAAAAGATCGAAAAACAACCGGGTGAATCATGAATATGAGCCTTGTGATCATGAGGGTGCGTGCGATTCAACTGGTTGCTCATGTATGATGCGCGATCATACATGTGACAAGGCGTGTTCATGCTCACGCCACTGCGCCAATCGGTTCGTTAGTCGATTTATCATGCAAACTGAATTGTTGCTAATTGGCGCTTTTGTTTATCTGGACATGGCCACAGGTTCCCAGGGTGCAAATGCAGCCTTGGAAACTGCCGAACCAAGGCGTGCCCATGTTACATCGCTGCGCGGGAGTGCAACCCTGATTTGTGCGTGACTTGTGGCGCTAGCGAAGTCCCGGCGTTGGTGTTCGATAAGGAACGCAGGAACATGTCCGCGTTGGACTTAGGTATCTGTTGCAACGTGAATATTTTGCGTGGTATGCACAAAAAGTTGGTGTCGCATACTCTACCACTCACGGTTGGGGAGCCTTTGCTTTGGAGCCAATCAAGCGTGGCGAATTTATCTACGAGTACCACGGAGCGCTCCTTTCTCAAGACGAAGCAGAACGTCGCGGCAGCATCTATGACAAGATGACTATCAGCTTTTTATTTGATGTTGATGATGACTCTGTTGTTGATGCCATCCGGAAGGGCAACAAAAGCAAGTTTGCAAACCACTCAACAACTAACAAAAAATGCAAGGGCAAAGTTCTGACTGTAGGTGGTGAGCACCGAATCTCAATTTGGGCCCAGCAAGATATCGCGGAGGGCGAAGAGCTGTTTTTCGACTACGGCTACCACGGGGAGACTGCACCAGACTGGAGCTAACTTTGCATAAAGAAGTCGGCACGTCAAGATTTACGAGCAAAGCGGACGTGGAGAAGAAAAACGCGGATGGTCAGATATGTCGCTGACTTGCCGAGGAGCTAGTTCGGCTGAACTATTAGTACCTTTAAAGCCACCTTTGCAGAACCAATTCTTCTGGACTAGTATACATACGGGCTTAAGCATTCAATGCGAGTGATGACGGTGATAATGGGACAGTACTTATGACAGACTGCAAAACTGCAACCCCACTGGAGCATAGACGTAGCACGTAGATTGTGATCTAAGGACCTTAATCAAGTACTTCCAGTTTTCTCATCTGTCCCGCACGTGTTTAACACACCCCTCGATCATCCGATATCAACAGGTTATGAGCCCAAGACCGCTGGTTATGAGCCCAAGACCGCTTACGAATGCTGTATCGAGATCCGCTAAAAAGACTGGTTGTATTTGTCGCAACTCCGCATCTCAGCTTGTCGAAGGCGTAAGAGCTATGGAAACGTCTTGCTGAAGTTAAAGACGCGAGTTGAGGACGCAAGACGTGATCAGGTGTTGTCGAACAAGCACATGAAAATGGCAAGCGGTAAAGATCGATGCAAGCGCAAGGCATTCAAAACATCTTGTGACTGCACGTACCTTGGGAAGCTGATGCGCAAGGAATCGGTGCTGGACTAAGTAAGAAAAAGATAGTAGAAGCGTGGGCAAGTTATAGCGTGAACTCGTTAACCATGTGGTGTGCAGCTGAAGCAGTCATGGTGAAGATAGAGATTGAGTAGATTTTGCAGTTCAGATGGATATGTTGCTCAGCTGCAAAGATGCAAGATACTATGAGCAGACGATGGTGGGAAGACTACCGCACACATGTCTCGCACCTTCGCACTCAGGTTGCCTATATTTCTTGCTTCTGTGCTTGATTTGACATTATCATAGTCTTACCCTTTTTCCTACAACGACAACAAATTTTTGTATTTACCTATCTCGACGAGCAAGACGAAGGTGAGCTGGCTATGGCGGACAGAAAGCAGAAGTAGATACGGGTGTGTAGCGCACAGTGAACAAATTATAAACATGGTTAATGACTGTACGTTAGTGATCATGAAGCGGCTACAAGCGTATCACAAAATCTAGAAAGAGGTAAGCACTCCTATTTTGTAGTACAATAATACATAGATCAGATATTCAACTGCAGAGCAAAAAATCCCGTGAGGTAGAACGCGTCTTCTAGGGCGCGCAAATCGGCGGTAACTTTACAAGGTATAACCACGACGCGAATAGAATCAAGAATTGGATACAGCGTAAAGACGATTCGGTTTCTTAGAATCGTTGGAGATACAGTCATAATGCTACGGAGTTAAGCCGGGCTACTCCCTAGAACTTCATTTGGAATTTTTGTAGTAGGTCCCTATAAGTTCCTGGAACCGAAACCCAGTTGACGGTACCAGTTCTGGGATGGTCCGGTCAACAGTCCTGACTTGGCACCAAGAAGCAATGACTGGACCTAACTAACCACACTTGCGGGTAGTCTATTAAGCGAAGCTCAAATTTATGCGTCTACGTGGTGATAGCGCTGCCAAACATTTGTTTGGGGGAGCAAGTAATGGAGCACCCTCAGAATATACTGATGACAGTGTAGTCTACTTATACTGACAACAGTGTAATTAAGTGCTCCAAAACCGTACGGACACGAATACAAGAAAGCGAGAGACAACCCAACGGTAACGCTTGGTTGTGTAAAGAAAGAAAACTGTTAATTTGATGTAAAACTGAAGTTTTTTGGATATAAGCCATCTTGAGCCTTACTGTAAACTTTATGTATCGACTTCTATGTACTATCTGCTCGCCATTATTTGCGTGCGGCCTGGGCGTTGTCTGATATTATGACCTATATCGGCCAATAGGCGGAGCGTAAAAAAACTTTGAGGTTGTGGTGGAGTGGCGATCGCAAGATTTCTGCCCTCCCAGCCTCACGCACTGGGACCCAGACAATCGACCAACGGAGGGGGTACTCCAATACCGTGTGTTGGAAAACTCCTTCGTCACCTAGTGTACCCGTCGGTCGGGTTACGCTGTGAAGCGCAAAAAATATGGGAATCCAAGGACCAGTGGAACATATAGAACGGGACCCAGAGAAGAGAAGCGACCGTTGGGCGACGGAACAAAGAGAAAGTGCGCCAAAAGGGGGAACGACCGTTTGATGGGAAGAGTTTGCGGTCAAAGGCCGCTGCCGGGGAATCGATTAGTTGCAATGAAAGGAGTGAACCGTGGCTCCACATCGGTGGAACGCGACACCTTAAGGTGGACCACGATCCTTCAAGGTCAAACATGGTCTCTCATCGGTAGACCTTGGTCCTCCAAGCTTGATTCTGGTCTCTCATCGGTAGACCTCAGTCAATTAAGGTGGATTTCGTCCCTCATTTGTAGACCCCGGTCTTTTAAGATAGACCTCGATCCTTCGTCGGTGGACCCTCGACCCTAATCCCTTGAGGTCGTCCCTGCTCCCTTCTGGTGTACCGGGGTCCTTCGTCGGTGGACCCTCGAATCGATGCCGCGTATAGACCTTCTCTCACCTTGTGTACCCGTCGGCTGACGGGTTGCAATCTTCTGAAATCTTGGTAAAGATGTGATGTCAGTTTACAAAGAGGTTGATCTTGAGGTGCCTCGAGTGGATATGCTTTACTCGGTAGGCTAGTAGATGACCACTTGGTCGAGGGCGGACTTAACAAAATTCTTCAGGGGAGAATCAACCGTGGCCTTTTCCTTAATATCTTAGGGGTACTAAAAACTTGGCTTTTGCTTGCTCCCGAACCGCTAGGGTGGGGGGTAACGCTTCCGATAGCGGGTCGATTGGGAGGGCTACGCAGGCAAAGGCCAACGACTGTCTTCGGCGGGAGCCAAAATGTATCCGGAATATGTGGGTAGACTTATCAAGTTCCTTTGAAGCGTGACGAAGTCGTGCCACGAAGATTGCAAATTAAGTAATATCGAATATAGTCCTCTCTCTTAACTCATTTACTGTATCCTTGCCTTGATACCTAGTTTTTTATTCTGATTGGCTAAGGTAGCTTGATCTTTGGGGACCAAGGTCGACCGACAAAGGACCGACCTGCAAGACTAGTTCCAACTGGTCCTCATGTTTGAACGAAGTCCCTAGGTTGATTGACGAAGGACCAATGTCGGCCTCAAGGGACCAGAGCCGAGGGTCCACCGACGAAAAAAAAGACCGAGGTCCACCTTTAGGGATCGAGGTCGATGACACAGGACCAGGGTCGACCTCAAGGTACCAGGGTCAAGGGCCCACCGACGATGGACCAAATTCTACCATGAGGGACCGAGGTCGACTGACGAAGGATCAGGGCCGACCTCAACTCGTAAGAGTCACCAGCATAAGGATGCCGCAATGGTCTTCTGCCAATGACGATTATATGGAACGCGGATATGGACCATTTACTCACATAAACGATAATTACAGCTTCCTTGGGCGAGCCAAAGCGTCGAAGTATCGTCTCTGTAGCAACTTCCCTAAAGATAACACTCGATTAGCTTTCCTGTACGGTACATGATAGATTTACTGCACAAGAAGTTTCTTGATGATATAAAATTTGCCGATGGTATAATGCTTGAATCTGGTTAGAAAATCTCTAGATGATAGACAAATCAGAGCATAGAAATGCGACATTCAGGCAATTTGTACGTTATATCGATGTTGAAGCATGCAGTATCGACTGAGATGCTTAAGCTGAGAAGTCAACTAGATGACCAGCAAGTGAACTCGATAATTTCACAATGACGAGCAGGATTTACGACTTCTGTTCCACCAACAGCTTCTACTTAAGCAGGTCTTGAAAATATCACGGATTTCGTAAGTCCAGCCGTTCGAAGTCAGAATTTCGACACGGTCGCCTTCACTTATGTGAGTATCCCACAAACATGCATCAAAAAGTCTTTTTTATCCAATTTGTTTGTTTCGCTTAGCTAATGTGTGTGTAACCTGGCAAACGTGATGGGTACAATTTATTTAAACACACTCCAACTGTAGAATTGGTCTGGTGAGAAGCGCATGTACTGAATTTGTGACAGAGTTCTAGCTTCAGCCCTTCTAATTTTGCTTGCATGTAGCTCGTGATTGCTTCGTCAATGTACAATTCATCCGTTCGGCCATTCCATTTATCTGCGGTAATATGGCACTGTCTTTTTACGCACAACTTTAGCCTGCCGACATATTTGATCAAACACTTGCTGATGTATTTGCCACCATTGTCGGTGCGGATAAACTTAAGTTTAGCCACCAACTGGTTCTGCATCAACGGCTCGTAATTGATGATTGTATCGACCAACATACTGTGCGCAATGTGATTTGCGCCGTTAGTCGTCAATAAACGTAACCGCAAACCTTGCTCCACCTAGTCTTTATTGGACCCATTTTGATTAAGAAAGGAAAGTGGCTTTCACCTCACCGCACCTATAATTCAAAGTATGACATGATATACCACAAAGGCAAATGTTCCTCTGTAGCCAATTGCATACTATAGCTGTAGATCATTTACCACTAGACGCGCTTTGCACTTCTATATGGACACATCGGCATTTTTCTTTATGTGAATATACACTACGTGTAGCGTTATGTCACCCTGTTAGATAACATTGACACTATCATTGAATGTAAATGTGAATATTATTGGAATAGATAATGCTCAACAACACTACTTGCTATAAGGGGTTATATCGTAAGAATGTAGCCTTAGAGTGATACACACAACTCTGTGTCAAAACGAAAAGATGAAATCGCTGGTGTGGTGCACATATTATATGTGGGCACTAGTCAGTATTACATATTATATGTGGGCCTCACACAAACCGCGTTCCAGATTCGGATCGCGACATAGATCGAAACAGTGATCTCGATCGCTACGTGGCTCGCTATCATATGTAGATCGCTATCTTATGTGGATCGCTATCACTACGTGGATTGCTATCCTGTGCCTAAAACGAGACACTTTTCTCCATCCGGCGCTTGGTCCCTTGTGAATGCGGACTCACAGTGGTCACCCAGCTGCGGGCTCAGTTCTCATCTTGGTTTCTTTTATGAAACTCCTTGAGGTCCGAGGTCGCTGAGAGCTTGATACGGGAGACCATGTTGGACAGCTGTCCCAGGGTGGCATCGGCTATCCTTGCGGCGCTCCCGTAGAAATATTGTCATCGCCGCATCGAAGTATGTCTGCAGATTGCCTACTGATAGACGTTCCTCTCCGGTCAGCTTCGCCGCGTGACGGAGCAAAATTTGGTACTAGTCTTGGCTCATTTCGGATTTGTTGAAAATCCAACCTATCAAAATCCCGATTTTCCATTTGCTGTACACGCGTTGCCGTTTCGTGAGCTCGGTGCTCGTCTTCCGTGTCTTTCGCTCGGGCCTGAAGCAGTGGCATACCATTCGGTCCTAGTGGCATCCTGATCACATGACTAGCAGCAGTTGAACCTCGCGGCGACTGCCTTGACGGGACTTGCGAAACTTGAGGCAGGGTGGTCTGTGGTAGACCTCGAATCGAGCGTGTGTCCTCGATCGACCATTGCTTATGAGGATGGACCTCAATGTCTTGGAGCGTCATCTGGCTGTCTTTGGACGGTGCCTTTGCGTCGGTTGCAGGAGGTAAGTCGGACAGTACCGGGATTATTCCAACAAGGATTTTCAAACGTTTGTGAAGAATCTCTAGCCTAGTATTGATAGTTTCAAACCCCAGAGAAAATAAGTCTTCTGGTTCAAACCTCTCCGCGACCATGCATGCCTCATGAATGAGGGTATTTAGCGCGGTGATCGATTCTGTCGCCTTGCGAAGCTTGGGAACAAGGAGAAGTGGTCCATAGTCCAAACATTTTGCTATGCTCAAGAATAAGATTGCTACCGTGTCTTGACTTCAAAAAGACATATCTGTGATCGTAAGACCTTATATCGCATTTCTCGAGATTTTCAGCGCTTCCATGGGCAGATGTCTCATTCAAGCATTTTGTACAGCTAGATTTCTTTTCACTTTCGACTTTATCATCAACCTCTTTACTCATGCTTGCAGATTTCACTGGCTTATGGTACAGCACAATCAATTACGCTTTTGAGTACCTTTTTCACTACTCTTTGATATTGTTGGTCTTGCATGATAGCAGTTTAAAAGGTAACTTCAGTCTCTTGAGCGGTGGGCTTCCAGCGGATTGTAGCAACGAAGTAATTCTTTGCGTGCATTCTTTGGAGAAATTTTTAGGCTTCCAAGCGTGCATTCTTTGGAGAAATTTTTAGGCTTGTAAAATCATAATATACAAGACAAAAGTAGAAATTAATGCTTAAAGGGTTGTATTATGCAATTGTAGAGGCCCTTTGGCTGATGCTTCTTCAGTAGACGTGTAAAATAAAAGTGAGGGATATAAATTAGCTTGCCAAAAGTATGAGTCAAAGCTATGAGGTATGTCGACGGCGGCATGAAAAATAACGTGGCAAGATAATGCAGGAATTGACAGAAGTCTACGATCTGCTTGGAACGTAAATCTTGTCTTCATTTTGAGTTGAATTATCTAATCGAAGAGTTCCCAGCCAGCAGTCCTAACCGTGTCTACATTCGCGATCATATTTTCAGCTGACCTGTTGAGCAAACAGATTTACAGAACTCATCGTTGAATGGACACGTATGGCTGCTTGTATCACTGTTGAGCTTTTATCTTAGAACCATGTTCACTCGCGGTAAACGCATGTTTGTTACTCTGTTCTTCTCTGGATTCTTCTAGCAATCCTGTATTTTGTGTCCATACCGATTGCAAACATAATACTCCTGCAAGCTTGCCCATTAATTTCTCGGATAGAACCAAGGTTAATTTGGCCGTATGCTTTTATGTGTAAGGCCAGTTTTTACGAGCAAATCATCTAGGATCCCTTCGGCAATATCTGGAAAAGCTAGGAAAGACGAGTTCATTTTCAAACCAGTTGCTATTTAACCATTCACCACTCAAGCCGCCTCACTTATGAATGCGAGCGATTACGGTGACAATGGGACAGTACTTATGACAGACTGCAAAACTGCAACTTCACTGGAGCTTAGACGTAGCACGTAGATTGTGATCTACGGACCTTAATCAAGTACTTCCAGTTTTCTCGTCTGTCCCGCACGTGTTCAAAACACCCCTCGGTCATCCGATATCAACAGGTTATGAGCCCAAGAACGATGTCTGCTCCAGATTTTAAGATTACATCGACAAGTGTGAAGGGAACAAGCGCGCAAACAAATTCATGTATGGCGTGTTCCTACCCAAATTGATGTGAGATGAGACAAACTTCCTGTTTGCCTAATCCCACATATTGACTCCTGTTTCTTCACCCCACATTAATTTGGGTGAGATGAGACAAACTTCCTGTTTGCCTAATCCCACATCAATTAGGTTATTGACTCCCTGTTTGCTTCACCCCACATTAATTTGGGTAGAAACGCGCCATACATGAATTTTTTTGCGCGCTTGTTCCCTTCACACTTGTCGATGTAATCTTAAAATCTGGAGCAGACATCGTTCTTGGGCTCATAACCTGTTAATATCGGATGACCGAGGGGTGTTTTGAACACGTGCGGGACAGACGAGAAAACTGGAAGTAGTTGATTAGGGTCCCTAGATCACAATCTACGTGCTACGTCTAAGCTCCAGTAAGTTGCAGTTTTGCTGTCTGTCATAAGTACTGTCCCATTATCACCGTCATCACTCGCATTGAATGCTTAAGCCCGTATGTATACTAGTCCAGAAGAATTGGTTCTGTAAAGAAGGCTAGACAGGTATAAATTATGAAATGGCGCACAGGAGTAGTTCTTGAGATTATATCATTACCCGGGATACCTGATAGTAACGAGGACATCAAAGGAAGAAAGTTTGAGGTTGAAGAAGCAAAACCAAAACGTAAATTATATTGCATGTGTTCTCTTTCTTCAGCTGCGTAGGCTACCTCATCTGCTGGCCACCCAATCCAGTCGACCATAGTTACTCATTCGTTTTGCTATGATGCATGTCACCACCATAAACGTGAAGGATGTCGCTTTCTGTCAGAACAAAGCTGGTGATTCTCAAACAACAGGATGCGCAGGCTTAACTTTAGCGTAACTGAGTATCAGATTTTCTTAGCCTTTGCATCGGTTCTGCCAATCCTTTAACTAGATATAAAAAACAACAGACATCTTCTTGCATATAGACAATAATAAAGAGAAGACAAGGAATCACTTAACGTCATTTCCTTTTTATGCCTATGCGCAAGACTCATCATCTCGAACCAATAAGAAAAAGAAACTCTGCACATCTAATACAATCAAGTTAGTCACCTTGCGCGGTATCGTACAGAGAGCTTCAATGTATAAATGATCATTACAATACATTTGCATGTACATTGCCGAGACTGTGAAGTAAAGATTGGTTTCTCTATACAATGCCATTATCCAAGGGCGGCGCTGCGATTCGAACGTGCGGCTTACTACCCAGACTAAGTGACCTCAGCCCAGGATTGCAAAACATTAATTTAGAGCTGTGGAATATTACCAGATGCTTTTCTACATTCGCAAACGTGCGTACACCTCGTTGCGGTCAAGAGACACTAATTCAAGAGATGCGACGTTTGGTACGGACAACTCATATGCTATAAGTTAGTGCACCATCATGTTTGCTGGCCTATAACTCCATAATATCGTAAATGTTATGCAATGCAAGATCTACTCAATTATCATGAAGGTGAACGCGCCTTCGCTTGTGACGTCATCACCTGTTACAAAATTTTAATAAAGCTATCTACAGTTGGTGACAAGCGCCTTGTTGGACTGAAGAAATCCTAATGAGACAACTTTACGTAGGAGAGGTTGGTGGTATATTGAATGTTTTAAGGATACATTTACTTTTACTGAGTTGGTTTAACGATGACTTGACATCAAGTAATGTTACCGGTATTGAAGAATTCAAGAATTTTTCGAGAAATGCTCATTGTACCGGTAATTCCTCAGCTTAGTGGTAGTACGACGATAATACGGGCCTTCAAGCGAAACAAATCAAATCTCAAGAATGCATTTTGGCAGATGAGTGGTGTGGAGCCGTGCCTATCAACCCCGAAGCTAGTCAGATTCAACAATGGATCCTCCTGCAATGTTGGATGCAGCAGAATCCCGCGTGCCCAAGTTGGCGGTGAGCGTCGCGTGCTGGGCTTTTCTGTGGACATTTTATCCTAAACGTCGTCCCTGCAGGGGTTAGACGGCGCAACCACATCATTACGCTGAATGCGGTGCACGGTGTTGTTTCCACGATCTCATCTACGTCCACGCTCTACTATGGACTCGACACGACCATCTCGGTGGCGATCTCGCTCTCGTACTTTCTCGTGGATCTCGTGCTATGGTAAGCTCAGACGGACTAACAAATCTACTGTCACTCCGATCTTCAAGACTCATGGACTACGCGCACCATATCTTTGGGCTATACTGGGGTGTAGTGCTTTTTGTTAATGAGACCACTGTGTGCGACGCTTCATTCGGCAATCCCTACGTCTGGCTGCAGACAAATGAGGTAAGTACCGGATTCTACAACTGGTACCGACTCACAGACAGCACCGTAGCTGGGGTATTGTTTGTCAAGTTCTTCTTCTTGTCACGTGTGATGTTCAACACACTCTTCATTCTTCCTAACGTCACTCATTGGTGTCATCCATTGTACGTCCTCGGCTGTTCGCCATACTTTGTGCTGCAGTATGTTTGGTTCTATATGATTGCGCGCAAGTTAATTTCTCAAGACAAGAAAGCAGCAAATGGGCGTCAGCATGTGATAGAAAAGGACAAGAAAGATGCCTAGTAACAATGCACAATGACAGACAACAGTGACTTGTGAATAGAATGAGATTCATTACATTGGTGATGAATTTGCCCGATTTCGAAACCCTCATGAAGCAGTTTAAGAAAAATGAAGTTTGGTTTGTCCATCGTTACGCTTACTTTTCCCAGAAAAAGACATTACCTTTATCAACTTTGAATCAATTTAGCCGCATCAATTCGATGAAAGTTCACATAGTAGCATTTTTGTAAGCTAAAATTGTCACTGTCAAAATTGTCATTGTACTGTCTCCTACCTGTTTCTAGCAAAAGTGTTTTGCACTGCCGAAATGGATTGGAATGGATCAGACACGGAATATCGTGTGCGTGCCATTGAGGCTGCTTTTAAACGTGAGCGAAAGAAGCGTGATGTATTGGAAAAGAAGTATGCACGTTTAAAGCGACGCTACGTGCGGATAGAGCGCTCACACAGCCGTTTGCTGATGGAGTCGCATGTGGTGCGTCAAAAATACCGTCCCAAAATTGTGAAATTCTAATGTAACTTTTGCATAAACTACGGATATGTATTGTTATATTTGATATTTTTACTGATAGAAAAATACCAATAGTGTGGAAACACTTCGTGCCGCGCAATCAGAGACACTAAGCAGTATCTTAGAGTCAACACCGAGTTTACCGTCGTCAACGGTATTCTTTGTTCTGCGATCATAGTTCCATTTGGTGCATGAAATTAAACGCTTGAAACTTGTTCCTCGTAGTTTGCAGTGATTGATCTCACTAGTCCACGCTCTGGTACAAGTTCTACAGTGAGAAATGAATCACTAGATAGTATATCTAGAGAAATACAAGAGTCACAGGTGGGGTTTCTATCAAGAGATAATATTTGTGGTGAAAGTCCAAGATCATCGCTGGAATCTTTGGAAGCATCCACAAGAAGGTCTTGCGACAATAGTCCAGAACAGGAAGAGAAAGAGACGGAAGATGAGGAGACTTTTGTGAGGGAAAACTGGCGATGCAGCACTAATAGGTCGTACTCGACTCCTGTACGTCGGAGACGTCTGCATTTAGACTCTACTCTTCGGTCAAGTCTCACAGATTCTCATCGCATGCTCTCAAGTCCAACGCGACGGATGCAACTGTATGGACTGCAATCAGACTATTCTACCAGCTCACACAGCTCTCCATTGTCAGCACATTCTATGACTACACATAGTGGAGAACCTTCCAGACGCATCCGTTCGCAATTCCACCTGCATAATCATTTGTCAGAACAAACTGCTGCCGCTGCTTATGGATACGAATTGGAACAGGAATTAGAGCCTCGCGCTTATCACAGGCATGAGCGAGACCGCTGGGCGTCTGATCTATCACCGGAGCCTTCCACGCCGTCTTTCGTCGTGTCCTCACCATTGATGTCAACAAATACTTTGCCATTGCCACCGACTGTTCCCCTGCCTGTATCTCGTCCTAGAGCTCAGAGCAACGAGGAGGCTTCGATTGCATTGGCACGATATCTACAGCAAGAGGAGGTAAGTACAGAAATGACGGGTGAAAATAAATTCTGACAGTGGAGCAACTAAACTCACAAGTATGCTGCTGATTGAAGAATATTGCGGCCTATGAAGAGTACGAGGCTCGCTTATTTCGTGAGTCTGTGGAGCAAGATCACAACCAGGCCACGAGCTCAATGCTTTCGCGTTTGGTCAGCCAGCAACGCAACATTGACCCGGACAATATGACTTATGAAGAGCTTCTGAGGCTTGGTGAAGAGGTTGGAGACGTGAAGAAAGAGCGGTGGCGAGAGGTGGCTTTTCAGGTATTATTGAGCCTCCCGACTCATTACTGGACCCATGGCCACGGCGAAGACACGTACGTACTTTTTTGTGCTCAAACGTTGTGTAAGGTTATTGCTGATCGAGGTCTGTTGTGGTCGCGCAGATGTATCATCTGCCAGTACAATTTCATGCCAAATGATCGAGCTATGACCCTTCCGTGTGCTCACGTATTTCATGAAGGTAAGTAGCGCCATTGGACGATGTTCTGTCAATAGACCAACCCATTCATGCTCAATTTTGTAGATTGCGTTGGTGGCTGGATTCGTGAAAACAACAGTTGTCCTCTATGCAAACGGGAAATTGCTCCAATCTAAAAAAAAGAATTGAGGGTTTAATTTGAGGAAAACTGATTTGTGGACAATGGAATATACATTGGCCAATACACTTGGATGTGGAAGCAATACTTGGACGTCTTTAAGACTAGAAACGGAACCGATTGAACGATGCAATGGGTGTCAGTGAACTTACCGTGGCAATTTTTGAGGAATGGATATCATCGCCCCCAATCGTCTGTTGTTGGCTGATTGTGTTTACTATCGCTACCGAAACAACGTCAGCATTATCTTCTACTTTCGAGGTAGCTGATGTGCATGTATTTTTTCGTCTCCACTTTGTTTCAACGTGCTCGTTGGCGGCTCGACTGACGCGTCCAGGCTTGCGTCGGGCGATTCACCGTTGTTTGAAAACGCAAATTGTTTAATTTGACTGATAACAGGATCTCGATGCGGTTGGCGAAACTTTGGGGTGGCTACTTTTCGTTTCTTCAGTTCATGTTGCTTGAGTATCGAACCTGCGCGCATCATTCTTGAAAATGCTGTTTCTTTCGCTGTTGCGGGCTTTTGTACTGCTTCTTGGTAATCTGGCGCTTGCTTCTTTTTCAGAACCTGGGCAAGCAACACTCTGCTTTTGTCGCTTTGCGGGTCAAACGACATGTTGCTCGCCAGATCAACTCCACTCGGCTCTTGGCTTTCATATGACGAGGAGTCGGTCACATAGGGTAAAGTTGTCTTCGCACTTTCGTCCGGAGGTGACATTTTCACAGAATTTCCCTCAAAAAAGCGACTTATGACAAGTGGGCTAGCTGCCACGTTTTTAACGGACGAGTGGGTGATCGCTTTTTCTGACCGTTTTTCCCTGTGCAACAAAGCTTTAAATGTCCACTTGTCCACAAATGATGGTGGAAGCTTTCTTTTCACAGCAGCCGGACTCGATCGAGGGGCGTTGGATACAGCGACTACATCCGACTCAGAAGCATGCACGAATGAGGCGGTACCTGCTTTTAGGTCAGGATTGGGCGCTCTAAACTTGTGGGCTGCTTCTATCTTGGACATGGCCGGACTTAGCTGGGATGAATTGCAGCATGAAAGTGTCACATGAGTCGGGAATCGTTTCATGGTAATCGGATCCATATCACCATCTGCAACTGCTCTTGCAACGTCCCTCGGCAGCAACGGCCCCACAAAATCCATAGCTGGGTCATCTTCAAGAAGTTTTGATGGAATCGGTGTCAGTGGAACCATCTCCTGTCAGATACATACAATGAACCCAAAAAGCAACAACGAGTTAATACCCTTCAGTATAGTAAATAAGGCTCAATTCTTGAACCTTTTTTATGGGACAATAAACGCGTTGATGTTGGAACGTCAAGACTGCCTTCCTAAAATTGTCTTCATAAGTCGCGGGAACTCGCACCTTTCCTTCAAGTCGCAACGCTCGAACGATCTGTAATAATTCCACAATGTCAGAAGTTGATGGCAGCTTCGTGCTAATACATCACATCGTGTTGCTGTACTTTCGTGAAAGAGCCATGCAGCTTCATCGCAGTATATGCCTTTTTCAGTCCAAAGCCAGGAATACTAGGCAAGTAATCACATCCTGAAAAAATACACATCTCAAGGAACTGCCGAAAAAAGAAGCACACAGACATATGCACTTCATAAAGTTATAACAAAACACCTAGCAAATACGCCTACCTATAGCGTACCATTCTATCTGTGAACGTATGAAAACTCATACCCTTGTTTTTCTTGAGGTTTGCCATTTGAATTTCCTGTGCAGCATTGTCACGGTCCATTTTAAAAAGCACAACTTGACATCCAAAAAGAAGACAATCCGAGTCTTCAGTGATGACACCGTGTGCGAGCCCGCTTTTTACTAGATAGGCCAATTGTGCATCTGCTTCGTATGGGGCTACCACATAGGACACATTTTGTTTTTTCAGTTGCTAGTGTAAACATGTAAATAAAATGATCAGAATAACAGGGTTGAGGAGCCAGAAGAAAGACACTTCATTCATTCACACACCCCACCTGTATAACTCGATGAGCTATGTAAGGAGAAACATCTGCAGCACGAACAAAACATTTGCGAGCTTCACTGAAGCGTTTGTTGTGAAAGTGTTGAATACCTAATTCTCGGTTCTTCTGTCGTGATTTACGTCGCTCTTCCTCAGTGTCTTTTTTCATTGGAACCGGACCTCCGTCAAATACAACGTAAGGAATCACACCATTACGTTGCAATGAAGTAATTCGATCCATAAAGTACGTTACATATCTGCAAAATATCCAAAAAAAGGAGATCAAAATGACGTCAAACAACCTCCTTGTCACCAATTTTTCGTTCCAAGTACGTAAGAGATTGCTTGTATACTTGTCAGTCTCCTGTCCAAGACAAATCTCTTGACTGCACGAATAAATAGCACGGTGTAACCTAATAATGTTATGGTCAAGAAATAGACAATAAGTATTGTGAATGAAACAAAAGACAATACTTTTGTCTCTGATATTGTTTTATGCAGGAAAACGTTTTGATTAGCAAACATACATACATACATACCAGCAGTAACCATCAATGGCAAGTGTATGGCCTTTATACTCCTCTATCGATTTGGTCTCGGTAATGCTCCTAAGTGCTGGTAAAAGGCCAGATATTCCCATTGTAGCGTCCGTCCTCTTCCTCCTTTTCCCTTCTGAGCCGGACGACGATAAAATGGCGCGAAATGTAAAGTGCATGAAAATCACAAATATTTTATTGTTATAAGTCTGGTTTTACATGTAAATACAATCCTTTATGAATTTAAACAACTTTTTAGTGTCATAAAGGACACTATACTTGCAAATATAAATAGTTATATTATAATTACAGTTTTTATCCAATGCGCTATATAAAACGTACACCAAAATCGAGTATGTGACATGTACACCTTTGTTGTCATGTCACAAATACACTTTTGCTCTTGAACATAAACGGTGCAGCCGTTTTAACTTGAGGTGAAGACCACTGGCAGCGGAGACGAGACGGATGAGGTATGCAACTTGACGTCTGCCTTCAACAGTGATATAAAAGATCAAATGGAATGATACTGCTGAACCATGTGCTTTCTATCTGGTCAAGTAGTTGCGCATACGTAGCACCGCGGTGACGCTTGGTCCAGCAAGAGACCATTCAGAATCGGTAACCTTTCACATCGAACAACAGAGTATCCGATTTCAATGACTCATGATGTCCTGTCGACCGTCAAGTTACCCACGCATTCTGCCTTATTGCATGAAGAAAGTGACCCATCTTTACTCTAGAAGTAGTGCAGAACAGAAGCAAACATTGCGTTTGACTGAAATCACATATCTTCGGAATGCAGCCACGTATGGGTTTATGTCAGGAAGAAAGGCTTTTGTTTGGCTTTATCCATCCCGTCCTGACTGATTGATTGATTGTGGCAGCTAATCTAATTCATTGATTCTGCTTCTTTACAAAGAGCACAGAATTGGCAAGGGTTTTGCTGTTGAACAGCAAAACCTTTTGTCCTTAGACGGTCGTCTACTACGCTCCTGCGTCAACAGGAGAGGGACTTGGACCATTCAAGTAAGGGCGGAACATCCTCAGGAAAAACAAGTTGCGTTCAGCTATTCCACGCGGACAGCTGTCATCATACATGATATGCTTGCTTCCCAAAGTGGCTCATCAAAGCTCTTTTGCTTTGTCGCAAAGTATGCATTGTCAGTGAAGACGCGGGCTGAAGTGAAAGTCAACGCTAGCATGAATGAATGCACGTGCGCGCTACAACAAACACGGTACATGCTGTCCATTCAGTTAACGTTTGACGTGTAAAGTAGCGCCAGAACTCGAAGTTAATACGTCAAATGCAGCCGCATCATTGGTGGTAAACTTACAGGCAGCTTTGCATCCAAGCGCTTTAGCTCTCAATGGTCCACCTTCCTCACATAGAATATGTGCAATAGACCGTGAACACAAATATTTGAACACATTGCAAGAATGATTCATTTCCTTCTTTGTACGCAGGAAAAAACAACTGTTTGTCAAGATGTTTGCTCAATCAGTTTTCATGTATTGAAGTATGTTGTGCTATGATGCTTTTGGAAGTTTGTTTACTAAAATGCTTTGCTATCTTCCTGTAGAATGAAAATGTGCTGTACGTGCAGTATCAAATAGTATCAAGCTAATGTAAACGCAGCCATCACGTTCGAATCTACATGTATTTTTGCTCTCCCGTTGATAAATATTTGGTGCAAGGAAGTGATTCATCAAAGAACCCGATTGACATTACCTCTCACACTTTCCACCTCCCGTTTACATGCCATGTACGAAAAATCCACGGTCTCCTTTTCAACTAGAGTAAGATCAGAGAAACGAAGTATACATCACAAATGTGTGTCTATGATTATTTTGCAGTGGGGCACCTTTGTTGTGAATTGCAGTATCTACAAAAGAAACAGTTGTACCCTTGTAGCAACTGATGTACAACAAGCTCAAGAAGATACAGCAGTAGCAGAATGTTTTTTTTCTGTCAAATGAACTGGATTTTGAAGATGATTGTCGCTTATGTATTTTCCAAGTAGATTGATTCAAATACTTGCTCCGGTTTTGTATCTCGCTTTCTCTTTGTTCGGACATCATTTAGCCAATCAGAAATCACATTATGGTTTTTTTTCTCGACTGCGACCGACACTTTTCAAAAGCTTTGCAGAAGTCTTCTTATTCTACAAATTATGCACCAGCAAGAACACCGGTAAAAAAACCTTATCATAAGAATTACTAGTCTGTTTATATATCACTTATAATAATAATAATAATTCTCTCTCTTTTTATATATATTCCATAGAGCAGCGGAAAATATCCATGAACGTAGTCCAGAGACAGGAACCAATACGGATGCTTTGCGGATTCCACGCTTATTGCCTAGCCGTGCAGTGTTTGCGCCTGAACGAGCGGCCAATTGTTTGCTAGGACTGCTAGCAAGTCACGCGGATAAGCAGATACCACTACTTGATCAGAGAGAGCTCATGCGACGACGTCAGCAAATGACGGGCCATCCCTTTCCTGTTATGTCGTTTGAAGCCGCCGCTAATATACTACACCCGTCAACGCTACAACGAAGGGAAGAACGTCAAGAGGAAGAGCCTCGGCTTGTTATTAATAGCAGCAACAGTGGATACATAGAAGACAAGAAGATACCGCTGGCATCGCCTCTCGTGGCATTCCTCAGACGACCAAACAAATGTGGTTCGCCTCAACTGCCGGACAATATGATGTCGCCTCGCTCAGTATGGGAAGAGAGTCCTTTGAATGAACGACTGGACCCTACGGCGAGCCCACGACATACCGTCACATCCACTAGTCGGTTTGTACAGACACCACCTGCCACGTCCTCGTGGCGTATACACAACTTTCTCTCACCAGACCCGACGGTGATACTTCAGTCACATAGCTCTCACAAGAGTTGCACACCTCGTCGTCCTTGTTCACCCCAAGAGCAAACAAGCGTTACAGCAAATGTTTCGAAACGTCCCCGTCTTGCTCGCCGCGTCTCGTCACAATGGCGCCAAGAGCTATTTCCGCAGGATCGCGCCCAAACACGCGAGCGAATTTTGCGCAGTCTGCACAGCCACTGCCAAGGTGACTATGAGAAGCTCGTGCTGATGATTTCTTCAATGGAGGAGGAGCTTTTGCATATAAAGACGACGTCGAGCGATTTCTATATACAGCAAGCTTTTGAACTAAGCGACCTCATTGAGCACGCTACCCTTGAGCGGTAACCTTTCTGTGTGAAGCTGTGTGCATGTGTAAAATGTGAGGTGCGCGACGCTGAAAATCGACCACGGGAATGCGTGAAACCACGACATGAGAAGGTGGTGTGGTAGGAAGCGCCATGGGAATAAACCCGCACGACGAGCGGGTTTTTGGAACGCGTGTAAAGAGAAGGCGTGCAACTAGCAGCACCGACAGGGAGGGAGCAATGCAAGCACAATGTGAAGATGTAAATTGAAGCCCGTAAAAAAATTGTAGAAACTGTTTATCTGGTTGTTAAAGCAAAACGTCGGTGAAGCTGTACCGTGAGCTCTCGGATTGTGTCTGGAAGGACAGCAGAAATAGAGTTTCGCACTACCGCATGACGAGAGCCTCAGACTTCGGCTGCAGGCATAGTAGTTGTCATTTGTGTAGACGCCTAAACTTGCAGATTGAGCTGAAGAACTAGTCGAACGTCATGACAGAGTCACATCAGCTATAATTTGCGCTTCAGCAATCCAGTCAGGAAGTCAAATGAGTTTCCATCCGGGTAGAGCTCGAGACGTGAGCCATCGTCACCCTGTGCCAAAAGGCAGCCTGTACTCGTAAGCCCCTTGATCACAGCAGGTACCTTGTTATTGCTTACATCTTCACTACTCGTGACCTGCACGACCTGATCCGTATGCAGCCATCGCGCCAAATAATCTGCCATGAACGGTTCAAATCCTTTTTTGAGGAATAGCTTTTCCATGGGCTCGTACACGTTACAGAACGCTGCCAAGAACTCTTCCCTGTGTCAAAGCTTGTTAGTAAGACACAAACAACAATGACAGTGCAACTTCTTACTTTGTAACATTGCAAGGATGCTTCTCCGTGCTCAAGATGTCCTGAAGACATACTGTTGGCGACCGGTTTGAAATGTTGATACCAATGCCTGCACAGTAACTTGTCAGGTCAATTCTCTAGACTAGTCGATCAAATACTCTCTTTTCCACGCACCGGTCGTGACGCTGAATGTGCCGTCACGGTACTCGGATTGGCATAAGATACCCCCAATCTTGACCTGATGGGCGTAAATGTCATTGGGCCACTTGATCTTCACGAGTCCAGCACTGCTAGGTACTGCAGCATGTACCACCTCGACAGCCTTAATAATAGCGAGCGAAACGAGATATTGTACAAACGGTAGTGTAGCACCGTCAATAAAGACGCTCTGGAAGGAGAAGGTGAGGCAGCCTTCGGGCGATGACCACGTGTTCGTACCACGCCCTTTACCGCTCGACTGAAGTTCAGTATAACAGACGAGACCAGGCGGCGCTGCAGGTCTGAGTGTCTCGCGTAGCAGTGTCTGCGTCGATCCTAGTGTGGGACTATAGAGCACGATACTCCCAAGTTCCTGTGTCTTTAACAGCGGGAAAAACTTGCTCTGCACAACGTCTGAGCCTTCAGAAGCAATTGCAGTAGAGTACGATGGCTTTGCGCCTTTTAACCACGTCTGCAGGGCTTGCAAATGGCGCTCCAAACGTGCGTAATATCGTAGTTCTTCCGTCATATGCTTTATGAGCATGTGCTGCTGAGGTCAGATCTTGTATACCAATGAGATTAACAAAATGACGCGGTTTTGTGAGTGTTGTTTAGGCGCTTTTTCATTCAAGCTACTTCTTCATGTTGCTGTAACTACATGCTTATATCTTCTACAGCAGGACTAGGCTGTATACTTTCAGCTCATTCGAAGCGCATGAAAGACGTCGAGGACGGGTCCAGATACTTGACGTCTAGATTGTAACTAGGGCCCATTGAAGAGCTTAGGTGAACAGCCTGATTCAAACAACCGACACAGTAAGCAACGTGAGAATGGTCTATGCTGTTAGCAATGACAGGACAACTTGTCTTACCTTGATGTACTTGCCCTTCGCACCCTCTGGCTTGGCGTCACTGAGTGCAACCATGAAGGCTTGCACGTTTTCTAATAGTGCCTCCTCCGAAAAACTCATCTTGCCCACGCCAGCATGGACAATACCCTTCTTTTCCGCACGAAACTCCACCTGACCACCACGAGCTGCTGCAATAGCATTACCAACTTCCTGTGTCACCGTGCCCAGCTTCGGGTTAGGCATGAGGCCACGGGGACCAAGAATTCTAGCCACGCGACCCACTAACGGCATGACATCAGGTGTCGCAATACAGCGATCAAACTCAATCTTGCCGCTTTGCACTTGCTCCACAAGGTCTTCGGCACCCACAATAGTAGCGCCAGCAGCCTTGGCCTCCTCCGCCTTAGGACCACGAGCAAAGACGGCAATGCGCACTTGCTTACCCGTACCATTCGGTAGACTCACCACACCACGCACATTTTGATTGGGTTTTCGCGGGTCTACACCCAGTTGAATCGCAAGATCAATTGTCTGCAAACACCATTCAACACACACATACATATACAAAACCATTAGTCCATGATGTAGAGCACACGGAAGCCAGGACATTTGACTTTTCCTCCTCACTTCATCAAATTTGCGCGCTTTTTGAGTCTTGCACTTGCTCAATGCAGTCTGAATATCAATAGGAGGCTGTTCATATGATACATTAGAGCCACAAGACGTACAATATGAGCTCAACACATGCTCATAGATCTTTCAAGTAAAACATAGAAAAACATACCTCTACAACGTTGGAGCGACGAGGTGCAAAGCCCAGAGCTGTAGGAGATCGCGATGATGCATTACTATTGTCCCTAGTTGTTAAATACCTGCGCAGCCAGCACAAGCTCGCACGTGTCTTGACAGCGCTCGTGGATGAGAGCAGCATGCGCATGGTACAATTGATGGTGTGCGTGACACCCAAGTTTTTGAAATGTTACATGAGTGTAATGGACTGAGCTTGTTACGTGAATGTTGCACGGTCTTTTGTGCCACATATTTGCTTTTTAGTGTACAGTTCGTTCATGGTTCGGAAGTTGTTCTCGCTGATCCTTGCAGCTACTTTTACTGTTGCTACAGAGGAAGTAGCAAGCGCAACTGTAGATTCGAGTAACATGTAGTAGTCTTAATGGACCTTACTGCTCTGGTTTTGAATCTGGATTTACAGTAGCACCACTACACGCGACGCAAAACCTTGATATAGAAGAAGAGGTGAGACCGTAGTAGATACGTGGCGAAGTCTTAGGTTGATACAAGTTTCATGTACATGTGGTGATTACTAACTAATGATGATACGCTGAATATAGGAGAGGAAGGCTGCTGAAGCGGTCAAGGCATTGAAGATTGAGAAAGTTATGAAGGAATACGAGAAACAAGTTAGTGCCAGTAGCGACACGAACGAACTTGACGAGGACGGTATCTTGGAGATTCTTGAGAAGATGTTGGACAAAGATATTAATGTATTAAGTAAATTGGAGGATAAGAAGAAGAAGAAGACGAATAAGATGGCGGATCTACTTGCACTCAGTGGTGACGACATTGTCTTTGAGACGCTACAACAGATGAACGGGGACGAGTTCAAGGTGAGGTTGATGACCAATGACATTTTGTATTGTTTTGTACTTGTCATGACTGTGACTCATATATAGTTACTGTAAATTTGTGTGAGTAGAAATTATTTGAGGCAGCGTTGGATGGTGCGTTGCTGTCGATCGAGAGCGTACTGCAAGAGGTGTCACCTAATGCGTTGGAGGACCTGCGCAAGACGGTGCGACAGCTCAAGGCATTCGATGATTATACGTCCTACACATTTCAAAGTCTGAATGAGTCACAGCTGGCAACTATTCGATCCAACTTTGCCAAGCATCGCTTTGACGAGATGCATCAGACGTTCGAGCTGCTTCTGAGTGCGAGCAACTCGCGTGACCGACAGATTGCATTTGAAACCGCAATCTTTTTGTTCCAACTAGCTGATGACGAGGCGAATACGCTAACTGAATAATTGTGATGCAGTCCTAGTAGACACAACCATTAATGCATTGATGCATTGTTGTGGGAATCAGACATTTGACCTAGACTCAGAAAATCTGTGCATGTATCTCCATTTTTGTGTGTCACATTTTTTCATTTGACCAAAGCCAATTCAATGGCAGGTCGTGGTGGAATGACAGATGGGGACTGGCCCTGTCCTAATGCTACGTATGTCCTTACATGAGTTTGATTCCTACTCGTTTCGTGCTAAAGAAAAACTCACTCAGGTGCTTGTCTCTAGCTGCTCGAATGTCAATTTCGCGCGACGTAGTCGACCCGACCTACTTCATGGTGGTGACAACAAGCTTAAGCCTAAGGAAGGAGGGATTGACCTACGAGGTCCACCGGGTCTTTTTCAGTCTGGAGACTGGACATGCAATACGTAGGATAAGAGTTGATCGTGGTCATGAGTACAAACAACATGAAGCAAAAGCTCATGGATTGCTGACGTTCTTATGGTAGATGTGGCAATATCAATTGGGAACGACGCTCCGAATGCAACATGTGCAAAAGCTCAAAGCCAGGGATGCCTGGACTGGTGAGGTTGCAACTGATGAAGCAATGATGATGACGAAAGCAGTGGTAGTAATTGCTTTGGTACTGATTTGATTTTAGGACGAAAGACGCGATGGCGCTGGAGGTGGCTTTAATGAGCGCCAGCAACGGTGAGCATTTATATGCAGTGATACTAAATATATTGTAGTGTCATTGAAGCTAACGTAGCACTGTGATGTGGCTGTTTTGTTTACATATAGAGTTGCATCGGCTAAGACGGAAGTTGGTGAAGATGGCTACGATGACTTTGGTATAAGGAAGAAGGTGCGTGTGGATTGACAAGAGAAGTTGGAAATGCTCTACATCCTGCTGAAGAGTTTAGCTGCTTATTTGCATGTAGAAAGTAAAAGCATCCAAGGCTGAGCGCGAGGCTGCAGCACTCGCTCGTCTACAGCAGTCATACAGGTACAACTATACATCAGAGATCATGGTGATTATTCTGCTAATGCTATTCCTTGGTTGCAGCGCGATTTACCAACCGCCTCAGAGCGCTACCGACTCCTCGACCATTTTGTCGTTGTCTGAGTCGGAGAAGGTTTGTGACAAAGCCACCACCACAGCCGCTCTTCCTGCATCGCAACACAGCGGTGTAAAACGGCGCAGCCGATCGCCACTACTGACATCAGAAGTAGGCGACTCATCAAGATCACGCGGCCGAAGTCGCGAACGGCGCCGCCGTTGTTCTAGCCGGGAAACGATGAATCGACGTGCACGAAGCCCTATTTTTCGGGACCGAAATGGCGATGACCGCCGCCGGAGTCGTAGTCGCGGTTACAGTGACAGTTGGAAGCGAGACCGTAGTCGGCGCGATAGGCGTTACAGGTAGTTCGTTTCGAAGCATGCTAGCGATGCGTGTCATACTGATTGTAAAAGACATGCGACTCAGCGGATTTACTTATTGAAACTTAATCATTCAGGCGACCTATTATTGTCCTGACGACAAACGACACGCACAAACTCAACGTACAATGACTGCGCTTCGTGTCATTATCGGAATGTCTACCGCTAACGGCGGAATTAGCTTTGAGGTAACGATCCACGCGCACGATCTACAACGCCTTTCACGTACACCGGCGCAATTTCAAACAGATTCTTCAAAACGACGTCCGCAGTGTTGAAGCTCTTTGTACGCTCTTCCGGGTCCTTGTCTAGCTCAACCTTCACAGACCACAGCAGTAGGCATCCTTGGCCCGTCGCGTCGTTAAAGTCCTTCAATAACACTCTGTAATTTCACAACATCCAGCATACAACGTTAGATTTTGCACAAAAGACAAAAACAAATAGCCCAGAATAACTCTCGTACGCAGTGGTAGCGTTACGGCGAAGATGGTCGGCCAATCTGGGGTGATTCGGATCGTTTAAAACGGACTGAGAAATCATTGACGAACTGCCGTCCGCGTTATCGCGCTTCTGGTTGATTGTCAAACTCTCCTCTTTCATCACACCTCCACCAACCGCAGTGTCGCTAGACATAGTGAGGTTCACTACTCGGCGGACGTACTTCGTGTTGGAATCGGGCTCTTCCAGAACCTCGGCCGTTTCCGTAAAGGCAAAGCCCTTCTCAAAGTCATCGTCACCAAGGACCGACCAAAGGTCATTCATCACGACGTTCGCATTGCAGCCGTAAAGGTGGTGGCGGAAAAATATACCCATTTCGTTCTTGCCCATTTCGTATTGAACTTCAAGACCAAAATATGTCATAGTGGAAGTCTTTGGATTGCGAAAAGCAGTCTCGCAAGCCGTAATTTGTTTGTCAGCGTTCGCCATAGCTTCCGAGGCCATTTCAATGAGCCGGTCACAAAATGACCCCGACTGTAGTTGAAGGACTGAAGGCACTGCCGATATTGTACTTGATAGTGCAGACGGAGTCGTGGCAGCAGAAGACGACGAGTTTAGAATCATTTCCAACGAAGGCATATTGAGCAGCGGCTGCTTTGTAAAATAATCCTGCAGTCGCTGGATAAACTTCATCTGCTCCATTAGAGTCTTGCGCAAAAACTCATTCTCCTGGTCCACGCGAGCGCGAATCTCAGCATGTTGCTCGGCCTCCTGCTTCCAGCCAAGTTCCGTGTTGTGTTCAGACGGCTCAGACGACTGCAGTACCTCAATCTGTTCTTTCAAGTCTTTTACTTTAGCACGCAAAGCAATAAGCTCGTCCTTCTGACGTTGTCTGTGCTTACGTGCGGCTTTTGCAATTTGTGCACGTCGCTTGGCTTTCGGGTCCTCGTACTCCTCGGGCTGCTTGCGACCATCCTCGCCTGACTCGCCATCACCATTGGAACTTGGAGCTTTGCGTTTCTTTGTCGTCTTCTTCTCTTTGGTCGTAGAAGTGGTAGACGTAGACGTGACAGCACATGATGATGTCATGGGAGTAGTACTACTTAAGCTTGGAAACATGGGTGAGTTAGCGCCCATAAGTGAGTTCATGCGGCCACTGTGAATGGGCGCAAGACCGTTTGAGGTAGAGGGCTGCAAACCAGGCATGGATAGTGGCATACTCATACCAATGGGAAGCCCCATACCATTGTTTGCATTACCACCAAGCTGTGGAGGTGTCATACCCATTGAATGACTTCCACCAACGTTCTGTAGCGTCTGTGTAAGACTTCCAGGTGTTGGTAAAGAAGTTGGACCAGTTGAGCCAACGTTGCGCGGGTTTGTGGCCTCACGCAGTAGATTATGGAAACCGTCCATCGTCTAAATTGAAAAACAGGGTGATTACGAAGGAGGAGCTTTCAGGGTTTACGTAAGCGCTGATTCGTGAGTGAGGCGGCGAGCCAGTCAGTCGTCGTGATCGAAAAGGCTGAGAGAGAGGGGGTGGGGGATGGGCTCAAAAAAAAGAGCCCATGAGAAAAAACAATTTCCAGCTGGGCCCAATTGCAGCCATTTTTTTGCTGCTTCGCATGCGTAGGATTGGTCAACACACTATCCACTCTATCACGCAATCGTGTATCGCTGCTTCAATCCACCAATTACTGCATCGTATGGTCTTGATTGCGACATCTTTCTTAGACACTACTACTCAATTGTAAACTTCAGGTACTCCTACATATAAATGCCAGTCCACTGACAATCATTCTCACACCGGTGTAATCAATAAAATTGACAGTCATTCATGACTGAATCAGAGGCTGCCACTGCTGCAAGTCCACCGCGCTTTTCGGGTCACAGCAAGGCCGCTGTTGACATATATTCCAGCCAATCGTGCTGTAATTCCGGTCTAGCTGATTGTCAGACTGATGGGTACGTTCAATGGCTTATTACGTATGCAAAAAAGTTGTGGGTGTCATCGCTTTGACGCAGGACCAATCATTATATGCAGATCACGGGAGCTCGTCATTCATGAGCTCAAATCCAAGCGCAAACCTTCAGCTGCTGCGCTGAGACGGCGCATGGCAAATCAGATTCCGGAGGAGATTACAAAGAACGCAGAGCTGACAAAGGCCATTGAGCAGGTGCCTATTTTTTGGTTGATTGGCTTGCAGAGAAGGAAAGCCGCAAATTTGTCCACAAGACATGATGCTTATTTGTTCACTATTGCTGTGTACAGCTGCCGTGGAATTACAACTTTGAGATTCGCAAGACTGTGTGGCGGATTCGCCAGGCTGGCAGCAAGCGCGTGGCGCTGCAGTTTCCTGAAGGCCTGCTGCTTTACGCTTGCGTCATCTCTGACATCATCGAGCGATTCACAGGTGCCGACAGTATTATTCTTGGTGATGTACGTTGAATTGGAGCAGAAGCTGGGTTGCGGCAGTTTCGTCATAACAAAGTCGTTCATGCATGCAGGTGACGTACGGCGCCTGTTGCGTGGACGATCTTAGCGCGCTTGCACTAGGAGCAGACTTTATGGTACATTACGGCCACAGTTGTCTCGTTCCGATTGATGTCACGTCGATCAAGATGCTTTATGTGTTTGTGGATATTGCCATCGACGTCGATCATGTGCGTAGTGCCACAATTGAGATTAGTACAATCAAGTATCAGTGCAATTAATGTTGTGTATGTTTGACTGGCTATCATTGTAGCTCATGGACTGCATGAAGTTGACTTTTGCGCCCGACACCAAGGTTTGGGATGAGTTATCTTTGCGGCTGAGCTCATCTGCTAGATGTTTTGACTTGACGTTGTACATGCATGCAGCTTGCTCTGATGGGCACAATACAGTTCAGCAGCTCCATCCATGTCATTTCTTCACGGCTCAAAGATTATTTTGCAAGTATGGTCGTGCCTCAGGTCAAGCCATTGTCTCCTGGCGAGGTTTTGGGCTGCACATCTCCTATCATTGAGGGAGTTGACGCCCTCGTATTCATTGCTGACGGCCGCTTTCATCTCGAGGTTTGTCTTGTAAAGAGAAGTGACTCGCTAACTGCCGCTATCTCACGTATTTCATCATACATTGCCATGTTCCAGTCGGCGATGATCATGAATCCAAACCTAAAAGCGTACCGCTATGATCCTTACCCAAAGCTCCTTACGCTCGAGAAGTACGATCTGTCACAAATGATGGAAATCCGTCGTACTGCTATCGAGCAGGCCATGGGGGCCAAGACGTTTGGAGTCGTGCTTGGAACGCTAGGGCATCAGGGTAACCCGGTGATTCTCGATCACGTGAAGCAGCTGCTTGAGCAAAGCGGTAAGAAATATTTCGTGCTTCTGCTATCCGAGCTATTTCCTGACAAGGTAATCGCATCGATGAGTGGCTGTAGTCTATATTCTTTTTTACTTACCGATTCGCTTACTTCACAAACAGCTTGCTCGGTTCAAGGACGTTGACGCATGGATCCAGATTGCATGTCCGCGACTGTCGATTGATTGGGGCTACGCGTTTCCGAAGGTATGAACTTGTGTCAGACTTCCATCCCGTGTGTGTGAATACATTTAATCATCTCTATTGCCGTGTCTTTCTTGTTTGCAGCCATTGCTTACTGCGTATGAAGCCGAAGTGTGCTTAGAGAAAACACACTGGAGAGAAGGGTCGTATCCAATGGACTTTTATGCCAAAGGAAGTGGTCCATGGACAAATTATTACGACGGCAAGAAACAAACTGCTGCATAAGCATCAGAGTTAGCAATAATAAATGACGGCATACAAATGACAAAGCTCGTTCTTTTGCATTTTGGTCGATGACGTGATCATTAAACTCAAGCTCTGTGTCTGTTGCCTTGTATTATATGTGTATGCATGAGACCGGAAATATCCTCAATCCTGGGCGTCGCTGCTAGTGGTTCTAATCAAAACATGAGAGAAACAGTTATTAACGGTGTGTGCGAGCGCATGCAGCAAGTGGCACTGACCTCGGACTAAGCACCTGCTCTACCAGTGGGCTGCCTAAACTGGCCTGAGGCAACTTTAAGGCGCTGTATGATGCTTCTGGGTGAATTGTAAGGATCTCCCTGCAAACGAAGACACAAAAGTTGTTAGATGCGTTTTGCACGGCAAGTCATCAATCATACATACTCAAAAATAAGCTCCTTCAGCCGAGCCTCCGTGAGATTCTCTTTCTCAAAGTCAAAACTAAAAACGCTGTCAGCAACAGGCTCGTCCTCAAGGTTGTGCAATGACGCCAAATAGGGGTGCGCTAAGGCTTCCTCCACTGAAATACGTTTTGCAGGATCAAACATAAGCATACGCTGTAGCAAATCAATCGCTTCGGGCGTAGTGTTCGGGAAAAGTTTTGCAAATGACATGCCAGGCCGCACAGGCTGGCTTTTCATAAACCGTTTAGCTCTCTCGCTAACAACAAAGTGCAGATCCTCTTCGCAAGGAGTTCCAATCTTGTCACATATGATCTGTAGTTGATGGATGTAATCGTCGCCAGGGAATAGCGGTGTGCGACCGAGTAGCTCAGCAAAAATGCATCCGGTGGACCAAATGTCAATAGCCTTGGTGTACTCCCTCGATGAAAGCATGATCTCGGGTGCACGGTACCAGCGCGTGACGACATATTCCGTCAGCTCCATGTTATCTTCTTCAGGTATAACGCCTCGCGATAGACCAAAGTCGCACACCTTCAAGTCGCAATTTGAGTTCAGCAGCAGGTTTGAGGGTTTTAAATCCCGGTGAAGAACATTTGCTGAGTGAATGTACTTGAGCGCTCGCAAGATCTGGTACAGAAAGTATTGCACGTGGTCGTCAGTTAGTGGCTGTCGCGAGTATATTATTCGGTGCAAGTCTGTCTCCATAAGGTCTGCAATAATGTACACGTCGTCAAATTGTGCCAGGGATGGTGGTGGCAACAAGTCCACGATCGTAATCACATTTTCGTGGTCAAAATGCTGCAAGAGCTTTATCTCGCGCAAAATGCGTTTGGCATCCACGAGATCTTCAAACGCTTTGGAGATCTTTTTTACTGCAACTTTCTCCTTTGTCTCGGTATTTTCCGCTGAGCTACATGAAATATACAAGACACCATTCAAAATTAGGACATGCAACATTTGTCCTACTCGGCATGCAGTTTCTTACATGACAACTCCATAGGCGCCACGACCAATGGCCTTGATAAATTTGTATTTGTCGTCAATCTCGAAATTTGTCCCTGCTACAACAAAAGAGTACGTGCCCAACCGAGCAGGCATTGCAGCAACTGGGGTAGTAATGTTTGTTATACGCTTCGAGATCACTGCATCGCATGTGTCAAGTAGTGCTGATGTATCCGGAGGACAAGTGTGAGTAATATTGCTAGATAACCCCTTTGCCAGTACACTACTTGATGGTGATGATGGAGGTGATCCCACCGATTTTAACGATGAAGAAGAAGATGATGATGATGAAGCACCGCTTGACGTATAACTGGTCATTGTAGCTCTTTTTCTACTGTGGGAACTAACGGCAAGTTTAAACGAGCTATTTGACAAACATAGAAAGAAACTGAATATTAGCAGCACAATAGCGAGAAAAGTGCCTCACAATCGAGTTTTCAATGCCTCGAAAAGTGTCAGAATCGTAGTTAGTTGCCTCGGTGACAATGCCAGTATTACCTTGATAGTGTTGACCTTGACACAAGAGTCAGTCCAATCTTCAATCAATAGAGAAGGCTATGAGCTCTTTATTCTTATACCGTTGGTCTCAATGTACTCAATGATCAAGTAACTTCTCAAGCAATGCGCTTCAAGAAAACGTTCGCGAAACATTCGATTGTACCAAGCAGACGACGCATACAGGCGCCTGATGGCAGCCAAACAGCGTCTGTAGCTATAAATACCCAGGAACTGCGGCAACGGACACGACCTTTAGGTTAGACTGGTACGTAGACTAAGCGGCCGTTGGCGGAGATGAATTGAAGAGTGATGGTTGCTTCAACTTGCAAGTTGCCTTTCTTTTCTACCACTTAGTACACGCTATTCTATTGTTGACGTTGATGATTGGTCTAAATCTACTTAGGTAAGTAAAACCTCGTGTAGCTGCTTTGGCTGAGGTTTTTTACTCAGGGGGAGAAGATCTTTTCCAGTATTTGCAAACAAGGTTAAAGCGCCTTCTTTGGTAGAGAAAATGGGTCAAGGACAGAGTGGACTGCCGCGTCCAACGCGCGAGGAGGCTGCTAAGAAGAAGGAAGATGGAGCAAAACAAAAGAAAAATAAATTTGAACCACGTGGTGGTGCTATGACACGAAGACGCCGTAAGAAAAAAGGACCTGCTGCTGCTGTGCGCATCCCGACTGTGTATCCAACGGCCAAATGTAAATTGCGTCTTCTTAAAATGGAGCGTATCAAGGATTTTCTGCTTATGGAGCAGGAATTTATTCAAAACCAAGAGGTGATGAAACCTAAACAGGAGAAAGACGAGGAAGAACGCTCGAAAGTGGATGATTTGCGTGGTACACCCATGGGTGTTGGGACGCTAGAAGAAATGATTGACGACAATCACGCTATTGTTTCATCCTCTGTGGGTCCTGAATATTATGTGGGCGTCATGTCGTTTGTGAATCAGGACATGCTAGAGCCTGGATGCTCTGTATTGCTGCATAATAAGGTCATGTCAGTTGTGGGTATTCTGGCTGATGATACGGACCCTATGGTAAGTGTTATGAAGGTTGACAAGGCGCCACTTGAGTCATACGCAGATATTGGAGGTCTAGAGTCGCAGATTCAGGAAATTAAGGAAGCTGTAGAATTACCGCTAACGCATCCGGAACTGTACGAGGGCATTGGAATTCGTCCGCCTAAGGGTGTTATTTTGTACGGTGAACCTGGTACGGGTAAAACACTGCTGGCTAAGGCCGTAGCTAATCAGACGTCGGCGACTTTTCTACGTATTGTCGGCTCGGAGCTGATTCAAAAATACTTGGGTGATGGTCCGAAACTTGTGCGTGAAATGTTCCGTGTCGCAGACGATCATGCACCGTCAATTGTGTTCATTGATGAAATCGACGCTGTTGGCAGCAAACGTTATGACTCGAGCAGCGGTGGTACCCGTGAAATTCAACGAACGATGCTTGAGCTTTTGAACCAGCTAGACGGTTTTGACGAACGCGGCGACGTGAAGGTGATTATGGCGACGAATGCCATCGAGAGCCTCGATCCTGCTCTCATTCGTCCTGGTCGTATCGACAGAAAGGTGTGTACTCGATATGCAAATTTTGGGTACTTTATTTACACATGGCTAATACGTTTGTTGTGGCAGATTGAGTTTCCCCTTCCAGATATCAAGACAAAGCGCCGCATCTTCGGTATCCACACAGGTCGCATGAGCCTGGCAGATGATGTTGACCTGGAAGAATTTGTCATGTCCAAAGATGAGCTTTCAGGAGCTGACATCAAGGCTGTTTGCACAGAAGCCGGTCTGCTCGCACTGCGCGAGCGTCGTATGCGTGTGACGCAATCTGATTTTCGAAAGGCAAAGGAAAAAGCGCTTTACAAAAAGAAGGCCAACATACCTGAAGGACTCTATCTATAAGCGCTAGACAAACTACGGTTCTAGCATTTCAGAAGAATGTGGGCTACAACAAGAGGTATACTTGAGACAATTTGCGGTTTTAGTCTGTTGCTCTTTCGTCACGGTCGTTAGGCCCGTACGGAAATACCACCATGCAAGCCAATTTAGGCTCTTTTCGACTCTGTTGACAGTGTGCAAACATTTACACTAACACCACATTTGCCAACTATATAACTACTACAGTTAGATTGAATTACAATCATCGACCAGATAGACTCCGTCGGAGCGACGGAATCCCAGGCAGCCATGATTTAATGGCAAAGTTGGGTCTGGAAGTTTTCATCTCGGTTGGTGTCTTGTATGGCAAGGCCGATAAACTACGAAACAAACCGCGGGGTTTGACCTTTGCCTTGCTACTAACAAGTTTCACGTCGAAACGAGTCGCCAAATTAATCAAGTTCGCTCGTTGACTCTCCAGCAAAACAGCTCTTCGTTTTGTATCAGGGTTCTGCATTATGTTGCTAGTGATAGCGTCGTTGACAGAAAGCGCGCTGCTCGTTGGGTCATCAAAAGCATGCCGTCGCCAGTTATGAATAGCGTTTACCCACTTGATCATGGTCCGGGAAGTAGCTGCAGCGAACAAATACGTCTTTTCACGCTTGCCAGCCGACACGAACACGCCTGCCTTGTCATTTCGCTCTGCCTCGAGCGCATGCACTACAAACCGATTCGGACACAGACCAGCATTGTCGTTGGAAAGTGGCTGTACGCGGACTCGATGCCGTGTGAGACCGATTGACTTGCGAAGTGCTCCATTTGGTCGATCGAAACAAAAGAGCATACCATACTCCAAGACGCAGTATTGCATCTGTGCACTACTTTTATGTGATAAGACAAGCAAAAACCCTTCCATTTATTTGTCAAGCAATATCTTGTCGTCTTAGGACAAGGAAAACCAAATAACTAAATGACCAAATAACTTTTCTTAACACAAATGAACCAAGCGCCACACTGGCTGTTGAGTAGACGGTCGCTCCGTCGACATCACGCTTGCACAACCATCTTGTGACAAGGCCTTTATTTGCACCACTTTACATCTTACATATTGTTTTCTTCCCTCCAGCTGTTTTTTTTTTTTAGTATTTTTTAAAGTAACTGACCATTTCTGCGGTATAAGAATATAAAGTAACTACAGTGAGCAATTATGCGTTCACAGAGCAAATCTGCGAACAAAATATAGCAAACTACCAATTGTCAGCCACATGTCGTCGTCGTTCATTGGTTCAACATTTGATTGCGTAAATTGGCTGTAACACGCGTCGTTTCGTCTGAGGAGTGATAATTGCCGTAAGGTCGGTTTTCAGCTGGTGGTTGACCACCCTCGTAGCTACCGATGTATTGCTGAGAATAAACTTGAGGTGCATGCGGCTCACTAGGGTGGTTGGCATTCGGATAGTGGCCCCATGCGTTTCCACCCATATAAGCATTGTTGTAATACTGTCCGCTGCTATAGTCCCCCGCGGATCCAGCCGGTGTAGTAGAGTACACCACTACCCGTTCAGAACGAGCATTGTCCATTCCAGCATCCTTTTGCTGACCTCCACAATCCCACAAACCTACTTGTTGTTGTGAAAGCTGCATTGGTTGCTGATTGTACGTGCTCCATTGGGGTGGTGCATTTCCTCGTCGATCAACTCCATAGTCACGATAGCCACTACTACCATCATACTCCTGATTAGGAGGTGAACGACGAGTTCGCATGTGATTTGACGCACTTCCACCCCGTTGATGACGAAGATCTCCAGTGCTGTGTTTACCTTTCACATCATTGCGAAGTGGAACCGTCGGTCCGTACGTAGATGACTCTGCAGTCGCTGGTTGCCCCTTCAAAGAGTTGTTGTACATTTCCGCCACTTCATAGTATGTCCTGGCCGTGTGCTCATGCAATACCGCAAGCACTTGCTGCGCTCCTAGTTGTTTTGCAATTTTCTTCGTCGAAGCAACACCCTGAAATAAGACTGATTAATACAGGCGTGTTATCATGCCCTTATAATCAATCACATTATCCCCACCTCGGCAACTGTGCTACCAGCAGTTACAATTGTTTTGAAGAGCTTTACCCCACCGCCTTCAACTTGCACCGTATTGTAATTAATGGACACACCACGGTTCCGATTTTGATACTCTTGAAGCACTTGTGCTGGTGTTTTAATCGAGAGTTCCATACACGCCTGTTTTTACAATTATGAACGTTAGTTGTACGAAGAAGAGTTGCATTCTAATACAAGCAACCTACTTGTAGTATACGAGGATCGCTGATAGATAGCATCTTGAACTCTTCTAGCGTCTGTACAAGACGATATGATATCAAAATAAGCACGTCGGAAGATAATGACAATACTAACAAACAATAAGTTAGATCTCGACCATCAATTGCTGCTGGTCAGTACTCTTTTGCTCTTTGGCCACCCCATCCAGTTTGCGTTTCTTTAATTGAGCCTTCAACAAGATCAGCAAGTAAAGTTTCTTTAGTATACATTCTCACGAATTGCCATTTCCAGCAGACAAGAGCTGTCTCCATATTTTAACTCCATCTCAACACTTACACTACTCATTTCTTGAGGTGCAGTCATCGATGACAAAGCAGTTTTAGACGTCACCACCTTCTTTTTCTTTGTAGCAACATTCTCCGGTGGCGTGAAAATGCTCAACGGTGGTACATGCTGCTTCACAAGTCGGTGGAATTCTGGTTGAGACAATGTATCGCAAGTTTCAGCACACAACAGATACGGCCTTGTCCAACAGACGACACCCAGTACGCTGTGTACGTAGCATGGAAGACCAGAGCCGTGGATGATTCGTTGCCATCCTGAAGGCAATGACGCATCGGCAGTTGCAAATACCGTGTTACGGTTGTCGTTGTTGTTGCTATCGTTGTAGTATGCGGCATTGTTATTGCTACTACTGCTACTGATATTATCAGCTTCGGCACTAGCTTCAGCTGCTGCTGAGCTCAATTGTATCAGTCCTGGAGCACATGCAAAGCCATCCAGGTGCTGCTTGGCGTCGACATGCGGGGTTCTCATAATTTACGAGCTGAAATATTATAATTATACTCCAAATTTTAACCAATTACATCTTTATATATACACGTTTTCCAAATGAAAATGAGCAAAAATGCAAATAATAGGAGCAGTTTTATCTACTTTCACAATATTCTCGTTTTCTGCCCACAAATTGTAGCAATTTGATAATGATATTGACAACAAGAGATCCAGCATCACCTTGTCCTATTACTCATTAACAAAGGATCGCGTCTTCTTGAGTCTGATATTCGACAATCATATTCCAATGCCTCACTCCATTCTCCATCACCTTCCCGTAATTCCTGCTTTGCTTGATGCAAACGCTCAAGTCGCTGTTGCAAAAATCTACAACAATCCCGCATCCTACGTAGAATCTCCATGCGCATGGAGGATTCATCCGATTCTTGTAGTGTGTCATCGCGCAACGCAGCATCCACCTTCGCACATGCTACGTCATCAGCTTCATGTAGTGAATAACCGTTTTTCTCCTGAACAAGTTTAACCGCCTCCTTGACTAATCTTGCATTAAGCGCCCGATTCTTCTGACGCAAAGCTTGATTGTCCTTTTTCATTTGCTGCAAATACTGAATCTTCTGCTGCGGGTTATTACCGCTTATCAGTCTTATATTCTCGACGTTTGCACGCTCCGCCTCGGCAATAGCATCATCTCGCTCAATTTTCATGGCAGTTCGCTCAATGTCGTAGGTTTCCACAAGCGTCTTCAGCAGCCGCACGGTATCCCACAACTCATGCAGCTTATATTGACACCGCTCATGGTTCTTCAAAATGTCCAGGTCTTCCTCCATTACTATCTGAAACGCTGACGGAGCTCCAAATGTTGCCATGGCCATACTAGAGTCGTTTCTATTCCTCTCGAGTACATTCAGTTCCAACCGGTTGTCTTTTGAGCTAGTCGACCCGCTACCATTCCCATCACGTGCCGATGTATAAAATGCTGTCTCAGCTTGCAATCGAGTGTTTTCCTGCTCTAACTTGCAGACTGTATTCTGTAGCTTCAGGTTTTCATCGTTGGTCTGTTTCAATTGTTCCTGCAAAGTGTGAATCCGGCTTAGCAACGTAGTCGATGAAAAAGAGCTTTCCTCACCACTTGACGATAAGCTACAGTCAGTCTGGTCATCTCTGCAACCATTAACTCGATCAGTTGGCATTTTCTCTGTGCATATGCTAGGCAAGGTCAGGTTCAGTCCCAACAATTCTTCTGCATGCTCTTTTGACGCCGATACCTGTAAGTCTGCTACGTGATCGTTGTTATCACTTGTTTCCATCACTTTTACCGCAATCAAGCACGGGTCTACTTTCATTGCTGCTTTCTCTACAATCAATCGAGACTTATTCTGTTGTGCTGCCTCATGCATCAGTCTCTGCAGTATTTCCAAACGCCGCTGCATACCACGCAAATGTGTCTGTACTTTTGGCAACAGTATATTCGTTTTTGCATGCTTTCTTGTCCCAACAAGATCGGTTATTTTCTCCTCTACATTATGAGAGGGTGACGTGTCACCTTCTCCAGACAGCAGGCCACTAGTCTTGGAATTGGTGATCGAATTAAGGATGCTTGCTGTTTGTATTCGGGGCATGAGAATCTTTACGACACTACTACTGCTGTAGCTCGTGGTTTAGTATAAGGTGATATTCTTGTTAGGAATATTATACATAATGACTCATTTTGTATTATTTTAATCGGTCCGTGAGATATTTGTCTTGGTGTATGTATCTATCGCGCACTTGGTTTTTGAACTGGTATTTCTTAAGATTTAGTAATCCAATCGTGAGTAAAAATGAGACTAAAATTAGTCAAGTTTATCAGATATTTTCAACACGCCCGACAAGATGTCAAGCACTTTTTCCCTGTCACAGAATAGTACACGTGCCGACCCTTCGGTAACATGATGGTACAATTTTGAACCAATGATCTAAAATCGCCATACATAAATCTCTGAAATGAAGGTAGTTTTGCTAGGTAAAAGTTGATTAATATATTATCAATCGAACAAAAAATGGGAAATTCAGAGCTGAGAATTTGTTACTACGCTTTACTACGTAAACGATGTTCATCGAGAATAGTCGACCCGCCATCACCAAGGTACTTGAAACAGCTTCTTGTAGTTGAGCCCTAACCGCAGGCCGACAGCTCTTGGCCACTCGTTTGAACCTTATCCCAACACGACGAAAGCATATCGTTTACATTGTAAATGGTAGCAAAACTTTCTTATCTACATTCACTCAAATAAAACGACCATCATGATAAAGCCACTAATGAGAACAAAAGATGTACACAGACATCCATTGCATCTTCAAATATATCTCTCTACCTACGCTAGCTAAACTTGCATTATTCTGCTTGAACTTTGATAAGAAAGTATGGATTTTGGCAGCATCTAACTAATGGCTGAAAACAGAAACTGGCCTCTCTACATAAAAAACACCTCACACCCCGACCCCTATAAAGATAGATCTGCGAGAAGCAGAGACGACAGCCACACTCCACAAAAAGCGCAATCGTAACGACTAACAGTCAAAAGAGGAACAAACATTTACAACTTTGTTGACGATTTTACCCATTTTGAAGCTATCCTAGCCACCCATTTTTACTTAATTTGTCCATATTATTTGCTATGATTGAATCGGAAGTGGCTGAGACGCTCATGAGTTTATCCGCACCCGATGAGCGCAATCTTGATGATAATCCGCTCTACGCAGCTGAACTGCCGTCATCGTGGCAGGCTAGCAAAAAGCGTGCTTTTGCTGCTCTAAACGCGGGTGTTTTTAGCTCATTGCCTTCATCAAGCTCAATGCAGTCGCATGCCGAGTCATATAGCTCACCAATGTCACTCTTGCAGCTCAAGATTCAAGGTCGCCCGCTTACGTCCATGATTCCCGGTCGAGAGGACGCTGACAGCAGTAGCAGCGACGTTGACATGGACTCGCGTGAAACAAGCGACAAGGCTATCGAAAACTATACGTGTCCAGCCTATTTATCACCCTTTGACGGTCTCGTAGCTGCTGCAGCCTCTAATCGTGACGACAATGACACTTACTCGTCTTCTAACAGCAGACCCATTTCGATTCCCAAGCGTGGTGGTAACGCCAATAACAATTTGATAGGGTATCGTGAGCCGGCTTCGTCGTCGTCGTCGTCGTCGTCCTGGATCGTACGCATTCGTCTTCATACGGGAAAAAGCACAAAGCCTGTAGTTTATCGCGTGTGCAGGAGGATGAATCTTTTCTTGGTCGCGACTGCAGTCCCACGGGCGTCGAGGAAGAAGACACGTGGTACGACAGCGATTACAAACAACGCATGCGTTTGGCATCCGTGTGCTCGTCCGAAGGAAGCGAGTACGGTGGCTTGGGTCGTCAACATTTGGAGGAGTTTATCCGCATGGAGATCTCAGCTGCGAATGAGAACGAACAGCAGAGGGAAGTTTCATCCGACGGTAAGTACATTGGCAGCTACTCTCCAGAAGCTCGGAGAAAGCGTATTGAGCGTTTCCTCGAAAAGCGCAAACGCCGTGTATGGGCCAAGAAGGTGGACTATGACGTTCGCAAGAACTTTGCCAACTCACGCTTGCGCGTTAAGGGTCGCTTTGTAAAGAAGGAGGACGAGGAGCTGCTGTGTCAACTCTTGAGCTACACGTGAGGACGAGGTCAGGCCTCTGTGCAGTTCTTTGTTGCTTTGCTTCCCGTCCGTTATAGCGTAGTTGTATAGAGAAGGCATTGGGATTGGTCCAACTGCATGTACGTAGCGGCTACTTACTTGCCTTTAGCATTATCAACCAACAATTCAAATTCTGAATCATCATCGATCCCCATCCTGCAAAAAAGAAAAAGATCGGTATTTTGTCTGAGTGTCGCTTTTACCGACAAAAACAAACGACCAAGCATTAGGGATGTAGCACATCAGTGATAGAGAACAACTGTTGCTGTATCTTGTTGGCAAGTAAACAAACATCTGTGACCATTGCGAATACCGATTGTACATATGCGATTACCATTCCTCGAGAAAAAGCTGTACCGGTATTACCTCAACATACGTCCTATGCATACCGGTATCCATGTAATAATCCATTAAGCATTCAAGATGCTGCTAGTGTTGTGCTTCTGCTTGTTACTGGATAGAGTACTTGGTATCTATACAGAGCAACTAACATTACGTCCTCTTGCTGGTATTAAAAAGGTTCTTGGTCGCTTTGGGTTCTCTGTAGATGAGTATTCTCCATCTCACAATAACGTATCACTTTTTCCTAATGTCCTTCGTCAAATTCTTGAAAAACACGATGCAGAGTCGCTACATCTCACTTTTACTGTTGGTCGATACACACCGTGGCGTTATGGATCTACATACAGTCATAATGATAATGACTGAAATTATCCAATGCACCTTTTGGTACGCGATTACAGGTGTCTCTACGTGGTGATATCGAAGCTCAGCAGCGCTGGAGAGGTATCACGTCAGAGCTTGGTGGCATCTTCTCTGCGTCGTTAAATCAGATGGATGAGAAGGTTGTGACCAGACTGCAGTTTAATTCAACACCACAAGAGCTAGGTGCCTTTCCGATGACAAACGCTGACCCGATGCACGTGTTCCTGCACGGCTCCCTGGCTCGTGAAGAGCTCTGTACGGAAAACCTGACACCTTGGCTCAAGATGCTACCTTGTCGATCAATCACTGGACTAGGATCATTAATTGACCCGATCAACGCTTTGTCAGGCGAATATCTGTCGTTGTCGCTATTTGCTATGAGATCGCCGGATGATCGCTGGATTCTTCGACAGCATTTGACGACGGTGCAAAGCTTTAGCAAGCAGAACAGTGCGCGTTCGAGTCTTGGCTCTTTATTCATTGCTGATGACCAGATAAAGACTGATCTTACTGCATGTCCACTTGCAGCAAAAAGTGTTATTCAAACAGAAGACAAGATGTCGTCAAGTGTTGTGACTACCGATCTTCATGAGAAACCCATTTCTCTTTCTAGCACGTGGTTTGAAGAATGGAATGATGTAAATGTGGTGAACAAAGCTCTTGCCAAAGACAGCTTCAAGGCGCAACGGGATGTCGTGTCAGTACATCGTTTTGCTACTGGATACGGTCAAGTGCGTGGTGGTATCGCAGTGCAGCTGAAGAACAATCATCCTTCTTGTGATATGCATGTGACGTATCATGATGTTATTCCGTGGTACCTTCGCGTATACTTTCACACGTTTAGAGCAACTGCCAGTGGAAGCGAAAGCGATGCGCAAGAGTTGATTCGAAGGTTTGATTTCGTGCCAGCCGAGTTGCGAAGTCAACCCAACCAATTGCGACTTGAAGCATTCCTTCCCGCTAACACTACGCTGGTTTTCTCGCTTCAGATGGAAAAGGTGTTCCTGCGCCTGTCTGAGCATCCACCCGATGCCAACCGTGGTTTTGATATCTCCTCCGGTGTGGCAACTTTTAACGCAGACTCGACCTGTAGCAAGCAAATTGGGTTTTCGTCCTTCACGACCACTTTGTACACGGAGCCCTTGCTCATACCGTTGCCTACGCCTGACTTTAGCATGCCGTATAACGTAATTACGATGACGTCGACTGTCGTTGCTTTCTTCGTAGGCACGATGCTCAATACACTACTGCGGAAGGCACCGCGACTGAAACAAATGATGACAAGTAGCTAACAGACATCGAAGTAACGACAAACGCACGATTAGTGATTTTAAATATACACGACGTCGCTCGCGTACGTTGTCTTTCTCCTCTCAGATCTCATTCGCTTGCTTCGTTGGGGGTTTCCTGACACAATACTACACTACGCTTTTGAACACCGGTTGATGCGATGATATACGCTGCTTTTCTTTGCCATGACGATGCGTCTTGACAAACGCTGCATAGCTCCTGCCCGACTCAATTGCGCCGCAAATTAGGCAGAATAAAGCCCAGACACTCCACAGTAAGACAATACGGAATCCAACACGGTAGGTACAGGCAGCGTTGCATGATCTAACACGTACGAGACCACCAATGTCTGTATCGACGTCTGTCTTTGTATTGATGATGAAATTCATGATCAAACCAGGGACATAGTTCGATGCTGCGTACCCGAAAAGGTTATAGCTAGCGTACGCAACGGAAGAGGCAAGTGGGCGCAATCGTGGTGGAGATGCAGAGATGACGATGCCCGAGCAGGCCGGAAGGATGCTACCTCCGCAGAACAGCATTAGCCAGAGAAATATAGCGATGTGAAAGGTGTTGTGCACATATGACACGGGCAGAGCCGCAAGGCAGCCGGCTCCTCCGAGCAACACGCAAACACGCAGTGCTTGCATTTGATGGTATGGACCTGAGTATCCACCAAACTGATCGATGAGCCAACCGCCAAAGAATACACCCATGATGGGACCTGTGCCGCTAACCAGTAGATAGGCCACGTGAATCTCGTACATCGAGTCTTGCGTATTGGTTTCCAAGTACAGTGTCGTCCAGAACTGAATGCCCGCGACTACGAAAAATAAACCTGACAGGCCCATCACGACAAACACATAGACTTTGTACTGCAACAACAGCCTCAAATTACTCCATCTCGATGCGTTTTCTTCCTGCTTGTGAGATTCCAATAATCGCAAGCTGCAGCCATCGGACACGTTGCTATGCTTATGGCGACTCACTAGCATATGTTCAGCCTCATCATAAGAGGTAGACGTATTCTGCTCTCCATTTCTATCGTCGTCCTCATCTGCATCCACAATGACGATGGAGCGGCGACGGGTCGAGCGGAGCTGGATATGCTCACGAGGTACAAAAAATATCAGGATCGACAGGGGAAAAATTAGCCCAAATTGGATCAGGAATGGCCAGCGCCAACAGTAGATACCGTGACATAGCCTCATGGATGCGTCATCAATACCGTCAACAAGATTGTTGTATGCATTGACCCCCAGCGCTGACTTGGACAACGTGGGGACGACGCTGTGTAATGCCACCGTAGCCGCCTCTGGCTCCAATGATGCCAACCAAATGGTGACTGATCCCGCAAAGTAGCCTAATGTGATGCCAACGGGCACTGCGCCTTGCAAGTAACTCATCCAGGAGCCGCGTTTGGTCTTCGGCGCATAGTCGTGGACCCATAGCGGCGAATAAACACAGCTAAAGGCTTGGGTCAAGCCTACCAGTCCACGCAACGAGATAAGAAGCAATTTAGCATACCAGGTCGTTGTGGGAGTACATGCAAGACCCAGTACTGCCAAGTTATTAACCACAAGTGAAATGCCGAGCAGCTGACGAGGGTCGAAGCGACGGAAGAGCGTGCTACACCAGGGAGAAGCTAGTGAGATAGCTATGTATACTACAGCACCCAATAGTCCCTGTTCCTGTGGATTGAGATGAAATGTCAGTGTAAATTGCTGCAGAAGAGATGGCACGGCACCCGCTTCAAGATACATGAATACTTGAGTAAGCACAAGATATTTAAACAAGTAGTCGGACGAATGTTTCTTCATTAGAAAAGAGGAAGATAATAGTGATGATGATGGAGATGATGACAGACATGGTGATGGTGGTGGTGAGTCAACAGTTCCATAATCAACAGAGCTTGAGTAAACGCGTGAAGACGCGATGGCCGTCATAGCAAGTGACAGATGATAGATCGACCACGGGTTTGAAACCCTTATCTGACAACGGATTGATCACCGACGAGCCAATCAGATGCTGCTTTGACACTTAGCTGATTCCAAGCCCAGATGGCATGGAAATCCGGTTTTAAGTACTGTTCCCGTGAGCAGTTTGTTATGATCAAAAGCGAACTTACGGCTGAAGTAACATGACTGAGCGTGATCTGTCAAGTGGCAGATTATATCGCGACTCTACGTCATTACTGTCGTCATTATGCTATTCCACCCTACCCTTAAACATAATCGCGGCGCTTTAATATGTAATGAAACAACGATAGAATTAAAGCTACTTTGCAACACATTATGACCACAAGTCAATGTCAATGTTAGAGTATCCCATGAATCTATTTCTTCATATACTCTACACCTTAGGAAGTATCATCACGCATGGGAAAAAATGTCTTTCGTCGCTCGTGATAAGTGTCGCTTTGGTTCTACACCAGAAAGTCGCATAGCTTGTTCTTCTGATCGTCAACATTATCAGCGCTTCGTAGTGTGAACGACATAGGCCTCGCGCTGACACGCGTTAGCGAGACGCGCCTGTGCGCGTTGACGCTGGAATAAGATCCAGTCTTGTGTCTCCAATTCATCTTCCGTGTCTTCATCCCCGGAATCTTCATTGTCCTCGTCCACGAGTCCAGAAGTGTAGAAGTCCCATAGAGGGTTTGTAGACGCCGTATTTGGGCTTGAAGACGCCATCACCAGGCGCTGCAATGGACTCCGTCCCTTGGCGCTAACCGTTCTTGACATGGCAAAGCGCTGGCTGAGATCGTCGACCGCAGTCGCTCAAGCGCGGGAGGGGGGAGTCGTGGCACTGTGTCAGCAAAACAATAAATAGCTGCCACTCACGCGACACTCGAGTCGGTGCATCGACTCGCTACAAACGAAAGAAACCGCATACCTGTGCCCATCTCTGCCAATGAATTCAAGTGTCTCACATAGTATCACTGACGCAGTTTCAGGGACGAACGTGTGGATATTATTGTCGGACCTGGTAAAAGACTGGAATTGCTGGGATGATATGCCAGTGTGACAAAATGAGGCAAAATTTAGTTTTGCGGTGAACAGAGTCAATGGCCATAACCACGGTGTGCAACAATAACAGCTTGTTAGGCAAATGATTTGTGAATATTACTTACCTGTAACAACTACACATAGAGCAGATTGTACGAGTCATCTACCACCACAAGTGCCTCACTGCTTAATGCAGACGGAGCTTCCGTCGACTGCTGGATACTGCCTTTGCCACGCTTGCTCTTATTCATTTTTCGCTGAACACCATCCAAGAGTTCACGCGCGCCCTTGGCAAGCTGCTCGTTGCGCACAATCTTCACGTCCACAAACTGCTTGTTGTCCAAGTCCAGTGCCATCGTAATAGGGCGTCGTCTCACATCGCTATCTCGTTCTTCAGTCTGTTCATCGTCATAGAAATGCTGCTCAGCATCAAGTACACGAGTACGCTCTACTCCCGTCTCATCAAGCCGCACGAGGTCCTCCATATGCTGTTGCGCGGCATGGTCTGCCGTAACCGCATCGGTCTCATAATGTAGCTCAGTATCGCAGAAGGCACAGCGTCGCCCGCCGCTATACTCGATCCTACCACATCGCAGGCAGTTAATCACGAGCCCGTTATTCAAGAGCGTCGTCACTGCAGTTTTCTTGTTCTTCTTACTCAACTTGAGGCGCGAATTTGCGGCAATCGGTCGCTGCATCGACCCCTCATGTCCTTGGTTTTTAAAACCTGTTCTCGCGTCTGGAGCATTCAAATGAGCACGTGATGTCTCAAACATTCGGGCACTGATCTGTTCTGCTCGTGTTGCTGGAATGCCTAGCAACTCAATGAGATAGTTTGACACTTCTTTTTTTGAGCTCAAGGTACTTGTAATGTAATCTACAATTTCATCCACCTCTTTGAATCCTAAAGCACTCACTAGCTCACTCTTGAGCCACGTCTTTATCTTAGTGTCCATTATGTCTAATAATGCTTGGGTTTACAAGATAGAGCTTACTTACTTATGTCACAATAGAAATTCAATATGGCTACATTCTGCTTATTTAGAAAATGTCTTTCTTATTAGGAGATGAATATGCAAGTAGCAGTAGTGAAAGTGAGAGTGATATTAATGAAAGTATAATAAAACAAAGTAGAACGATACACAAAGTAGATAACCACGAAAAACATCTTTTGCAGCTCTTACCTTCAGCTAACAGCATTTTGTCCAGTGTGTCTGCGTCCACAGCTTCCTTCTTACCACCACAAACCAATACGAACCTTCCAAGCTTTGTTAAATCTTTTGACTTGATTGAAGAGAAGAAGACACAACATGAAGAAAAGATTGAAAACGTGGAAGAACGAAAACAACATGATGTTCAGCCTATGGTAATGACAAGCAGATACGATCGAAAGCGACTCATGCCGATGGAGAAGAGTGCGTCTAGAGAGCCATCAACGAAGCGTGAGAAGAGAGACGCTAAAGAACGGGTCAAGAGTCAAAGAATGAAGGGCCAAGCAGGCATTGGATCTGATTTTCGTATCTGGAAGGCCGAGTCGGAGATGGTACTTCGTCAACAGTTTGATTAAGGGAAGGTTTTAGCCATTCGATCGACTCAATGCTGTGATACATCGCGCTTGGGATTGCATATTCACGAGTAATGTTGCAGTGAGTCCTTCAAACACGAGTTTTTTTCTTGTGATTATATATTCAAATTGTTGAAAGGCGAGTAGAAGCTTGAACGTCATGCAGAATCTTTTCAGCCTTGTTCCATTAAGATATTGACTTCACCTGGCGACACAATCAAGGAGCTTCAAACGGGTGCTACTCCTGTTTTACCATAAAATTGTTTATTCTCGACTAAGTAAGGAACACTGAAATCAATAGCGTCAACGAGCGGTGCCAAGCATCAGTAGCAGACCAAAGTCAAGCGACATTAGCTTTGAAGATCTGGGCAAGCGATGTATGTGGGTTGCAGACAATCTATCTTTGCTTGCATTAATGACCCTTGGCTTGATCTCGCTCCAGATATGCTATCGTTTTCTGGTACCTAGCACGTCCAATGACGGCAAGACGAAGAAGCAGATGCCCATACTCAATAATTGAGAGGATGTCAGTGAATTGGTGGATGGATGCTTCAAGTAGATAGACTTGCCATCTCGTGAAACCGTGTTCCCTCCTGGGTGGCGGTCGCACCAGCCACCGCCATTTCGTGCCCGGCAAAAGCACAGACATGAACAGAAATTGCACTTGGTAGGCACATGATCTACCACATATTTGAATGCATCTTCATCACCACCTGGCTGGAACGGATATTCGATCCAGTTGAACTTGCTGAGATTCGGATTGTTGTCCTTCTCGCCCATCATGTGGTTGCAAGTATTGAGGTATTTGTACGGGCGGTGGGTCTGCGGATGCAAGTTCCAGCCCGAAACTGGCGTCTCAACCTTATAGTGATGCATAAGTGAGAACCAGCAGCCAACGTTCCTCTTCTCTCCTTGTGCCCATTGATGATTGCCTGCGTGGTCCTCCGTATGTATGGTGGCCCACGGCACAGTAGCATTAGGATCCAAGTTAACATTCTACATATTACAGCATCACAACATGGTAAGCGTCAAAAGTCAAACGTAAGACAGACAGCAAAATAGTGAAAACGTACTGAAACTCAATGTGTTTGATATCGGCCGTGCGCTTGAACTTCCTTCGGTTAAAGGAGCGATAGCACAACGTAGCCAGCAAGTTTTGGATTTGCTCCTGCTTGCGATTGTGACTGGACTCACCTTTATATACAATGCACAGTTTGCACACGAGGCAGCCAGACAGATCATAGCGTATAAACTGAAAGAAAATATTGACCAGGTTGTTGTGATACTTGATGTCCACGTCTGGTTGCGCAATGATGAGAAGACAGCGCCAAAGCCACGCAAGTTCTACGTCCGTGACTTGTGAAAAGAGGTACGCTGTGAACTGTAAGCTAGCAACCTTTTCATAAGCGACCGACATGGCAATTGTCTGAAGCCGGGGCTTTTGAACGAATTGACTTTGAGAGTATCAGCAACGGACGATTGCCACAAATAGTGTTGACAACAAGATTGCAGTGGTCGCAATTGCACTTGATAAGAAATGAAGAAGGGACCAGCTTAGAACTATGTTCGTGATTTTCAAACGAGATAACTGCCCCTGCTGTCAAGCTACGTTCCACCAGTCCATTCTGCAAGAAAACGAATCTGCCTGTTCTGCTACTGCTCATCGCATCCGCAATTGCAGTGCATACATGAGCTGGAATTTTGGCGATGACAAACGCATGGCTACACTGTGGCTACAGATAAGTCGGATCCGCTGTTCGAGTGAATAGATCGATCCCCTAGGCAATAGAGAAGGAATGAATGGAATTAGAATGTTCTACAGCTCAATATGCATCACTAACGTACACATGCATTTCTTCCCTGGTCTAGATGATGCTAATCATTACTCTTACTTTCTGCATTTATCTATCTAAACATTAGGTGGTTCTTTTCATCGGCGTCTTCGAATTGGCCGCAAATCACCATTCATTCGGCTGTAAATGAAAGGTTCCTAGCTCTTTAGTGCTGCTGCCTACAACCCATCACAATCCCCATCTAGACCCCTTTTTATCAGTCTGAAAGCTTTTCCTTAGAATGTCTAAGTGATTAACATTGGCAACCTAAACACCTCGTCTGACTTCACTTGTGACAGTCTATCCAACTCTCAGCAAACAAACTATCTCCCTCCTCATAGACACAGACGAGCTCGTAATGAGGATCAGAATGTCGATTTACTGTATGTACACGTTTTCTTGATATGTCTGTAGCCTAGATAAGAAGAACGCTGCTGCCATCGATGCACCCGTCATGGCATTCTTAGCTCATTGGGAATCCGTAGACTCTGTCGGTGAGTGAATGAAGATCTAAAACGCGGTGAACATAATGTGTCGCCGCAGAGTGACAGTGTCTGACTTGCGATGGTTGCGTATGACGATGGCTTCGAGTTTATGAATTGCCTCCGTCCAGCAGGCCACCTCTGTCCCTTCTTGTGCCGTTATGTGTTCGTCGCAGAAGACACAATTAGCACGCTTAATACAGAGGCCTCGTAGTCGCGGCTGTGCAGAGGATCGTCCGACATTGAGCCTAGTCGGCAGCAAAGCTATCCGCTTTGTCACGGTACTGTTGCGCTACTCTTCGTCGGATATAGGACGACGTGTTCGCCTGATGTCAAAAGCGTTTATGGGGCCAACCGCGACAACCCGGTTGTAATGATGCGGCCAGTTAGCAAGGGTGTGGGTTATCAGCCTACGACAAGGTACCCTAGAACGGCTGCAGAGCACCCGCTCACGAATGATTCTTGCCCGCTTGCGGAGGGACGGAATGCTGCAGGTGCAGGAATCACACGGGTCCTGCCCACCAAGTTGCGGAAGCTGATTCCAATCGTTGAAAGTGCGAAATTATTTGGCGCTCGACCATGGTGTTTTACTAGGGACGAGGCATACGATATGCCATCAACTCGTATCCGATAGCGCAACGGTTCTTTATGGAATGGGCCTTCGCGTTATCTCTTGGACGAGACGTTGATATGGCCTTATGATGCATTTATTTCGACGTAGGCTGACTTAATCAATTATACCTGAAAAAGCTAATGGAATGCATTACGTTTATGTCAATCTGAAAAGGTTGATACGGAATTGTATTGACCTAAGTCATCGAACCACAAGTGCTGCTACGATATTTTTGATAGCCTTATTTAGGAAATACTGCTACGTCAATCTCAAATAGACAATACGTGCATCTACCGCCTGGTGTGAAAGTATTTTTCTAACTGTCCAACATTGCAAGTGATAACTCTTCATCAAGACTGCAGCCGTCATGACCGTTGCGATCCGTAACAATACGGTTCTAGTTAGCGGGGCGTGACGTGAGCAAATCTCGAACCACCTCGCGAACCCACGGCTGTGCAAACTGCTGAGGACGAGGAATACTAAATTCATCCATTTGAGTGTCGGCAACCAAAATCTACACAAATCAAGTTAATTCAAATGAATCGCATATCAATATACTTAACATCAAGCAAGTTGTCACGAACCTCCTCATCGGCCAGCTGAGACTTTTTCACATCTACCATAAACACGCATGGATCTTGAGCAAACTGAACCATCCATTCCTTCTCCCGCGTATGCATGTGCAAACGCTCTAGAATATCCAACTCTTGTTCCTTCAGCAGTGCCAGCTCCTTTCTTTGATCTTGTTGCAATTCCTCACATTGTTTGAGAGCACGAGCACGATTTTTATCCAATTCGGACGTTGCTGCAACAGAAACGTCAAAAAACTGCTCTTCCAACAGCTTTGATTCACATGCCGCTGAAAGGTTCAGTGTGTACTCGAGGTTAATTGCGTTAACAGGTGTCAAATGCTGCTTAAGCGCTACTGTAATGGACGTAAATGGCAGTGACACGCAGTTGAACACTTGTGTCATCCACTTATCACAAATAACCACCCGGCAATCGTCCTCTTTAATGAGGTTGCGTAATTTGATGTATTCCCACATCGCCAGCAATATATCTCGTTTTGTATACGCCTTGGCAGGACCAATGTATTGACCAATTCCCGCTTTCAATTCAGGCGATACACTAAATCGCTCCGGTGTTTGCGCCGGTAGCAGCTTAATCTTCACTGTGTGCGCCGTGCTTCCAATTCTCGTAACTTCTAGTCCGTCCACGTCATGGCTAGTTTTCTGAAAACTCGTCCACTGGAGCAAGCAGCAAAAAAACAATCAACGATCTCAAGATGAATGCAGCACCAAGTTTTAGCACCACACCTCAATCACGTGGTCCGAGTACAAATGTGGATCCAGTTCAATCGACGCTTTTCGAAAGTAGCTTGAGAATTTCTACATCATTGACACACACTTTTGTTATCCTTACGTAGCTGATCAGCATCTTTGCCACTCCTCAGCTACTCACTACAACAGTAGGCTCTCCTGCCATTGCGTCAATGCCTTCAATCTTAAGTGTCCACTTGCCTGGTCTTCCCTGTGTGTTCTCAGATGCTTCGACTGGGAGGACGTACGTGTGATACACTCGTACACGCAGCTGCTTGGTCTCTGTCTGCTCATTTTCATCGATAACAATAACTCACCATAATCTTTCAATTGCACTGACATTAACGCACCTGCAAGGGGTAATAGCGTTCTCCACGCAGCTCTCGCGTCATGGATTGCAGGCGCGACGTGAGCTGTTGGTGCGCCGTCTGCGTACGCGTCAGCAGATTAATCTCGTGTTGACATGGCCATTCACCTTGTAATATATCCTATACGATCAGATATAGAGTGTAGATTAGTCAGTAGAGATATTCAGTCATAGGTCATAGGGTCATCGACGTAGACGATGGAATCAAGAGGAGAGACACACACCAAAGGTAGTTTGTTCATAACTTGTCAAGTTTCTAGAATTTAGCCTTCAAATGTGTTAATTTAGGGTAGTTTTTAGCACATTCAGACTATTAACCTATGAAATAGCTATAAAAGAATAACAAATGGAAAAAGTCAAACGTTCAATAGTGATTTTGCTACAGATTAGAAAACGGAAAATACGTTTTCATTGTAGCATTTGTAGACAAATTTGTCAAAGCATAAAATGTTTTACAATTTTTGTCTTACATGTCTAAATTAAAGACAACTTTCCATTAAACATGATGCTCAATTGTAACAGTGCAATTTCAAAATGTGTCTTGTTGACCGCTACTATCGAAAAAAAGACGCCTATCACTTACCTAAGTTTTACTTTGCACCAGTACTAACTAACTACGCAAGCATCTATTTAGCAGCTCAAAAAACATCTAAAAAGCTGTGATAACTCCCGTTGCATAATTACAGTCGGTGCACCTTGGCAAAATCCCACTCCATTACTGGCTCATTCTCACGCGCAGTCAGAATCTCATAGCCTGTATCTGTCACAAGGAACGTATGCTCAAATTGTGCGGAACGCATACCATCTTGCGTCACGGCCGTCCATTCATCGGGCCACGTCTTGTCACGCCATGAACCCATATTTATCATCGGTTCAATAGTAAAAATCATGCCAGGCTTCATGATACCAACAGCCTTATTCTTCGCGTAGTGAGGGACGTTTGGAGGACAGTGGAATAACGACCCAATTCCATGACCACAATATGTCTTGACGACCGAAAAGTCCTGTGCGTTAGCAACCGCAGCAATGTGTTTGCCCAGTTCACGAAACATTGTGCCCGGTCGAACTAATTTAGCTGCTACCGCCAAACTTTCAAATGCCGTCTTCACCAATCGCACGCCATCCTCGTCTACATTGCCTACCAAGAAGGTGTCGTTCAGATCTCCGTGATACCCGTTCTTGTACACAGTCACATCAAGATTAACAATGTCTCCGTCTTCAAAAGCACGAGAGTCTGGAATACCATGACAAATGACCTCGTTTACTGAAATGCAGACTGACTTGGGAAAATGATGATAGTTCAGTGGTGACGGATAGCAGCCACGCTCGATGCAGGCCAAGTGCACAATTTTGTCAATCTCGTCTCCCGTGACCCCAGGACGCAGCGCTTTACCTGCAATGTCAAGAACCTCCCGGCCAAGACGACAGGCCTCACGGATACCTGCGATTTGCTCAGATGTGTAGATAGGGATACTTTTGCTAGCTTGCTGCTCTGAGATAGGGATACCAGTCTCTGCGTAGTCAGGACGTTGAATATGCTCTGGTACTTCCCTCTTCTCCGACACTACACCGGGACGTAGCTTACCAGTAAACTCAAAACCATCAAAAGGCGTCATGTGCTTGGCCAGTGCCTGTTCTTCTACCAGCGCTTGCGTAAACATCCTGTGCAGCGCCTTGTGCGAAGACCAGTAGCCTTTAAAGCACTGCTGTGAGCAGAAAGAGCTCATGACTGGTGGAATGCCCAACTTTTTGCACGTCGGGCATACGAGCGAGCCGCTTTGTCCACATGTTGGAGTCACGCACGCTTCACCTCCCATTGATTTAACTGCCACTGATTGATTATCGCGAATGGAGAAGCCTGATAGGGAGATACTCAATAAAATAATGTGATGTACGTAATAAAATAGGAGATACTTTTTCGTAATTCTTAGGACTTTCCGTCAAAATCCTGGTCGGGTTGGGGTAACGCCCTCTCGGAAGGCTTGGGCTAGCTGATGCTAGCTCGGGCTTCGCGGCATCCGTCTGTTTAGACGAGTTTCCTCTCCCTTACACACCTCTTTCTTTTCACTCTCCCCCCAGCCGCCAGCCAAGCCGCCACGATGTACGCCGCCACGCCGGAAGCCCGAAGTCCCGGCATCTCCGCTTAGGCACGCTCACGTCATTCTTCGTTCACGAAGGACCCTCCCTGGGCCCTGTTGACAAGAGAGACGTCCAAGGGATCAAGTAAGAAACCACGCTGGACACGGCCGACGAATGGCCCCAGACCTGTACCTCCTTCGCCAATGTACACAGCGTCGTGCAGTCTGGACGGCCTTCAGCGCGGCGCTTCTAGCGCGCGCCGTTTAATGGACCCTGGCGATAGGAGAGAGAAATGTAGAGAAGGAGAGACAACCTGACGCATGCGGAAGTTGAGCCACTTTGGTGGCAAGACGGCTCGCGTAAAGCGTTCAGATACATACATTTTCGTCAAATGCAGCTATTGTAATATTATAAATTACTTTCATCATGAACACCCGTATTGGTCACATTAAATAGTCTCAGTCAAAAGAAGCTCATGCCTGGCAGTACAACGCCGTTAGTTCAAAACTTCTTACTTACTAACCTTCAGAACACATTTAGCATCAGTTACCGAAATTGATGCCATGCTTCCATCTGTGTCTTCATTATCGATAATGAAGACGCAGTGCTCTTGCTTTCTTATTGTCGTCGTCCGGTGACGTAAATCCAAGCAACAATGCTTAAGGTCTCGCTTCTTCTTGTATACAGTGTCGCACATGGCGTAACAGCAACAGAGGGAACGCTTCACTCCATAGGCACCGCAGCCCATCGCTCACACATCGAAACTGGCAGTGGATGCAAGTAGCCAGGCCAAACGCTTTAACCGTTGCGCTATCGGATACGAGTTGATGGCATATCGTATGCCTCGTCCCTAGTAAAACACCATGGTCGAGCGCCAAATAATTTCGCACTTTCAACGATTGGAATCAGCTTCCGCAACTTGGTAAGCAGGACCCGTGTGATTCCTGCACCTGCAGCATTCCGTCCCTCCGCAAGCGGGCAAGAATCATTCGTGAGCGGGTGCTCTGCAGCCGTTCTAGGGTACCTTGTCGTAGGCTGATAACCCACACCCTTGCTAACTGGCCGCATCATTACAACCGGGTTGTCGCGGTTGGCCCCATAAACGCTTTTGACATCAGGCGAACACGTCGTCCTATATCCGACGAAGAGTAGCGCAACAGTACCGTGACAAAGCGGATAGCTTTGCTGCCGACTAGGCTCAATGTCGGACGATCCTCTGCACAGCCGCGACTACGAGGCCTCTGTATTAAGCGTGCTAATTGTGTCTTCTGCGACGAACACATAACGGCACAAGAAGGGACAGAGGTGGCCTGCTGGACGGAGGCAATTCATAAACTCGAAGCCATCGTCATACGCAACCATCGCAAGTCAGACACTGTCACTCTGCGGCGACACATTATGTTCACCGCGTTTTAGATCTTCATTCACTCACCGACAGAGTCTACGGATTCCCAATGAGCGAAGAATGCCATGACGTGACGTTGCATCGATGGCAGCAGCGTTCTTCTTATCTAGGCTACAGACATATCAAGAAAACGTGTACATACAGTAAATCGACATTCTGATCCTCATTACGAGCTCGTCTGTGTCTATGAGGAGGAGAGATAGTTTGTTTGCTGAGAGTTGGATAGACTGTCACAAGTGAAGTCAGACGAGGTGTTTAGGTTGCCAATGTTAATCACTTAGACATTCTAAGAAGCTTTCAGACTGATAAAAAGGGGTCTAGATGGGGATTGTGATGGGTTGTAGGCAGCAGCACTAAAGAGCTAGGAACCTTTCATTTACAGCCGAATGAATGGTGATTTGCGGCCAATTCGAAGACGCCGATGAAAAGAACCACCTAATGTTTAGATAGATAAATGCAGAAAGTAAGAGTAATGATTAGCATCATCTAGACCAGGGAAGAAATGCATGTGTACGTTAGTGATGCATATTGAGCTGTAGAACATTCTAATTCCATTCATTCCTTCTCTATTGCCTAGGGGATCGATCTATTTACTCGAACAGCGGACCAGACTTATCTGTAGCCACAGTGTAGCCATGCGTTTGTCATCGCCAAAATTCCAGCTCATGTATGCACTGCAATTGCGGATGCGATGAGCATAGCAGAACAGGCAGATTTGTTTTCTTGCAGAATGGACTGGTGGAACGTCGCTTGACAGCGGGGGCAGTTATCTCGTTTGAAAATCACGAACATAGTTCTAAGCTGGTCCCTTCTTCATTTATAAACATTTTGTGCATACAGACAGTATTGTAGTAACAAAAGCTAAATGACAAGTCGAGTTTCTTGTCATCACAATATATTTCGTTTATAATGTCTTACTCGTTGCACTGCAATCGTAACAGGCAGCGTCGCTGTTAATTGTTGCGCATGATAAAGAGTGTGCATATGTGAACAGCACAACAAAGTTAGGCATTACTCTTGTTCTTCGATCTAGATAGTAGTAACACAAGCACAGAGAGCGTCTCCGCGACAGTTCATCATGATGACTGTGTTCGTTTTGCTGAAGAAATGACCTTTCATCGGCGTTCTTTCAGCTTGACTGTCATTATAACAATGATCTTCATTTAATCTCACATTGCAAAGTTATAGTCCTTCATATGACGCCACTAGCTGTGGCTTACAGTGATCAAACCATAAACATTCTATCAGCCGCTTGGGGCTATAGAGGTAAAGAAGCATTGCACTCTTCGTACGACCGTCAAGCAGAATGCAGACAACCTGTACATTAATTATGTGGCTGTAGTCTCAGCTCTTTATTTAGCTGTAAACACAAAAAAACAGTGTGTCGTTGTATGTCGTTTATTGTTTGCTATACCTATTGTTTTTTATTAATGTATAAAACGCAACCTTAGCTCAAGTATTCCATAGTTAGTACAAGGTATTTATATTTGTTGCTTGTGTGTTTTTTTTCGCTGGCTTTATTGGTTATATACCTTTTCATACCTAAACATTCTAAGCATTTATCAAATTAAAACTAAAATACTGTAAAACTTGATATTATCATAAAACTGGAAGAACCAAAACTTGGTGGTATGGACAACGTCGGAGGTGTTGGAAATGTCGCAAAAGTGTTATTATTACTACTTAATATGACGTTTATGGTTGCGGGTTGTCTTCTAATATATTTTAGTCATCGAGTCAAGACATCGGGTTGGTTGGATGTTTTTGAGAATGATTACGCATGGATTGGGACCTCGTCCTTCCTTTTTACATTAGTCTTAGGTGCAATTGTGGTCGCAATCTCTACTTTTGGTTGTTTTGGTGCTTTATTGCAGCAAAGAATGTTACTTTTAATCTATGTCATGGTGCTACTCATGACCGTCATTCTTTTTCTAGTAGTGACAATTGGTGCAAATATGGCCAATTCCATGGCTCAGAACTGGACTAATCTCACTTATCCAGCTACAAACCATGAAGCATCGTTGGGAACTAATTTTAATCAACTTTACTGCTATGCTCAAGTACCATATTACTGTCAGGATGCTACGGTAAACACGGTGCTAGCAATGTTTAACGTCTCGGCTTCGGGCTATTTTGCAGACACAACATCCAATTTTACAAACATTTGTACTACCGTGACGCTCCCAGCTATCGACAGTGCGTGCACTGTATGTGACTTGATTGCACAGTATCAGGAGTACAAGGTGGTACTAGACTGGATCGAGTCATCATGTCCTCGAACAAGTACAAATCAGGTCTGGTGTGGTGGTTTCCTGCTCAATGCGACAGCTGCTGATGAAATGTCGACCAGTTCGCCGTTTATGCAGTGTCGTAGCGTCTTTTACGAGCTTGTGGAGAAGTGGACTAACATTGTCATGGTGGCTAGCATTATCTGCATCATTGCAGCTGGCATTGTGCTTGCTATGACAGGTGTGCTGTGGTGCCACATGCGCGCCTCACGACAACAGAAGGGAATGATGCTGTCCTCACCGGCCGCAAACTATCACAATGGTGACCAGAGTGCCGGTCATACAGAGCGCAGCGAGGCAACGACCAACAGCAACAACTTTAGCATGTTTTCAAACGCACCTCGCAACTCGGACGCTGCGCATCATCGATATCATAGTCCGTATTAGGTAGGACCTCAGTGACACGCGTAATGATATCTAATGAGTTTTGTGTTAAAATGTTTCCGTTATTTTTTGCATCTATGATCTGGGCACAGTGAAACGCTACTTCCTGAACACTAGCAGCTTGTCATCAGTGTGTTGCTCGTCAAGCTCAAGGCACTTTTGAAAGAAAAAAGAGGCATGTTGCTTACGGTACTGCTCATCCAGGCTAGCCAATGGATCGCGCACGAAAAACTGACGCGCACGGCGCTGACGGCTCTTCTTGCGCGAGTCGTGCTTATTGTTCTCAGAGGCAATTTTCTTGTGTAGCGGGTTGCTAGGCGGCACAGGCACTTTTGGTTTGAACGCAAAGGTTGCGCCAGCATACGGATCGAATGCATCCATGAGCGCCCGGGCATGCTCGCTCGGCAGGATTGGAGCCATCTGGGCAGTGTCGAGGGCGTAACTGGACAACTTTGGGTGAGTATGATGCGCTAGTAACGCTAGCTCCCAGCATGCACTTGAAAACGGGTTGGCAAAGTCAGGATCGTCAATATCAGCGCGGTATTCACCTGAAGCCACACGATCCACATCCGATTCCAGAAGCTGCTGCAACTTTAAGTAGCGGTAAAAAAGCGCACGAAGCAGCGACAATGTGGCCAAAGCCTGATGCGGGGGCAGTTGCTGTGCCACGAGCAGCAATCGTTTCACAAAAGACGCCACGCGTTCGATTACAATCTCTTTCCGACGTAGGAACACTGCCTCCACACACTGCAGCAAAGTTGGGAAACACGTCGAGTGCAAGCCTGCCTCGCCAGCGGCAAACCGATGCAATAGGCGGTATAGAATATCAACAAACTCCTTTTCGTCGATCATGAGTTCCTGTCCACCGGGGCCTTGCAGTGCACGAAGCCCCGTTAGCACAGCCTGCAGTGCTGCTGGCAATGGTAGCAGATCCTCTTTGCGGAGAACAACCTTGAGTACCTTGAGCAAGTCAATCATGATATCAAGATTAATCAAGAATGAGTACTTTGCAAGTCCCTCCAACACAGCCGGTAGTGCCTGCGAGTAGGTAGCTTGTTTCAAAATGCGAAAGTAAATGAGAACCAGTTCGTGTAAGATATCAGCTTGCGTCTTTTCGCGCTCAGCACGGTCCACAACAGCTTCGGCTTCCTTGAGACCGGCAGCAATAGTATCGCCATCCGCCTGCTGACGACGACGCTTTTTGCGATCAGACTTGGCCTTTTTGCGAGCTACCTCGCCCTGCTCCATGGTCACCTCAAGTGGCATAGCCAGGAGTGTTTCAATAATGAAGGGTTGCACGCGGTGTTGCTTCTGCTTCACATAGCTCGAAATTTGTTGTACAATCTCATATGAGCAAGTACATGTTTTGTCATTCTTGAAGACGCTCTTGAAAGACGCGCACGCCTGCTCGCGGATATTCACAAACTGCGAGTCTGCCATTGGCACTAGCGCAATCACGAGGTTGAGGTGAAAGTTGAAAGCATACTTCTTTTCCAGCAGCTGTGCCAAACATCGGACACTAGTCTCGGCAAGCAATACACTACGCCGTTCGTGCACAGTCATTGTCGCCAGCTGTTCCGGGCGCTTGCCCTTAAGCCCCGTGGACACCAGATCAGCGCAATACTTGAGGAACTTTTGGTAGTTGTTAAGCAGTGCTGCCTCATATTCCTGCATTTGTTGCACTTTCTTCTTCATGGGGCGTCCATGGTTCTGTTTGCCCTTTTTTTCCACGCTAGCACTATTCGGAAGACGAATCCGGTAGTCTGGTAGAATATCCAAGAACACTGACAGCTGTGACATTAGACTAAGACGCTGCACTGTCAAGTCTGGGTCTCGGCACAACATTTGCAATTGTTGGATCTTGCTAAACTGCAGCGGATGTTCCTTATTCTTCTTGAAAGATTCATCTGGGTTCTCCAATATATTTTCACAAAGCTGCGCAATCTCCACCTTCTTCGACACCAGTCGAATCTCACGCTGGTGCTTTAGATCAACTCTCGACATCTCGGTCTCTGGTGTCTCCGCAGGTGCAGTAATCGAAGCATGCATAACTTCTTCAAATTCCATGTCTGACACGTTTGATTCTCCCTCTTCATCTTCTTCTCATCTTCTTCATCTTCCATTAGCCTCTACGTCCTTGGATACCTTCATTTCCTCAGCCAAAAGTTTATTAGTATGGACACTTCCATCCATAAATTTAACCGGTAGTTTATCCTTCATCATTTCTTCCTTATCTGTCGTCCATGCAGCTTTACGTGGATGCGCTTCCAACTTTTCTAGTGGTATATCCTCATCTTTCTTGTCTTTGATCTCTCCGTCCTGTAACTTGACAGATTTTAACGCCCTCTTCTTATCACTAGTAAATTCAATTGGTTTACTTAATGCTTTCGTGTCCATATTAGCTAAAAACTCTGTAAACTCGGCATTCTTCTCGTAAAATGCGACATCTTCCTCGTCAATCTCCACGTCTTCTTCTTCTTCCTGCTGCTGCTGCTGCTCACGTCTACGATCTGAATGCTGAGGCTTCTTTGCAGCCTTCTGCTTCGGTTTATTATTGCTCATTTGATTACTACTATGCCCCTGCTTCATAGAAATCTTGCGCTTCTTGCCTTTGCCGGTCATTGTCCGATGCAGTAGTTAATGAAGTGCTCGCCAATCAAACCTGGACAGAATATAAAGCCACTGGACGACAGTTTTTTGAGTTATGTTGAACGTGTTATTTTGTCGTATGAAAAGAAACAAGATGGGTATAGAATGTAGCCATTCGTTTTTTTGACTACCAGAATGGACACCAACCGTAATAGAGTTGGCAAAGGTTCTCGTGCGAAGTGGCTTGATGAATCAGCCGATCTACCTGTGCATCAACTGTCAGCACCTTGTTACCATCGTCAAAATCACGACCAGCTAGTTTTTTCTTGACGCGTTCAATAACACTCAACGCCTTCTCGTTCAACTGCGGATGTTCAGCCGCTACAAACGAAGTACCAAAGTTGTCGCGCTGCGCTTCGGACATGGAATTGCGTGCCATTGCTGGGTCTACTATGTCCATGTTGTAGCCCAGCATTGCAGCCTCGGACGAAGAATGTCGTCGTCTTTTAGGAGTCACGGGAGCTGATGACGTTGAGCTCTTCATGCTGCCTTCTGCCAACTTGTCCTCTTCCAAAATCCCTTCATTTGCAGTGTCACCTTCACCATCCTCACTGCCACGTAGATCGCTTTCTTCTTCATGGCTGGTACGCATCGAGTTTCTACCAATGTTGGCATCTGCACCGCCTCCGGTACCTTCTCCGCGCCCAGCGCCACCAGCACCATCATCTTCTTCTGGTTGGGCGTGAGACGGCACAGCATCCTTCTTAAGCAGGCGCCAGTTAATAAGGGGGTCATACACGAACGCCTCAAGCACAGCCATGAGCGAATCACGGTTATCACGAAGTACACGCATCGAAGCTTCGCAAGTGTAACGGAAGTTGCCTTCAATGCCACTGACTTCCATTGCCTGTGTAAGCATCCGCGTGAGCCGAAACGGAATCTTCTCTGGATATTTATCGCGCTCCATTGCTACTTCAAAGCAGTCACCGAAGTCAATGTGTACGAGTTTGCCAGACACACGGTCCAGCATGAGATTGCTCGGGTGACGGTCACCAAGGCCGAGAATATAACCAGCCATCGACATGACCGCAAGCGAACGCGTAAAGTTCCGGCGGCGGTCGAGCCATACCTCAGAGTCCTGGCTCTTGAGCCACAAGACTCGATACAAATCTTGACCAGTAGTCTCGCCCAGCGCGTATTTAAAAGCCTCAACCTTCTGCATGAGCGGCAACTTGTCGTAGTCTGGAGCCATTTGCACCATTAGACGGTGTTCGACGTTCAACTGGATCTTGCGCGCCTCGCGGTAGTCGCGGATAAGCTGATGCAAGGTATCGCAATTAGGCACCCATCCAATAAGACCGCTTGTGTGCGACAATGGAAGTACTGAATAACGCTGGATGCCCAAGTTGCGTTTGCTGGTGTCGCTGTCGTTTGCAAGTAACGTGTTGATTACACCAAAGAGCTGCATTACGCGCTCATCCTGACGCAAGTCTTCGTGACCCTTCAGCAAAAACGGGTAAGCTTTTCCGTCACTTCCATTGATAGACACTTTTCTCGGTCGCTGCTTCGACGTGAGCACGGTAACTTTTGTATCAAAAGACTGGATACGAACAATTGGGGCACCGGCCTTGTACGTTCCTGGTACTGCAAGTGTAAGATTACGCACTGACAGTAACTTTGGCCCGACATTGGCCAGTTCCAGTGTTGAAAGGTTGGCAAGCTGCTTGCGGATCTTAGAGAAAACGCTGTAATAGATGTCCCACGCCTGATTCAGATCGTCTAAGCTCTTTGTGCGCTCATATACATTCGTCCATTCCTTCGCGTAGTGAAGGTCTCGAGCAAACGCTTGGTAGAACGCGACCTCACGTAGTGTAGGTGCTTCCTCTTTGCCAATCTGATCCATAAGTTCATGAAGTGGTGCCAACTCAGCAATCATCGCAGTCACATCGCGGTTGTTGAAGAAATGTTTTGATGCTTCTTCCAGAGCGCCGTGCCACAACTCATTCCACAGGATGGCCACACGAATAAGTTCTCGCGACACCATATCAGCTTCATACACAAGCTGGGAGCTGTGTCGGCGTACAGCAGCAAGAATTCCTTCTGCCGCAAGCTTTCGAATGGGATTAAGCGCCTTAGAAGCCACCGTGATCGGGTAAATTAGAGCCTGAGGGTGGGCCTGTCCGATTCGGGAGAGCAGATCATGAAGTAGGTCGCTCGTTTTCGGGTTGGGCGTATCAATACGCGCAATAAGCTGCGGAATGACATTCAACCACGTATCAATCGATGCCTCATGAAACCCCTCGACCATCGCCATGTGGACATCGCTACGATTGCCTTGCGCAAACCAAAGCGTCAGCAGACGGAGAACGTCTTTCGTCACATCATAACTTGTATGACCAAACGAGATTGCCCGGAAAAAACCCTGGATGGCTCGGACAGCGTAACGCTTTGAATCTCCTTGACCAGATTCCTTCACGTTTGCCTCAAGTGCACGAAAGTTCATCAGTGCCCACTCATGCCACGCGCGGTCATTGGTCGGATCCAACTTTGTTGCTGTCTCGAGACACTCGAGGACATGGTCGAACGCTCCATCAGCTTGCTTGTGCGGCTCAGATAGCGACATTTGCCATTCGCCCAGCTGAATATACACTTGTACACGAAGTCTGCGCATTTCTTCGTTCGTTGGATCCCCGTGCTGCTCCAAAGCCTCAATGAAGTAACCCATCTGCTGCAACGCCACATCTTCTCGATTTTCTGCCCATAAATGGCGTAAATAGCTAAAAGCCACACGCGGGTCCTGCGCTGCGCTATCCGCTAAACTCAACAGTCCATTTGCAAAACCCTGGCTTGCTCCAGCATTGCCACCCAGGTTAATCGGGATTGGTGCGTAAGGGTCCCGTTCAACACTGCGAATAAAGGGTTGTGCGCCAACGCGCCATAGAGCGCTGGAAGCGAGGTTAATGTGTCCCGATTTCAGACACAAACGCGCATACTTCAGCCATATATCTATATCTTCTCTGGGATCAAATACTAGCGATCGCACAAGCATGAGACTTTGCCACACTTCAATGTTGCGCTCCACTCCTAGCATACGCCTGGTCCAAATCGTCTGCAGTTTCTTCAATGCTACTTGCTTCTCATGTCCGTACGACGTCGATGATGCCGACGACACGAAGTTGAAATTGCTGATGTTTTGTTTGCGGCGTGATGCAGTTGCGGACGTTGTAGTCGATGACACGGGATCTGACATAAGCGTAAGCTCACCGTTATTTTTACAGGCAAAGGTCTTCAAATAGGCGACAATCTCCTCCAACTCCGTCAACATCTGCAGATTTACGATGGCTGGAAGATATGCTCGAGCATAACTCTCGCTTACAAGGGAACGTAGTGTTGGATCCATTTCCTTACGGCAGTCGGCAATCGAGCTCATGGCCTCATCCAGCTCCATACGCCGAATTGACACAACTGCCTTGAATAGATGCGACTCCGTGGCGTCCATATCTGAGTTTATGTACTTCGGGATCGAGTCCCAGTTTTGCAACGAAAAGGCCACTCTTGCGCCACTGCTACATAACTCTTTCTTCAACGCCGGAGGTACGTCTAACAATGTCTCTCCATCTGTGTGCTTACCATTTAGATCTTGGCTCTCACCGTAAATTTTGGACCAGGTCTCCTGCACGTGGTCGTTCAGCTTTCGCCACTCACCGATTGCCCACAAACAACGCATTTTGCCAAAGATAGACTCCACATTGTTCGGGTTGTCTTGAAGAACGCGATCGTGTGTTGCTAATGCATCGTCCCAGCGCAAAAGCTTTTCGTGCCATGATGCCTTCACTTCAATACCTGGCAGCTTTTCCAGCGCATATTTCAAAATGCCACGTGCAGCCTCCGGTTGGTTTAGTTTTGAATTAATACTAATGAGCGCCTGAATTCCATCGGTACTTGGATTCGTATTAAACTCAAGCTCTTTGTAGTGAAGAGCCTTGGCAAAAGAATGGCATTTGTCGGCCAAAGACCCAAGCAATCGGATGTCAATCGGCAAGGGTTGATCGTCGTGCTCCATGAACTCGGCAAGATTAAGCAGAGTTTGTAAAATTTCAGACGGCAGATGAGGCGACTGAAAGGCTGACTCCAAAGATCGTATCAAATTGTCCTGCGTCGAAGACGACAAATGCGGCCATACACTCACAAATGACGCATTGAACAGCTCCCGGGCCAAAGGCTGATATACGGAGGCCAACTCTTTGCAAGCTCGTAAAACAGGTGACGGTGACTCTCGAAGCAATTCAACCGAGAAGCCCAGAATCCAATCGTTCCAATCTTCCTTCGTCGATCGTTGAGATGCCTCCCACGCCTTCATCAAGTTTTTTTGGTCGCATGGTAAGCTCTTCGTTTCATCTTGTGCAGACGGGTTTGAGTCTTTGTGGTCACCCGAGGTATCAACACGCAATTTAAGCGGATCTGTTGCCCACGAAACTACGGGCAACGGCTGGTACTTCAATATCTTTGACACCAGAAGATCATAGCGATCAAAGATGTCGTTTGAACGCAATGTATGGCGACCCAGAACCTGACTAATAACTGGGACGAAGATCGCATAGTCGTCACCCATCGTGTAGACCATGCAGCAAAGGCAATCCATGGCAAGATATACCATCTCTGGCTGAGACGAGATCACACGTGCCAGCATGTGAATAATTTTGGACGCATACACGCTCACGTTGAGCTTCTTCACAAGCGATCCAAGTGAACCTAGACCTTGCTTTCGTGCATTCACGTCCGCATCGCTCTCGATGAGCGCAACGAGTGCTGGGATGATCAAATGAAGATACCCGTCCAATAGGCGCCCAAGAGAAACAGCAGTTTTCAGTACCAACAATGTTCGCGGTCGCGCAGGGTTGTCACGCTCCGTACGAATTACGCGCAGCATCTGAGGAATCAGGTCAGGCAAGTAGACACGAAAATTCTCGCCAAGTGAATTTGCCAGCTTCTTGACCAAGTTGAGAACCTCTTCAAGATGTTCGTCCCAATAGCTGTTGACAATAGATAGCAATGCCACGTGGTCCAAGTGTGGCTGAATTTGCTCCTCAACAATTTGCACCAGATCGCAAAGCTGCTCGAAAAGAAATTTACGCAGGGAACGGTTCACTTTCTCCAAAGCGTAGAGGAAGGCTGGAATGATATTGCCCAAGTGTTGTCCCATACGTTTCCTCTGGCTTTTGCATATGTACATGATAGCCATAAATGTGCCCTGGTAGTGCACCGAGTTACGCGGCTCGAGCAAAATGCGAATTAATGCATTAGTCGCGACCGTAGGGAAGTACTGAGACGAATCGGGGATCATCGATGGCAGCAAGTCGTTAGGTGGTACTTCCAAAATAATGTTTGTCAGCTTACCACTGGTCTGCTTGTCACTTTTTGCCACCTTCCGAGCTGGTGCCAAAAAAAGCGATTCTCCGAGTTGAAAAGCATCTTCCTCGGTGCTGCCGTCTAGCAACCCAAGCCCGCCAATAACATTGCCAATACGAATCCCGACAGCAGCTCCAGTTGCCTGATGTGACACAGCGCCAAATCCATTTGTCGTCAGTGCCTGTAAAGGATTCGCTCCATTACCCATTAGGCTGAATACACCACCAGCACCAGCAGCAAACGCGCTAGAGCAAAACTCCTTCTTCTTGGCATTTATAAGTTTGCCTTGCTTCTTCAAATGAAACAAACGCAGATTATACGGATCCAGCGCTCCCAAAACGCCAATCGTACGTCCTGCTTCGACACGCAAGGATTCAAAAGCATCGCCTGATTTCTGCAACGCTTGGCAGAGTAGGTCTAGCAATTCCGGGTACTCGTGGTAAGGAAGTACTACATAACCGGTCGATGAAACTAGCTGTCCCAGAGTTTTGATAGCGACCTGCAAAATCTGCGGATTGCTCGAGTCTCGCATTTCGTCAATAACATCCGGTAAAAGCTGGCCAAGGTACGGCGGCAGTTCTTGAGCTCCAACTTCCGCTAAATCACCCAAGGTTGCCAAGATGGCTTTGCTCACACTGACCGTGCTTCGATTATGACTACGACGTTCCGAATCTTCACGCAAATTTTTCATCAAAACACGTAGAATGGGGAGAACGTACGGCTGGGCTAACTGTGATGCTGACCGCAGCAAACATCCAATTAACAGCGCACCCTCTTCCTTACCTCGGGAGTCTCCACTAAACTCTAATTCAGCCAAAAGCTGCACCAACGTTTGTCGGAGAGAGGGTAATACAGTAGACGGATTGTGATGTGTGAGTCTTCCGAGTGTACTCATTGCTGTTTGACGAATGCTAAAAACCTCATCATTTAGCGCAATGAAAAGACATCGCAAGTTATCGTTTAAAGCCAGCAGTGGATCAAAACGCGAATCCAACGACGCCAAAACACGCAGACGGATACTCGCCTCAGTATCAGCAATACCCACTGTCAATAAGCGCTCCAGCACCGATGTAACAGGACGAGCAAAATCTTCCGAAGTCATTGCTGTGCTCCCACCTTGGTCTTCGCCTGATGGCAAAAGAAGTTTACAACACGTGAGTGCTGCACTCTTACGGATGGCAGCAACTTCATGGTCAAGGAATTTGACCACAGTTTCGTGGACAAATGACATGATTGGGATAAGTCGGTTGCCCTGAAAGTCAAAGTTTGCCAATGTTTCTAATGCAAGTGCCTGCATTGCAATCGCCGATGACGCCTCGGTTGATGGTGTGCCATTTTCGGATGTACCATTGGTCTTTGATCCCGTAGCAGAAAGGAACAAGTTCGATAGCATACCACCTGTTACAGAGATAGATGTTGTTTTGAGCCTTCTACTGGTGGGAGTCGTAGCAGATCCAGTGGTATCATTTTGCCTAGAGCGCAAAATTGTGCTTAACCTCTCAAACAGCTTCTGTTGTATGACGGGTTTCATGGGCGGGATTTTCTTGACGATATTTGTCAGTGTCTCAACCAGCGACGAGTCCAAGTCGTTTTGGAAAAGTGGTCCCACCATCGACTCCAAGTCGACCCTAATAAGTGCAGGTCCTACAGTCTCCGCCAGCATCCGCAGACATGCAAGCGCCTCACGATGTGTATCAAAATCTTTTTTGCGCACTTGTAATCCGCTCTTTATTCCATTCATAATCGCCATGAGTGCCTGTTCATCTCTTGCTAGCAATGGTCCAATCGCAAGAGAAAGTTTTCCAATCGAAAGCAGTGCATCCGGGCGCGTTGTTGTTGTTGCGGAGAAAAGCACCTCAAGCAAATGATTGATACACGGTCGATAGCATTTTTCAACAAACACGGATGTATTAAACTTTGCAAGACGCGGGAAAAGACCAATCACAGCAGAGCGTACGATAGCGCTTTTATGATCCTGATGGCTAAATACCAAACGGCATGCACGAGCGTAGTGCGAATGCATAAAGTCACCTGTATTCCGTAATAATTCATTTAGAATCAACAACGCACCATGTGTCGCGTCGGAACTATTTCGTTTAAATGCTTGTTCTGCTTCATCTAGAGCACGATTGTACCATGATGTTTTTCGATTGGATTCACGTTGTTGAATCAACATCAAACAGGATTGTAATGATTCACTTGCACTAACACGTACGACCAGCTTTGAATCCCAGAATGCGCTCCAAATAAAATCAAAATATTTATCCATATATCGAAATGACGTGGAGGGTGCATTAATGGATAATTCCTTTAAGATCATCACACCTGCATGTCGACGAACGTGAAACGTTTCATTTTTTAACCATTCCAGTGCTGGTTTTACATAATAATCTTCCACAAATTCAATTAAGCTAGTTCCACCTGTTGAGACAATATGACCCAGTGCTTTGGCTGCAACACGTAACATGGGTGGATCAGCACTGGGTATTTTTTCAAATACTTTTGTAAGGGAGTGAGCAAATTCAATAATTGTCTGATCATTCCTTTCAACAATAAACAATTCAACTAATTCATCCATTGCAGCAATTCCACCCATACGATCCAGTGTTTCATTTGAATTACATAATAACATTAATTTTGCACTAATATCAGTGATCCATTTGATATACAGACCATGGGATAAATCACGTGATTCAGATTCAACATAATGACGGAGATTCTGAGCAGCACGATGTCGTGTACTACTATTACTACTACGTAATCCTGTCAGAAAACGACTGAGACTTTCAGTCATGAGCTTAATGTCTGTCTTTCTTGTCTTCTTAATAAATAACCCAAAAAAGGGAGGAGGGCTTCCATACAAACATCAAGTCATGAGAAAATCCAAACTTTGTCTCTTTGTTTTTTTGTAATACGTTGATGAAATAGCCCCAAATATTACGTCTATAGAGCACTTTTTACAATTATAAAGCTTTTGTACGTGGTACTAATTGACACTTGAGCTCCCGTTCATGAGCTGCTTGCTTCATATTGCAAATGGCACTAAAATGACCAGATTTCTTGCAATAACGACATGGTTCTGGACAATCCTTCGAGTGATGATCATCTGCTTTCTTGCAATTGTAACATCGACGATGACGTTTACTTTGCTGTGTAACTGGTGGTTCTACACCCGATTGAATCGCTTTCGACCGTGCGTCCCATGCTTGCAATTTATTCTCAACCCGTCGCTTCTTGCCCTGTTCCTTCTGACTGTACATTTGACGACGACGTTCCTTCTCGTCAGCATCCATAGGCAGCTTTTTCTTCTCTGGATCTGCTTCACTTTCAAATTGTTTCGTAATGCGAGTAAACTGGAGCTTGAAAAAGAAGAGCAAGTCCGGCAACTGTGTGGTTGCTGAGCCCTCGGGTAACGTGATTGCTGCCTTCTTTGCAGCAGCAGTATATTCTTCCAGCATCAAATGAATAGCTACAAATGCAAAAGAATACACATAGTCACACAGTCATAGTCAATATAATAAATGCTATTATACTAAAAACAATATGCAATATCTCTCACCTTCAATCGTAGAGACACAACCAGCTCCAGCTTTATGGTACCGCCAAAAATTACTATCCCTAGGTGGTTGAGCAAGTTTTACATGTCGCAATTTGTTGATTGCATTGTCTGTCATGATTGCTGGAGCTTTTTGCCATGGACAATCAATAAAAATGAGCGTGCGAATATCTCGCAGCTCTTCAATCGTAATCTCATCCAGTGTCTTGGCTTCAAAAGATGGATACACTACTACTGCATTCTTGTACGTGTATGATATTGAATTGTCTCGATCTTGTGATACTGGTGGATAAGGAATAATCTCGACGTCCTGTGGAGCCAATATCTTGGCATGTGGTGCCGTACTTTTCTTAATTTTGTCCTGGAACCACACATGAATATGTAGAGGCAGCGTCAATAATGGCACTGTCACATTTGATGGTACACCAAGTGGGATATTGCATTTGGGACAATAGAACTTATAGCTACGCTCACAGGACGTGCAGGGAATACGCTGCCACGCTGCAAGCTCGTCACTCATTATTATATGTAGTTGCTCAAATCGGGTGGAGCATCGAGACGTATAAATTGATAAAATACGTCAAGTTAATATTGTTTTTGAAAAAACCCACCGCCTCATATCGTACTAAACGCAATCGAACGTGTTTTTTTGTTGGGTTGTTTGTTTGTATGGAGTAGAAAACGCCTTCCTCTTCAATGAAACAAACGTTTTTTTATATATTGGACGGTCAGTAGAATTCAAGTTCCCTCTCTTCCTTCGGTATGTGGTCTAGAATGATCCTTCGCTTTCCAATACAGGCCAAGTTCCTATCACAGAGTGTTCTTATAACAGCAGGACTTGCAGCTTTTACATCTTACGCAAGCTCTTCATTTGTGCAATGCGAAGAGACACTACAGTCCAAAGTAGCATTAGATCCAAAGGAATTTCGATCATTTCCAGTACGTAAAGTTGAGCGTATTAATCACAATACGAAACGCGTGACATTTGATCTACCGACAGCAGAACATGAGATGGGTCTCATCACACCTAGTTGTCTAATGGCACGTGCTAAGGTTAATGGAAAAACAGTCGTGCGTCCTTATACGCCTACGAATGTGAATGAGGAGAAGGGTTTTCTAGAACTCGTGGTGAAAGGTTATCCAGATGGAACGATGAGTAAACATATTGTACAACTGAAAGAGGGTGATTCACTCGAAATGAAAGGACCTTTTCGCAAGTTTAACTATTATCCAAACAGGTACAAGAGCATCGGGATGATTGCTGGCGGCACTGGTATCACTCCGATGCTGCAGCTCATTAAGACCATTTGTCGCAATCCAGAAGATCGTACGGAGATTACGTTGCTGTACTGTAGTGTGTCGGAGAATGATATTATCCTGCGCGAGGAAGTTGAGGCTATGATGTACCTTTACCCGCAAATATCGGTAATCCACGTGCTGAGCAATCCGTCTGCTGAATGGCAGGGTCTAAAGGGTTTTGTCTCCAAGGAGATGCTTGAGAAGTACATGCCTGAACCATCGGATGATAACCTCGTGTGTGTCTGCGGCCCACCGCCAATGATGTACCACGTCTCGGGCGACAAGGCGAAGGACAGGTCCCAAGGCGAACTGCAGGGTTTGCTCAAACAGCTGAACTACACGTCGACACAAGTGTTTAAATTTTAGGCTTTAGTCAGACAATGCAAGTCTCGCTCTCGTTAGGCCTAGCGTGGTTGCAGCAAAGATTAAGCCTAGGGGAGCTCATGCTTTTCTAATATTTCACGGATTACCAGCATTTTGTTTGCCACCAACATGTTCTATTGAGTGCTGTTAAAGAAGGTGTGTAGTTTCTTCCCGTTGACTTTGCCCAATAGCTCCGTAAGTTCTTCTAGCGACTGACTGCTGAGGTCAGCAAGATTCTTCACTCTCGACAACACCGTACGGTAATTGTGTTCGTTAATGCCAGGCAGCTTCCTTAGCACATCGATTGAGCTAGTGTTGTAGTAATTCGATGCCAATCCTCCCTCACCACTACTACTTTGAACAGCATCGTCTACTAGTAAGCCGTTGCCGAGTGCAGCCGCAGCATTCATGTCTGGCTCATCTTGATACTTCTTGACGATCTTGAAAAGGTCCACTGTGGCATGTGGCGAGCGAGACCAAAGGATTCGTAGTGACGGAAAGTGGAGAATCAGAAGGGTAAGCTTGGAGACGATATTAGTGGCATTTATCTCGGAGCTAAGCTCTGACACATCCTGCAGCGAGAATGCCTTGCCTTGAGTGAACTCAATCAATAGTACGGGTGTTTTGTAAAAGCGCCGCATACTTTCCGCCTGATTAAACAATCGCCCAGAATTCAAAGACCCAAAGAGATCGCTTATGCTTTTACGTTCCACACAAATCTCGGGCGACAAAACGTAGTCGCCAACTTCTAGTGTCACGGGAAGTACAAATAATCCTTCCTTGTGGAGCATGGACGGCAATGCACTGCGAAACTCGCGCACGTCAACCACAACTTTTATGCTCACACGATGAGACTTGGCACGACCACCTGTTCGTGTATCCATGCTGTATTCCATAGTCTGTTGCCGTAGCTTCATATGAAGCGGAAGATCATATACATTTGCTGGCATCATCAGGTGTGCTTTCTGGTGGATGAGCTTGTCAAAAGCACGTTTTTCGCGCTGAATCTCACTCAAATAAGACTGCTGTTCCGTGCTTTCGTGGTACATCATGAAATAAATCTCGAGATGAGCAACATGTGAGGCGTGAAAAACTTCAACTTCACGGATAAAAGCCACGTCTGGATCGTACAGCACGATGCAAGTAGGCATTAGGTCCTCGAGAAAAGCAGAAGCGCCGTAGCCATGTTGTGTTGCCTGATCATATGTACACAGGACGATGCTGTCAAGGGGATCCATCAGTTCGAGTGACAAATTTGGTGTGCCTACAGATTGACCTCGGCGATGCGATTCTCCTCGGTCAGCACAACGACGGCCATCAAAAAACGGCTTCCACTTGTTATCACGCTTAGAATTCTCAGGATCTGCGGCAATGGTTTCTAGCTCGGCCTCTGATAAACCGAAGCTCGATACATCAGTGCTATAAACCTGAACGTCTTGGTAGCTAGATGCTGATGATTCTTCTCGCACACGCTTTTTTGATTGAATAGGCGTCTGTTTGCTGTTTCTTGCCCCTGGTGGAAGCACGGCATCATCATCAATGTAGAGCTTATCTGTTCGTAGCTTCAAAGCAGCCTCCACAAGAAGCCGTTGCTCGATTCCCAGAGATGTCATGCTACCTCCCTTTTGCTTCAACGTGGCTTCCTTTTGTAGCAAGTAATGCGCAAAACGCCGCCGCATCATTTCCTGGGCACCCAAACATAAGAATTCACGTAGCTGGGCACATGTTCGCTCGTCCTTGACCATCACCAACACACTTGCCCCACCAGCTGCCAGTTTTTCCTGGTTCTTTTTCTTCTTTTGGTCACATTGTTGCTCGTGCACTTCGTCCACAATCTCTTTCAATGCATCCCATTTAGGATTTTGCTCAAGCACAAGCTTGAGCTCAGCTATATTGGCAGTTTGTAAAGCCGCTCCATTCGAAGCACCTAACTGACGAAGATTTACGGGCTTCTTAGTTGTCGGGTCAACAATTTGATATAGTCGTTCTTTTGCTGCAGAAAGAAGGCGGTCGGCCGCATCTGTGAATAGCCACGATGACGGAAAGCGTTGCTGGCCATTCATGGTTTGAAAGTTCATGAGGAACGAATAATATGAAATGGCGTCATAATGTGGAAGATACGACAGCAATTGACGCAGCGTCGAGAGATCTCCAACAAGTTGTTTGGTCTTTACTGGTAATTTGTGCCACAGCGGATCCAATTGCCGTCGAATATAAGTGCTGAACGACTTGGCAAGAGCCTTGTCCATAGTAAGGTCAGCAGTATCCAAAGCATTAGTACTACGCTGCAATTCTTTCACCGTGGCTTCCAGTGCAACAAGCAGCGCTTCCTGTATAATTTGCATGGAAGATGAAAAGGCCACTTCAATCTCGTACACTTGTGGCTGATGTTTCTCCAGACACGAATTGACTGCAACATGAAACCTCGGATATAAAAACACATTTCGCACATACAAGTGCTTTAAAACTTGTTCCATACGATTAAAACCCGACGAAAGCGCGACGCTATCGTCACAAAACCCTTTAATAAATCCATCCCGATTGCGTTCACGATACAATCGTAAGATAAAAGCTTCAATGGAGGTTTCAACCACGTGATGTGCATCGTTCACTAATAATCCACTGATGGTGCCTGGATCCACGTGGTTGGATAATAAATCGACAACAAGGATCCGCGCAGTCACAAAGAAAACACCGCCACGCTTGTACATCTGTTGCCTCTCATTCAAATTGTTTCGGGCGTCCACTACCCGTGGCAATAGACGACGATCAAGGCCCATTGTCAGGACTAAACGCCGTAGCGTTGCTGCCTGTTCGTTGGCATTTAAACACAACACAAGACTACGAGGGGAGCAGTAGAGACGGATAAAGCTTGCTATTACCCGCAATAAACCCAAACCACGACCCATAACTAATACACCATCCTGTGCACATAATTCTTCTACTATTTCCTTTTCATACGGTAGCCAACGTGTCACTAATGACGAGATGATTGCATCAGAAGCCGCATGATCGACTGAAAGATCGATCACTTCCACTTGTCCTGCCATATCTGATTCGTATGAAAAATCGCTTCAATTTGAAAAACGATTTTTCAAATTTTGACAAATGATTTGTGAAAAGACGAACAAGTTTGGCCGGTGTGACAAGTTCTTTTGAGGTTGTCTCGTTGACAGCGGTCAATAGCGAGTTCTATAGGTAGTTACGGATATAGATTGATTGTTTGTTGCATGCGTATGTGAAATAGCGTGTGGAAAAGAATGGGTAAGGAATAGATCGACGTCAATTGTTTGAATAATAAATATAGCTACGACACACACAAAAAGAAAAACGCATTTGTTGCATACACGTAACAGCAGCAACAAAACAACTTTCAACAACTTTCTCTTCTCAAATACGTCGTCTAAAGGACGACATCAACTGTATGAACAGGTGACAAAAGATAATGGAAATGGTCCACAAACAACCATGAACAAGTTGTACTCGATGGCCAGATGGCTTTTCTTATCCCTGCAAAATGGACTAGTTTTACCTTTCATAATCTGTACTTTGTAGACGATTAATTGCTACATTCTGAAAATAGCTTGACTTTTGTATGACCTTTTCCTTTCATCTTAGATGATGTACAATTTAACCAGTCGTCGATGTATTTCATTGAGCTGATTTTGGGTTTTGGAGCGCTGGCGACTTATTTCTAAACCAGCAGTCGACGATTTTCTCTGTGCTCCATACCATACCGTTTGTTGTTCCGTCACGAGTGGTTACTATTGTTGTGTTGTCTGGACGTCTCGTAGTCGATCAGGTTAATCACTAGTGAAAAAAAGAGATTAAAGAGACCATTTTTATACGTGTGTAAACGACAGTGAAATCATTACGACGGCACTAGATTTCTCCCAAGCTTTGAGCAACGCGAGCGACGTACCGTTCATGGAATCCATTGCATCTGAAACCGAGACATCAGCGACAGAGTCTCGTCGTTATAAAAACAGCAAGTGGAAGCGATTTGTATGCAATTATCGCGTAGTGGAATTTGCCATTTCTGTTCTGATGTATGGCTTTGCGCTCTTCTTTGCTACAATTCAAGTCGCACAACGTACGGATCACGTCAAGTGTCTTTGTTTTGTTTACTCCTTCTTTTTTCTTCTTGTTGTTTGTTCTTCTACTTCTTGTTCTCTAATTATCATGGGTTAATAACCTATGATGCTGTCTGATTGATTTCATAGGTGAGATTCCAAACATTGAGGTACAGCTGAACTCGACAACATCCTTGTGGGCGCGAGATCCGACGATTAATAACAAAGAGATGGCGCAGCAAGTGTCGATGGTTTCATTAATTGGAGTGGGAGCTGGTGCACCGATTATCATCAATCTGTTTATCAACTATGCATTGCCCAAGTTTCATAGCGTACGCGTTATTCCGCATGATACGCGTGATTTTTTCTTGACGATAGTGCAGTCTACGAGCATGGCTACGCTGCTGACACAATTTACCAAGAACTTGACAGGACGCTTTCGTCCCTGCTTTTACGATATGTGTCAGTGGAACTACGATGTCGTATGGGACGGCGTGACTAACCTTTGCCAGAGCGCATCGGGTGAGAAGGAAGGGCGCAAAAGCTTTCCATCCGGGCACGCATCTTTTGCATTTGCCACAATGCTTGTTCTCACGGTAGGTTATTTGATTGCGTTGCAGTCTTCTGGTCGTGCTGTTTTGATCAATTGCATGTGTTGTGATCGTTGTAGCTTTACTTGCTCGGCCGATCATCTTTGAATTGCGAAAATCGAAGCGAAACGATGCTGCGTGGTGGACGAAAGACGCTGAAGCTGTTTCTCTGCTTCATTCCAACGTTTGTGGCATCGTGGGTGGCCGTGACGCGTACAATTGACAATTGGCATCACTATGCTGACATTCTAGCAGGCAGCATAATTGGAGCTGTTTCTGCTTGTTTATCGTACAGCTATAACTACTCGTCGATATATCACAGCCAGCATGCTGGTGTCCCTTTACAAGGTTACCATGCAAGCTCTAAGGTATGTCTATCTCTTGTATAAGTTGTGGTCTTATGGTAACGAATATCTGAATGAATGCATTATGATATTCAGCGAAATTCTACGACCAGTAGCAGCGGCATCACATACGCAAGCAGCGATGCTTTTGGTCAGGAAGGTGTGTCACGGAAGCCCACAAATGATCACAGTGACTATATTGTGAATGTTCATCACGGCGCTACTCGTAGTGGCAATTAAATGCATTTTATTATTGCATGTTTAAGCCAGCTTTACATTTTATATGATACATTTTATCCCAAACAGTGCTGATACAATCATTCATTAAACTGTTTAAACGATGCAATCCATTAGCTACTACTGATTGGTTAAAAAAGAAGACACTCGCACATTTATGATCGAAAGCTCAGCAGTTTTTCAGTCATCAGGTGAGAAACATGGCAAACGCAGCAGCATCATAGGTTCATGCTGCAGATCTTATGCATTGAAATCCTCCTTTGCTCTAATCTTGTTGACTCTGGCCTCTATTTTCGCCTTGATTCCTGTTCAGCAGCGTCCAATACCAAACATTCAAGCCCAAATGAATTCGACACTGATTATCTGGTCCCGAGATCCGTCACTGAATGCCAAGATGCATTTAGAACAAGTCATTACCGAGACATTAGTCTTTGCGGCGTTTTTGTCCCAGTGATGATCAATTGGATCATAAATTACGTGCTTCCAAAAGTATGGACAATTCGCGCAATTCCTCATGATACGCGCAGCTTTCTACTGACATTGACGCAGTCTATTAGCATGAGTGAACTACTGACCGAGTTTACAAAACATTCCACTGGTCGCTTCCGTCCTTGTTTCCATGATATGTGCAAATGGCAATACGACGTAGTGTGGGATGGAGTTGCAAACCTGTGCACTGATTCTGCAGGAGAAAAAGAGGCTCGAAAAAGTTTTTCGTCCGGCCATGCTTCGTTCGCATGGTCTACGATGCTTGTATTGACTGTAAGTACATGAAGCTGTTTGTTCACATGGCACGTGATAGTAAGTCGTGTTGTGCTTACTACGATAACAGCTCTATTTACTTGGTCGATCGCGTCTCAATTGCAGTAATCGCAGTATATCCGCGATGATAGGTGGTCAAAAAATGCTGAAACTAATGCTTCGCTTTGTGCTTGCGTTTGTAGCAGCGTGGGTGGCTATTACACGCTGCATCGACAGTTGGCATCACTACTCGGACATTTTAGCTGGCAGTATCATTGGCTCTGTGTCTGCTTGCATTGCGTACAGTTACAACTATGGTTCTGTGTTCAGCTGGAACTCAGCCGGAGTTCCTCGTTGAGTATGCTATGTATGAAAAAGACTACAACAGCCTACACGATACGAAAAGCTTGTCACTTTATTTTGTATATTCCATCTTTGCCTGTTGTTACAGTAACAAGTCTTGTACGTATCTACCGCCCAGCAGACTGAGGACGTGTAAAGCGGTGCATGCAGCAATCCAAACCAAAAGGACCGTAATTTGCAAAGCAAAAGTACAGCAAACGAGCCTTAACGTTCCGACTCTCTGCTGCGACAACTCATGTCAAGAATGTAATCGCTCGACATTTGCTTGGGCGGCTGCGCCCGCGTGTCAAAATTGGGGTGCCACAATAGCGACTGGTTAAGATTTTCACTCTTGGCTTTCTTTCCCTCCTGCAGGATAAGCGTAAGCATGTTAGTACATCTACCACTACTACTACTACTGCTCGCTCTGTTCCCTTCTTACCACGCGACGCTTGTGAATCTCCTCAAGAGGCAGCCCAGCGGAATCCCAGCCAAAAATCGATCCATAATTGTAGCTGAACGCAAAGAGGGCTGATACGGCACCGATGACGCTGCCTGCCAGAATGTCACTGTAGTGGTGCCAGTTGTCGATACAGCGGGAAATGGCAATCCAGGAAGCAAGTAGAACCGGCGCACAGCACATGAACATCATCAGAGACTTCTTGACCCCTCGAAACGTAGACTCACTGCGATCCTCGGAGTTGAGACGCGACCGACCCAACAAGTAGAGCTGTATTCAAAAACAAAAACGATTAACGTTAGCATCTACACTATACTTTTTAGCTCGTTGTTGTAAGAGAGAGCATAACGAACCGTCAGAACGAGCAGACTTGCCCACGCAAAAGAAGCATGTCCGGATGGAAAACTCTTGCGACCTTCTTTTTCACCATCAGGATCCATACACAAGTTAGTGACTCCATCCCAAACCACGTCGTAATTCCACTTGCACATATCGTAGAAACTCGGGCGAAAACGACCCGTAATGTTTTTCGTAAATTGGGTCAGAAATGTAGCTAATGCCGTGGACTGAAACAAACTGAGCAGAAAGTCTCGTGTATCATGGAAAATAACTCGAACCTGACACACTAATGGGAGCACATAATTCATCATAATGTTTGTCGCAATTGGCAAACCAATACCCAATGCTAGCAAAAGCCACATTGGCACTAAACACAATAGTAAAACGCAGCAGTCATTATTAGTTTCAACCTTCTATCGCTAAAGATGATGCAAATCTCACCTTCTTCCGACAATTTCTTCTCGTCAATGGAGGGATCAAGTGACCACGTTACATTTGTTGCATTCAAACGTACTTTAATACCACGAATTGGACGTTCATGTACTTCAATTGAAGCAAATATAAACGCCACGAGGTATACAACACCAGTACTACAAAATTCCAAAATCCGATAATGTTGAAGAAATCGTGTCAATGTGTTTTGTGGTGGTCGATTGCCACCCCCTACTTCAGCAATGTCAATAACATCGGTCATTTCAGTTGAATGATCATACGGATCTCGATTTAATTGCAACGAGGTATTCATTCGCACTACACACTTGGATACTGAGACTTGGAAACGAATGTGGCTTCGTTTGATTTTTAGTTGATACCGTCTATACTCAGTCGTTCAAAACTTCCACCGGGATTGGGTCAAGTCAGAAAATGAGGAGAATCACAGGTTATTGTTCGTCGTGTTGTTGGTATTAATGTTTTTGTCACTGTCCCCCACTCAAAAAAACAAATCTTAGTCTGATTTCCACATCATTTCCGACATTCCATGTGGACTGGATGTTTTTCACTCTCGTCTGTTGCGTTTTCGTGTTTTTTACACGATATAAAATTTGGGTTTTCTACCTGTAGCAGATGTTTACTGACAGCTGAATGACCTGTAAAAGCGAAATATTACAATTGAATCAAGTATTGGTGTTTTTTAGAAAATCACGTAATCTATCGATCCTATTTTAAGAAGAATCCTAGAACAAGGAACACACAAGTATACAGCTTTGTTATTGGCTCAAAAGTCACAAGTATACGGTGCACAATCTGATTACAACAATATCTGACTTGAAAGAAGAAGAAAAAGGATCCGAGGAGCTCCATATCACACAACGATGCGTTATTCTATCTCTTGTAGGTGCGTGTAGTAATGATTCTATGATACAATAGACTTACTAGCGCACTATTAACTCCATATCTTTCACGAATGATTTACTCATTATTGTAGTCCTTATTCCATTTCCACGTCTACACACAGCGTCAGGTGCGTGCTAGACGAATATTGTTGTGTCTCTTGTCAATATGTTAATATGAATTGTATAGTAATCACAGCAGCAACAGTAGCAGCCACGAATACATCTTTGAGGCATTTCCACAGCAATTCACAGCCCAAGAATTGAATGATCTTGAGTCAGAGATGAAGGATTCGCATGAGGACAAGTATCAGGTTTCACAAGGCTCCAGTGTAGTTGCTGTAACCATTGTTCCATCAACTTCAGCACTCTGTCGCTTTTTTGTATTAGGTAAATGCCGTTATGGTAGTCGTTGTACCTTTTCACATACACTTCCAGCCCATGTGAGCGAGTGTACTGCTGATGAAACGGTGAACCTTTCAGCAGCAGCGGCACTTGTTGACTGCCCCTTTTTCCTACGTGGTAATTGCAAATTTGGTGATCATTGCCGCCTACGACATAATTCAATGCTATTGTCGGAGGCATCCGTTGCAACTGCAGCTACGACTCTCTCAGTACCAAGAACGACACGGAGTGCGACGTGTATTGACAATCAACGGGATTTGTCATGTGGTATTTGCTTTGACGATATTGTTCAGTCTGGCAAATACTTTGGACTCTTGAGTAAGTTTTTGACGTGATAACTCTTTATTGATGCAAAGGGTATGTTTCTACATGTAGTGATAACCTTTGGACGATTACGCTACAGGCTGTGATCACTGTTTTTGTCTCGATTGCTTGCGTTCGTGGCGGCAGTCAAAGGATATGGACCTTGTTCGAGCATGTCCAGCTTGCCGCCTTCCCAGTGACTATATCGTACCATCTCTTTTATTCTGCATTGGTGACGAGAAACGCAAGGTTGTTGAGGCGTACAAGAGTCATTTAGCTCTACGTGAGTGCAAATACTTCAATGGTCTCTTTGGTAGCTGTCCATTTGGTCCCCGTTGCTTCTACGCGCATCGTGACGGTATAGGTCGTGATGTGAAGCATTTGGATCGTCCTAAACGAGTGACGAAGCCACGGCGAGGTCGAAATGGACTACCCGATGGTGATTCGACGCTGCAGTCATTGCTCCAGCAATACAATCATCTATTTCGCTTTTTTGAAGCTGAGGACTGGGACGACTTTGATTTGGTCGGTGACACGAACGACTCGGATGATTCGGATGAGGATTACATTGAGAACTGGGTACGAAGTTACGATTATGACACAGAATAGCTTGCAAATGATCAGCATTGGAATGTCGTGGAAGAATGCGTGATACGGTATATGGTAGGGCAGCAGCAATTTGCAAAGAGGAACAACAAACGAAAGACAACAATGCGTTGCAAGGTGTTATCTGTTTTGCTATATGTAACATGATTTCAATCAATTTGGAGCCTCGCTGTCATTTCCTGTTTCAACCATCATTTGCTGTAGCTGAACAAATTGGTGTCTTACAACACAAGAAGCACTGCTTGGCATTTCAAGAACAATGTCTTTGGTGCTCACTTGGTGCACGTGACGACATTAGACGCAATTACAAAGTCAAAGCATAGAGTTGATAGCGCTCTTCATTACATGAAAAAGCGACAGTCTCTGTATTTCTAAACTGTTTATGTCGAAAAATGCCATCTATAGAGCGCAGTTTCTACTGACACGCTTCATGTAGCAGCAGGATGTTTTCCATACCCTTTGGTCGCATTTGCCTGTCGTTGAAAAGGTGCTGTAATTGACACGCATCGAAAAAATTGGCAACATTTGTGTTTTTATTGACCAGCGCCATTCTCATATCCGACAATCCTTTTTCAGCTAAGCATCGCAAGACTTTCGCTTGAGACCATACCAGTTACAATATCTTACACGTGAATGACGCTACAGCGTGCACCACACGCAAGGGTGGGTGTGATTAAAAGCTGGAGGCCGCTTGATCAGTTTGTCATCACTTTCGTCATAAATGGACACTCGTTGAAGATGACATTACTTAGGATAATAAACGCTGATTTTCACGGAGCCCAGCAAGAATTTTAGACGCCCTCTTGTGCCAGTGCCACTTGTTCACTTGATTTCTTCAGTACGAGAAGAGCTTCGTCCAGGCAGTGTATACAGAGTACAATGGAGTTTAAGCGTTGGTTGTTACCATCGTTTGGCGCAAAGCACAATCTGCATGCTGGCAGCTCCAGATTTGCCGGAAGATTGGCAGCCAAAAACTCTCGCCATAATGTTGGGTTACGTTCTCGAACTGCGGCACGGCTATCAAGATGGTACTCCTCCATGTACTTAGTGAGTTTGTTTCGCGCAACAACTGCCCCTTCGTGGCTGGACTGGTGTCGACTATTTGCAGCTGTAGTGACGTCTCGACATTCAGCAATACTGGCCATGGTTGGCTTATTGACAGTCAAATCAGACAAATCGATCACATTGTTCGGAGTGTTCACCAAACTATCAGTATTGCTGCTGATAATAGTTCCAGCCTGTCTTGCTAAAGTCGTCATGTCCTCACCATTGTCTTCCGATAATTCCAAACTATCTACTTCAATTACCTCTTTCGCCTGCTCATTAGCTTTACTTGACATGATTGATTGATTCGTCGATGAATCATCTGTGCTCTCGTTAACGATTCGATTACTGTTCGTCTCTTTCGACGCTGGTACAGTGTCTGCGTTCTCTAGCATCGTTGCTTGATCTTCCTCGTCTTCTTTTGAATGATCTATCAGCTCTGTACCCGCCATCAAATTTTGCCCATGACCTTTTGACTTGCAAGCAGCGTCAGCTTTCTTTTGCTCCATGACTTGATCGCCGTCATCTTCCTGTGCCGTAATGATATGTCCTGTATTCAAATTACCAGAAGAAATCTCGGCATTGGCAGATATTGGCGACTCCACCCTTTGAATGTTCGTGCTCTCAGATAGGCTAGCGCTTGGCGTTTGGATCACTAAGCTGTGGTCACTTTTTTCTTCAGCATGTGCATCTAAGCTGTCTTCTATCGTCAAGGGATGAGAGGCAACATTCTTTTGATTTGACAAATGATTAATCCGAGTTGGCAATTGCTTGTCCACTGGAATTGCATTCTCCTCAGCTCGTAGCGTACCTGTCCACTGAAACAAGGCTGATGCTGGAAAGTGTGAAATTGCGTTCCAGCTAATATCTAAGAAATCGAGATGTGGCACCACTGGAAACGATGTCATATTGTTGTGCGCTAACTTCAGCTCCTTTAGCTGAGCTAGACCGTGGACGACACCAGTAGGAAACTCAAGTAGCGCATTTTCTGACACGTCGAGTTTTTGAAGATTTTTCAGCTGACGCAAGCCGATGGGAAGCTCGATACACTCGTTTCCACTAACATTCAATGACACCAGCTCGTACTTTAGTAAGACTGCGTTGGGAATGCGCTTCAAGCCAAGGCCTCGTAGACGCAAAGACGTAGCTCCTATATCTCCAATCCACGATATGTTCTTCTGGTCCAATATTTTATCATCGCCAAATGTGTTGCATGCAAACACAAGTTGTCGCTTCTCTATTTCTTCCGAGATACTCTTTGATCTTGCATCCGACGTTTCTCCAAATAAAATTTCCAGGCCTATAATAAGACGCCAAGGCTCCAGCAGCAGCGGATCCGCTTCAATTTCACTTTCAAGAAGACAAGACACTGCCTTCATATTTCGCAATCGTATCTCAACAGCAACCAAGGCTTGTAGTATCTGAGTATGCTTTGTCTTTGCCCCAACAAGACATTTTCGTAAGCTTGCTCGCGCTGCCAACAGTTCCCATTCATGTAAAGCAATACCTGCATTAAAGCGGAGTAACAGGTATGAGCTAAAACTATCAGTACTTCGACAGAAAATCACATCATATGAAACACGTACCCGAAAAGGCAAGCGAAAACTCTGGTGAGAGTGTGAATGAATCTGTGAATGCTGCATAAAAAGCAGCCAACTCTGACCGTGCTACTGCATTAGAGCTCAGCTGAAAAATTTCCAGATTTACACTATACGTGATCAGGTGGCTTCGCTCTGGATACAGACAAGCGCACACAGCATGATCAACAGCACCTCTGGCAATGTCGTACCTAACATGCTTGAGAACTTGGCGTGCCATTTCAGCTCCCACACTCATTTCAGCCATATACTTGCGAAACAAACGAGTCAATATCGTCTGATGTTCTCTGCGTGACAGGCCGTCCGATTCGCCCTGCTGTAGTAGATCCACCTGGAATACAAAGCGTTGCATCCATACAAGCTGCCGTGCTTCATAGGATAAAGCACCAAAGCTTAATGAGCTCAGAACTGTTTGGATGCCTTCAATAGCAACGGACGATTCCAGTAAAATGTTCATCAAAAGGCAGATATCCAGCGCTACAAATACATTTGCAAGCGATTTAGTTTGCTTGTTCATGGACTGATCGCGATTGAATTGTCGAAGCGAAGCAAGCTGTTCGATCCATGCAGCCAATAAAGTATCCAATAACGCCTTCAAAACACGCGACTTTAATACGTTACTAGTGTCACGCATAATGTTTTGTATAGATTTCTGGACGCTAACAATGTCAACGTCCACAAACTTTGCCAAACGCTCTATTATGTCCGGAAATATCTTATTAAAAGCATCCACAAGCGGTGGAGACTGGCGACACGCGCACAAGTAGTGGTGAAACGCTTCTGGAAACGTGGTGACCGAATCACAATTTATCATCTTGAGCATTAGTTGACAGGCTTGCTTCTCACCAGCCAACATTAGCCCCATTAACTTTGCAGCTGTTAGTGAGGCGCCAGGATACAGCTCAATTATGCCGATCTTCTCCTCAATAAACACGTGCAGAGTTTTGTCTTCCTTCCGTACATCATCTTGATATGCGAGCACCAGCATCCAGTTGTTCAGTATTGCATTTCCGAGATCTTGGTCATCTTTGCACTCCTTTTCAAATGTTCGAAACGCGAAATCATACGCGGCCAAAACTTGACCACAAATGTCTGCATTAATATCACACCATTCACGCTGGAATAATTCGGGACTATAGGTCATGTCTTTGACCGGGATATTTGCATTACTGCTAGCAACTACCCAATGCTCGATAACTTCGGGCAGCTCCTTAAACAGCAAAATGTGAGCATAAGCCAGATAAAACACTACCAACTCTTCGCTGCGTAATTCACTACGAACCCAAGCACACCATTCAAATCCCAAAGAGGTGCCACCAAACTGCAGCAGCGCTGACAGAAGCTCAATTACTCTATTTGTTGCCCCAGCACCCCACAACTTCATGCAAAGATGAAAGCATATTGCCGTCAATAGAATCGACAATTTTTTGGCGGAACTTGGTGTCGAGGCATGTAGTCCACTACCATCTGTGCTTGTCCGAGCAAGATGCTCCAAAAGTCGCCAATATATTCCTTCTGCCATGCTTACGGAATCAAAGTCGTAAGTCGAAATATAATGAAGCCACAATGCGTGGGAGCTCGGTAAAAATTGAACTGCTTGCTCGGCCATATCAATTTCTGTTTGCCTATTGGTCACATGTCTGCATAGATGCAGATACAGCAGCCAAAGCGCTTCACAGTACGCGTTGGCTTCAACTTCTAAAGCGCATGAAAGCGTATGCAGACACCGATTCAAATTTGCCTCCTCGACGTTAAGAACGCGCGAGGCACCGCCGTACAGCTTTGCATTGAGCTCTTTACTTAGAAGAACAAGTTGCTGTTGGAGGCGGTTCTCATCCGACAAGTTCACAGCTTCGTCACTGCGAGCACGCGCACAATGTCTTAATTCAACCCAAAAAAACGAAAAGCATTGTCTGTACCTGCACACAACACGTACCTCATCCCAACATCAAGTCTAAGCTGATAAATAGCGAGAAGGAGCCATGCGTTAGTATCATTTGGGCGTTCCGTCACTTTTCTTTGCAGCATGTCACCATGTGCTTTAATGGCGTCAAGATTATCAAAGTAACGAGCATTGCCACTCTCAGGAAGCTTCTCGTGAGTATCAAGCGGTAGAAAGTCGTCGCCACTTTTGTCAAGATGTCCTTCATGACGTACGATATCTTTTTCCACTGGCACTGCTGTATCTACTCCACCAGCTGTATCCGCATCTGTTACGATGGAATCCCAACTAGCACCTTCTACTGTTGCCTGTATAGTATTCAAGCATCAAAGACCACTATGGTTACACATTTATCCATTTCTTCAATAACAACACTGACACTTACCACTGAAGGTGTCTTCGTAGTTATCACAGGCCACCTTTTCATCATTCTACCACGAAATTCTGCAAATGACAGCAGCAACTGATCGGCCTCATTTCGTTTTTGAAACTTTGTACCATTATCATCAGCATTGCAGATAGAGGTGTCGCTCATCAGTTCTTTAACTGGCTCATAGTCTTTCTGATGATAGTTGGAGCAGTTCTGGTCGTTGCAAGCTCCATTCAGTTCAAAGTGACATAATATTCTGACATCAAACGCGTCAGCTTAGAATGCCGTGACGAACGAAAGAGAACATTGCAATGTACGTACTTCATGGGGTCAATATTCTTCGACGTTGTTGAATGCAACGTTCCAGCGCTTCTCAGTTGCCTTAAAATTGACTCGTTTGCGACAGAAAACGGTCTTGCATACTTCGGTGAAAAGACACGAGGTCCAGAAACCATATCAAGACCACACAGCCCTAGCAACAAATCGCTTTGAGGTTCAGTAGGCTCGCTTTGCTCGCGCAGCCACTTTTCCATGTTTTCAAGAACACCAGCCATTTGTCCATACGATCGATGCAATATCCTAGACGGATTGCCAGCCGCCGGATTTGCCCAATCGACGCCAACTCTGGCACAGAGAAAAGCTGAAAGTGTAGGTATCGCGGCACCGCCAGTCAAACAATGATCCAAGAAAACTGTTCGTCGAAACATCTTGACAAGCTCGAAACGATTGAGCTCTGACACATCCAAAAAATGTAGTGTATCGCATACACCAGCAACAACTTCCTTTTCAACTTGAATCATTGACTGAAGCCGACCTACAGAAAGTTGCAATAATTGTAAGACAAAGACGTCGACAACAAAAAGCAAACGCAACTCGTGCCTGCGTCAGACGAGACAAAAGTCGGGATTCTTAAAAATTGACGCCCTGGTTGCCAACACACGGACCTCCTTGAGGTCAAGACTGAAGAACTTCTCCTTGGTTCCTGAGCATATTGGGATGCTAGTAACCGTTCAAACGATGACTGATCCACGACTTCGTCCAACACTTTGCCTGTGTACATCGTAAAAGCCTTTTCTAGCTGCTTTCTTGATATCATCTCCATAAACGCATCATGTGCCAAACGAGCTTGTTAGATAGAACTCATTATTATACATTCAAGCAATAACTTACACCTACCTGATTCGTCTGCACAAGATGACGCGTTACAATGCGACAGCACGTAGCTTCAGCAAGTTCTGGGGTTCCCACATCCAAGCTCTAGCGCGGTGGCAACTATCTCAATTATAAATCCCACAGTACATTGCTGTCAGCAATCGTCTACTACAGACATAAAGAAACAAAGTTATCAACGTCTTACAAGGATGCATTTTAGATACAGCAACATCCTCTTGGACTGTATTCTTTCTCTCGCCATGCATTCCTTTTCTTCTTGCTTGTTTCTCAATTTCCATCTCTTCTCTCTTGCGCTTTGCGTGTAATTGCTTCAAATTCCTTGCCAATACATTTGCTGCCTTCTTCTGTTTCTGCAATAATTATCACAACATTAAGACAATCCATGAGCCAAATCATCCTTGAACAACTACAAAACGACTGGCTCAAACCCGAGACCTCTTTAGCTGCTTCCGCCCGCGTCTGCAGCTTCTTTAGCTCCTTCTTTTGCGCCAATGATACACCATCTACCGTCACCACTTTGCTTCTATCCATTTTATCAGCATTTCCGTCATTTCTTGTCTTCTGCGTGTCAATTATCGCGTCTTTTGGAGCATTCAGAGCTTGAGTCTCAAGTACTTTTAGAAGCTTTTCCTTGCGCACCAAGAGCTCATCACGCTTTAATATCCATTTCTGCTTTTCCTTTGATAATTCAAGAAGACGCTGTGATACCGTACGACCTTCATCTGATGCTACAGATCCCTCCGAAGTCGTTCCCGTGGCGCTCATCTTGCACCCAACTTTCAAGTCGAAGGTAATTAGTGTGGTTAACATGAAAATAAGTGTGGTAGACGTAAACACAGCTTTTCAGCCAATCCGCGATTGCAACCTTTCGCGCGTCAAGATCGCTTGTCATTTATGTTGCTACGCATCATGACGCAATGTACGATATTCAAGCTATCTGCCTGATCTTATTGTTATTGTATGACGAGTAACATACTCTCTCTGTGAGTGTCGACACTTGAGTGAGAAAAAACTCGGCCACAAACGGGCGTGTTTCAAAAGCCATCCGTAAAATCAAATCTGTAACTCATCGATCTACAATGCCGTAAATGTCAAGCGCATCACACTGTTGTCCTGTCCGTTCGTCGTGTTTCCTCCAAACACGTACATTCCACCGTTCCAAGTCAGCGCACGATGCCACGCTCGAGGGATCAAAGGCGGGTCGCATTTCACCAGCTTCCAAATAGGAATCTCATCGTCTGTATAAGAAAACATATTAGCTGAATGATTGAGCATTATTTCGTCACGGACGACGTACCTGCTCCAAGGTCCAATATATATGCGTCGCCTTTCAAACATCCAGTATTACCTCCGTACACAATTAATGTCGATCCGATGCTGGTAGCCGAGTGCGTGTAGCGTGATGCAGGGCCGTGGCCTTGAGTCTCTACTTTGTGCCATACACAATCGATGTACGCATTCGACGCGTCCTCTGATCAAACGTTATCAAATCAACATCATGATACCTCATCACGAGCATCCTGGTGGAAGCGTACCGATTGTAAAAGCAAAAAGTTGACCGCGACGGTACTTGCCGTCGTATCCTCCGAAAATGTACATGTGGTCTTCTATAACGCACACTGAGTGCGTCGACGACTGCCCCGGAATGTCACCCCGAGGCTGAAGCTCTACCCATGTCGGAATCTCGGTGTCTGTAACATATGGTCTACTAGTTAGAACTGCCTATAAGCAGCAACGAATCAGATCAGGAAAAAACGGACCAAATCGAAGCGCAAACGTATCGCTAAGTCGCTGAGGGTGGCCGTAACCTCCGTACAAAATTGCCATGCCCTGCAGCACTACTAGCGAGTACCAATATCGCATTGACGGAAGAGTTCCGGCTACTTCAAGTCTTTCCCACTTCCACTCATCTACTTGGTCAGCAAATATGATTGTTGGTTGCCAGTAAGAAATTCCACAAGAAGTGGCTTGCCCATTAAACGTACCAAAGTCGAGCCGATGAAGTTCCGTGAGAAATTTGCCATCAATCGTGCCGCCGATCGCATATAAATCGTCCTTAATGACGAATATCTGGAGAAGGTGACCTGGCGGAGGTGGCGTACCGCTAATCGGCGGTTGAACCCATCGAGGCGACGGTCTTTCTGCGAGGTCTAGAGTGTGCAGGTCATTTAGCCGCAGCTTGCCGACGATGCCACCTACAACAATCACGACACTTTTATGGATTGCAAGCCCGCAGTCGTATCGAGGGTCCGGTGGCAAGCCTTCCGACTTCACAGCTTTCCATACCATATGAACAATTGCAATTTCCTCACGTTTTCCTTTACGCGTCCTAGCTTTCCTCTTGCCAGCTTGGCTGACAGTTGCTCGACCAACGGTAGGTGCCATATCACTTACCGTCTTCTTGGTCGCAGATGCCAGTTCAAAAGCATATGTGCCTATTTTTCGAACCGACGTTCGCGGATGTCGCGCTGGTCCTGCGATAAAGCTCCCACTGAGAGATGTTCTTGCTGCTACTGGTGGTGAAGGCCGTTCACTGTCCGACGAAACCAGGTCATCGAGGTCAATAACGTCGTCAAAGTCACTTAAATTGTCCAGCTGAAGATCCGTAAGACTGGAAGCCGGCAGCAAGTCATGGTGTATCTTATCGACGTCATAGATCGTGGACACGGCTGTGCTAATGCTGTTGCTGTAGTTGGTATTGTTAAAGTGCATGTGGTCCAATTGAACGATCGCACCTTGGTATGGCGTCGGAAACATTGCCGACGACGAGAGCTATCAGAAAACGTCACCCAACTATCATTAGACGTGTAATATACATCACAATAATAATCAAAAAACAATGTACCGGCAAGTGAAGATCTTGCCCAGCACTGGTGAATGCATATCCCATCGTTTCCGGCCCTGAAACAGCCCCAGTCTTACCGCTTCTAAATATCTGCTGAGCTTGACATAAGGTGCAATTACCCAAAAATGAAAGTGAATGCTGCATGCAAGTCAAGCACAAGACGTGACCACAGTCCTGGCGGGCGGGAAATTGTGTCATGCGGAGACAGATTGAGCACGAAATGCTCGGTGCAAGTTGTAGATGAACGTTATACACGGTCTCTGCTACACTTTCCCATGATTCGTCTTCTATTGTACAGTTTCCCGACGCAAAGAGCCCGTCGTAGTCATTAAACTCTGCGGTATTTTCTTCTTTGTTATCACTCAGGTGTTGAATATCTTGTTCTTGTGCTCTGTCTGCCTCGTCTCTGTCTAGATTTTCGTTAGTAGGTTGAGTCTCTTCACTTAGAGTAAATGAATCTGTAATATCGTTGATTAGATACCGCATGCCGAGCTAGGGGGAAGGCAATCAAGCCCCCAGGTGCGCAAGGGCACGTCGTGCTGTACTCAACCTTAACCTGTTTCTAGCACGGCGATGATTGGCTGAAATGGGATTGATGAAACATGCTCAGACGAGCCATTTCAATGATTGTAGCCATGTGACGAACACGCAAAAGATTGAGCGACTGTAGTCACAGAAGTGACATCAAACACGGCGTTTCTGACTAGACACTAGTCAGTCATTGCTCTGACATTCAGTGCAGTCTCGATTTCCGATGAGTCTTTTCTCTAGGCTCAGTGAACACATTGCTAGACGTCGATAAATAAAAGAATGAAATCTAATCATTTCGACGACGAGTCTGCAATAAAGCCAGCAAGCTGCTATCAGCATCCTTTACACACGCTTTGGCAAAATGTCTGCACCCTGAACGGAAAAAAGTGGACTTTGCACGACAGAAAAGTCTATGAACAACGAGAAACGTGTATATTAACATTGTTTATCAAAAGTCTTCTTCGTCAATGGTAAGCATATTCTCCGGGACATTGCAGTCGTCACCGATTGGACAAGTGACATCATCGTCAGGCATGTGATACAGACACTTGCTAATGAGGAACTCTTGACGGTATTTCTGCACCGTCACATCTTCAGGCACGTCGTCGATGCAGACCTCAAGAAAGTACTTGAAGAGGAACATGCCACCAACGAATATTGAGAGCATCCACACCCGAGTGGATGCTTCGAGATGATTAAAGAAATCGCCTGTAAAGATGACAACGGCACCGTTCGTGCACACTGAGATAGCTGCAAAAGCTTGCAGCACCAGGTACCAATAACCCATGCTGCGCACGTTACGCGGACGAGGACGTCGTGACTCAAAAAGGAGACGGTACGCATCCAAGCGGATCTCAAAGTAGTTGTTCACATACGAGAGCAAAGGCGCAAACGGAAACGCCACAACGAACATAGTTGTGAAGCCAAATTGAAGCGCCATCTCAGTATAGTCGTCAAAGGTGCCATGCCAATCATACTGCGCCATGAAAAGTTCGCGTTCGGCATCAGACTGTTTGCACTCATCCAAGTGACCTAGCAGCTGATATTTGCTAAAGTACACGAACAAGCGCGGAATAGCTACCTCAGTGATGTTGCCCACAAACAGCCGGGAGCAAAACACGATAGCAAGCATGTACTCAAGTTCGTGCATGCAACTCACGTCACAACCTTCAAATCCTTCCTTTAAGAATGCTACGTAGAAAAGACCCGCGTAATTGTTTACAAATTGGAAAATCACAGTCTTGACGATAAGACTATTTTCATACTCCATATCCGTGCGATGATTCTCCTGATCCACAAGCATGATTGATACGTAATTGTAGATCTTAGTCATGATGGTGATCTGGACAACGTTTGCGAGGGACGACACAATTGAGCCGTACTTGTAGTCATCCAACACAAGCTTGTCCGAGTCGTTACCCTTAGTGAGATCGTACGTTAGCATGAAAATTGAGGACACGATAACAAACACGATCAAGATGAGGAAGGAGATCACAACCCAGCTATATGCTACTCGTTTAAGCTTTTCACGAGGGGGAAAATACCGTGTTGACTTGCCGTTTATGGGCGAGGGAATACGCTCACCGTAAAATTGCGGTCGAAGGCTCACTGTTTCCGAAAAGTGTGCAGTGCCCCAACGAAGCGTCTCTCGTGAGTTAACCCGCTTCCAGTTTTCGAGGTAGATGGTCATCCATATAGTCATAAAAGCTCCAAAGAGTGGCGAGATGTAGGCGAACACAGTATTGTAGTCGTCGTGTGGAACGGAATAGCTTACAATGCCCGTGACGATGCCCACCAGGGTTGGGTACAAGAGCCATTTGGTGTAGTGCCCTAGATACAAAAAATAGAGCGCCACCTTGACGCCAAAGTACTGACAAATTTGATCAAAGGGCTGGTTCATAGGAGACGTATTCCACACAATCCAGCGCTCTTGGAGTTCCTTCTTTTCCTGCTCTTCATGCAACGGATAGGTCTCTACGATAATCCCCTCATAAATCAGACGGTCAAGGTCTTGTCCAGCACCTGTTTGGTGGTTGGTGATGATATGCTCAATGAGTCTAATACGGTCGGTGCTGGAGAAGAGCGAGCCATTTGGACCCTTCCTGGCGTAAAAGTGCTGCAAGTCTCGGGCTTGAAAATAAGGTGCATAAATATAGTCAAATGGTGAGTAGCGGTACGTTTGTTTCACGTCTCGGATTGGAAAGGGGGCAATGCTGTACTCTGGAATGCCGTTGAATGAAGCGCGACGCAGCTCCGTCGAATCGAGCTGCAAGTGCATATTAAGGAGCTCGGCATCGCGACGCATGAGCTCTTCTGGCGCGCGAATCTTGCAAAACACGAGCTTCTTTCCGGTTGAGTAAAACAGACGCAGTCGCAGCCCCGCACCACGTAGACGCTTGATAATCGTATCACGCTCATCACTCACCTCGATGACGCGCTTGGGCGGGTTTGGAAACACAATCACGTAGTCCCAACGATCCGGTGTCTCTGCCATGGATGTACCATATTGAACCGGTACGCGTAGACATCGCTCAGCGGTCTGTGGCTGGGGATACGGGTCACCAATGAATTGAGTATCCATTTTATACTTGTGTCTCTATGACAAACTTGATCCTGATTTTTGTGGTTATCCAGGATTTGCAATGTCCCGAGACTCAAGTTAGACTCTCTCTCTGGCCATTATTCGTCATACGTTGTGACAGATTGTTGCAGGAGCCATTGAGATTGGCTCACCGAGTTATTGCCGTACCATTTATTACTGGATTCTTGATGAGGCACCTTGGTTGCGAAACCAGTCCAAAGAAGTCGCTCACCCCAAGTTTTACTTGACGTCGAGCTCATTTTAGACGTTTGCTCTTCAGTAGTTACGCGCGTGTCGTATCGTCTCATCTTTTTGACAGGATATTGTCACCCACATTGACAACATCCGCGCCAGCGAATACAAGTTACTTGCTGCGAGGCAAAACGAATCTCGTTTTTTAATCCTTCATTTTTGCCACAACCAGCGAGGGATCCCAAGAAACGACAGACTAGTTTGATGCGGCAATGAATTGCTGTATCTTTTTTACGGTAGATAACGACCACGATGGCGTTTTTAGCTACAAGACCTATTAGCATTGTACGCTTAAGCACTACCTGTCTCCAGTAATAAAGACTTGTCGAAATGTAGCCACTACCATTATGTAACCTAGCGCATGATAAACATTCAGAGTAGATAATAAGGAATATAAAGCACTTATCACACGAATATCAAATTGAAACCAACTTGCGAATCGTGGTAAGGATAGGCATATCTGTATTGTACAAAAGTTATTTCTTTCTTTCTCGCCGTGGCACCAATTATACATCCTTTATCCCAACAACACAAGTTGCGCACCTGTTGCTACTTCGCGTTGCTACGAATTGTTACAACCGACAAACTCGCACGTCTTTTTTCTGTTCGTAATTGTCGAATTAAATATCACATATTATATCCGTCTTGTCAAAGGTGTTATATGAGATACTGATGACTTTATAAGTTGATATTTACCCAGCATTATTCTGAACCTTTATCGTGGATGTGAGTTTCACACGGGAAAGTTCACGATCAAAAACCATATGACATGAAGGGGTCATCAAGTTCAGATGAATATGTGGTGATTCAATCAGACAATCGAGATCTAGCTGAGACCACATTTATTTACAATTTGACTCCGTAGTAATCAAGTGAGCTCTCCTTCGCACGGTTGAGGGGTAAGCATGAGCTCGTTTTCCATCCTTATGAAGCAGCGGACACAACGTGCTAGCACATTCCTTGGCAGCGACTCGAGCACATTCATCTCAAACACGTCCTCACACCGAGCTACAATGCTTGCATCACCATCGCTTTCATCAGCCTCTGAGACACTGGAAGACTGGATGTACTGGCAACGCGATGCTAGCAATGCGCAATGCTGGACCAAAGTGTACGGCGTATTGGACAATGAGTTTTTATGGCTCTTTAAGGGCAATCATTCAAGCAAGACCATGTTCTTGCAAATTGCTGTCTCTAGTGTGGAGGTGTCAGGCCAGCGACAATTACGGATCGTTGACCCAAACGGCGAAGATATGGAAATTTGGCTGCTGGATGAGGATAGTTTTAGTGTATGGCGGCAACGACTCGAGGAAGCTGCTGCGCTCACATCGCACTTCTTCCGTATTGCAGCAATTGAAGCGCGACGGCTTCCACGCAATAGCGCGTATCGTGGTAGCCTAGTAGCTTATCGCCGTGCAAATAAGCGGACACGATACAAAGCTGTTACCGAGTGGATGATGCAGTGGCGGCGAAAGTGTGTGGCGCTCACACGGTGAGTTGCTTCGTCGTTGGATGGATGGTCTAGTTACTACTCTTTTTTTAAGTTATTTGAATGCGTTCATAGTTGACCAAATTCGCGTTTCTGTACATGTTACTGTACTGAAGCCGTGAATAGGCTGGGAGAATTGTACATTCGAGGACAGAGTCAAACTTCTATGAGGCGTAATGCAAACTTCCTGTCTTTGTTCGACTTGTCTCGCTCCCTCTTGGCCAAGACTGATCACTTTGTAAATTGCGGTGCATTGTGCTGAAACCATGAGACGATTATCATTTACAGCAATGCCATCGCGACGACAGAAACATTGCGTCAGTCTCAGCTCAGCATGTGGGAAGGCAAAGAGTAACCTACGCTCGACACTTGGTAATTTGAGCATGCTGTCGTCACAGCCAACGTTAGTCTCCTCAGACTCGTTAACATCTCTATCTACGACTACAAGCTCGTATGGCGGCTTCATGGAAGACTATGACGATGTGGATGAGGAGATCGAGGGCGAGGAGTGCTGCGAACAGGGCTGGATGTATTGGAAAAAGAGCGACGATTGTTGGCTCAAGATGTATGCGCGTTTGCGTAACGAACTGCTATGGCTTTCAAAGGGCGCGCATGACGTGGTGGCCGTTGTGCAGATCGCCGTCGCAGGTGTGCAAGCCACCGAAATTGGTGGCATCATCGCGCGAGGTCCCGCTGGCGAGAGTATGGAGTTATTCGCTTACGAACGCGGACGCACATGCGACTGGATAGACGCACTCTTTGTGGCTGCCCAACTCACTCAATCATACGAGCGTTCAGTGGCGGCCGAGTCGGTAGAGGGCGAGATGACCCACCGAGAGCTTAGAGAGGTGAAGAAAGTATACACGGGTACACTAGTCACCTACAACAAGGAGCAGAACAAATGTCCGTGGAAACGACGGCTGCGCAACGCGTGTCGACGACGATTGGAGAAGTTTGTGGATCGCCTCGACACTTCCATGCGGTAAAGATACCTCGGATTTTCAAGAGCGAGCTCAATTGGTGCTACTTATTTATATTTAATGAAACACAATGCATTAATAATAGTATCAATCCTGCTTCGCTCTCGTCACCATTCATTACCTTTGAATAGTTTTCAATTCTATTGTATTCAATGAATTTTCTCCATTGAGCCAGGTGCAGCCAGGTGCAGCCAGGCTTTGTAAGAAATAACCTGCAAACAAAGTATCAAATGAAACAGATATACGTATACGTGTTTGTGCGGCGAACTGGTCCAGTGGACCGTCTAAACATTTCATAGGATGACGCCACAATTCAAAAGCACTGATCACGGTCATCATCAGGGCAAGACGAAAAAATGCGACACCACACGCTTCTGGAACTTCCACTTGAACACTACTATTTCTATGAAGACGGGACGACGTACTCGACAAGCACTTCGATTGCTTACTTGTACTTTGGCCCATAGAAATTTTGTTGTCCTTGAACTGTACAAGTTTGATTGTTTTGCGTAAAGAAACTTCCTAGACGCATGACGAATCTTTGCAAACTAAAGCAGCGCAGCAGGTGACACCCCAATCTAATGAGATTTTGCAGGGTTTTCTTCAACCGCAATCAATACTAAGTCAGCCCTCTCTTAACTATGACGACACTACTGTATCAAATGCGTGTGCCCTACCCATTAATGGTCGTCGGAAAAGATATTTGGTCAGGAAGTACTGATATAATTTCATATAACGTCTAAACAAGCGACAAAGCTTTTGCTTTTGGCTCGAGTTACACTACATAGTTTGCTACTAGGTGACGACGACAGCATTGTGGTCGCAAGACTCGAGTGCATCCCTCACAAATAGCAAGAACTAAGAATATGACGCTCGTCTCGTTATGAATGTACTTGTTCTATACGAATCTCACTGCTGATTGAAAGACTGATGTCAAAGTGGTCCTCGTTGTACGTACGTAACGCGTCAGACTCAGTTCAACAGTGAGAGATAGGGTATATCAGCATTGCGATGTCAATTGTATACGTCATCGAGGAGCGCGCAAAAAATACCAGCAACTTATCGTGACTTATCTACTGCACCGTAAGTTCATCTGGTGTGTTCTTTTTTAAAGTTTTTTTGAGTATAAAACGAAACCCACGACATTCCATATTCTATTCCAACATATAGGTTCTGAAGGTCTTCCCAACGTCTTCCGACTGGTTTGCTCCCTCGTTTTGGCCGCGTGGAGTTTGTGTTCTTATATCGCTTTAATCTTTGAAAAGTCGAAACAAAAGCTCCGATTTGAGCCATGAATAATCATCCTCCGTATCAACCGTACGGTGGTTCTGTTGCACAGAAACAACCACAGCAGCAGACCCATCAACAGCAGCAGCAGACCCATCAACAGCAGCAGCAAGTAGAGCAGACACAGCAATCAATGCCACCACGTGCTAATGCATTTCGTCCATTTAATCCGGCGCAAATGAATGCACCACGTTCAGGAAGCGGTGGTCCTATATTCGCGCGTAGCGCTAGCAGCGGCCCACCTTCGACCGGTAGCTTTAACTCCCTACAGCTGCAGCAGCAACAGCAACAATTTCAGCAGCAAATGAGCACTGGATCACGTGGTTTTGTGCCCCCAAACCGTGGCTTTTCATCGGGTCCGGCCAGTCAACCCACAGCGCCACCCCCCGCCACACTTTAGCAATCAACCAAGGCCAATGAGCAGCAGTGGAGGCTATGGACTCCCTGTGGGAGGACCACCTAATTACCCGCCTCAGATGATGCGTGGACCGCCGCTTGCAGGTGTCGTGCCCCCCATGGGACAAGGAGTGTCTGTTCCTGGTCCCCCGCCACCCGCTGGATCTGTAAGTCTGGGACCGCCTAGTGCACAGAACGGACTCACACATCAATTTGCCAAGATGGGAATTAATGGACATCCGAGTCCAGGCTCTGCAGAATTGCAAAGAGGTTCCGTGCCGATGGGAGGAGCGATGGCACCTCCACCTGTCATTCAACACCACCAGCATTCGATGATGCCCCCATCAGCTATGAACCAACAACAGCAGCAGTCTGTGATAAAACAGCAACATACATCTGATGCGAACAAGAACAACCTTCCAAGTGGAAATTTTCAACAGCCTAATAACATGATGAACGGTGCGTTGTCTCTTAGTGAGGCGATGTTATTGTGAATGGTCAGAGACTCACCTGGCTATTTTGCTGTTCTGTAGATGGCTATAGAGGAGAGTCGGGTTTCCAGGGACAACAGTTGCGGCAGGAGACACCATTGAGCAACGAGATGATGGCGTCGCAATGCAACCCTCGATACATGCGATTAACAGTGAACGCGCTGCCACACTCGCTGGACCATGCAAACAAGTCGAAACTGACATATGGACTTATTATCCGACCGTTTGCACCGACTGATGAGGGTAAAGACTTGGATGTGGTAAATTTTGGCACTACCGGTGTTGTCCGTTGCCGTCACTGCCGCACTTACGTAAATCCGTTCGTACAGTGGGTAGACAACGGCCGTCGCTGGCGGTGCAACCTCTGTGGAGTATCAAACGAGGTCGCCAGTTCATACTTCTGCCACTTGGGTGCCAATCAACTGCGTCAAGATCGCGACGAGCGACCGGAGCTAAATTCAGGCAGTGTGGAGATTGTTGCTCCTTCAGAATACATGATGCGTCCTCCGCAGCCACCCTGCTTCATGTTTGTTATTGATGTTTCAGCTACCGCTGTGACATCAGGATCAGTCAAGGTCGCAGTTGATACGATCAGGGAGCAGCTTGACAACCTTCCTGGTGCACCAAGGACGCGTATAGGCTTTCTCACGTATGACAACACAATTCATTTCTACAACTTAAAGGTTTGTGTATAGCTATTGTATTTTTTTGGTGATCTGATTAGGTTTTCACTTTTAACGGTTTTTGTGTTTATAAAACCATCGCAGTCGACACTAAAGGCCCCACAAATGATGGTGGTGGCTGATCTAGACGAACTCTTTATTCCTATTCCGGATGAGCTGCTTGTAAATTTGAGCGACTCTCGTGAGATTGTTGAGATGTTGCTTGAAACGTTGCCGATCATTCATCAGAACGCACGCTCTGCCGAAACTGCATTGGGACCCGCTATCCGTGTCGCTTTTAAGCTCATGGTACGCACCGATGTTTGTATCACGCGACAAATTGTGGAAAGTCTTGTTGACACAAACACTGATTCGTTTCCTTTTTTTGCAGTCGTCAATTGGTGGCAAAATGGTCGTCTTTCAGAACTCGCTGCCATCAACTGGAAATGGAGCACTCCGAAACCGTGACAATCCTCGTTTGTACGGAACAGACAAGGAACATACTTTGCTTCAGGCCGCGGATACGTACGTTATTTTGATTGTCTGCATCATTTTGATAATAGGCAGTTAATTGTCGCTGATGCGAATGCTTTCCTTTCGAATGTGTGTCTTGTAATTTTTAAACTGCAGGTTTTACCGAACAAACGCCATTGACTTTTGCCGCCAGCAAGTCAGCGTTGACATGTTTCTATTTTCATCCATGTATACTGACATCGCCTCGTTGGGTAAGTATTTTGTGCTTTTGAGATAGTTATTTGTTTACTTTCTAAAGCTAATGTGTATTTAAATGCGATGCAGGCTCACTGTCAAAATACTCAGCAGGTCAAGTGTACTATTACCCGGCTTTTAACGCTGAGCGAGATGGGAAGAAGTTTAGCAAGGAGCTGGCACACTGTCTTGTTCGCGAAACTGCATGGGAGGCCGTGATGCGCGTTCGCTGTACAAAGGGAATGCGTCTCGCAAACTTTTACGGCAACTTTTTCTTGCGAGGACCGGACTTACTGGCGCTTCCGACGTGCAATGCGGATTCGACGTTTGCGGTAGAGATTACGCATAGTGACGCACTTTTGACGTCCTCGACGATTTCCGTGCAAGCTGGCGTGCTGTATACGAATTCGGGTGGTGAGCGACGGATTCGTGTGCACACCGTTTGCATTCCGGTCACCAAACGTACGTTATGACGCTGGATGATAAACGCCTATGATTAAACTGACGATCTAACTTGATTACTGATCTGATTTTTATTGTGTTAGTGTTTGCGGAGCTCTTCCGCCAGGTTGATCAAGACGCACTGTGCAATATCATGGCCAAAAACGCGCTGGAAATTGCGCTCAAGACTGGACTGGACAATGGTCGATCACGATTGCAGACACAGTGCGCGGACATTGTACGTGCCTACCGGAACTCAGGTGCTTATGGTGCCAAGCAACCCTCTGGTTACCAGTTGCACCTCCCTGAAACAATGCAGCTTCTACCTCTGTACATCGTACGTCCATGTTTGTGAGCAATGGTAAATATTGCAATTCCACCGCCTCTAACGTGGCGCTTTTCGTGATGTGTACAGATGTCTCTTCTGAAAAACCCAACCTTGCGTGGTGGCACCGACCTGGCGGTAGACGAGCGCACATTTTTGCAATATGAGGTACATGAGCTTGTCATGCATGATGTGGCGCTTTGATGAAAGGTTACTAACATTAAATTTGAGTATTGCAGTTGAACAATATGCCTGTCGAGCTGTCACGGGTGTTTATTTACCCGCAAATGTTTGCTCTGCACAACATGCCGCCTGAGGTGGGCCTGCCTACTAGAGAAGTCCAAACTGTTGAGGGTATTGACGGAGTCGACGCTACATCCGTTGTTCTTCCATCGATACTTAATCTTTCTATCGAAAGACTACAGTGCGACGGATTGTTTTTGCTAGACGACACATTAAGCCTCTACTTGTGGGTTGGTCGTTCGGCTTCACCTGAACTTTTGGAGAGCCTTTTTGGCGTTTCTTCTATGGAGGGCGTGGATTGCAGCCAGGTAAGGAAGGACCACGTTGTGGAAATTGTTAGATGCATGGTAATGACTTACTCTGGCTATTTGGTTGATTACTTGTAGTTGAAACTTCTGGCTCCACATGACGACATAAGCCACCGTGTGAACTCCATATTATCAGCAATTCGCTCTGAGCGATTGCCCTACCAGAACGTGGTGATTATGCGAGAGGGTGATCCGGCTGAGGGCCGTTATTTTTGGAAGCTAGTAGAAGACCGGGCGAGCTTCCCCGGTGGCTCATATTCGTACTCGGAGTACTTGGGTCAAATTAGCCGTATGAGTCTTACTAGCGGAACTGGCGGAAGATAGATTGCAAACACAATGAAACACAAATCCGTCAAATACGACGTGGTAATGATGACGATTGCAAGTGGGTGAGTGCCCTTTTCGATACAGGTTAACAGTCTATAGTTCAAACTAGGTCATTCGCTCTGCCCGGACCAAGTGACGTATGGATCTATTATTCACCACCCAAGTAGGCTAGTCAACTTTTGAGACAATGACTCATCGTTGAGACCACTAAAACAAGCATCTGGGCAGTGGTATCAGTTTCTATATGAGCAATTTTCATTCTAACAAATGTCTTGGCCACATGTGGAACTAAACACCTGATGCCAAATGAGCATTACTTTTACATGATGCTGTACTTCAGAGCAAAAAGCTTCAGAGCGATTTGTACATGTGGCAAGTGGCTTGCCACTCCTTAATGCAACGTAACTGGCCCTTCGTATTACACATGCTGATCACCTATGGTAGCTCTGGTAGACCAATAGACGATCTGGTCATTGGTGAAACTTCTACACGCAGCGGAACTTGTAATTCGACTGTTATTCAAGAGAATGGCTACTAAGTACTCAATCTTCTCGCATCAATTCTTCGTCGCAGGGTCCCGAGAAAGTTTGGATTTGCGAAGGTCACGTGCGACTTTCATGAATTTTTCATCATCGACGCCTCGCATTTCCGAAAACCTGCAAGTTCGAGCCGAGACTTTTTGCTGTACCTCGTCGACGTCGACATTGCGCCAGTCACGGAAATCGTTTTTTTCGTCGAGTAGTACGCACTCTACCGTGTCGTCGCCATTGCCACAAGATATTCATATCCAGGGCTGGATGTACTGGGCTCGTCGAGAAGACTCGCTTGAAGCAGAGCGATATACTAAAGTCTACGCAGTGTTACGCAATGAATTTTTGCTGCTTTATCGCAATAATCAACGTCCGTCCAAGAAGAAACAACCCCAGCCGCTGGTGCAAATTGCAGTCGCGAGTTCTTGGCGTAGCGTAGAGGGCGTGTTGCATGTGGAGGACCCATACGGAGAAGAAATGGAGTTGCATTTATATGAGCGACAGGACTTGGATATGCATCGACGATGGGGTGACGCTCTGGAACAGGCTGCAGAATTGACGCACTCTCATTTCGCTAACTTTGACGTCAAAGTAGACGATCTATCCCGTAGCAGCGTATATCGAGGCACCCTCCACGACTTTCGCTTGGGTCGAGAAAGCTCGATAAGGAGGTCTGTCACGGCGATCAAACAGTCGAAAAGCTGGAATTCTTTTCGAACGTTCATTCCTGCGCAAATGTCAAAACATTCTCGATCGTCATCGACATCGAATATGTAAACACTTGTTTCACGTAGTCATCATTATTTCATCGGGAGTTATTGTGTAGAGTGAATGAGCTGTATATCATTTGCTTTACATGAACAGTGCACATTTCTTTGGTTTATCGATTCTCTTTAGATATGAAGGGGGGGGTTAACGGCAGCGCATTGGATAGCAATTTCTGTTTCTCCAGGACTTGATCGTTGCAGGGGTGACTTGCGTTTCTTTGGCAGACGTGTAGTCCCCACCTTATCGATCAAATTTCTTCAGTACCTGATCCATTTTTTTCTTCTAGACCTTCTTTTCTCTTCACTTTCCAAACGGTCCCTCTAAGCTAAGCTACTCTGGACTTCAAAACAGGCAGCAAGCAGCTTACATCGCTAACAAAGTACTAGGGCACCGACTGAGGCTGTTATCAATTTGATTCTATTGTTGTGACAGCTTTTGTTCCTCTCAAAGTTTGCATGTCGACAGCTTTGCTTGCAACAAACTTGTTTATAATTCGACACTTTCCAACGCCCTGAACACATACCTTGCCTATTATGCTCAATAACATGGAAGTTCCACTGGATAAGCACTATACATTCCCACGCTGAAAGGTTTAAACTTCACAGAGGAATTAGGCTTTAGCTTGAGCTTTGTGCAGCTGCTGGGCCGTGTGCAAGACAACACGTCGATCTTAACACATTGAGGAAACTTTTTAACCACATTACTGTATGCACTAATCGCACTTGCCACACCATTTTGGTGTGGCTGTACTTTGGGTACACACTCTCTTTAGTGTGCTTCGCATCGTGCAGGGTTTCCTAATTAGGACTTTGGATACATAAGTAGGAATGCTACAGCGTCAGTTAAATATAGTGACTAGCACTAAGTATAGGGTAGGTGTTTCAATCTAGTGTATAAAGATAAGTTACTTTTTCACACGTCTTATTATTACAAACCCCTGGTTTCTAATTCTCCCACCATCCTCGTTGTCTCCTGACACTTCCATCAAATTTATCCGATACTCTGATTCCTGGTCGGGATCATCTAGCCTAAGTCCTTTGCACGACCTTTGTTGTACATCGTTCTCGGAAAAATTCCTCTAGCTTCACTGCTACAAGAACTTTATCTTTAGATGATTCTGTAGTGGATCGACCCTCGGTGGAGGATATACTCAACCCTAGTATTCTTTTGAATAAAATCAAAGAATCTACGGAATCTGATATTATGGGTAATCACATGGGTCGTTTCGTACTTTTGGCATCTCTTCCACGGATCCACGGTCGCTTCAAACGCCAGCGTGGCCATTCATTGATTGACGTGACTCTACCAAAACATACTCAGGAGTGCAAGGCACCATATTTGGGGGGCATAAGACGCCCAATGTGATTTCAATCGCAATTTCACATCTCGATCACTGAGATTTGTCAGCCTAAAATTTGATATTGCCGAAACCTGAGGCTACTGTAGGCAGCTATTTCGAGTTGCATTCTGTAGCAGAACTAGCGTAGCAAGGCTGCTTATGCACTTCGTGCAGAGGAAGACAAGCTATAGGAGCTTTACGTATTAGGGTTCTCTACCTTCTCAAGGCTATCTTTACAAGCTTGAGCCTTCAAGTTATCAATAACCACGTCTCTATGACACCAGTTTCCACAGATAATTTTTTCTTTTCACAAGGACTACGTTCTAGCAACAAATGATATACAGTGCAGGTTTTAAACTAATTTATTTGATGTTTAGCTTCTAGCACTATATAAAAGCATTTACTCTATTTTAAGTGCTAGTCACTATTATACTGGCGTTGTAGCCTCCTAATATGTAAAGATAAGTATTCATTATGTTTAAGCTAAGTATGATGATCGCGTGTCTCTCTGCCACGATGTTAAACCATTTTACCTTAGACACGGTCACATCAACTCACTAGTACTCAACAAGAAAAGCCTCCGGGGGAGTGTCGAAGCAACGTACCCTTTCCAGAATATATCAATGGACCATGCCTAAGTCGCACTAAGAGAATACAGGACTACTGATTTGGGTATATCTGCTCAACGGATATGTGATGGCTAAAGCTAGTGCAACTAGGGAGATAGTCGAAGGGTACGAGGAATGCGTATTTCGTTGTTTTGGTGCCAGTGAGGCAATTCGCCACGATCGAGAACCAGGCCTTATGTCGGACTTCTTTCGGGCATTTAGTCGCATGGGTGGGCCAGCGCCAACAGGCTACTGTGGTGGAGTGGGTTCTCAAAACTGCGTAATGAGACCCCAGGCCACTCACTGTGCCGGACTGCCAACTGTCGGAGGGGGTACCCCGATGCCGCGTATAGACCTTCTCTCACCTTGTGTACCCGTCAGCAGGCGAGTTGCACTCTTTGGAGGACTTGGTTGAGATGTGATGTCGGCCTTGAGAGAGGTCGACCTTGGGGTCCATCGAGTGGGTATACTTCACTCGGTAGGCGGGTAGGTGGCCTCTCGGTCGACTAGGTCGAGGGTGAACTTACAACCAAATTCTTCAGGGGAGATACTCAACCCTGGCCTTTCCTTCCTTTTCCTTGATGTCTCAGAGGTGTTAACCGCCGGCCTTTACTTGATCCCAAACCACTAGGGTAGGGAGACCACTTCCAATAGCGGGTCGATTGGGGGTGCTACTCAGACGAACCCACAGGCCAAATGCAACCTGGGGTTCTCTTCGCACTTTGGGTCTTACCACACAACTGTCTTCGACGGGGGGGGGCAAAATGTATCCTTTCCTGGAACAGGTGGGTAGACTTAGTAAGTACCTTGGAAGTACGACGGAGGTGTGCTATGTAGATCGCAAATTGAGCAGTATTTAATATACCCTATCTTTTGACTCCTTGCTCTATCTTTACTCCCGAGACCTGAATCTTGATTCTGCTTGGCTAGGGTATATCGACTGAAGGGCCGAGAGTCCAGGGACGGAAGGGCCGAGGGTATGTCGACCAAAGGACCGAGGGGCGAGATTCCATCGACCGAAAGGCCAAGGTCCATCGACTAAGGACCAAGGTCCATTGATGAAGGACCAAGGTCGACCTTTAGGGACCGGGGACGAGAGTCCACCGACCGAAGAGCCAAGGTCTATCTTTTATGAAAGAACGAGGTCTACCAATGATAGACCAGGGTTGACCTTGAAGGACTGGGGTTCATCATGAGGAACCGCGGTCCATCGGGCTAATCGCGGCTAACTCCTTTGAATGGCGGCTAACTAGCACGCTTTGACCGTGCATTCTTCTCATCCAACGGTCGTTCCCCGTCTCCTTTAGCGCCCCGTCTCTCTGTACCTTACCCAACGGTCGCCCCTCCTTGGCAAGTCCCTTTCTCTTTGACCCATTGGTCCTCTGAACTCCCAGTTCTTGAAACCCTTCACCACACTACCAAAGCCTATCGACCTCAGGCGAACAGTTCTGCAGAAAGGATGGTACAGACCCTGACTAGTTCCATCAAGATGTATGTTTCTGATGTCGGACAGCGAGACTGGGATGAGTATGCGGAACTCTTGAAGTTTGCGATAAAAACCGCGCAAGACCGAGTGCTAAAGGTGTAGCCGAGCTACTGTAGCCACGCTACTTTTGCACTATGTGCAGATGCACTATGTGCAGAAGAAGTAGTCAAACTACTGTAGCAAAGTTACTTATGCACTAGGTGCAGAGGAAGACAAGCTCAGAGAGCTTATACGTCTTAGGAGGGCCCATAACCCTCCCAAGGCTAGTTTCACAATCTTGTGCCTTTGGTTGCAAGCAACCACGTCTCCAAAGAGACCAGCATCGAAGATACAACTTCCTTTCTACAAGGACTCATGCTCTAGCACGTATGCTATTCAGAGCCGGCTTGAAACTGATTGATTTGAATGCTTATCTTTTTAGCAATAGAAGCACCTACTCTATACTTAGTGCTAGTCACTATTTCTGGCTCTGTAATCTATGAATATGTAAACATGTACAGTCAATATACTTGGTGTGTATGTAAAATACACAGCTTTTTGTGTAATCCCGTTACAGTTTTACAAACAACGCCTCTACATGAACAGTATCACAGATTCTCCCTCTTCTGCAAATAGTGTGCTTAAAACAACAAATGCGTCGGCTTAAATACGTATGTATTTGGTGTTACTTCGTACCAGTAGTATAGAATTACCCATCGGTATACTTAGCATATTTGACGGGCTCTAAAGATTTTTATTATGAACACATGTATACATATATAGTACTGTATACCCACCCACCCATTGTACTTGGGGTAAGGAGGCTACATCAAAGAGGTTGTAAGCCAAATGTACCCAATGTACAGGTAGGTGTGCATACCTTCGTGTAACCCCCGTTACGGCGTGGAAACCCTGTTATCAGTCGCAGTTTGCGTAACCATGCATGTGAGCTGTTTTCAAGAAGCGATTCTGTGGTGACCACCCTCGTAGTAGAGCATGCGAGAAACACGACAAAGCAAGCATTTAGCGTAGAGTAATTGTGCTGCATAGAACTTGACCGCAGAAGGTGAGTTGGGCAGCACAAGGAGTTGTTTCAGACTGCTGTGACACGACAGTTTGATGCAAACTCTCCTTCTCAATTCGTTGGAAAATCTTGGACAGTCTTTTAGCTTATTTAGAACTGGCACGACCATTGCCGCCAGTCTCGACGAGCTGACGACAAGTATTTACTTAGCTATTACATCGAAAGCTACTGCACTGTATCCTAAAATCTGAGGTGATAGAAAATAAAGGTCTGCTAATACCTAGCTCTATAAATCGTTGGTAAGTAGTATTTTACCGGTAGAATTTTTTGCATGCACAAGTAAAACCTGTGATAGAAAAAAAGGCCTTCCCATCTTTTCTATTGCACTATATCGTCGTTCGCACGATATAACATCGCGATGTTCGTTAATGACAGTGCACGATAGATATATTGTGATGAACTAGATGTAAGAAAGACAGAAGCAAGAATGCCGGTTCATGTTTCATCCGCTCTTCGCACTTTTGCATGCGAAAACCTACGCCATCACCACAACCGTCCTCTGCCTTGCGCTCTGTAACCTCGTGCATGAATGATTGCAGCGACACTTGCTTCCACCTATCTATACAGGCGGTTTCTACGTAGATTTGCGCCATACGGGACAGAACTGTATCAAGGCGTGCGACTTTTTGCCTTTGTAATGTTTCGGGTTTATACTGCTCGTATGTGTTCCTCTCGACCTTCTCTAGCCCATCAAAAATCTGGCAGGACCTGTTTTGGACGTCCACTTTCTTGTCGTTAAAACGGACGATTGCAGGAGAGTGACAAAACGTATGAGTGTTGATAATGAGTAAGGCTTTGGTATCGTGGATAGCCGCTCTTGTTCGACATTACTTATGATCGCAGGAAGAACGTCAAAACGTATGATGATTAATAGCGATAAATTCTCTTTATTTCTCAATTTGCTCAGCGCAACACATCACGTCGTCTTTCAGACAAAAACAACGATGAAGTTTACGCCGGGTCTAGTTTTTGCGGCACTTGCAGTTACTGCTGCTTATGCCGATACACCGAACACATACCTACGCAGTCTGTCGATGCGGGGTCCAATCTTGATTCATCGAAAACTAAACCTCTGGACGATGAAGAGGACGATGATGATCTCAAGATTGATCTGAACGAGCTGTTTGGCGACACGAAGAACATTGGCAAAAACGGCAAAATCAACATCTTGGATCTGATAGGCAGTTGAGACGGTCAGATTAGATTGGAAGACCTCCTAGAACAATTTGACGACAAAGCAGGTAGCCTTGATACAGAATGGCAAAAGAAATACTTAAAGCCGCAGCAAGCCGACAGTACGCTTGCAAAAGGCGATGGTGCTTACAAGAGCGTCCAAAGCAAAGACGACTTGGACTCGGAAGACGAAGGTACCGTTCTGGCGAAGAGCGTCCGCGGCGTTTCCAAGCCTAACATTCCTGCCAATCCTACAGGTGATGGCGGTGACACGATGACGTCGCTGGGTGAAAGTACTTCAAATTATGATGTAGATTCCCCAGTAAACGATGGAGCCGCGCACAAAAGTGTCAAATTTGATGACGACGGCATGATTGCTTCTGGGAAAATTACGGTAATGGCCGAACTATCCAAGCAAATGAACGAGTATCTCGACGCGCAAGAGGCATGCGAGGCAATACAATCTCAACCAGTGGATCTTGGAATCGATAATGAAAAATTCGTGCACCCTAGCACTGGTGAAGATCCCCTGGGAAAGTGTGCTAAGTTCTATAGTCTCATTTCAAAGCCCATTGATGTCGAGAAATATAAATACGGTGTTGAAGATTCCCTGGTAGAAAGTGGCAACGCGTACAATGATGCCTCATCTGACGACGACGACGAAGACGAAGAGACACCTAAGGTCGATGGTAAATATCCCCTGTCAAAGGATGACGGTATAATTAAGGACGATTCTGATAACGACGACGACGAAGAGACACCTAAGGTCGATGGTAAATATCCCCTGTCAAAGGATGACGCTATAATTAAAGACGATTCTGATAACGACGACGACGACGACGACGACGACGACGACGACGACACGACGACGACGACGACATGACGACTTCGACGACGTGGGAACTAAGTCTTATGATATAAATTTTGTGGCAAAAGGTGACCCCGCAAACAAAGGTGTCCCGACCGTTCACGACAACGAAGATGATGCTGATGACTTTTACTCTTCTAAAAATCCCAAAGAGTCGAAGAAGAAGAATGCTTCAGCTCCCAGTGTTGGTCATCTGTTCGTAGATTATGGGGACGGTGTCATTGGTGACGAGGAAGACACACTTGTTGTGAAGGATTCAAAGGGCAAAACGCTAATGATGGAAAACGATCCTACACAGAACGACCATCTTCAGACGTAGCTTTTACTCGAAGAGAATGACATTGAGAGTTTAAAGATGGTGGTCTAACAAGGTTAAGTTCTTGCGTAGTGTACATTGGTGCACACTCTATAATGAACATTGAATTCATAGTGACATGATAGCTTTTAACTTTATGATTTCATCTTCGTAAGGAATTGATTACCCGAGAGGACTTTAATGATATCACTTGTTCAGGTTGTTATACTATTGTGTAATCCATGGAAAGTCCTTTAGCAATTTTACGATTTTTGGCTGGTTGTTTCATTGGTTTCTTTTAAGGTTGTTAGATTCAACTCCGCTTTTCTAAGACGTTAGTAGCTACCTCACTTTTCCAGCGACGTGATGCGTATATTGCCTATTCTACCTTAAGATGTTAACGTACATTCTCCTTATTAGTGTCAGAGCTTTAACTAATAATGACCTAGTATTTGGATGTCCAAGCTTTAAAGAATTGCGATGTGGGTAAAGCGACATGACAAGTGTCTGTTTGGTCCAAAAGCTGGTGAAGTCATGAAGTCGATTCAGGTCCAAACAGAGAATATAGCATTGATGTTATTAACAGTAAGATATAAAGCAGAAATAATCCAAAAGTACATACAACATTAGGTCCCACTAACAATTGAATCAGTTCTTTCTTACCAATTACCTACTACAAGCAACAACTCCTACAAGATCAGACTCTAAATTTATAGCCAATCCTTTAATATTACCGTTATTAAACTCACCCATTTCTCCTTCATTGTAAAAACAATACCTGTTTCTTGTAAACTTTTTTCATCTTTATTTATTACTTGATCCAAGCAAAATTTTGTAACCGAATTCAAAATTATAAGTATAATTTTCTAATATTATTATAATTTACAGATCTTAAAAAAGGTAAGAAACGAAATAATTTTGTTTAATTAATAAAAATTATAAAACTATTGTTCATATATAACTAAAACATAAAAATATTTAATTAGATATTAAAATAAAGATTGAGTTTATTTTTAACCAAGTTAAATAATCTTCTGTAGACAGTGGAAACTTCCGCTAGCATTGCTGCTGGGGCTGTAACAGCTGCGAGCTTGCGTCCTTTGACCCAATTTTTATCGCCAATAGTTCATTGTTCCATTCTTGGCACAAACTGTTTGTGTTCATGGAATGGTACGTTATAACAACTGGCATGTCATGAAGTTGTGCAGGCAGATCTATCTTGTTTGTGTGATGCTTCGTGCAAGTCGCACGCCCCTACTGGAACAAGAATGGTAACGACTACTTTTTTTGCAGCCTATGCTATTCCTACGTCCAGCTCAGAATCGGAACGCATGGCGATGTTATGAAAGAATCAACGTAGCTTGCGCTCCACTTCACATTTCATTGAGCTTCCAGGTAAGAAAATGTCGGCAGAAAGGTCAGTGTGGTGATCGCATCCAAACGACATTGTCGTTAGATGATGTTCCAAGTTGCACGATCGCTTCCTGAACAAGCATTTAAAGGAGAATTAATACGAGGTTAACAAGCGCATTCATGTGCTAGAAGAATATAATAAAGCTCTAGTCGAGCATGTAAAGGCACAGATACCTCTAGTCGAGCATTAAAGGCACAGATGCCTTCTGCTGCGCCTTCGCCCATGGCGACTATGGCGCAAGAAGTGGTCCGCAGACCAAAACCTATGTATATGGAAGTCGATAAGTTCGACGACAAAGAAGGGACAACCTTATGCTTTGGTTCCGACAGGTTGAGTCGGCTATGTTTATAGCCGACATCGCCTATGAACCGTACCGCGTGGGCTTTGCCACGGGTAAGGTGGGTGGCTTAGCCAAGCAATGGACGTTCACATGCGGTACATTTCCGAATGATGCTTTTCCCACAAGGGCCGATCTGAAAGTTCATATGACCCGGCAGTATGCACCGCCAAACTAAGCACACCGTAATCGGTCGCTGTTTTTGGCGTGTCGCCAAGGCAAGCGTGAGCTTGCGGCATATGTGCAAGAGTTGAGAACTCTCATTGCCGCCATGGTCATCGACTCTTTGCCTGAGGCAGTGCCCGTCACGGTCTTTCGGGAGGGCCTCCGAGTTGGAGTTGCCAGAACGAAAGTCTTCGGGTAAACCCGTCTTCATTAGAGGAAGCTGTTGGAGTGGCATGGAATGCCGAGACCAACTTTAAGACCGTTAGGTCTGCCACTTATAACTACTAGTCTGATGGGTTTCACCTCATGGACTGTAGTGAAGTGAAGGAAAAAGCTGAGCTTGAAGCTGCAGAGCGGCAAATTTGCGCAGATGTTATGTCTAGGCCAATTTATTTTCCTATAAGAAAGGCAAATTTGGCCTCGAAGGGCCGACGCCCAATGGGTTAACCCTTTGGCTTGCCGTGGCGAAACGGGGGACCCAGTAAGCGCGGGTCCTTACTTGGGAAGAACTGAGTTCTGTTGAGCCTCTAGGAAATAGATGTACGCCGTTCTCAACCCCAAAGAGACCCGAATTCTCAAAAACGGAACAAGAATGCAAGCCAGGCTTGCTAGTCGTCGAAGGGAAGGTTAAGGGCTTTGAGAAGCCATGGACGATTTTGATCGGTTTGGAGGCATTGGGCAGTTATGCCCACCGTGCCACCGTGGAAGGTAGGCAGCAATAGGCTGAAGCGCTTTGAGCACATGAAAGTGACACAGTCACAGTTCGCTTAGCGACGGGTACGCGTGTTATGGTACTTAAAGTTCCGATGAACTTACATGTAAGTTCTTGGACTTTCACGGCATGGAACACTGTTTGGTCTCATATCTGGATGCGAGGTATGACCTCATCCGAGGCATGGCATGGCTAGTACGCCATAAGCCATGGATTGATTGGAGGTAGAAGAACTTAGGCGCAACGCGAATTGCTCGTGGTGGGGCTCTGAATAGTCATGAACCCACCTTTGGTAGGAAGGAAAAGAGCTTTTGGAGCGAAACGGTTATGGAGCAAGATTTTGGGCTTTCCGGTTTTGTTGACACTGTGACTGTCGAGGCCAATAGTCCCGGGAAAGGCCAAAGGGCTGTCAAAGTGTTGTCGAGAACCCCATACGACACGTGAGAATGACACACTACTAAACGTCATGAGTTTTGTGGGTGGCTGCAAGCCAAGATGTAGGACAGGAGTCCAAGTGAAATAGGTGACAAGGTACTAACCATTCAGGGTCCGGTGAAGTCACCAATAAATGTTATTTTTGAGGAAAACGAGGTGCATGCACCTAGAGACGAGGTACTGGTCCATAGGTCGGCTGCTTACTCGAGAAATCAAGTGGAATTGGTTTGCTTGGTGGTGATAAACTTATTGCAACAAGATTTCTTGCATCATTATTAATCTGGTCTAATGGTAACCAAGGGACTGGTAGGGCCTACCATAGGATCCGAGTCAACTTCCAATGGCGAGGATTATAACGAAGTGTGCAACGTTATGTGGGCGAATGCGTGGAATGTGAAACTGGAAAAGGGTATCCTACGATCCGTGGTGAGCCTCCTGGTTATGGGCAAGCGACCAACCCATTTCAAATAATTGCCATGAATCATATCCTGTCGTTACCACGATCGCACAAAGCAAATACGGAATTATTGCTGTGGGCCGATCCCTTCTCTGGGTGTGTGATTGCGAAGGCAAAGTCGTCTCGGACCGTACAAGTAATTGCAGAAAATTACGAGGATTGTTACTTTCGACAGTGGGTGCCAGTGAAGCAATCCGTCACAATCGCAAGCCGGGATTCATGCATGATTTTTTATGGCATTCAATCGGATCGCAAGACAGAAATGGCGTGCAGCTATGGCTTACAGGACTCAAGCTACCGGAACTGCAGAACGTACGGGCGCAACTTTAACACGGTCTTTGAATATACATGCGACGAGTGTGGATCATAAGAACTGAGATGAATACGCGGATCGATTGACATTTGCACTTAACACAGCGCAAGATCGCGTCAGTGGGATAACCCCCTTTATTTGATTCATGATTGGATCTACGATCTACTCTGGAAGCAACGATGCCCCTGGTAAGTACCAATACGCGCGATCGGGAGCCACGGAGGCGGAGATACCGGATCTAGCGTCAATATTAGCGTGCTAGGGCTGCTGTGAATGATCGTTTGTCCTAATCGACTCAACTCTGAGCCGATTAGGAAATACGGATCAGGAGCCACACGGTATCGATCGCGGATCGCAAATCTGGTTATACTTGGATCGTGAGAAGGAGCATATGTGGCATGGACCGTTTTGAGCTGCTGTATTGTGTGGAGATCACGCGGTATGTTTGGAGATTGTAGATGCCTTATCGGTTATTTCTTGTGGTTTACGTTTAGAAGCTGAATCAAGCGAAGATGTTTCCATATCGGCCGAAGAACATGTTGATCGCAGAATTGGATTGCGTGGATCTTGATGAAGCGATGTTGCATGATGACAGTTGGGAAGGCAAACTAGAAAGTGGCGGGTTTGAAGAGGAGAAGATCGTCTATGTGCAATCTAAACGCAAGGACCGTTACGGTCGAGTCCAGCGAGAATATATGGTACACTGGAAGGGCTATGACGATCCGACACGGGTGGATGAAGCTGATTTAAATTGTGGTGCTTTGTTGCAAGATTTTGGCCGTGACCGTACAAGATTGAAACGTTTGATGCAATTGCATGGAGAAGAACCTGGCGAGAAAATTTGATGATCGAATGGATAGAAGGAGTGAAGATATACGGGAAGTCTGTACATTATTTTGGAAGGGCTATTTGCGTATTGGGTTTGATGATCGCGATGTGATAAGACCGGATCGTGATCAAAAATCTGGCGATCACGGGGTGATTGGACCGGATCGTGATCGAAAACATAACACAAAACAAAGAAAAGGATGAAGCCGTATGTCTTCTATACCGACTTAAAATATCAAGCTACAGCTTCGAAGATTTACCAAGCAATCGAGAACTGCCGATCCAGGCTGATCGGCGATCAAAGATCGATATTGGGTTTGCCACAGATCCAGGCTATCCTGACTTGTACAACGCCGTGATTAG